TGATTGTGATTGTTGCACTGACTCTCCTCAACGATCTTTCGCTGCTCGATAGTCCACAGCAAGTTCTGCACTTTGTTGCCGTTAACCGGATTGTGTCGGTTCTCTGGAGTGTTATGGTTAAAGGCTGTCTCTATGGAAATCAACCTTGGGAAGGTCTTGATGGAGGTAGAGTCGTCGAAGAATTTGGGTAAGTGGGTAGTTCTTGCTGCGCCTACATCCCCAATGACCTGGTGATGCACCCCAGGCTCAATGTATCGTCCCAGCAAGGGTCTAACAACTTCTACAACCTCCACGCCGATTTGCGACGAGAAGGAGCTGGTAATTACTGAAATAGATATATTAGATACCTGTGTGAACAGCGATAAGATGATCCTTACTTAGTATTCACCCCATCAAAAAGGCGGTCAGTGTCCCTAATGCATGTCCAGTCCACCTCCCGGTCCAGGGCTACAAACGCACCAGGCATGCTCAAAGGTAGCGCTTTATGCAGACGAGATATCATCGGTATAATTCTCCTTTCTATGAGAAGCTGTAAATCGCTTTCTGTTCCAGTTTTTTCAGGTACAGGAACTGACTGCTGATATGGGCTGGGCGGGACTTACCGCAGGAATTCGGCCTTCTCAACATCTTGGCGATTTCCTAGGGCACGTTGGCTTGCATTCCAGTTACAGTCCATCGCAGGTCTTTGGCGGCCACTAGAATTAAAATAGAATGACCCCCCTGCTGCCAAGTGCATGAACTTGAAACGGGTGGCAATCCAGAACAGAAAGGTGTAAAGAGTAGGTCTGTCCACTGGTAGGGTATTGTATAAATCGCTGTAATTAGTAGATGAATCTATCATGCTAAAGCCCATTTGATTAACGATCATGAAAGTAGAATGAATGTTTGAAACGCACCTCTGGCATTTCATTGCTAGCTGGATGTAGTTCACCATGGAAATCAAACTCCACCCAACACCCTTTCCACCCCAAACCTTACACCAGTAAGTCAAAGATGTCACAGTAGCACCTGAAAACTGAATCTCAGATGCCACAGAGCGAATACTCTCCATCCACTGGGACAGATCCGACTGAAGACCAGTGTCCATGGCCACAATCACCCCAATGAAGGCTTCTGCAGAGATGTTGGAAGAACGGGCCGTTTTTTCACTGATGGTCCACCTTCCTCCCATAGCCAAATTCCTGGAATTCCTTGGGCAAAGACGGTAAGGTTGCACCCAGTAAGATCCCTTGCCACCCGAAAGAGCACGTCCACCTGCGTATTGTCTGCCTCCCGTTGGATCGTCTTCGGTTGAATGTGGTGAAGGTGGGGTATGGGTGGGTAAGTAAACGATTAGCAAGAGTCACAGCTAGCTTGCTTTGCATGAGTTGCAGGGCATCCAAAACCAGAGAAAATTCTTTGTCGCCAAAGGAAACTTGAATAGACGTCATCTTTCGAGAGCTCGTTGTTCTGGATGGTGTGCGGGCAGCTCCTTATTTGGTAGTGAAACATTTCGCAGTAATGCACGCTGGATTGATGGGCGGGAAATTCCCACAAGGAAGCACCTTACCATTAAGGCCCAGCTTGACTCACTAACGGTTATCAATGGAGTCTGGTAAATCTGTGAATGCAACTCATCTTGATCGCCTCGAACATCGCAGTTGTATAGAAGACTTACTTTGTTGCTCTTGTTGATATGGAGTATGAGCGCATCTGTTGACAAACTGATTAGTACTAACCTTTTTTATGTGGGATTTGGGTTGCTTGTTTGGTGGACACTCCACCAGACTGGAACGGAAAATGTTGCACTTCTCCCCCAAACTGACACTACTCCTCCAAATGCCAAAGAAGAGTTCAAAAGAGTTCACTACCATGTCAGTTGGACCATCATGCCTTGCTCACTTTATTGATAAATGCCACCAGATGGGTTCTTGTGTCCATAACCTGGATGCAAAGGGACCACTCCAGGCAGATACCGAATATTGGGCTGTGAAGACCCTAAAACACCGCGCCTTCCACAATAACAGATGTTGCTCCTTGAATACATTCCCTCTTCTGAATGGCAGTGTATCCATGCCATCCTTCCTCAATGAGGCCAATTTGCAGGCTGTCAAGCAAACTTGCATCAACGACGGCCGATATTATGATCTGTTCACGCGCCTCCGCACACTATTTCTTCTGCATTCTGTAAACCTCACAGATGACACACTTCAGGACATGGCGCAGAAGATACATGAAGTAGGCTGCAAAGTGATGTCAAATAAAGTGCCCAGCAAGAAGACGCCATCATCCACCAATATCCTTGTACAGACCCAGATAGAAACCCAGAGAGTGAATACTGTACTTCTCAGTGCTTTGATGAAAGTTGCGGATGTTGCTGACCTTGACACAAACACTGCGATCACAATGGCTGTGACTAAGACACTTGTCACAGAGGTATGTGCATTTTGTTTTCAGACGACATACCCTCACAATCTCTCATTGCAGGCACTAAACCAAGCTGAAGGATTCGTCATGAGTCATTGGTCAAAGGATGTGTGTCCTTGGCTGTATAGTCCTTCCGATGAAGTGCGCCTGGTTGAGTTTTTGAACAAGGTGAGTTTGCATCCATTGCACACAGATTTCACAACTCATTCCCAGCGTGAAGATGTGCTTGTGGGTGGATCGGTACCTCACAGAGCTGGGAGTCATACAACCACACAATTCCGACGATCCTCATCACCATTGGATAAGCACAGGTACCACATTCTTTCAAGCCAGATCAGGGGTGGCAGCATCATCCAAGACAAGCGGGGTTGGCGCACGCAAGCCGGATATCACCCTTGTGACCAACGACTCACACGAGTGGTCCAATGTTAAATCCGTTATTGACGTCAAGTATCGCCACTCCGAGGTTCTTCTCAAGGCATCCAAGGAGTACATGGTAGAAGTTTCCCATCTGGTCTTCACTAACCAAGTGCATCGTCGCTTCTTCATAGGAGCTCTCTTGACTGGACCAGAAATGAGGATCGCTCTTTTCACTCGCGGTTGTGGGGCCTTTTCTGAACCCATCGATATCTACGCCGATCCCATCAAATACATGCAAGTCTTATCTTGGTTCATGCATACCGACCTTCGCTATCTCGGATATGATCCCTACTACCAAGCTCCCACTTCCACGAAACAACTTGTCCTTGTGGTTGATGAAGGCAAACAGTACCACAGAAGAAGACATGGTGCCGACTTCGGTGCTTTCAATCATCTATAGTGGTATTGCCGGATTTGGCCGCACCACTCAGGTGATGGTGGTCAGAGGCCCAAGACAGCAACTGAGGGTTGATCAAGAGACTTTGATTGTAAAAGAAGTTTGGCAGGTTGACTGTTTCTTACCGGATGGAGAGATCCATCAACTTTTGGAGGACAAAGAGCGCCTTCAAAAGGCTCGCATAAAACTAGGTGCATTCTGAACTATCTGTGCCTCATTGATCTGCATCTCATTTCGTTTAATAGAGCAAGAAAAGATTCCGTATCCTGACGTTATTCCTGACACTGAGGCTGAGAAGAAGTCACAGTCAGTCTTGTTCAAGCGATGGCCCAAACCTGCGTGGGATGATGAGGACAAAGAAGGTTCCTACCCCAGACACCTCCCTATTCGTGATCAATGCATGTCCACGCACCCTGTTATGATGATTGACTGTGATGGGGCGCGAGTACCAGACAGTGTTGCGAACATCATGAAGCCCTTGTCCGCGGAAATCTATCCCCTTGTGCACTATTGAACCGTCTTCAAGACCAACGCAGTCAGGTGTACCTGGTTCTCCTGTCGACGGGAATTCTTCTCAGGGTTGATAGGTGCTTTGAAGGGTGAGTGCACATCTCAGTCCGAAATTTCAGAATGCTTAGAGTCCACAACCTAGGTCATATCAATGCTTGGTTACGCGGGTTAATCCACCGTGATACCAGTGACGACAATACATGGTTTTGGGTGCCCATAGTGGATCAAGATCACGCTGTGCCTAATTGGTGCATTGATGAGGGCGTGCCCAAATTCTGTGGAGAAACAGTAGAATCTGAGTGGTTTCCCATGTGTCCTGGAATGATTGGGGACTTTGGCTTAGCACTGGACTTCTTGGATGACTCAGAGAAAGCTTTGGAAGAGAAAAAGAAGTGGACTACAACAGTACGCTCATCCTTTTTTCATGCTTTTTGCTGGAGTGCTCATGAAAGTAGGGAACTTTCCCTTACAGTAGTGTTGACCGAGAGCATCCCCCCAATATCTGCCATGATTTAGAGTCATTTATCTTTCTCGCATTCGTGCTCAGGGTGAATGTTACGGGTCCTTACCATCAACTTCAAGATTGGCCTGTCCCTGTTCGTAATACTGATCCCATAGAGACGGGGATTTCCACTACAGTTGATTCAGCCAACCTCACTGCAAAGAAGTTCAAACATTCTAATGCAGGTTGGGGCGAGAATAACACACCCCCCCCTCACATCAGCACACTGCAGTCATACCAGAACTACTGCACCCACAGCCACTTCTCCGGAACTTCTTGTGCGTTCTTGTTCGGTGCCTCAATGGGTGAAGTTCGGCGTTACCAACTTCCAAGATGATGAAGTGATAATGCAAAAGGAGAACCTGACGTGGGATGCATTCGAGCGTTCCCTTGATCCGTACTGGAAGGTCAGCAACATGATGGCAATATGGAGGAAGATCTATGACTTGCTGTGGCCTTTTCCTGCACAGAAGCGCTGGAAGCTCACTCATGCCAAGCTGATCAATGTCCTGCGAGAGATGATCGATGCAGTACCGGTGGACAAGGATGGTGCACCAGACAGGTCATTGATCATGACAGCGAGGGAGAGATACCACAACTCGTTGACTAACCTGACCTCCAAGCAGGTGGTCATGGTTAGCCAAACAGAATACCTGCCTGCATCCCTACCACCTTCAGGCACCCGTATCTCTGCATCTTCTGGGTTCGCCGGATTCGAAATCCACACTCCCGACAAGATGCGCCAGGGCTTGCAGACCTCAGAGAACACCTCGGGATCGAAGAAGCACAAGGCACTTTTATTGCAGGACAGTGACAGTTCCAGTGCGACTACTTCATCATCAGTCCTCCCATCATCTGGTACAGCTGGCATGTCTGTCAATTCATCCAATCTCTCTGGGGAAGGGAAGCATCAGAGAAAATCCAGAGGATAAGATACTTAGTGGTGAGGTTGCTTGCATGTATTCAATGGCTGGACTGAGGATCATGTTTTTTTAAACCTTCATTCATGTACTTTGACAAACATTCGCCCAAGTGGTTTTGTAGCGATCATTTTGTAGCTTTCATATACGGTTTTGCAATAATTGGGTTGTGAACTTTCCCAAGTGAGGCGGGATGATGAGTGCACTGTCGGTGAAAATTGTCGCAGTATTGGCGTGGGACACAATGCCCGACGCCTTCTCTTTAGGATAACCCTATATCCGCTTCTTATCTTTTGATTGTAAGCTCAACATTTATAGACCATCGCATTGTCTTACCATCTTACCTTTGCCCAGATGACAGGCTTTCGTTCTGCCCTGCAGGCTTTAAATGTGAATGTTGAACACACTTGAGCTAAGGACGATGACCCTACAGTATGTCCTGCTTGTCACAAGCGCCTGAGGACAACCCAAGGACTGGCTACTCATCTTAGTACCGCCAAGTCTTGTAGATGGTACAAGAAAGGGAAGCTGAGGGCTTTAACCCTTCCAGGAGAATTCGCAGTTGATGAAGATGTACTGATGCGAGAAATAAATGAGCCTCTTACGGATGGACTGGAAGAACAAATGGAGGAGGAACCAGGTCAAGTTATGGAAGACTACCATGATAGACTCTTCGATCTCATTCCAATCGGGAACCCACCTGAACACCCAAGATCCCCCGTCCCATCCTCTGCTTCAGACATGCGAGTTGAAGATGTGCATCCCACTGCAGGCAAGGTGATATGTATGGATGAAACGGTGCATCAGAGATGGAGGAGAGAATTTGGAGGATCTGATGCCAACAGAGACGTGGAGATGGAAGATTTGGGAGAGGGGACATCCATGACAATGAAAATGTTTGCACCTTTTGAGTCTGAGCTAGAGTGGAGAGTTGCCTGCTGGGCCATTCAGGACGGCATAGGTCACAAATCATTTGATCGACTCATGGCAATACCTGGGGTGAGCATTGGTTCTATTTTACCTCACGATTGTCTTTCTGCTTAATGCATTCCAACAACAGGTCTCTGAAAGACTAGGTCTCTCATACCATAATATTAGGGGATTGCACAAGATTGTCGACAGTGTACCTCCACGTGCTTGCTGGAAGACTCGCGAACTTTGGTTCAAGAATGACCCAGAGCACAAACATACCATCTATCATCGGAATCCGATCGATGCTGTCAAGACATTACTTGGAAATCCAGCACACGCAAACGATATTGTCTATAGACCCAGGAGGGTTTTCACTAATGCTTCCAGGGATAGTAGAATCTACAATGAGATGTGGACTGGGGACTGGTGGAACACTGTCCAAGTGAGCGTCCAATGACTTCTACGTACTGGTTTACTGACTCTTCCCTTTTCATTGCCTCAGGACAGACTTCCAGCAGGGTCTTGTGTGGCTCCAGTCATCATCGCCACTGACAAGACCCAGCTCACCCAGTTTGCTGGCGACAAGAGTGCCTACCCTGTCTACCTTACGTTGGGGAACCTTCCCAGAGCCATAAGATGGAAACCATCCCAGCATGCCTGTATCCTTGTCGCATACCTTTCTGTCAGCAAGATGGTTGGCGTTGAGCTCAGCAAGAAACAAAAATCTACCTGCATTCAACAGCTCTTCCATGACTCTATGCGGATAGTTTTGGAGCCGCTAATAGAAGCAGGAAAAAGCGGTGTTGAGGTGACTGGAGGAGACGGTAAAGTGCGTATGGTGCACCTGATACTAGCATGCTATGTGGCAGATTACCCAGAGCAGTGCCTGGTAACTTGTGCTGAGTACGGTACCTGTCCAAAGTGTGAGGTGGATAATAGCCAGATGGGAAATGAAGACCCCGGTCCATGGAGGACCCAACACAAAACCTCCAAAATAATAGAAGCTGCCAGGGCCAACTCTACGTCTATCAGCAACTTTCAGGAGCGCTGCAAGCAGGACAACATTTCAGGAGGGGTGAGGTGCCCATTCTGGGAGGGGTTCCCACATTGCGACATACACATGTCCATCACCCCTGATGTACTGCATCAGTTGTACCAGGGGGTGGTAAAGCACCTCGTCCACTGGTGCAGCAGTGTGATGACTGACGCTGAGTTGGATGCTAGGATTAGATCGCTTCCTCCTTGTTTTGGTATGCAACATTTCAAGAATGGATGGTCTCACCTGGCTCAGATATCAGGGAAGGAGAGGAAAGACATGGGAAGGATACTTCTGGGGTGCATAATAGGGAAAGCTCCGTCTCAAGTGAGTTCATTGGAGTTCATTGGGAATCGTATACTCACTCTCGTTTAAAAATTATAGATGGTGGCCTGTTATCGGGCACTACTGGATTTTATATATATATCTCAGTATCCTTCACACAACAAGGACTCCCTGGGATATCTTCAAGTGGCCTTAGAGCAGTACCATGCCAACAAGTGCATCTTGATTGATCTAGGCATCCGCGACCACTTAAACATCCCTAAGCTGCACTCCATGCAGCATTATGCTGAGTGTATTAGAAATTTTGGTACTACTGATAATTACAACACAGAAATGTTTGAGCATTTCCACATTGACTACGCAAAGGAGGGGTGGAGGGCTACCAATTTCAGGGATGAACTACCACAGATGACTCAGTGGTTGAGTCGTCAGGAAAAGGTCGCAATGTTCGAAACCTACTTGAAGGACTATCAGCCAACTGAAGTAGAGAGGGAGCAGGAGGAACAGGATGCACTAGAGTCTGAAAAGCGTCCAGGAGTAGGGCTAGCCATATCCAAGAAGCCGGCATCACCTTCTCAGCTGCTCACCAGCATCATATCAAAACACTGATGTCCTTCTTTTTTGCACCATTTGAGGGTGTATCTTAATCGCTTTCTTCCCAGAGGGGAAGCCATATCACGCATTCAGCTCCCTCACGCACGCTTACCCTTCCATCAACTGGATGTCTGGCACACCTTTAAATTTTCATTGGACACTCTTGGTAATGATGTAGATGGCCGGGAGGAGATAGATTCAGTCAGGGCTAAGCCAGGGAAAGGCAGAGCTGAGGACGTGGGAGATGGGAGATTTGATGTTGTAGTTGTTGTGCAGTCAGATGAAGCTGAGTCCACTGGACTTCATGGTGCGCTACCTAATGCTACTAGTACTTCCTATCAAGTTAAGCTTTACTGACCAATACTACATTTGCAGGTATGAAAGTCGGAAGGCTAAAAGTCATTTTTCGCCTTCCAGACTCTATTCCTTTCATGAATGATGCTATAGTTGCCTGGCCTAAGGAACATTTGGCTTATGTGGAATGGCTCACACTCTCTAAACGGCCAGGATGACACCATAATATGTATTCAGTCACTAAGGCTATTGGGCAGAACAACAACATTGTTCCAGGTGACATAGTTTCTCTTTCTACTATACGTCAATCTTGTCATCTTATTCCTCACTTGGGTCCTAACATTAGTTGGCCTTCCAGCTGGAAGTCTGCTAATGTTTTGGACTTATGCAACAGTTTTCTTCTTAACAATTGGTCAAGTAAATTTGCTTATCAGACGCTTTGGTAGTCAATACTTAGTATATATATGATTTGTGTGATTTATAGCAAGGGTCTAACTCTATATATGATTTGTGTGATTTATAGTAAGAGTCTAACTCTATATATGATTTGTGTGATTTATAGCAAGAGTCTAACTCTATATCACTCAAGTTGTTAATATAGCGTACATATATTTAAATATAGCCCTTAGTGTCTCTATTTGCATAAACAGCCCAAAAATGGCAAAAACCCTTTTTCCTGATGTGATGACATGTGACCATAGATCCCATCTTCCCTTCTCAATATGAATCCAATGTGCAGTAAGCAGTAAGTCCCAGGAACAATGCCTTGGTCTGGTCAATGGACCAGAGATCAGTCGTTGTCGAGACACGACCAGTATTTATGGACTATTAAATATGTTAGAAAATGTATTTGTTTATCAAATAAAAAAATGTACCTGCATCTCAGCCTTGATATCCTTGATGAGCTTGATGAATGAGTTGTGAATATATGTTGTGACATTGTGTGTTGAAGGCAAATCTGCTACAGTTGCAGCTGGATGCATTGCAACTAAGCAGTTTCGAAAGGTGGTGTTGTTTGCCAACACTAGAGACTAAAGTAGTAAACACATGTGCATCAGTACAACACAATTATATGAATATGGTACCAGCCTCACTTGATCATCACACACGACAAATTCCACTACTGCATGCAGTACAGAATCTCTTGAAAACTCTTGTAACTGTTTCTTCTCTGTCTTCTGGAACAATCTATCGATCTTCATCTGCTTTCCTTTCAACTCTTTTTCCAGCTCTCACAACATCTCACGAGGTATCACATAGTGGTTCTCCTGGATCCCTAGCTCCTTATATTTGGCCTTGTAGAACTCATAGTAGCTGTGTATGTGTTGATGACATGAAGAATTACTACCTAGATGAAACACCTTCCACTTCCCATTCTCCTTTACAAATGTTTCATCATCCCTTGGAAATTATGGTAAGTTGACTGCCCATTGCAAGCTATTTTATACTAACTCACTTGCAAATGATACACCAGTGTCCTTTCTTTGTATCTACTACACCATCAATGCCAACAAACTTCACCATGCACTTCTCCATGAACACAGTGAGTAGATTGCTAGCCTGCTGTTTCTTTATTATCAATGGATCTGGGAGATCTGCCTTGTGTTGTGTGCCCCCAGATCGTTTGTCTGCTATTGTGCATACCAGTGAGCTAACACTGAATTTATACAGTGTCCTTTTACTTGCCTCATCTTCATCATTATCACTGTCCTCGGCACTAGAGTCACACTCTATCACTTCAGGCTTGCTTCCCATGGTAGCAAGATCATGCACTTCCTCAATGTTAACTGGGGGCTGGAGCTTTGCCTTTCTGGACATGTTTGGATGCTTTCTTCTTAGAAGTGTGTTGATGTTCTGGAGGGCTCGAGTCATTGCTGCTATTGGACTCTTGCTCACTGACTATGGGTCTTTTTTGTTTAGAATTCTTTGGTAACTTTGGAGGTCTTGAACAAGAGCCTTTCTGAGTTGCATTCCGTGTTTCAGAGCCAGCAAGAGCTTTTGCAGTTGCTGTCCACTTGCATGAAGACTTCCATGGGTTCGACATCATGAATTGGAGGGTTGTGGAGTAAGAGAATGAGTCTGATTTTTTTCAAGGTGAGGTTTCAATTTGAGACAGTATGCTAAGTATGCCTGGTGGCAAACACGTTGTAGTATGATACTGATTTCCCCCATACTATACTAGTAGTACATTTCTGTCATTCTACAAGTAAATTTCATCAGTCATACCAGTCTGGACCAGTCTTACATGGTTGCCAACTGGTTGTGTCTGCAACCGGTCTGCAACCGACTGCAAACCATGTTGCAGTTGCACACAACCGGTCTCAGAGGGTTTGGTCCAGGTTGTAGTACAAAACTGAGTTTAGACAGTCCGGTCTGGGTTTGGTCTTGCCAAAATTAGCAAAAAGACCGGACCCAACCAGACTTTTAAACTCTAGCTGTTTTGTATTTAGTCTTCTATGATACGTGATTCATACCTCAGGTGTTGTCTCTCTCTCGAGTGTGCGACTGAGGTTAGTACTCTTTTCATTCCTTACATTCTTAGTGTTTCTAACTTATGCCGATTACCTACAGTATACTATCTTTGTATAGGTAATGTTACAGGTGTTGTCTCTCTCGAGTGCACAACTGAGTATACTATCTTCATATAGTCACACATGGCCAAATTTATACTTAGGGATGTGCATGGGTAAACCCTGGGGTATCACAGGTGCCACCTGTACCCTTACCCCAAGATGTACCCATACCCACACTGAGGGTATGGGTGTAGTGATGGGTAGGAGGGTATAACATCCCAGGGTACCACCCATGGTGGGTATAGTATACTATAATGAAATGTTACAAAAAATGTACTATGTAGCTACTCAATGCAGTCCCAACCATCCTCGAAGCTCTTGCTCATCAGTATCTTCAACATCAGGTAGGGAACTAATCTTGACAATGTCTTCCGTCTTGATGAGGTTGAGGCAGCTCCAATAAACGAGGCATAGGAGTGCTTGAGTAGACTGAGCGGTCAGATGTGAGCGCATGTGAGACAGAAGAAGGCATCCCTGGCTGAACAGACATTCAACATCGACTGATGTAGCTATGAAAAATGTGTGACAAAAAACATGTCAGAACAAACCCATAAAGGAGGGCAGGCATGGACTCACCAGGTATTGTTAAGTAGTCTAAGGCCATATGAGAAAGGTGGGGATATACTGCACAGCACTCATGCCACCAGGCAATAGGATCAGGGACATCCTCAATATCAGCATTGAGGTAGTGCTCCAGTTCATCCCCCAGGTCAGTGGACTTGGGTGGCGCCAGTGCTGGCATATTGTCAAATAAATTCTAAAAAGTCAAGTCGCAGTTAATGATATTGAGCCATGCAAAAATAAAAATAAAAACACATACCTCATGAGCCATAGTATTTGACATCTTGATAACATCTCTGTTCTCTTGAATCCCCACCTCGAGGTATGACCATTCAAACCCATCGCAGGACAAGTGTGGCCACAGTCTCAATCCAGGTGTCCTCCCACCGTGCATTCTTGAAATAGGCCAATTTATGGCGTGGATGCAGTACTGTAGTAATAAATAAACAAAGGTCAGTATCATATTATTATTTAAATCAAAAAAAGACTCACCCATAGCAATCCAGTATACCTCAGACTTGTCCATCAACTGGTAGTACCAGTTGAGTGTTCGTTTGGCAAGGCAAACAGCCGCACGGATAGAATCAGAATATTTCTTGTTGTGTGAGTAGGTGGTGAGTCACTCGTCAATCAAATCCATCATGGGAATAACCTTCGCAAGATTAGGTGTCCCCTGCAAGAAAAACAATGTGGTGTCCTTGAGAATCTTGAAAGACATGTTTAGTAAGCAATTTCCAGTAAGGGACCCACACCTACCTTCAATATGTCCCGCAACTGGCTGGCTATCTCCCAATCACTGTCGACAAGCTCAAACTTGCACAATCCTAGGTCATGCTGCTGAGTGACTGCGTCAATTGCTTCCCGATGGACGACAGCATAGTCCAGCATATCAAAGGTCAAGTCCAGCGGGTGCTGTGGGACAAGTTAGCAAGTAAGTTTATTCTCCTTTTTCTCCTAAACGCCTTATACCTTGTCTGATATTCCAAATTCTTCTAGCATTTTTGCAAATACTGCCGCAAGTTCCGCACCAGTATGGGACTGGTCAAGTTGTCATGTCATTGTGTGTGGGCACCTCATAAGTCTTTCACATACCTTCACCACCTCAACAATGTCTAATGGCAGACTCAGTGGGATTCCATTGTGCTCGAGATGGACTGATACCACCACAAAGGCTCTATGGTTGGTGGATGTCCATGCGTCCTAAAATTCATCTTGCCGTCAAGTCAGTTTCATTCATATTGAGCATGAAGTCACTAACTCTCAACATTTTAGCAATGCGTTGTCAAGTGCATGCAAAAACGAGCCATACGTCACGCGAGATAGTGGTTGGGGAAGGTAAGTAGTATTCCAGCCAGCCTGTTTTCATTAACAATTGAAATCCTCAGTCTTTGACTATCTTGAATGGTTGCAGGCTTTCGGAGACCCAATGCACAAGCTCAGCTCTGCATCATGTTAAATTTGTCTGGCTGCATAGTGACAAAGACTTACTTAGTCTCAGTGCAGGTGTGTTGATGGTAGGAGTATGTCACCTTCCCCTTCCCCTTGCATTCAAAGGACACTGTTATTGATCCGTCTCGCAGGATTCCCAGAACAATTTTGGTGTGGACCTCACTTGCATCCTTTGCATCATCAGCAGCTTTCAGTACCGCATCACCCCAACACAATTTGACATGCTTCCACATATTTCCAGTGGACTGGGCATCTTTTTTATCCAAATACCATCGGATGGTGGTCTTGCATCTTCATGCACTACACTTGAACTCATGTGTCCACCAACCATCATTCTCAATGATGCATGGTGTTGGGTCAAAGAACGCATATACTGGTGAGGTCCATTCTTTCATTAACCATTCTATATTTTTATTAATGAGAAGGTTTGCTTGAACAAGGGTGCTCATACTTAGCTCGTCAGCAGCACTCTCAACCTGAGTTTTGGTTTTGGTAAAGTTTACATTTGTTTTCATGTGTCAATCTGAGGCAAGGGTACGGGTAAGGGTACAGGTGGGCTGGGACCAGACCCCCACCCATACCCGAGGTGTACCCACACCCGTGACCCACATCAGTAAATTCACACATTGCTTATTTCAACTTATTTGGCACTTATCCCTACTTTTGTCACTTATCAATAATGGGATCTACTTATTTTTCTTCAACTAGCCACCTGGGCCCACCACCCTCAACTAGAGTACACCAAAATATTTGTTAGACTATAGAAGCTCATTTGACAATATCAAAACAACCACATTGGTTGTTTTAGTCAAGTGGAAATGCCAAAACAGTAGCAAGAAGATTTTGACTTAAATGCTTTCCCTAGGCAGCTACACTTGAGAAGACTATATTCTATCATTATCAAACATGTATTTGATAGGTTATTAGCAATTTGAAACACTCAAGTGGAGGGTGGTGGGGTGGGGTGGCTAGTTCAAGAAAAATAAGTAGATCCCATTATTGATAAGTGACAAAAGTAGTGACAAGTGCCAAATAAGTTGAAATAAGCAATGTGTGAATTTACTGATGCGCGCGGGTTTCCAAAACCCGTGCATATCCCTAGTTATACTTCTATCAACCAAGGCCTTGTCTGATCAATACGAGGAAAGTCCTAGTAATGACCCAGGTAGCACTCAAGGCGACACTACGGAGGATGACGCTGAGTTGGAAAGCATGGACACTGACTGGGATAGCTTGTGGTAGCAGCTGTAGTGAAATTGTCATATTTGGGTCACGTGGACGTTAATAACAGCTGGATGACTTTTCGTCCGTACCCAGGCTAGTTTTGTCGTCGACTTGTTGCGATAGTTCCACTTGCTGTTTGTTACTTGCTCGGTCCCCTCTCATCTTGCTGCATGTATAACTCATCTCATCATGATCTGCTTATCGCTCTCCTGTGTTTCGTACTGCGGCGATATCTTGAGTACGAAACACAGGATCGATATACCCTTACATCTATCAATAGGCTGTACTGCACAGTATTCACGTACTGTGACGTTCGGCTTGGCAAAGAGAGTATCCGAGCCCCTTCAACAGAGTTAGATCATCTTGGATGGTGTTCGATCCACTTGCTCTAATGTTACTCTCCAATGCTGTGGGTATCCAATACCGTTATTGCGAACGATAGCAAGGCAGGTTTACGAAAGTACTTGTAATGCCGGTCATCATCGTTTCAAGGTACATACATAGGTACCGGTAATAACAGCCCTTCCCAAGAACAGCGTGTAACTTGTCTTTTACAGCATCGGTATCGCGCGCTACAAGCGCCCGAGCAACGTACAAAGTTGACAGCTGGACGACTTTCTCCCCCGCAGTACTCTCACCACCTCCCTCACTTGTCGGGCTGTTACTTCAACGAGCCTGGTAAAATTTAGGTTGTATGTAAATCTACTAGTTATTGCGTTCAGACATTTGGACTCGCAGGTAGTGCAGGATTTGAAGGGCTTATCAGCTAGATGGTCTTACCATCGAGCGCCCAGCACCGACAACCCGTACCTCTTCTTTCCGTCCATCTCGTCGCGCTCGACTCAACAGCAACCTCTCGCGATGTTTCTGAATCGTGCTCGGGGATATCTGACCCACCCAACCTATCTGCAAGAGGGAACCTGACATTGCCTAACAGATTCACTCCTACGTTCCCACATACCCCGGTTTCCCCCAACTCAGGCCCTTGTATTTCAACCCCCAACTCGCAATCTTCCACGTCGCGTGTCCAGTTGCCGCGGTTGGACATGGAATATCTCCAGAGCACGCTTGGTCGCCCTCCTATCACCCCCGATTCCCCTCTACGCCCCTCTGACTTCCAGAAGAGTACCGCACATGGTCAAGATCAGATGGTGCATGGACAACCGTCCCCAAGCACTCCTCTTTACTTCTCTCCAGGTCGTGCAGATCTGCCAAGTTTCTCTCGGGACCAGTCAGACACTAGCACTATTCCTCACTATATTTCGAATGGCACAGTTCTTTTCGAAGGGGATGAAAATCGCAAGCGCGGATTTACTAGTGATCTCTCTGGTATGCTTCCTACGCCCATATCTCCACATACCAACGGAAGGTAATGATTTATTTGTGCAAATATCACGGAGCCCTACTGATTGACCTGCAGTCCAGTGACACCTGTCCAAGCGATCGACTTGACAGAGTGGATTAGTCGGAGTTACGGCCTTGATCCCATAGCTGGGGGCGCTTTTGGTAATGTCTGGAAATGTACCTACGATGATGGTACCCGGTGCATTGCGGTTCGTACAGATATGAATTGATGATGGCGGTACGCTAATAAGATGTCTGTTTCAGGTTGCTGTGAAGGGTTTCAGATTCAAAGTTAACAAACAGACCTCGAAGGTACGTCAAAGCATTGATGATCTGCACCGCTCTGTAATTACGTGTTGCAGAGACTGAGGAGAGAGATGGGCATCTGGAGAAGACTCAGTCATCCGAATGTTATGGAATTCATGGGCGTTGCTTTTGGCTTTGGTCTTTCGATGGCCCTCGTTGCTCCTTGGGCTGCGAATGGGACGTTGACTGATCACCTGGAGAAACACTGGTCGACAATCACTAGCGTTGAGCAACTCAGTCTGGTATGATCGCATCACTTCAATTTGCCCGCTATTTCTAACGAGATCTATTTATCCAGCTGGACGATATTGCATCTGGTCTTACTTACTGTCCGTCTTGTTTCAATTCATCTCTGGTTCATTCTGAGTATAACCCTATAGTACATTCTTATCCTAACAATCCCGTCACCCATGGAGATCTCACTGGGGTACGTAAAACCTCAGCCCACTCTCATCACCTCACGAACTCATCCGTCACAGTCTAATGTTCTTATCCTCTGGGACATGACCGCATGTATCGCCGACTTCGGACTATCAAGCATGCTCGGCGACCTACAGACCGGCACGACATACCTCGCAGCCACCGCTATGTATCCAGGCGCAGTGCGATGGACAGCTCCTGAGCTGCTCCTGTCAGATGATCTCCAGCCCACGACGCTCAGCGATATCTACTCTCTTGGAAGTATCATGCTTCAAGTGAGTATCCACATCTGTTCGAGCGTTCGGTGAAGTTGATGATGGTGTTCTTCATAGGTTCTATCGGGCAAATTACCTTGGCACGAGATCAAACGGGAAGTTATAATCATACGAGAGATCCAACAAGGAAATACCCCTCATTGCCCGTCCCAATCCCCCCTCGTCAGTGAACTTTGGCCATTCATCCGTCGGTGCTGGTCGTTATCACCGAATGAACGGCCCTCAGCTGGCGCCGCCTTGGAATTCATCCAACACATTCGAGCTAAATTACACCTAATCTTGTTCGATGGCCATGAGACGCCTAGTTCGACTGCTGCACACCCTGCAAGTAGTCCTGGTCTATCTGTAAGGCCACGCTTGAAAATAATTACATAACTATTGGACTATAATCTTGGAGATGGTGATGTCGCTCATTCACTATTGGACATTGGCGGGCGTCCTTGTTGTTTTCGTACCTTCACCCGGGCACCTAGCTTATATTTATTGTAGATCTAAAGGAACTTGAGGCTGTTTATAATACGCGTTCATATACCTTCCATAGTTATTTTTTTTTGCCTTGCTGGTTGAACTCGTTTCTTGGCGTGTCGGGCGGACGGATAGAGCAGTGTCTGCCAAACAAATGGTACTTATATCTGTAGGGCTTGATTGAGTTCTAAGGGGAATCGAGAGATTCGATCGAGGAGGGAAGTTGTAAGAAGACAGTAGCAAGAAGACTAGAGCTCGGACGGTGAAACAAACAGAGACTTTGGCTTTGACGGAACGTTCGGACGGCTGCGAGAGTGCGGATCACTGAGAGGGAATCAATTTACTGAGTAAACGGGAAATACATGCGGATTTATATACGGCGAGAGAACGGACAAAGCGTAAGTACAAATAATGAATGAGGACTTATGGTGATAGATAAGGACAAAGGTTAATAGTGTGAACACGTGAAATGATGGAAGTACGGACAGAAAGGGAAACAAAAGAGAAGGCAGTGCGTGATATGTCACGCCCATCCCCCACCGCGGGGCAGTTGGTGGTGTATGGTTTTTTGGTGGTGGGAAAAAAAGTGTTTTGCTGATGTAGGAAAACATGCGGCGGCCGGGGCAGTGCAAGCTTAAGCCAAGGATAAAATACGAAACTTTTGAGCTCTGTAATCATCCATGGACTACATAGAATATTATCAACAACATGAAGCAGGACACAGCAGGATTTCCATTTCCATACTATGGGGACTACTCCGACCGCTCCTATGATCGTCACGCTCACGCACCAATCATAGCGACTTCATCCTCAGCTCCACTCAGCGAACCCTCTTCCTCGCGACAGCCACTTCCTGCCACAAGCTCACAGCCTCCAGATCAGATCAATATCAACTCCCCTTATGATAATCCTGGCACCGTAGCTGGCTACTCCATGGCAGACCAAGGCGATAGCGCTGATGAAGGTGGAAAACCTACCCCAGCTACAGGCCCGAGTCTAGGCGATATCGGAAAACCAATGGGCACAAATAACTTTGTCACAAAGCTTTATCGGTGCGTTCTCTGCCCTTTCTGTATATGTCTTGCTTAACTAGAACAGGATGATCAACGATCCAAACGGCCAGCATTCCATTGCCTGGACTGAACTTGGCACCAGGTGAGCGATGCCTTGTAACTGTCGCACTTCTATTCACACCGTCTAGTTTTGTCGTTTCCAATGTCGGCGAGTTCAGCAGGAGCATCCTCTACTCCTATTTCAATCACAACAAGTCCGTCTTCGCCCTGATCCCCACACGCTATGCTCACATTCATACAGTTCTCAAGCTTCGTCCGCCAACTCAACATGTACGGCTTTCACCACATCAAGAGCGTAAGTCCATGTAAAGACCCCATACCCATCTTCATCTTGTTTCAGGCCCCACGCGCCCCACGCACATCCACAACCTCCCAGACTTGGGAATTCAGTCATCCCAAATTCCTCCGTGCCCGTCCAGATCTCCTCGACGCCATCAAACGCAAAGCTCTCGAACTCAATCCCCGAGAACGCGTGACTCGCATGACTACCCGGACTTCGACTTCGACTTCGAACACAGCGGTAACAGCGGACCCCACCAGCCAAGAATCACCGGTTTCTGCGTCAGATCCGCTGAGAGATCTTACGAACGAACTTCGGGGAAGGCCGCCCTATCCGATTACTTGCGGAGGTTTTGGGGATATCTGGAAGTGTATTTTAGGTGAGACCGTTCAGGTATGCTGTTCTTGTGACACTTCCCGCCGTATCATCCTGACCAAGACGTAGGTAGCAGTGAAGACCATTCGCGCTTTCGAGTCCGATAACAAGGCCTTAGTACGGAAGAAACACGAAGGTAATGTTCTCTTCCATGGCACGTCAATTTATCGAATGATGACTCGACTTAGAGAGTGCGTCGTGAGCTGAAAGTTTGGGGGCCGTCTCAAACATGATTGCATTCTTCCACTTTGGGGAGTAGCAAATGACTTTGGGCCCTATCCCGCAATGATTTGCCCATGGGCTGAGAATGGAACACTCACCGGCTTTCTCGAGCGCCAACAAGACATATTGTCATATGAAGATCGGTTCTCCCTTGTAAGCCATTTCGTGAGTATGTCCCAGCCGCCTGCTGACCTGTTGACACACGCTAGCTGAATGATATCGCCCTCGGATTGCAATACCGTCAGTCGTCTTTCACTCCATTGGAGTTTGAACAAGCTGATGCCGGTTCAGTTCACAGCAAATCAATTGTCCACGGGGACCTGACAGGGGTGCGTACGGCCACACAGAAGGTATACCCGTCGCTCACGCCCGATTAACTTTTCAGTCAAATGTTTTGATTTATGGCAACGGACGAGCATGTCTTGCTGATTTTGGCCTTTCGACTAGTTATTTTGGAGTTCATTGGCACCTCGTATTTCACGAGCTCTATCAAGGGGAATATCCGATGGGCAGCTGCAGAGCTGTTTGAAGTACCAGAGGACGATGAAGAAGAAGAAGACGAGGCGTCGGCGGTGTCGCTCAGCACCGAGTGCGACATTTACTCATTTGGCAGTATCACCTTGCAGGTCAGTAGCTTAAATTTTAGTTCGAAATGTCCTGTTCAATGCGCATGTTTTATCAGGTATTGACTGGCAAAGTACCCTACTACAATGTGAAGAAGGACAATGTAGTGTTGGGACAAGTCATCAGAGGTAAGAAACCAGAGCCTCCCAAGGAGTCACGAATAGAGCCGGCCGACTGGGAGTTCATAAAGCGATGCTGGTTGCCTCGTATCAATCGTCCGTCGGTCCGAAGAAGCCGTAGCGTTTGTTGCATGCCGAACGACGAGTTCTGTCCCCTGCTCCGAACGGAACGCCATCAGGACCTCCGGCTTCGATCCCTGCAAGCCAACCGCAACCCAATCTAGCCGATCTACCACCCAATTTCATGTCTTCGGACTTCATCCAATCTATGTCAGCATTGGAGGATTTAGACCTATCCATGTATCGGACAGACTTTGAGCAAGACCTCCGTGGATGGTTCGATCCGACTGGTGTGGACCTCTAAATTTCGGAGCCACGTGTTTGTTTCATTGCTCTTGCTTTTAGAACACTAGCCCACACCCGTTGTGCCTTCGGCACATGTCTACATATTATTTATTTGTATTGAATCTTACATTTACAAATACTATATACTTTATTTTAGTTCTGAGGACAGAGGACACGGGAGAATTTTTTGGGAAGGGCAAGAGTCAACAGCAAGACACAAACAGTGAGACTGAAGTTTACCTGGGACACTGGCTTGCAATCCTGTGGCCTCATACCTCGGCCAGTGGGATGCAAGCCAGTGTCCCAGGTAAACTTCAGTCTCACTGTTTGTGTCTTGCTGTTGACTCTTGCCCTTCCCAAAAAATTCTCCCGTGTCTCTGTCCTATTTTCTGCTTTCCTATCTCCCGTTCTCCCGTTCTCCTGTTCTCCCATTCTCCTGTTCTCCCATTCTCCTGTTCTCCCATTCTCCTGTTCTCCCATTCTCCCATCCTCCTGTCCTCCTCCTCCCATTTCTCCATTCTCCACCTTCCCATTCCCATGTTTACCCATTGCCCATTTTTCCTATCTTTATATTTTCGCATTTTTCACATTTTTATGTATACACAATAAATTACAGTACATATATACATCATTGTTGTTTTCACATTTTTCTATTTGCTTGGTGTTCCTCCCCTTGTTGTGGCTCAATTTTTACATATAACCAATTTTGGACAGTGAGGTCGTATAGTAAGGGAGAACGGTTTTTTGAAATTCAAACTCCGATTGACAGAACCACGCGAAATTTCTAAATCGAGGTTTAAGCGAGCTAAGCGTTCCCATGTGGCCTTTAGCGAGCTACGCGTCTCCCACACACAGCCACAAAACCGGTCTCCCATTCTTTTATGATTTTTACCTCACGTTCATTTCAGTTTATATGTGTACATAGTTTTGTGCGCTGATCCCTTGCTTCTCCCTCTTCGCGTGAAACTATGATGTCTTATTTATCGCAGAAGCTGTAGTGTGTAGTGACATCTTGGTCCTCCTGGTTTAGATAGCTTATTGTTGTCGTCGACTTGTTGCGATAGTTCCACTGGCTGTTTATTATTCACTCAGTCCCCCCTCTCATCTGCCGCATGTATGACTAATCTCATCATGATCTGCTTCTCACTCATCCTTGTTTTGTACTCAGGGAATCGTCGCTTATGAAGATAAGCGGTTAAAAGTGTACCATCAAGACACTGTTACATGTATCAACACGAGTGCCGCACATGGTCAAGATCAAGTAGTAGTATGTGGACAACTGTCATCACCCGCGGTGAGTGAACATAGTTCATGAAAAGGGTATGTACATGCACTGAGGAGAAAAACAATGTATGTATGAAGATTAATCCGAGCCAAGAATGATCTCATTGCCCTTTCCCTTCCCTGAGGCCTTGCCTTTGACCTTTACCATCTTTGTGCACATGCTTGATGTGACAGCACCAAGGTCATTCATGAGAGGTGTGTTGTACCATGATCCGACAGCTACCTGAGCTTTGAAGGTTTGCGAAGTATTGAATAACACCACCCGCAGCCTTCAGCTCAATTTTTGAAATATAGGGAGTGTCGAGATGTGCATTGATCAAATCAGGACAGAGGATAGTATCAGCCTCGTCTTCTTCACGGGTGAGCTCGTCATCCCTGTGGCCATCTTCAAGGGTAGTGATAATCTCGGGATCTCTGTCTTTGGTACTATTGAGAATATCTTCGGTACTGTTTGGAATGTCTTCGGTACTGTTGGCGAGGCGTCAGGCTCCAGATCGCTCGTCAACATACTTGGAGAGGCGTCCGACATGGTGGTTGCCAGTGGGTTGCAAGATGCAACGGTTACGAGCCTCGCAACTTAAATATGAGCCCTGTTATCTGAACATATATCAGTGGTAGAAACATGGTCAGTTAGCAATATGAGTCTATGATAGATCGACAGTGACTAGTCAACACCTTCAACAGTTTGACTGCATCGGGTAATGAGCAAATATCGAGTCAAAGCAGCCCAGCCACAACTTTGGGTGTCCTACCTGTGGGTACCCACCGTGACGGATACCCAAGTTATGCAGGTCCCCGTACCCGCGTACCCGTACCCTACTACCCATGTGGGTGAGCCACTCGCGAGTGCCACCCGGGTGAGCACCCGGGCAAGCCTCACCCGTGTTATACCCTACTTGAAAGGACTGTAACTAGTCGGAAATATGTGAAGGTGAGCTAGCACTGGCCATGTGAAGTTGCAGGGCAGTGTAAGAACAAAATACGAAACTTACAGCTGTTTGCAAAACTAATGTCAATCACAAAAATTTCGCCACTTCCTTGACCAAAAAGGAAATTGATATAACGTGTCCTGGACGCTTGTAGTAGGCTTCCTGCAACTTGTACACATTTTTCAGGCGCTTTTAGCCCTTAGTACTACCTTTACTACGTGTCATACCAACCTGTTTACCATGGAAAAAAGAACGAAACTCGCCCTGGTTTGGAAAAAGCACACAATCAAGATCCCAGCAAGACCATGTAACATGGCAGCCATGCCCATTGACGAGAGCACTGACGATGAATCACTGGAGCTTCCAGAATCATGTCCCCTTGGTGCTCATCCATAGTGCTGTGCACATGTCCAGTCATTCTTGCTGGTTTCATCAATTGTTATGCGAAACCTCTCGGATGAGATCTGGCGGCACTAAACTTGCAAGGGGCGTTCGAAGCGTGGCCTTCGGCGCTAGCTCAGCAAGGAGCTTTCCTGCACTAAGTCTAAGTAAGGGTTGAAGCCCTTACTTGCGTAGAGTCAATTGGAGTTTCTCGAGGATACGATCCAAGAGATAGAGTTCAACTCAAGAGTATCGTCTCAAGAGAAGATGGTTCTGTGTACGAAGGGAGTTCTCTTAGATAAGAGAAGTTCAGACCCAACGACAAGTATCAGATGAGAACCGAGTAGATTCAAGTTAGAGAATCTGTCTACTTTACAAGTGAGGTATATATATATGTAAGGGTGATGTACCGGTGGAACAGTAAGGGTACAGGGTAAGCGGAGGCAATACCGAGTTAGTGGTAAGGGTCAAGGGTTGTGTGAGTCATAAGTATAAAGAGGCAAGAAGTACCGGTTGAACGGTAAGGGCAAAGGGCATGGGGAATCCCCCCGAAACAGTGGGTGGGGCATAGGGTTCGGGATAAGCTGTGGCTCCTGTGATCTAGGGGAAGAAACGAGAGCTTCTTGCATTTCAGAACAATGGGATCAAAAGAAGAGATGAAAATAGAATAGTCATAACCATGGTCCAAGTCTCAACCAGTCCGAAGAATGAAATGACACGTAATGCTCATGTTACTGTAACATCAATGACGACGAATTCTGAGCCATCTCTGATGAAATCATTGCTCTGACTTCCTCTGAATTCCTCTTGTTGGGCCTCATCACGTCCGGAAGCAAGTTTTCGAAGGATCTTGCATGTGAGACCAGCTTCTTTGAGGTTGCACGAGAGGGTGGAAGTACTGACAATGATATCATGCCTGACTGCAAAGATATCTTCAACAGCTGTCAACAGTGCACATGTAATTGTTCGAGTATGGCCAGTGAGTGGAGATGGAGGCCTTGTGGCAGCACTGAACTCCTTGAATATCCGTCGCCAGCGGTAGCAGCTCCTCCCACTAATACCAAGTGCTTCACTTATATCCTCCAACTCCCATCCAGTATCTCAGAGTCGAATGGCATATTCTTTGATATCATTGCTGATTCTTCAGTTGACCATGGTGTATAGGTGATAGAGAAAGTCAAGTTCAGAGTCTCCTGGTGTTGTGAGCAATGTCTGAATAGCATATAAAAGCTGTCTCAGCGCCTAATGAGTGTCCAGGATGCAAATAGTGGTAGTCAGAGTGAACAATTTTGAGACAATTCAGCGTGCGATTACAGGATGATTCAAAATGCAAAAATTGTGTGAAAATTGCAGTTACTTTGAACACCCCACTACCTGAACGGATTCAGGGAGCTCAGGTGCTTACTTGCAGGACAAGTATATTTAATTATGTATTTGTATTTTTAAATAACAGCTGTTTACAGTCCAAAATCTGATTCAGAATTGTGTGAAGCGCCTCCAGAGGTGCTTCGATGATTCAATGTGATTCAACGTCAAATCCAATCATCAGTGTCCGAAATTGTTTTCTAAATCGCACACTAAATCATCTCAAAATTGTTCACTCTGACTACCACTATTAATTGTTGTATCAATTTCCTTTTTGGTCAAGGAAGTGGCAAAATTTTTGTGATTGGGTGACTTCCCGCAGCATTTAGAATCCTAAATATTGTTTCAAATCTTATTCATTGGAGATTCAGCTTGCAGTACACATAATCTAGAACCGCATTCCAAACCGCAGACCAATCATATCTAGATTCTAGATACATAATTCTAATTTCTAGACCTACAAATGGATGACGACAAAGTTAATCTGCACCAGCTATACCACATGATTGAGCTCATGGAGGATGAGAGAGATGATGAAGATGAAGTCCAAAGGCACAGGATAGCTGTACTTGGTGCAGTGATTTTTTCAGGAGCCAAAGAATCACGATGTGAACATCTCACACGCCAACAAGCAAGAAGAACATACCTCATTTGAGGTGACCTACTTCCCAATCCCCATGCCAATACTCCCTGGCAAGCTCTATACTTGGCTTGTAATGACCGAGCCTTCATCACAACCATGGGGGTTGATGTGTTGACACTCAATCACCTCCTCAGCTGGCTTCACAACCATTTGAAATACCACACCCATTCCCCGTGATGACATCCCCACCACTGCTGTTCCTCGAGCTTATTGCTGTTCACTTGATTCTGCAGGGGCCTTGTCCTTCACTGGCTTAATTCCACCATGCGAGAAGTCAGCATGATGCAAATTTTTGCATTAATCCCAAGCAGTCTCATGCTATCTGAATTTTGCACTTGCAATACTCCTTTGCACACTCAAGCACATTCCCGAAGGCATCATCCAGTGGCCTGCGGGCGATGAATTCCGAGAGCTAAATTATCTTATCACTGCACGTCATCCATTATTGAATGGTGCTTTTGGAACACTCGACGGACTTAATTTACCAGTGCAGACTTTGAGTGACCAAGAGATTGAGAATGCCACCTACAATGGTTGGCTGCATGATCACTTTGTCAGCTCTGTCATTGCATTTGCAGCTGATGGTCAGTCTGAGTCCTCCTTGTTATTGGCTCATTCCTACTCATTAATTAATGCAGGCAATATTATTCAATGTTGACTCAATGCCCCAGGGAGCTGGCATGACTTGCAGGTTGCACAGCTTATTTACGAAAAAAATTCACAAGGAGACACCCACTGGATATTACCTTGTGGCAGATACTGCCTTCCCTTGTGGAACTGACCAGATTGCTGGTCTCAACACGGTCCACATGATATTCAGTGTTAGCACATTCCTGTTCAACTTGTGCAAGCTGGCCATGAAGATTATTAATGGTTGCATGTGCATCACGCAGCTGAGTGGTCAGAGACATGACCTGCATGGACTGAATGGCATGTGCCGAACGCTCTTCATCTCGGACAGCCTGAAGGCAAGGATTGAGTGATGCAGAGATGGTTGTCAGAAGGTCAACCCCTGCACTGTGTGATGTGCGAGGGGGACAAGAAACGACAGGGGATGTTGCACAGCAAGCAGTGGGGCCAAGACAAGGCTCTTGGACCTCAAGCTTGATCTGAGTTGGCTTGGTCTTGGAAAGGACTGACACTGTCATGTCATCATCATCATCATCTGAGATTTCAACAACTTCATCAGCAAGTTCTTCATCGTCAAGATCACGAGTTCCAGCTTTCTCATTAATCAAAGTGTCAATGTAATGTGCTTAGTCAATGTAAGGAGGACATTCTGCATCCCCTGTTGGCTTCATTGTTCAAACAAACTTTGAATAATCCATTAGGTCAATGGCAAACAATGTGTGAAAGAAGACTTACTTGCTTGAATTTGAGTTTGAGGGACTTGGACAAGTGAGCTGGACAGTCATTGTCATTCACCCACTGTGCAAAGATTGCTTCAACAACATTCCAACTCTTCACACCCACAGGCAAACACGATTTGCAGGCATCGAGGAGAGCATCAATTTCATCTTCATTATAATTTGGTGCTCCCTGTTGATGGCCACATTTCTTGGATGAGTCAGAGGAAGTGGGAGGTGCAGATGGGGTCTTCCACTTGCAGTTTACCAGTGGGGCAGTATTGTCAATGGCATGTGCCTTGCCTTTGGCTTTGGCAGTCGGAATGACAGTGCTCATGCAACGGCTCCCTGTGATCTTTTTGGCTGGCTTGGCAGCATGCTCAAGCAGAGTGGACACAGGTGGAATTCATCCTCGTCATCCTCGTTGTCATAGTCCATTAACGAAGGGTCAATATGCTGCCCTTGCAGGAGTTGGGTATGATGGAGGAGGGAGAGGTGGTGGATATGTATATTGATTCTATAGGACATGTCAGTTTGCAAAATGTGAAACCTAGGACTCGGAGACATACCTGGGCAGGACCCTGGGGGATCATGCGAGATTCAAACCCACCAAAGGCAGCACTAAAGCCAGGAAGCTGTAACATGAGAATTTCAATAAGCACATTGATTAAAATGAACGGAAACGAACACACCTGGTTATTGGGATGGTTTGGACCCATGTTTGGAGGTTCACCAGCCTGATGCATGAAAATATTGTCTGCAGGGGCAGGTTGAGGTGGTGGGTGATAAACACGCATAGCACAAGAATGGTTACCTGAAATCACAAATGAGAAGGTCAGATATCCATCAAACTTTGTAGTTATTGAGATGACAAGATGTGCCCTGGATTATATAGATCATCAATGAAAATTTCCTACTCATATGCAACGGGAACTTACACAAGTGAAAAACTGTCTTTTGGACAGCTGAGATGGCAGCAGACATACATTTTGCCCTGAAAATGTGAGTTTGGTTGCACATCGTCAATGTGTATATGAAGATCTATGCAAGTGTACATTGTACAGAGGTTTGCGACACCGCCGTGGAGTTTGAATGCGATTTAGTCGAGTTTAACTTTATTTACACCAGGGTAAATGGATGAGCACGCTCCTCAGCAGCTTTGTCCTTCAGGTCTACCCGAAACTTGCCTTCATTTAGGGCCAGTCCCTTGACCACCTTTGGCCGATGCCCCGTTCATCATTCAGCATGTCTAATATGCCTTATGCAATCCTCATTGCCACCTCCTTTAGTGGAGTAAATGGTCTATGTCTAGTGAGACTGAGTGAAGCGGAGTTCCTCACCTCTTCTCACTTGAATTGCTTGTCTCACTAGGTACGCTGTTTCAGATTTGAGTTCCGTTTCTCTTCTCACTTGAATTACTTATCTTGCTAGAGTAATTTTGCACATATCTTTATCATATCGAAAGCCTTCTCATGTCTGAAACTGCCAATGGAACCCAAACCATTTCTTCCAACCTCGCTTCAGGAGACCATCAGGAGTTCGACCAAGACTCTGTCAATTGGTGTCTTCATTTCGTCAGAAACTACACCAAAGGGTTTATTCAGAAGGGAGATGCCCTTTTGGAAATCCAAACCATTGTGGGGAATTCCCCCACTGTAGGTGTAAAACCCTGTCCTTTCCGCATCGTCTCACATCAGTTCCGCATATTCCGCACGTTCCGCATTTCCCACGCATCGTCCGATGGGTTCTGCATTCCCGTGCATCCTTCGGAACCCACCTGCACTATCCAATATTCCTGCACATCATTGGACAACCTTCGCATGTCCTGTCCCCATCCTTCCAGGTCCATTGGTATGCTGTATCTCTCTTCCCGCTGTTCCTAACATTATCCAGATCACACTGACACATGCCCTTATGGCATGGACCCCTATTCCAGAGTATTGCGCCCATGTGCACTGCCTGCCTTCACTTCCGCTTCCTGAGAAGTTTACTACCTGTACCTCAGTGTTCCTGGAAAATAATCTTCCCTTTAAGTAGTGGTACTCAGGGCTTAGGTGTTTTTTTATTGAATCCCATCTTTTACCTTCCCACTTTTCCTTCGCCTTACTGGAGGACCACTTTGACTTATGCCCACTATCAATCTAACCTTGTGATATACTTCCCTCAACTTGACCTGTGAGTTCCGACAAATCAGTACGTTCCACACTTTATCCATTCGAGTTCCATTTCATTCCATTCCATTCCACTTGAGTTCTGCTTGGGTTCCGCTTGTTCCGCTTGTTCCGCTTGTTCTGCTTGTTCTGCTTGTTCCGCTTGTTCTGCATTTTTGTGGATCCTCATCCTACCTGCGGTAGGGTTGAATAGGGTCACTTAGACAGAGATTAGCACTCCCCAGTAGCAATACCCTTTAGGGTTGAACATGCTTGTTCTCAAGTGAGGCAGTAGGCAGCAAAGACCCAACTTTGTAGTAGATCAATTTCTCTCTGCTGCACTTGTTGTACCTACACCATCCTCCAAGCAGCGATTCAAGAATCAGAGACTCTCATGCAACTTGACTTTAAACTGGGATTTCAGCACTTCCTTGAACTCCTTGACCATGCCTCAGATGGGAATCAATCTTCCACAGACCAGGGAAGAACATTCTTTGATGAGCCACACAGAGGAGATTCAAAATTGCAAACTGGAAGTGAGTCAATTGCTAAAGAGAAAGAACTTCAAACAAGACTTCGAAAGTGAGTTCAAACCGAAGAGGCAGAGAGTGATGAGTCTGGTGATGACCATGAGTACGTCCTGCAAGGGAAAAGGCGAAAGCTTACTGCCGACCGAATCCAATTCTATCCTTGGCTCCAACCTGATCAGTTTCAGCACGTCTCCAGTAAAAGGGCGGAGCAACTCACTCTCGACTGTTATGAGGAGTGGGCAGAAGATTCAAGGTATTATTGAGGGCAAATTACAGCCACACCGGGATGTCCTAGTTTCCCATTGTCCCAATGGACCCTCTTACTTGAGGGACGAGCTCCAGATCTCAAGAAAGTCCTGTCCAGACATTACTCCACTGCTGTCGATCCGAAACAATCTCAACTCCTTGGAAAAGGATTTGAAATTACCTTGTCCCAACTGACTTCTACCTACAAAGTCAAAACTTACGGAGACTGGAGTATCACCACTGATCTCTGGGTCGAAGCTCTTACCTTCATTATGCCATGGAAGGAGCCTGAGTTGCGGGGATACAAATGATATCTCTCTGGATTCTTCGTTGATGTCCATTATAACCTCCACTCCAGAATCATCAACTTTGACAAAGCCTGTCGGCTCAAGATTGAGGGGCAAAAGTACCTCCACTTTGATGCCATCTCTGAATTCTGCTGACTCAAAACCACTCACTTATTATCACTCGGGATGGTCGCCTTCACTGAGCTACAACAACTCTCCTCCTCATCAGGAGAAAGAGGTTCAGGAAAGGGTTCAGGAGATGGAAAGAGATTTTTGCGCCCAGACGTGTCTGGACGTGGCAAACCTTGTCACAACTGGAACCGAGGGGCATGCGACAAGTCATCTGCTGACTGCATGCGGTTCCATGTCTGTAGCAAATGTAGGGGAGGACATAAGTGTGGAGACTGCCCCGTGGCAAAGGCATCTAAATGAAACTATCACTTGGGGTCAATGGTTTAGGAGGTGAATGATTTGGGGAGATGATGCTAAATCTGTTAGCAGAACAGCTCTATGGACTGAGACTGCAGAGCCTCTTCCCCGTCCTCCTCTTGCTGAATTCGAGAATGCTGCTGCTATTGCCACTATCACAGAAAACCCTCATCTCTTTCGTGTATCTACTCCTATTAATGTTGACCATTTCGAAACCCTCCTCTCTTGCAAACCATCCCAATCCTCCATTTGTCCATTCGGTTTGTCAAGGCTTGCAGGAAGGATTCTGGCCTTGGGCTGACACTCAAGTTGGGATCTACCCTACAACTTGGGAAGTTCCATCTCCCACTCCATCCTCAGAGGCTGAACATACCTTCCTCCAAGATCAAATTTTGAAGGAGGAATCAATTGGGAGATACTCTACTACCTTCAGTCCTCACCTTCTTCCAGGCATGTATAGCATGCCCATTCATGTGGTCCCAAAAGAAGGGGGTAAATTTCAGCTAGTTACCAATCATAGTGCTAGCAACTTTTCACTCAACTCTATGATGGTGAAGGAAGATATAGCAGGTGTGACTCTGGATAACGTCCAAGATCTCGGCGACGCCATTTGCGAATACCGTCAAGTTGACCCTAACAATGCCTTACTCATCTGGAAGGCAGATGTCTCTGAGGCATACTGTCACATGCCGATGCATCCACTTTGGTAGATCAAACAAGTAGTCACCTTTGAAGGTGAATGGTGGATTGATCGAGCCAATGTGTTTGGAGGTCGCGCTTCTCAATGTATCTTCCATGCTTTCATGTTGCTTGTAATATGGATAGCAGTTTTTGTGCATCTCATCCAAGCCTTTATCTATGTCGATGACTTGTTCTCGTTTGCCAAAGTGGGAGACTTGTCTTACTATGTCAAGTATCGAAAAATGCTTCACACGGACATGGTTGCTCTTCTTCTCCTTTGGGATGAACTAGGCATCCCTCATGAGGAATGGAAGCAGATTTTTGGGTCTCCCCTTCCTGTCATAGGATTTGATGTAGACCTGAATTTGATGAAAATATCGCTCAAGGAGGAGTCCAAAAGAGGTTTAGTACGGGAGCTTCAAAGCTTCGCCAGGTACAAGCAAAGGAAGTCGCTTCGGGATTTCGAACACATAGCAGATCCCTCAACTGGGTGTTGAATGTTTGTCCACTTCTGTGTCCTGGGCTCTTGGCTGTTTATGCCAAGATCAAAGGGAAAACTAATTCCAAGGGTATGCTATGGCTTAACCAAAGCGTCATTGAAGAGCTGCTTTGTGCAGCGTTTCACCTAGAACGCTCTGACGGCATCTACCTATTTAAATCAGTATCTTGGCAGTTCGATCCCCTTCCCTCCAACATCCTTTCAGTCTTTTGTGATGCTTCTGGATCGGGCATGGGGTTCTGGTATCCTACTCTCAACCTCAGCTTCCAATCTAATCTCCCAGAGCACCCACCTGTCCACAATATCTTCTTTGAGGCACTTTGTGTTGCCTCTGCTATTCAAGACACTGTTACTCGTCTTCTGAAGGATGGTCAACTCGCTGTCTACACTGATAGTCTCAACACGGTATATATGTTCAACTCATTGTCGGGCAGACTGGGATTTAATCAGCTTCTCATGGACATCATTGACATCATCCTTGCCTTTGAGGTGGACTTCCGGGTTTTTCATATATCAGGCAAGGATAATGTGGTCGCTGACCATCTCTCTCGCTGGTGGGCAGCAGATGCAATGAGGTGTTCACCCGGTTTGCAGATCTTACCCTTTCAACCCCCTCAGGATGTGCTGGGGGTATCTAAAAATGATTCATACATTGGTAAAGGCTAAGCAGCCAGTTCAGGCTGCTTGGCCGATGGAGTGTCTCATTTATGAGCGTTCCATTAACCTCAGCCTTGCCCTTGACAGGTCAACAAATCAAACCTACTCCTCAGCATTGAACTCTTATGTCACATTCTGTGACCTTCATCATCTTGCTCTACATCAGCAAACTGGAAATTTCCCCACAGACAATGCTATTTTAGACTGTTTCACACAGTAGCTCACAGTGCGGACAGACGCCACAATGGACATACATGCACAGACACATACTTTGCACAACCTTCCAATCACAGACAGAACTAGCCAGTTGCCAGCGGAAAACATTGAAGTCTGTAGTAATTTGAATTTTTAGCTAGTCAAATTTCCCCACAGACAATTGTTTTGCACAGTAGCTCACAGCGCAGACAGTACTAGTAGTGAAACACTTGAATTTAATACACGGTACAAAACACTATTGCTAAATTTTGACAAGGTACTACAGAAATTCTGCGACAATCAAATCAACATAGTATCTCACATCAATCTAGCTGAATAGTGATACCATGACTATCCCCTAACTCGACGAGAGAACCTGTGGCTTGTTAGTATAACACTGTGGATCTCAATGTATTCCCAGGCTTACCGTAGAGATGGTGCGCGCGGTGAGAAAGACCATGCGTTTTAAAAGCGATCCGCATGTATCCTAATCCTACATCCACCCGGTCGAGTTTCTGCTCGAAAAGACTTGACTTGAACTTTGATAAACTCACCATGAGTTTGAGCTCATGGACCACACAGTCAGCAAGCGACTTTTCAGTGAGGAGCTTCTCTCGTCTAGCCCTGGCGAGTTCCATGACAAGGTTTGCTTCAAGATCCTCTGTATCATCGATGATCTGTAAAATTAAATATAGTTATTGATAGAAACATAGTGCTACTACATACCATGGAACCAATAGCATCAGCGATATCATACAAGTCAGAGACACTGGCGGCGCCAGAATTTCCAGTTCGGCAAGTGTCTGATGGATGCTGCTGAGTGTAGCATGGAGAACACCAATGGAGTGCCTTATTTGAGGTAGACGGAATGTTGTGGTGGATATTGAGACTGACAGGCGAGGTCGACATATGTTACTATGTACTTTAGTATGGTGTACTTGATAGAAAAAGCAAATCCAGAAATTGCCGGAGTCAATGCGAGTATTAGTATACTGTCTACATACCTTTCCTCTGTAACTCATGTCTCTCCAGTGTCCGTCCTGTGGCAAAGATGGATTCAAAACCGACACCGCTGTTGCCCATCATATGAGCCAGCCTTGTTCTGGATGCAATAGTTGGCTGGATGAGTTAATTCGGCTGAAATCTCACCTACCACCTGAAGATGATCCTATGGAGTCAGATAATGATGTCAGGGGTTCATACAAAGAGGATGATGATGATGTTTATTTTGGAAACACTGATGATGGTGGTCGGGGCTCACCTGTAGGTGGAGGATGGGATGAGGCTAGCGGAACCCCAATGAAGGATATTGAAGAACAAATGCACGGTGAGGTTACCGACTACTTTCCAGGTGCTGCAGAGACATATGGCATGGGCCATATGTTCTTGGGCCTGTTCAACACCAATGAAAATAGTGTCTATCACAAAACAAACCTCTACTATCCATTTAGCTGTAAGCAAGACTGGGAAATTGCATCATGGTTACTGCATTCCGGTTTGAGTATGGGGAAGATAGATACCTTCTTATCGCTCAAGATGGTGAGGAATCAGCTGCTTTATCCAGATCTAACTCACTAACTAATATTCAGATTAAGGACCTTCCTTTGTCGTTCCGCTCGGCCAAGGAGTTACGAGGACAAGCAGAAATGTTACCCAGCGGCCCACGTTGCATTGCATTCAACAAAATCACCCATTATTTTATACTGGCACGATCCACTGGAGTGTATATCTACTATTCTCAACCATCCTCTCTTTCATGATCAATTGGACTTCACGCCTTGCAAGGTTTATTCCATAGTGCAAAGGCTCTGTCGTGTGTATACCGAGTGGATGACAGGCGATGATGCATGGAACATGCAAGTAGGTACCTTCGCATAGTATGTTAAAGTCTTATTAATTTTCAATAGTCAGCGCTTCCCCAAGGTGCTACATTGCTTGGGACAATATTGTCTTCAGACAAGACAAATATCTCAGTTTTGACAGGCAATCACGTTGCGCACCCACTCCTTGTCAGCCTTGCAAATATACACATGAACATGCGACTCAAATCATCATCCAACTCTTTCATACTCACCGCCCTGCTGCCAGTTCCGAAGTTTCTCCACAAGAATAAGTGCATGTGTGGTGTATTGGCGGATCACCTCATTCATCAGTGTCTAGATATTGTCCTCAAACCGCTCAAGGAGGCCACTCTGCGTGGTGTAATGCTCTTGGATCCCGTCAGACAGAGCCAATATTGTTTTCCTCCACTTGCAAGTTATATCGTCAATACTCTCGAAGCCATGATGTTGGCCTGCGTTGGTGGAAAGACCTCTCTGGTCACCATGGCCATGTACAAGCAATTTGGAGACTCCTTTTGCCATGAACCTCGCACGGCGTCAACCACCCTTGCACAACTATCCGTCATTCGCACACAAGCCAATCCATCTGATCTACAAGCCTTCTTTCAGGAAGCGCAAAAATTCCCCTTGAACAGTGACTTTGAGCCATTTTGGCAGGACTGGGTGATTATAGATCTGTCCCGCTTCTTCACACCCGAGACACTTCACGTCCTTCATAAGGAATTTTGGGATCATGACGCAAAATGGTTAATATTTGGTGTTGGGGAGTTGGAGATGGATTTCCATTTTTCCGTTTTGCAGCCTGTCACCAGTTTTCAGTGTTTTGCAGAAGGGATCACAAAACTCAAACAGGTTACGGGTTGCTGTCAACGAGACATCCAATGTTCTATCATTGCAGTTAGTGCAGATGCAGCACCCCATGGAGTTCTCATCGCCGTACGCGCACTCATGGATTTCCGCTATCTTGTACAGTCACCATCCATCGACGATAACAACTTAGTGCACATCTCAGCAGCGTTGAACGAGTTCCATGCAAACAAAGATTCAATCATTGATGCTGGGGTTCATCGTGGCAAGGGCAACAAAGTGATCAATAATTGGTACATACTGAAACTGGAGCTTATGCAGAGTGTTGTACCCAGCATTAGGAACTCTGGAGTCACGGCTCAGTGGTCTGCAGATGTTACCGAGCACGCGCATATCACTGAGATTAAGGACCCAGCGAGATCAAGTAACAACAACAATTATGATCCGCAGATATGTCGCCATCTCGATCGACTCGATAAATGTCTTCGGTTCGAGCTCGCTACCACCCTTCTAGATGAGAAGCAGAATGTCAAGGCATTAGCCAATGCAGCAGGGAGTCATATGGATGACGAGGACGCTGACAACGCTGATTTGGATGACAATATACCTGTTGAGTTCTTATCTACAATTCAGCATGGTCGCTCATGTCCAATTACGAATCATTTTGCAATCGCCTGGGTCCTGCAGCACAAACCTGTGGGCTCTGTACCTCTACCATTGTGTTCGTTTGTTGTTGGGCGCACCACCTTTCATTTAGCTTATAAACCTTCCATCCAAAGCATCACTATTGATGATGTCGCCCTCAAATTTGGCTTGCCAGATTTGCGACCAGTGCTATCTGATTTTCTGCATTATGAGGCCAGTTTCGGATGCGATGTGGGGAACGTCCCCACTGTAGGCCCATATCCCGCATATTTCCCATGCCTTCCCACCATTTTCCCACGCGTTCCACTACCCATCCGCATCTTCCCCGACCCGTCCGCTACACGGAACCAAGTGGAACCCAGTGGAACCCAGCGGAACAATCGCGTACCACACGCATTATATTCCTTCAGCCTTCGGAACATCCTCCTCCATCCTGTCCATGTCCTTCCATCCTCGCTGGTGAGTACTAGCTATGTTCCCCGTGTCACTAACATGTTCCTATCTCATTTCCCATGTGTTACGGTACTTATACGGATCCTTCTGCTACTCGGGACCGATTCCTTATCTCACAGCCTCACCCGGTTGTAGCATATCGCATTTCGGAACCCCTTCCTATATAGATAGCAATAGATGGGATCTTAGTTTTTACCTTCTGATAGACTCGACTCCACTTCCACTTACAGAGTACTTCCCAGTACTCCACTCACTGTTTAAAATATCTTCCCGAATCTATTCCTGATCACATTGCATTGCTCCCGCCCCCGTGAGTTCCACTCGAAACGCCCGACATCGGATCCGACGACTTGGAGCAAGTACCAGACACAAGCCTGGTCCGACTTTGCCCAATCATCCTCCTGCAGGCTCGTAGTTTCTTTTCCCTCCATTCGTTCCCCATTAGTTCCGTTAGTTCCCTGTAGTTCCACTCGTCGCGCGCTGAGTTCCGCTCGTCGGGAACCCTCCGCATCTTTGTGTTCCCAGTCCTAGTAAGGACCGGAACCCTTCGGGTTGCTAGACAGAGTCTGGTCATTGTTTCCTCGCACTTATTTGAGGACTCGCTACCCAGTAGCAATCCCCTCGGGACGAGTATAAGCCTCGCACCCTTGTTAGACTCCTGATTCACACAGGGTCTATTTTCCTCACCCACAGCGACCACACCCATGCAATAGGCGGCCCAAGGAGAGCCGGACCCAATTCTGCGCTTCCTTTTGAGAAAGTTCAAGTATGGTTCAAACTTCGCTTGCAAGATACGGAATTTCACAATGTTCACAATATTCGGCCAGCCCAGACTCTCAATTGTGCGCCGCCAAGTGAACCTGGGACACACGGTCATTATGATTCAATCATTGTCAATATCAAAGCGGAATACTCGTGGCCTACTAGCGGTCTTCAAGGCAAGTCATACTCATTTGTCCTTCCCCAATGCCTGTTATTAACCTCATCCCTCAGGACACACTGTTGTCCAAATCAGACTTATTTTTCGCCCCCTCGGCAAGACTGGCACACAATGGGCATGGCGAGATCGGTTTCTTACCTATGTTCATCGCTTCAACATCATTGGTATCCACAAACCAACTATGCAGATGCATGTCCTTAAAAGGGCAAGACGGTCTAACGGGACTTGCATAGGGGATGTTGTACTGATTTCATAACTGCATGCACCCGTTAATCTAGTTCCTCAGTTTGGTGCCGCCGCAGACAATCGCCTTACCACTTATAATAGTGTTGAGCATGCGTCGGAGTTATGGCTAAATCGTTTTTGGGACAAAAGCACTTACTTCCCTCTTTCAATGTAGTTTTTATGGAAGAGTTTGTATCACTTTTCACTATACTAGTCTTAGCTTTGTGGCTCGAGTTTGATTAGAGATAAGAAAAATTTGCACATATTCCCATGCCAACCTTTGACCGTCATCACTGAGTACAATGCCCTCCAAATCTCTCAAGTCAAAATCAAAGTTGAAACAATATTTCTTAACACTAGCGGTCGGAATAAAACTGGGATCCTTCATCAAAGTTCCTCTAATTCACGATGTGCTGACGATGGACAGGCTAACTACTCAAGAGCTGAATCAACTAGTCCTCGAGGAGCCCACAAGTCATATCAAACGAAGCACCCCCATCGGATATCTTCTATCCATCATTTTCCAATCCTTCAAGGTTCAAGCACCTTGTGCAGAGGATCTTCGGATCCCTCTCTCTCAGATTCAATATTGTAACGAGCGGATTGATAATCAGTTTTGTCAACATCAACTGACAGACTCTGTGGAACTTTGGGATAGCAAAGTGAAGATGTGGAACTGGGGGCTGCCAGATCCACCCCAAAAACAGCACAAAAATAAAAAGGGTGAAAAACATGAGGAGGGACAGCTGAGGGGGGGGGGGAGTCAGGCACCCAGAGGCAGTGCTTCCCATTCTAACTTGACTACTGAGCATGTAGTTGTGGGGCTTTTGAACGCCCTCACGGCAGCACTTTCTGAACACGGTGGACTCAAAACTAAGCAAGCAAATTGTGTATGGAGTGGGGCCCACTCAACCACCCCAATCAAGGGAGAAGACATCCCCCGCAAACCTGACATCGTTATGTCAGATGAACCAAACCCTGGGTGGGCAGGCATCAAGGTGGTCACTGAAGTAACGAGCAGCAAGTACCGGCCAGGGAAGCGTGCCGCAAAATCCCTTGATACCAAGGCATACATCATCTTGAAGCACCAGCCCTGGAGGCACTTCACTCTCATGCTATCTTTATGCAACCACTATCATGAACTTTGTGTCCACATATACGACCACTCTGGTTCTGCCGTATCCCCTCCATTTCGTATCAGCCAACAGAAGAATGAATTTCTGCAGATCCTCTCGGCTATTGTCTTCAGCAATGGCGAGTGCATCAGTTTCGATACGATGATGAATATTTGACAGCTCAAACTCCCTGTGTTATCCCATCGTTCCATTCCTCCTAGGAGATTGCGTGTTCAGAAAAAGAGGGACACCCATGGTGAATCTGGTACACGGGCCAAGACAGGAGATGCAGCATCAGGCGAGTCAGAGGAGTCAGGTGAGGAGTCAGGCGAAGAGTCAGGCAAGGAGTCAGACAAGGAGTTGGACAAGTCAGGATACAAGTCAATGTCATCATACAAACCTTCACCCTCACGTCGCCTAGACACTCTCAGTGGTGATTCCTCAGGCTTATCAAGCACCTTCTCCTCCCTTGAACGAGATGAGCGGCTTGATATCAGGACTGGTCTTCCTACACTCCCCTCTGAACTGCTTCCCTCAGCCACTCCTGCCTCGCTAGCTCCTTTTATTGCCCAACATTTCATTCCTCCTCCTCCGAATTTGTTGCCAATTGGTGAAATTCAAGTCAACGACAACTGGTATGATATCCTGGAGGTTTTATTTTCGAGTCATGGCCTGGTTGGTCGTGGCACCGTTTGCTACTTGGCTAGAAAAGATGACGAAGAGTACATCATCAAGGACCACTGGGTCCTTGGGAATGCAGACGATGAAGATATCTTAAATGAGGTTGCTATGTTGAAGAAGATGCAGGGTGTCCGTGGCATCCCAGAACTTGTAGAATTCAGCAAGGTTAAGCTGTCGACTGGTGAGGTCGACAACACGAAGATTTACCGATATCAAGAGCTACCCAGCTTAGTCGGCACTTGGTGCACTCATTTTCAGCTCGTCATGAAGCCCTGGGGGCGACCTTTGCATAAATTTCGAACAAAGGTGGAATTTATTCAAGCTATACGCGACATTGTGGCCAGTAAGCATCCCTCCTTCATGATATACATGTTGATACTAACCGGCGATTGTTCTCCCAGTTCAACAGGAAGCGCATTGACAGGGTATCTTGCATCATGATTGCAGCCTCCACAATGCGATGATCGAGGATGCCGACGGTAATAGCCTTGGAATGTTGATTGACTGGGAATTCGCTGTAACTATCACACCAGAGAATACATACGCTATCGGTGGAACAGTAAGTGGATCATTGATCCAGGAGTAAATTCACTGACTCAACTTGCAGGGCACAATTCCATTCATGTCTTGGCAGCTCCTGCAGCAAGTGAAAAAGATCTTGGTCTCCGGCACTGCAAAAAAGGGGTGTCGTCATCATCACCTTTGGCAATTGAATTCATCAAGCAAGACTATTCAGATGATCTCGAATCACTATTTTACGTCTTTTCTTGGATCTGCATCGAGTACAGTGGCCCTCTTGGCGTAGAACGCCATTTGAACCCTTCGAAAGCATGGCTTCCGCATGTGTGGAGCAACCGGAATATCGGGGGATGCTTTGAGAACAAGGTCGCATTTTACACAGTGGGCGAGGGTGAAGCTGCACTCCAAGCGCAGTTTGATGGCTACTTCAAGGATCTTATTCCGCTTGCACTGGAGTGGATGGACCTCCTGAGGCTCAATTTTTCAGTTCAGATCAGCAGTGTCAATGGCCAGGTTCTCCACTGACCCATTGAATTTGATGCGCTGCTCAAGATCCTGGACAAACATATCACCGAACTTCTTAAGGGCAAGCCTGAGCTGGCCCCTGAATGGTTGCTCCACAAGAGGTTGGTAGATAAGCATAAGCAGGACGTGCATGCATCAGGAGAGATCATGAAGGTAAAGGAAATGGACTGCACCGCAGTGAAGAAGCGCGGTCTGAATGACGAGTGGACTGTTGAACCTGTGAAGAGGAACAAGACATCGAACTCAGGGTAGCTAGGCCAGTTTTGTCGTCAATCTTGATTTCATTCGTGTACACAGTAGTATATGGTTTTCGCTCGCGAAGTGTTTACGTTTTTGCATTGTAGTATTCATTACATGTTTTACCCCTTCTTGCCATCAACTCAGAAGTAGTGACTCATTGCAGCTGTTCCCACAAACATGTATGTAGTATTACTAACGTTACAACATTGAGCTTGTTTTCCTCACGCGATCCTCCATTCGACTATATTCCTGCAGGAATGTGGTCACTTACACTGCTGGTCAAGTCATACTGCCTATGAGTGTGACATGTTGCTCGGTTGAGTCAAATCCCTTAAGAGTTGAGTGTATTTTGTCTGGGTCTTGTCGCTTATATACCTACTGGTGTTCCTACCCTTTGTCAGTCTCAATCATGCCTCCTCGTCCCCGAGCTACATCTAGCCCAAAAGGACGAAGGCAAAGCGCAAAGTTGCGGAATCTGGTATCCCAGCGCTCACTGGGCAAGGAAAGAAGGTGCAGACAGCAGATGAAGTTGGTTTGGTGTCGCTGCAGCTATCTTCCGATGTCAACACTCTCCCCATTTGTTGTTCTGGTCGTCCTGGTGCAGGTACAGGAGGAAGGAATGCTCAACTAGAGAAAGTTGGTGCAGCTCTGGTGGCCCCAATGCAGACAAGCCAACCTAAGGGCTCCACGACCCTCACACCAAATATCTCAGCAAACCCTCTTGCTCCAGAATCACGTCGAAAGGGCCATGGCAGCTATCCACAGGTAAGCTCAATTTTTTATCCATGCAGTTGGGGCTGATGTTAAATATTTAGAAGCCTCCTCCGCTGTATAGCGTCTCAAACGGTATGGGCTCTACCATCACAAGTTCCCGTCAGAAGGGGAAAAAAAGCCAAGGTGAGGCATTTTTTCTTTATCCATTCCTGGTGATACAATGATCAATCATTCAAATAGACATCTTCTGTCCCTGACCCGCAAGCCGAACTGGTGAGGAACATCATATCGTATTTAAATCAAGCGTTCATTTTTACTTCAGGACATCGCCCGCGGCGAGTCAAGCTATCAATCATTGCAACCAGGTTTATCACTCTGCGAAACGGGTGGATGCTTCAGATTTCAAACACCTCAAGGCAGCCCACCAATCGTGCCACCTGGAACAGAGCCAGATCTGCAAGCGCTTAACAATTCTTATGTAGCAATCATGATGGCCAAGAAAGACGCTAAGTATTGTGCCTGCAGTGCTGTTCAAAGCCTTGCTGGAGGCCATCAGTCTTCTTCTAGTGGGCCAGCCAATGATGATCTTCTACAATCAGTGCCACCTTCAGCCACCTTAAACTTACTTTCACATCCTTCATTCACTGCGTGCATTGTTCTGACTCTTTCTGAGAACTATTTGGACCTGTCCCTACGAACAGTCGGCTCTGAACCTGGGACTAACCTTTCATTGCAACAATCTGATTCCGAAGATTCGGATACTTCAGGCTCTGATGAAAGTGGCGCGGGTGGTGAAGACGACAACTATTCTACTGACAGTGATAATGCTGGTGAAAGGGAGTTTGGTTGGGCTGAGGTTGGCGAGCGCCATCGTGTACACCCAGGTAAATGCCATCTTTGCATATGATGGTCACCATGGTCACCCTGATTATTTCGTAGGTTTTTCTTGGGAACCAGAACCTTCCCCGGTCCATGTTACTTCCACTCTTGCTCCCAACTTCGACTTTCAATACTCCCACGACAAAGATGACATGAACACCGAGCAAACATTAGCTTTTGACAAACCATTGAGTAATGAGATTGCCTCAGAGGGTGCTCGACGTGTCCCCGAAGTCTCTGAACTTGAACTCGGTGGTTCTCAGGTGCGACACCAGTCTACCAATGAAACTCAAGGTATTCAGGAACCTGACGGCTCTCAGGTATGATGTCCCGTCTGGTGGCATATCCCCAAGCACTCAACAACTACTACATTTCCAGCCTGCAGATGTAGCTGACGACCTTTTAAATCGGCATCATAAGAAGAACGGGTGACCCCATCTTCCCGACCCTGCTTCCCTAGAACTCTTATGCCATGCAGTCATGACAAAGGATCCGAAGAATGACAAGGGTCCAGTCAACACGCAGCAACCAGCTAAAGCCAAATGTTCACCTGATGGGCCGAAGCCTACACAGCTGGTGTTCTACCCAGCCCGCTGGAAGAGTTTCCTTGAGGACGCAAAAGAAGAGTGTCGTACCCAGCATGCACTAGAGAACCCGTTCCCAGCTCAAGTTAAAGACTCGCCAGGCTCTGTCTCTGAGGCCCTTTTAGCTGTTCTTTACCAGTGGGATATAGCCGGTAAACAATTTGAACCTGGTAAGCTTTGGTCTTCTCCAGTGCATGTGTATCTGACCCAAGTACCAGATTATTGGCCTATTCACAAGCCCAATATGGCAAAACTCGTAAGTATATCATCACCGGTCTTTTTGTTCGCTATTCTCTCATACTTCCTGTCATCCAGTTATATGAAGATCTCTTGACTTGGCACTCTGAGCTCAAGAAGAATGTCACTGCAATTGCCTCAACCATGCCTGGCCTCGTCCCCCCATCAAATATCCCACCTCAAGAACGTGCTTCATGGGTGGAAGGTGCGGCTACTGAGTTAAAGGCAGGCTCAAAGTTTCTACGCGACGGTACGGACGAACAGGTTTGCTGCCCGTATAATTTTATGAGTATCTAAATCACAAGGCACTGCAGGGAAAAACATGAAACTTTGCCAACCCTGCGCTCCACAACGCCGTCATCGTGTTCATGTACACTGGACTGTATAGAATCGCTCGAAGACATCCAGACATTTTCAGCAAGCAGTTGCCTTTGTCATGCTTGGCTTCGGTCTCTGCTGCAGTATTTTATTATTATTATTTTCACATTCAACGACAAACTAACTTGTTTCATAGTTCGTTTGCATTCTCAATGGCCTCACAAAAAATGGGAACAGAAAATCATCCCCAAAATTCACTGCCAAGGAATATCGCCCAACCTACACATCTGCACTAAAGTCGCTCCAAAACATCATGGAACATCCTTATCATGGTCCCAAGTTGGTCGAGCAGCTCCAATCGTGGGCTGAGGCTGGATGGCAAGGATATGCTCTCGTTTCTAACAAGTCTAGCACGCTAACTGTATTCATGTAGGGCGGCATCTTGCAAAGTCAATGGCAACAAAATGTCTCACCACGTTGATATTGAGATCGTGCTTGATTGAGGTTGCTCGTTTCCCCCTGCTTGTAGCTCACTTACAGTTTTCTACCTATTGCGTTATCGCATGATGTACTGCACTGCTATCTGTTATCTAATCAATATATGCTGGATATGAATTGAATTTTCATCTGTTCGTGTCCAGTGAGACTGGAAACCCAGAGGATTTTGTCTGGTATCTCAAGACACAGGTAATTTCTGAGTACAGCAGTGTGCTCTGTAGAGTTTTGTACAGAACCCCACAGAAGAAGAAGCCTCTGTGCAAGCCTGTAAAGTTGGGACCAAGCTGTGTGCCTTGTAGGCTGTCCGGCACTGTCCGGCACTGTCCAGAGTGAACTGATTTGCTGATGTAGATCCGTCAATTGATACACTCTCACTGTTTGTCACCTTTATGGCGGCTCATATCAACCCTCGCTCTGTTGACAACTACCTCTCAGGAATCTGCAGCATCCTGGAGGAGTTTTACCCGGAAGTCCGTCAAAACAGGTGCTCTCGTCTTGTATCTCGCACATTGCAAGGAGCTAAACGTTGGTATGGAGTACCTATTCGGCGGAAACTCCCTCTATCCCGTGCAGATCTGGAGAGCACTCTTGCAACCATTCCACAGCCACCTAGTCACGATGATCTTCTCTTCATCGCTCAGCTCTTCGATGGGTTTTATGGCCTCTTGCAACTCGGTGAGCTCATATGGCCAGATAACTCATCCCTACAGTCTTTCAACAAAGTGACACTGCACACTTCCATGGTGCTTGCCGACTCTCATCATTCCTTTGTCCTTCGACAACACAAATCCAACGTCCAATTCAAAGGTAGCACCATCATCATCCAGCGCACTGAGTCTGCTGATCCTCATCGTGCTTTCCTATCCTACATCACATCTCACAATAAACTGTTTCCTTTCAACAGCTTTCTCTGGCTGCGCAGTGACGGATCTATTCCTACACGTGCGTGATTCATCGCTCGTCTGCAGGCTTTGTTTCCCGATTCCATATCGGGTCATTCCTTGCGGGCGGGCGGGGCTACATCTCTTGCAGCATCGGGTGTTTCATCTGACCGCATTCAAGCCATGGGTCATTGGTCCAGTGATTCGTTTCAAATTTACGTACGAAAAAACCCTGCACTGCTTCATGCACTTGTTTTCAACGGGCGATCCATCCATGATCCCGTCACCCCATTTTGTTCAATCTAAAAATATTTCATTAAGTCTCCTTATCTTTATCTTTCTTACCTTTATGTTTATGTTTATTTGCTCAGTGATACTTCAATTTATCTCCACACTCCTCTCCCTCCCTCCCTCCCTCCCTCCCTCCCTCAAAATAGCTGGAGTTATAGCGTTGTATTTTAGGTACAGACTCGAGTTTGGGGCTGTTTGTTCCCGAATCCATTGGGGGCACCTTGTTCACGCAACGGGGTCCTCATTTTGCTGGCTAAATCCTCGTCGTCTGCGTTCCAACGAGACTTGAGTGAGGACAATTAGAACACGATTAGAACACGATTTGAATCTAGAAAGGGGGTCCTACCCCCCCCTTCTAGATATCAATCTAGAACTGGGTCAGTTTGACGTGCGGACTTGCAAAACACTGACGTTTGACAGCGGCACGTCGGCAGGAGAGGTTTAGATCCACTATTTAGAACTAGAACAGCGTTCTAAACGCTGCGGGAAGTCATCCATTGACATTAGTTTTGCAAACAGCTGTAATATTCAATCCTAGTTATATAAACACCCATGCAACATGGACTATAACCATACTTTGATACACCATGGCCTAACCAATTACCTTCCCAATCAGAATTATCAAGACCGACTACCAACCTCAGTGCTCTCTAGATCTCATCAATCAGAATCATCGAGACAGACCCTCAAGAGGATCGACCGTCCACCGATCAACACCTCATATCACCAGCCTTCTCCAATCACTCTTCGAAGCACCAGATCTGATAGCACATCATCAAGCGAGCCAGGTGTCGAAAAGAGCGTCCCTCGTAAGCGTCGTCTCAGTATCACGGCTTCGGATCTCCCTCCTCGCCGCGCCCACCCTTACTCCCGCAGCCATAGTGGAGCCCACGTATTCCCCATCATACCGAGAGTTGCATCCTCCTCACCTCCCCTCAGCGAACCTTCCTGGCAATGGCCGGTTACTGCCACAAGCGTGCCGCCCCAAAATCAGATCGACATCAACACACACAACTCCCGTTACGATGATCCTCACAGCGTGCTAGCTAGCTATTCCATGGCAGACCAGGTCAATAGTGAGAGGTCGTATTTGAGCGGTACAATTCCATTCACCGCCCTCCTATCTATGCCACCCCAGGTTCACTTTCTCTAGTGTGCATGATTGACCTTACTCACCTGGCTACCTAGACTTCTACTTCTTCTTTGAAAACAACGGTAACGGAGGAACATACCAGCCGAGAATTACCAGTTTCTGCGTCGGATGCGCTGAAAGATCTTACGAACGAACTCCGGGAAAGATCGTCCTATCCGGTTACTTCCGGAGGTTTTGGGGACATCTGGAAGTGCGTTTTGGTGAAACCCAGTGAGACCGTCCAGGTATGCTATTCTTGTTGTAGCGCTTTCTGCCGTATTATTCTAACCATGACATAGGTAGCAGTGAAGACCATTCGCGCTTTTGAGTCTGATAACAAGGCCTTGATACGGAAGAATTCGAAGGTAGTATCCTCTTCTATGGCATGTCAATTTATCGAATGATGACTCGGCTTAGAGAGTGCGTCGCGAGCTGAAAGTTTGGGGGCGTCTCAAACATGATAGCATTCTTCCACTTTGGGGAGTGGCAAATGACTTTGGGCCCTATCCCGCAATGATTTGCCCATGGGCCGATAACGGAGCTCTCACCGGCTTTCTTGAGCGCCAACAGGACATATTGTCATATCGAGATAGGTTCTCCCTTGTAAGCCATTTCGCGAGTATTTCCTAGCCGCTTGCTGACCCGTTGACACACACTAGCTGAATGATATCGCTCTTGGATTGCAATACCGTTGGTCACTTTTCACTGCCTTCGAGTTCTCACATGCTGATGCCGATTTAGTTCACAAGCAATCAATTGTCCATGGTGACCTGACAGGGGTGCGTACAACCACACACATAAGGTATACTCCTCATCACTCACGCCCGATTGACTTTTCAGTCAAATGTTTTGATTTATGGTGACGGTCGTGCATGCCTTGCTGACTTTGGTCTCTCAACTATTATTTGGGAGTTCATTGGTACCTCCTATTTCACGAGTTCCATCAAGGGGAACATCCGATGGGCAGCTGCAGAGCTGTTTGAAGTACCAGAGGATGATGATGATGACGAGGCGGCGTCGGCGTCGCTCAGCATCGAGTGCGACATTTACTCATTTGGCAGTATCACCTTGCAGGTCAGTAGCTTGAATTTTAGATCGAACTATCTTGTTCACTCTGCGCATGTTTTATCAGGTATTGACCGGCAAGGTACCCTACTACAATGTGAAGAAGGACAATGTAGTGTTGGGACAAGTCATCAGAGGTAAGAAACCAGAGCCTCCAAAGGAGTCACGAATAGAGCCGGCGCACTGGGAGTTCATAAAGCGATGCTGGTTGCCTCGTATCAATCGTCCATCGGTTGAAGAAGCCGTAACGTTTGTTGGATATGAACTAATGTCATCCTACATAGTCTTCTGAACACACGCAGTAATACAAGCAACGTCAGACAGTCTGGTTTGCGATGGGTTACTGATTTTAGACTTTCAACGTGACTATAACTACTAATCTCATCATGACCTCGGATGATATTCGACCCACCTGCTCCAGTGCTGCTGTGGATATGCAAGGCCACGAATGATAGCAAGGCAAGTTTACCAAGGTAGACCACGGTGCTCGTAATGCCGAGTTCGAGGTCTCAGGTAATTAATAGGTACCGGTATCACTAAAGCCCCTTCCCAAGAACAGCGTACGGTATGTGAGTGCCTTAACCATCTTCAACAGCTTCGGCGTCGCGCGCTGACAAGCGCCCGAGCAACGTACAAAATTGACAGCTGACATATCCTGTGGACGACTTTCTCACCCGCAGTACTCTCACCATCCCCCTCTCACTCGTCGGGTTGTTACTTCAACGAGCCTGGTGAAGCTTGGGTTGTATGTAAATCCACTATTAGTCGCGTTCAGTGCAGGTTGCAGGGCAGTGCGAGAAAGACAAAACACCATTAATCGACTCTCGAGAGGCAAGACAACTCCATGTCGGACTATGATTATCAACAACAAAGAGGACAATGGCCAGAATTTGCGTCTGAATATCCTCCACCTACATCCTACTTGGCGCCCACAAATGTGACTTCATCCGGTGCTAGGGCAACGTTTCGTGCCCTTCCTCTCTTACCAGACGACTTGGTGACGACGCGAGTCACTGTCTCGCACTCGTCCGTGAAACCGAATGATCGTGGGAAGGAGGTTTTATCATTCGTTATTATTGTGGACCCGGGAAGTGACAAAGATCCATGGAAGGTGGAGAAGCTGTATTCGGATGTGTTGAGTTTTGATAATCGCATGCGGGCTAGCGTGGGGAAGGGTGTCGGGAAGAAGATGGCAGTACTTCCAGAGGGGAAGATCTGGAGGGACCATGCACCAGCGAAGTCCGATCAACGAAAGGTGAGTGAAATGCATTTGTCATGATAGTTATATCTTATATGTGATCGATGTCCAGGCCGCACTCGAGGTGTATCTCCAATCATTAGTCGATCTACCTGTGAAAAATAAGGACGAAATTATCGCTTTCTTCACTTCCAACATCATTCGGGAGACCGATAAGCCCGTCATGCAGGTTGGATACAAGGAAGGATACCTGACGAAGCGAGGGAAGAACTTTGGTGGGTGGAAGTCGCGATATTTTGTTCTCGATGGTCCAGTGTTAAGATATTATGAATGCGTAAGTCTCCATTCCTCTCTACCGCAGTTGTCTTATTGTGTTCCCTCAGCGTGGAGGCGCCCATCTTGGTTCAATAGTGATTACGTCCGCCCAGATAGGGCAACCGCAGCGCGATAGTGACAATGAAGGAATTTATCGTCATGCTTTCCTCATCATCGAGGCAAACAAAGCTCCAAAGGTATCTCACTCGCGCCATGTCCTCTGTGCAGAAAGCGATTCAGAGCGTGACAACTGGGTTGACATTCTTGTGCGGTATGTATCCGGAACGTTCGAGGGGGATCCTGTCGCATCCATTTCCGTTTCCCCGAGTTCGATACCTATCAATGTCGACGTTCCTCCTGGGCAGGGGCTTGGATCTGGGCAGCCGAAATCAGATACGAGTTCCGATCAAGACGGTCCATCGTTCACGCCTATTGAAAAGCGCTCCATGTGGGCAATGTCTAAGGATGATATCTCGCGTGGTCCTACAGTACCCATCAGCCAGCTTACTCAAGATGGTACCAACGCGAAGCTCTTCCACTCCACACCAATCCCTGTGGACACTGAGGATCCAAACCCACCCTCTGCTAGTTCTACCAAGGGAATCGACCCGTCAGCCCACAACGAGCGAGACTATTACACTGCGGAGGAGACGGCCCGGCGTATTTTGGAGCGTGGGCAGCGTTCTGGGAGCTCAGAGCAGCTTTCAAACTCGTTGCCCTCCTTGCCGCTAGTCGGAGCCAGTGGAAATATGGTATCTTTCACAGCAAACTCTGAGCTTGGACACTATTCGGACCTACAACACTTTGGACAGCCTGTGGACAAGTCGATAACTCACGTTCCCAGAGCTATCTTTGGCATCCCACTCGAAGAATCCATTGAGGTTGCAGAGATCGCTCGTCTGCCTGCAGTGGTTTTCAGGTGCATCCAATATCTGGAGGCCAAGAAGGCAGACCAAGAAGAGGGCATATACCGCTTCAGTGGAAGCTTAGCTGTTATTAAAGGGCTGAAAGACCGCTTCAACGCTAGTCAGTTACACAGTGTTCTATTTTCCGCTCGAACATCTAACCTTTACCCCCAGAGGGTGACATGGATCTCCTTGCGTCAGATAGATATTGGAACCCTCACGCCATCGCTGGGCTCTTGAAGTGTTTTTTGCGGGAGTTACCTACCAGTATACTGACACGCGAGTTGCGTCCGAAGTTCCTGGCAGTGATAGGTGAGAGGACTTATAATTTGTGGCCTGCCTGGTCTGACATCTGTAGTAGACCTCATCGACGCACAGGAACGCATTCGAGAACTATCTGACCTCGTCTCCTCCTTGCCGATCGCTAACTATAGCCTGTTGCTCGCTCTCACAGCCCATCTCATCCTCATCGTTCAAAACTCAACGGTGAACAAGATGTCGATGAGTAACGTCGGCATTGTATTCAGTCCTGTCCTTGGTATTCCTGCGAACGTGTTGAGTCTGATGTTGGGCGAGTTCAACCGCGTGTTTAGTGTTGACGCTGGCCAGGGTAATGCGGACAATGACGGGGAGCCGAAACCCAGGAACAGTCGACAGCATTCGGACGCTGCTGCTGATCAGTTACTGGACTTGCCTGAGAGCTTGAATGGTATGTGTTTGTCCTGGTTCATTTTCCACTCCTTACGATTATGTTCAGCACCTTTCGAAGAAACCTCCTCAGAAGACGGTGGCAGGATTTTCCTTCATTATGAAAGGGGAAACGCCCAATCAGAATCATCAAGACAGACTCGGACTGGCAGTAATCTTTCCCTCGACCTCGCTACTCTCTCAGTTACCCCCGCAACAGATCTTTCTGCGGTCGACCTCCCTTTTCGTCAGCATCACCAGTCTTCTTCAATCACTCTTAGGCCTGTGTCCCCCTCCCTCCTATCTATGCAACCCCAGGTTCAGTCTCTCTGGTGAGCTTGGTTGAAATATACACCTTACTCACCTGGCTACCTAGACTTCCGCTTCTTCAAACACAACGGTAATAGAGGAACCCACCAGCCAAGAATTACCAGTTTCTCTGTCAGATCCGCTGAAAGATCTTACCAACGAACTCCGAGAAAGATCGCCCTATCCGGTTACTTCCGGAGGTTTTGGGGACATCTGGAAGTGTCTTTTAGTGAAGCACGCTGAGACCGTTCAGGTATGCTGTTCTTGTGACACTTCCCGCCGTATCATCCTGACCAAGACGTAGGTAGCAGTGAAGACCATTCGCGCTTTCGAGTCCGATAACAAGGCCTTAGTACGGAAAAACACGAAGGTAATGTTCTCTTCCATGGCACGTCAGTTTGTCGGATGATGACTCGGCTTAGAGAGTGCGTCGTGAGCTGAAAGTTTGGGGCCGTCTCAAACATGATTGCATTCTTCCACTTTGGGGAGTGGCAAATGACTTTGGGCCCTATCCCGCAATGATTTGCCCATGGGCCGAGAATGGAATGCTCACCGGCTTTCTTGAGCGCCAACAGGACATATTGTCGTGTCAAGATCGGTTCTCCCTTGTAAGCCATTTCGCGAGTATTTCCCAGCTGCTTGCTGACCTGATAACGCACGCTTAGCTGAATGACATCGTCCTCGGATTGCAATACCGTTAGTCGTCTTTCACCATTGGAGTTTGAACACTCTGATGTCCGGTTCAGTTCACAGCAAATCAATTGTCCATGGCGACCTGACAGGGGTGCGTACGGCCACACACAGAAGGTATACCCCTCCTCACTCACGCCCGATTGACTTTTCAGTCAAATGTTTTGATTTATGGCAACGGACGAGCATGTCTTGCTGATTTTGGCCTTTCGACTATTATTTTGGAGTTCATTGGCACCTCGTATTTCACGAGTTCCATCAAGGGAAACATCCGATGGGCAGCTGCAGAGCTGTTTGAAGTACCAGACGGACGATGAAGAAGAAGACGAGGCGTCCCCAGTGTCGCTCAGCACGGAGTGCGACATTTACTCATTTGGCAGTATCACATTACAGGTTAGTAGCTTGAATTTTCGACCGAAAGATCTTGTTCACTTTGTACATGCTTTATTATTAGGTACTGACTGGCAAGTACCCTACTACAATGTGAAGAAGGACAATGTAGTGTTGGGACAAGTCATCAGGGGTAAGAAACCAGAGCCTCCCAAGGAGTCACGAATAGAGCCGGCGCACTGGGAGTTCATAAAGCGATGCTGGTTGCCTCGTATCAATCGTCCATCGGTTGAAGAAGCCGTAGCGTTTGTTACACTTTTGAACGCAATATGTAAGTAATACAAGCAATGTCAGACAGTCTGGTCGAAATGCCATAACCAACGACGAAATACTCCGCGTTGTCCGTCCCCACTCTTTGGGCGTTTATCCGTCGGCGCTGGTCGTTGTCATCAAATGAACAGCCCTCAGCTGGCACCGCCTTCAAGAATTCATCCAACACGTTCGAGCTAAATCACACCCAATTTCTTTCGATGGCCATAAGACGCCCAGTTCGACTGCTGCACACCCACAATCAGTCCCAATCCATCTAAAAGTCCACATTTCAAAACAATCACATAGATATTGGACTATAATCGTACAGCGAGTGGTGGTGCTGGCCGAGCGTCACCGTCCTTGATTCATTTTCGCACCTTCACCCGGGCCCCTAACTCACATCCATCGTAGATCTAAAAAGACTCGAGGCCGTTTATAACACGCACGCGTCTATATCCCTTCCTCATGCCTATTCAATTTGCCTTGCGGATTAGACTCGTTTCCTGTCCTATCGGACGGACGGATAAAGCTGTGTTTACCAGTCTCCTTGGTCTGCTCAGGCATTCATGAATAGTTCATCTAGAGCTGTATACCTAGGCCATGCGTGTTCAACTCGTTTCCTGTCATATCAGACACGGATCTACTCCTCACGTATTCTACTCCGGCGTTCATGTCCATCTAGCCAGCTGCCAGTGGGTCATGCATCACGTTTAATACCAACTAGCGCCATTCGTTCGCCTCGCGGGTTCAACACGCTCCCTCTCCCTCGTGTCCTGGCTTATCGGAGATGGATAACGTTACATGCTTTCCTTTACTTTAAAGCTGTGTCTAGGCTCTTGTTCCGGTATTCATGATCTAAACACTTGCGGGCGTCAGGTTTTAATTTAATATCCGTTTTACTAAATTCGATTCGATATCCGTTCTACTAAATTCGATTCGAGTACCGTTCTTATTCAATATCCATTCGCAAGGCTGCCATCGTAGACTAGTGCTTACATGCTTGATGTAGGAGGGTTGAAGCGTTGCAAGCGGTCGTACGTACGTACGTAGATGAGATATGAGTATCGCGCATCCTCATGCTTTCCCCTCCAAATTTATCGTACCAGACATGATGCATGATGATGATAATGATGATTTGAAGCCCGAGTTTTAATATCCGTCTGGAGCTGAGGAGCGATGGTAACCCGCAGCGTTGACACACGCTAAACTCAGCAAGGCAAGGCAAGGCAGGGCAGAACAAGATCAAATCCAAGAATTGAAGAAAATATACATCGCCTCCCCCAAGTTCCCAACAAATCGCAACTATGTACAAAAATAACACATCCAAAAGCACAAAGAACGCATCGAAAGGAATGTGCATCCGAGGACGCATCGAAAAGAACATGCATCCAAGAACGCATCTCGAATACACGAAAAGAACGCGCATCGAATACACAAATATCGAATATCGAATATTGAATTTCGAAAAAAAAAAAAGGAACGAGGCGGGGCTATGCACGGATCCTAAAACCTGGATTCTGATCTATGTATATCATATGTCTATAGCGTGGTATCGGAGAAGCGCACGAATACGTACTAGTACTTGCAAGTCATGCGTGTGAGTGGGGCGGTGTGGTGAAGCAGTGAGAGGGGGTGGGTGTGGTAGTGAGGCGGTGTAAGGGGGCGTGGTGTGTGAGGTGGTGGGGTGAGAGGTGTGGGGGTGACGAGATGTCAGTGATAGGAGTACATACTGCACAACTGTACGAGTTGATAATAGGTCTGGTATAACAGAGCAGAGCAGAGCGAGGAATCAAAAGACATACGATTTGAAAGATGGAAATAGGAACAATGAAACAAAGAACGTAAAAAGTAACAAAGAAAAGTAAAAGGAAACAAAGAATCAAAGTCAACAAGAAACCACGCATGCGTGAAGTAAAAAGTAAAAAAGTAAAAGCGCAAAGCAAAAGCAAAGATTCAAACACCAGGCATGAAATCACCGCCATCGATGAGGCAGTCGCCGCAAAGGTGAGATGGCGCGTCACCGACCAAACCCACTCCCACTTCTCGGCCTTCCCCAATTCGCAGTAAGCCCACCACCAGCGGCACCACTTGCGCCAACACCAGCACCAGCGCCCTGCTGGGGCGTAACCCACGTAGGCGCAGAATCGCTCCTCGCCCTCTGCTGTTGCTTCTTCTCACCCCCCGCTCCAACATCCATATCCAAATCCAAGTCTATCCCAAGGTTCATCTCTCCTTCAGCGTCTTCTTCCCCACCAATACTCCCAACACTTCCCCCGATTCCGCCTACACTCCCAATACTAGATACGCTGCCGCCGACGCTGCCGACGCTCCCACTCCCACCCCCACTCCTCCTCTGCCTCTTCTCCCTCCCGTTCCCCTCACGATCAGCATCAGGAGTGAGCGTGATACTAGGCTGTCTCCCATGGGAGTGGGCGTGACGCCCAAAGGGGGAGAACTCGCTGGATGTGGGTGAAGGCGTAGAGTGGAGTGCGTATTGGGGGATGTTGAGCATTGGAACTGTTGGGTGTCCGTGATGGTGAGAGGGATGGTGAAGAGCATGGGGGTGTCCGTGAGGGTGAGCGTGGGGGTTACTGTAGTTGTGTGGGTTGTGGGAAGAATGGCTATGAGACGAAGGACTTGGAGAAGCGGGGGATGTGATGTAGATGTTTGGACTATGGTCGCCGCTGATTGGGCTTGGAGGGACGGGGGAAGGGCTTGGGCTTGGTGCGTTTAAGGCGTTTAGTTCTTGGAGTAGGGTTGGTGAGACTGTGTGTTTTGTTAGCGTGTTGAGGCGGGTTTAAGAGGAAGACGTACCAGACCCGACACTATCACACAACGCACGTACGATCCCAGTCAATTTCTCAACTTTTCTTCGTTCGCGGCGCATTTCGGCATTCGCCCAGTTCATCCATGATTCTCCTCCTCCTCCTCCTCCTCCTCCGAGGCCGGGCCCCATGACGTTAAAAGAGAACCCTTCATCGCTCCCATCTTCATCCTCATCATCTCCTCCAAGATGGAGTTTAGGAGCAGAAGACGGGCCTGTGCTTGAGAGGGAAATATGTGAAGGGACGCGTCCACCTAAACGGGATATTTCACGCCAGAGGGATTTGTTCTCGTCGCGCATGTCGTTTAGGAGGCGAGCGACTTCCCCAGGGAGTTCGACGCTAGCGATGACATCAGTTGTTTGTTGATTGGTGAGGGAGGGGTAACTTACCGGCCACGTTCGCGAGGATCGGGTTCGAGCGCTTTGCGTTTGATGGCGTCCAAGAGATCTGGACGTGCGCGGAGGAATTTGGGATGGCTGAATTCCCAAGTTTGGGAAGTTGTGGAAGTGCGTTGGGCGCGTGGGGTCTGAGAGAAGATGAGATGTGGATAATTTGATTGATTGGATGGCTTACTCTGTTTATTTTGTGAAAGCCGTACATGTTGAGTTGGCGGACGAAGCTTGAGAACTGTAGGGATGTGAGTGTGGCGTATGAGGATTAAAGGGGGGACGAACGTTGTTGTGCTTGAAGTGGGAGCCGAGGATGCTCCTGCTGAATTCGCCTACGTTTGAGACGACGAAACTGGAGGATGTGAATAACGATAAGATTATTAGGAAGATGACTGACCTAGTTCCTAGTTCTGTCCAAGCGATGAAAAGCTGGCTCTTTGGATCGTTGATCATCCTGTGCTAGATTGAGCGAGAGAGAAGGATAGAAGGATAGAACGCACTGATAAAGCTTTGTGACAAAGTTATTGGTTCCCATTGGTTTACCGATGACGCCTAGACTTGGACCCGTAGCTAGAGTAGGTTTTCCACCTTCATCATCGGTATCGGTTTGGTCCATAGAGTAGGCGCCTAGGGCGTCGGGATCATCATAAGGAGAGTTGATATCGATCTGATTTTGAGGTTGTGAGCTAGCTGGAGTGAGTGGACCTTGTGAAGAAGGTTCGCTGAGAGGAGGAGGCGATGAAGCGGTTGTCGTTATGATTGGATGAGGGAGTACGTGAGGACCGTAAGAGTGAGAGTGATGGTGATGATGATGATGTGGTGGTTGTGCCGTGTTAGTAAGACTTCTCTTACGAGGTACGCTCTTTTCGACTGATAGTTCTGTACTACTTGGACGACGTTGAGCTAGTAAAAGAGAAGAATCCGATTCAGCGTTCTCAAAGTTAAATTGAAAAGGAGGAGCTGGAGTAAAGTTCTGAGGTGAGACTGGAGTTATTGGAGAAGATTGATGATGTGAAGTTACTGAGAGAGTACTGAGGTTGAGTGTTAGATTATTGCTAGTAGAAGGACGAGTTGATGTTTCAGATTGAGGTGATTGCTGAGATGGAGTATAATAATATGCAGCAGGTGGTGAAACTGGAGATGGAAAACCACTAGTAGTAGCAGCAGGGGGCCATTGTCCTCCTCCTCTTTGTTGATAATCGTAGTCCATGGTTGTAGTAGTATACTACTAGTCTTCTACTTCCCTTTTGTCTTTTTAGTTTATTGCACTGCCTCGTAACCTCACCTTCTCCTCATCATTATCCAAATTGAGTAACTCTCCTCCGCAGCTTATACGTAAATCTTACTGCAATGTCTAACCCGCACTCATCGGTGATCTTTAACTCCGTCCTCACCCTCAACGACCCTGCTAATCGACTACACTACTCCGATCGTTACACCTGTCATCTTCGCGCCAAGATCGCTGACCCTCCTCCTACTAGTGCCATTGACTAACGTGCCAAGCAAAAGTCCGACTGCGGTCCGTCAACCCGATTGCAAGGACACTAACTATCTGTAGTATATCCAAGGCATGTGCAAATCACCAGGCAACCGAATACAAATATCAACTCAGGGGTTTCACTCATACGTACACACGCACAGTGAACACTCCGAACAGAAGCAGACTCTCTCCACGAAGCTGCCTCGCGCGCACAACGTGTCGGCCGTAAACGATTAAGTAATCCTTTGTGGGGTTATTCGGCGTTTGCGGAGATTTCGGCATCAGCATCGAGACAGAACAGAACCTTGTCTTAAAGTTAGACAATATCACATCGCGCTACAACAGCCTGACAACATGGACAACTCACCCGTCCCACCACGTCCGATTCACATAGACAATTCAAAAATACAGAAAGGCCAGCGCACAGACAAGGTACCTGCTGATGACACCACTAAAAACAAAGTAAATTTCATTGGATGACACGTCACAACTTGTGCTTATGCTTGTTTTCATCTACTTGTAGGCACCAGGCGTACCCCGTGGACGATATAAAGAAAAGTTCGTCTCGAGTGCGCACGTGGAAAGACTCTAGACTCACCTTTGACAGATTTCAAGTCTTGAGGGAACGCTATGATCGAGTCGTAGTGGTACGTGGTCGATATCCCAGCCGAAGCATTTTTGACGAAGCACACTTGCAGTTACACGACGAATACGAGAGAGATCTCGAACTTGCAAATGCACGCATGCGAAACCTTCAAGCTGAGAACGAGTGCGCCAAACTCTGCTATTTGACTTGCTTTATTCTCTGACGTGTTTTGTTTGAAAGCTTGCTTCTTGACGCGATTAGTCTAACAGTTCCAGCAACACCCTCACTCATGCATCTCACACGTCCCTCTCCGACACTATATTCACACCCACACCCAGCATCAGCTCTGCCACCTCATCATATGAACGGGCACGGCGTTTCTAATTCAAATGGGAGATATCGTCCAGTAGATGTGCGCACAAGTCGTCCTTCGTCATCATCATCCTCATTTCTGATCTTTGGCTTGATAGCCACATGACATCACACCTTCGGAGCGGGACCGTGATCGTGATCGTGATTACCGGGATATTCCTCCTGAAACCCCAGCGAACGGGCGATTGTGATGTAGCCTGCCCTTCATTGCGTTTCTTCGGACCGGGATCATGATCGGGAGCGGGATCGGGATCGGGATCACCGGGACTGAGGCGACAGCGAACGTATATTTGTGAATACGAGTCGTCTTTTTTCGTGCGCTTTTTTGTCTTGCTATCGTTGTAATATGTACTTTTATATGCCCGGCGTTCCCCTTTAAATTATTCGGACTGATAGATAGAAGGGAGATAGGAAGGGTGCGCGGGAGGCGCTATCCTATGAGGCTTGGTAGGAACCTGCTTGCAAGGGGGGGGATCGGGAATCAGAGAAGCTACGAAGGGAGGGAAAGCCTCGAAGGCGAGAAGAGAAGCTGCAAAGTGACCGAACCCCATGACTGTGGTGGGGAAACCCGGTATACTAGCAGTTGAGAGTGCAACATGCGAGTGGTCAACTTTCAGATGAACGCACAGTCAAACGAATTCGCAGTTGATTGATCTAAGTAGTGCGGGAAGTTGCTGTCTGTGGGGAAGTGATAGTATGCAAGGAACCGACCATACCATAAATTGGAACTCTGAATTGGAGCTACCACTTTGCCCAACTTACAAGAGTGAAGAGGCGCTTATGTGATAAAGCGACTGGCGGGGAGTACGCGAACTATTAAAACAAGTAAACTACGACGCGTCAGTTTAATCTATAATACGAACGAACTCGTTACTCACATCTCAGTCTCGTAAATAGGAACTGAGATGCTCGTACGGTGTACTGGAGACTTTATAATAAGTAGCATAGAGATAGAAAAATATTGTCGTCTCCAAGGAATGAGATACGTGGGATGGACGAAGCACGAGCCGACGTCAGGCGCGTCATGCTCTGATGCTGCTTTTGGTTAAGCTCGAAAACACTCGACTACTCGGTCCACTCCTCCATCGGATGTTTCGGACTGGTCGGATCCTAACAAGCACCAATATTGAAACACGGTAGTTAATACGCGACTAAAACTACCACTACGTTACGACTACGAATCACCAGCGACGGCGGACACACCGAGGAGACCCCTCTGAACGTCCGAGTTCGTTGCACTTGCTTTGCGTCACGTGCGTGACTGTCGTGTCCCGGGACACGCGGAAAATAGGTTCGGCGGACCCCTACCCATGACCCATTTTCCCTTTTGTGATTCAACGAAATGTCACGTTCTAATCGCTTGATCAAGCGAAGTAGCACTGATTCCTATGATTCCCTGACTCGCAATTGCAAGAGTTGGGTGGCTGATCGGTGAATCGCCATACAAACTCGCGAAACGTGGCCCAGAGTCTGTTCGGGATTGGATGCGCTTTCTTCGTTGACGCTGTCGCTCACGACGACGCCTCGGATCGTATTTTTCGAGTTTTTTGAACTCGCTTCTGTGTTATGGACGGCTTGTCTGAAGTTATTGCTGGTGACTCCTTGTGGTTTTCTCCAGTGATTTTGCGCGTGTTTTTCACACACTCACTCTTGTCCAGCTGCGGGCGTGTATCTGACGTTCGCGTATTCGCTCGAACGGTACTCGCAAAGCTGACTGTAGATTGTATCGCCAATTTTTTTTTACAAACAGGTCACCCATATCTATGCTCTGACTGAAGAGGAGCTCGAAGCGCTGTTGTCGTCTTTTCCTGTTGCTGAGAAATGTTTCGGTCGTTCTCGCCTGGATTCCATCAACAGGTACTTCGATGTCCTTTGCGGAGAGAAGATGAAGCTTGCAGCTTCGTGCGGCACTGGGAAAGTTTCATCCGGATTGCGTCCCTTTGGTCTCTGGCCGTTCGAAGAAGCCTTACACGTGGGCGTTGTTGGAGCTCATACGTAACTTTACTGTCGTGCTGTTGTCTCTTGGCGATGTTGGTTTCTTTAGCCATGTCCTTCACATTGACCCTTATGTTGATTTCACTCTCAGCTCACGATCTGATTTCTTCTTGTCTTGTTTTGATTGTTGTTTCTTGTGCGAGGTAATGCAGGATGGACTCACTCTCTTCTGCAAAACTTCACCAACAAACAAATGAAAACGTGAAAATTAAAAAATATGTGGCAGACCAAGAGCAAAACATCCATGTGGCAGCCGGTGAGTCGTGACGTCTGTTTCTCGTGTATGAAGGACTACTTTCAAGGAACGCTCTGGACCACTGGGTTGGTTTGTGTCGTCTGTTCTCAATTGCAGGATGATAAACGAGTCAGTACAAGTCTTAGCCAATCATCGTGTATCGAAATATAACATGGCAAAGGCACGAGTCGGGGATTGGCGCCTCTGCGCCGCTAAGATTCTGATAACATTTCATGAATGTTAATTACATAATGTAGATTGTTTGGAGGCGCCCTCGCGACGATCTTGATACTTGCCTTCCAGCTCTCCCTCGCATGAAAAAGTCCTGCTTAAGGTCATCCATTGCCGTTGATTCAGACGCAGACCATGGCTCTGTTCCCCTTGGCAAGAAGCATGTTGCCTTTGGCGAGGAAGGAAGTGAGCAAGTCTTTCAAGCTGACGAGTGGGACCGCGCCCCAACCGAAATATTACAACGCCCCTCATACGAGTGAGTCACACGACTATACAGCTTCCCACCGTGATGACGTCTTGTGCAGCGATGGACTGGAGCTCAAGATGATTCAGCGTTCCCCGCCTCGCGCTCAGCAGCCATGCATCCCACCCCTGCAACAACAGGATATCCCAGGCGGGCCGCAACCGATGGCCAATGGTAATATAGCGTGTCAAGGGTCGATTCAAGGCGCGCCCATGAACAACTTCCCGCCACATCCTGGTGGCTATTACATGATGATGGCGAATGCAAATCCAGTAAGTCATTGATTCTGCTGCAGCCATTAGCTACCCAAACTGTTCTGAAGCACATGCAGTACCACCACGCCCATTCTGGCTATTACGGTGGACATGCCCACGTACTTACACTCCCCATCATACCCACAACCGCATCCTCCCCGCCTCCCCTCAGCGAACCCTCTTCCATGGACATCAACATACACAACTCTCCTTACGATGATCCTGACGGAATAGCTAGCTACTCCATGGCAGACCAAGACGGTAGTGAGATGTTGCATTTTAGCGGTATGATTCTGACCCCCTCCCTCCCATCTATGCAACCACAGGTTCAGTCTCTCTGGTATGTTTAATTGAAATATACACCTGGCTTACCTGGCCACCTAGGCTTCTACTTCTTCTTTGAAAACAACGATGACAGAGGAACCCACCAATCAAGAATTACCAGTTTCTGCGTCAGATCCGCTGAAAGATCTTACCAACGAACTCTTGGGAATATCGTACTATCCGGTTGCTTCCGGAGGTTTTGGGGACATCTGGAAGTGTCTTTTAGTGAAGTCCAGTGAGACCGTCCAGGTATGATCTTTTTGTGGCGTTCCTACTATATCATCTTCACAATGACGTAGGTAGCAGTGAAGACCATTCGGGCTTTCGAGTCAGATGACGAGGTTTTGATACGGAAGAAGACAAAGGTAATGTTCTCTTCTATGGCATATCAATGTATCGAATGATGACTCGGCTTAGAGAGTGCGTCGTGAGCTGACAGTTTGGGGCCGTCTCAAACATATTAGCATTGTTCCACTTTGGGGAGTAGCAAACAACTTTGGGCCCTATCCCGCAATGATTTGCCCATGGGCCGAAAATGGAACACTCACCAACTTTCTTGAGTGCCAAAAGGACAAATTGTTGTATCAAGATAGGTTCTCCCTTGTAAGACATTTTGCGAGTATCTCCCAGCCACTTACTGACCTATTGACATACACTAGCTTAATGATATCGCCCTCGGATTGCAGTACCGTTCGTCGTCTTTCACTGCCTTCGAGTTTGAACACACTGATGCCTGTTCAGTTCACAGCAAATCAATTGTCCATGGTGACCTGACAGGGGTGCGTACAGCCACACGCAGAAGGTATACTCACGCCCGATTGACTTTTCAGTCAAATGTTTTGATTTATGGCGACGGTCGGGCATGTCTCGCTGACTTTGGTCTCTCGACTATTATTTTGGAGTTCATTGGTACCTCTTATTTCACGACTTCTATCAGTGGGAATATCCGATGGGCAGCTGCAGAGCTGTTTGAAGTACCAGAGGATGACGATGATGACGAGGCGGCATCGGTGTCGCTCAGCATCGAGTGTGATATTTATTCATTTGGTAGTATCACCTTGCAGGTCAGTAGCTTGAATTTTAGATCAAAATATCTTGTTCACTCTGCGCATGTTTTATTAGGTGTTGACTGGCAAAGTACCCTACTACAATGTGAAGAAGGACAATGTAGTGTTGGTACAAGTCCTCAGAGGTAAGAAACCTGAGCCTCCCAAGGAGTCGCAAATAGAGCTGGCGCACTGGGAGTTCATAAAGCGATGCTGGTTGCCTCGTATCAATCGTCCATCGGTTGGAGAAGCCGTAGCGTTTGTTGCATGTGAACGACAAGTCCCGTCATCCTAGTATTCTGAACACACAAGCAATCTAGTTTGCGATGGGTTATAACAGTCGCTCTTCCGAACAGAAGCTCTCTCCGCGAAGTTGCCTCGCACGCTTAACGTGTCGGCCGTAAACACTTGATTAAGCGTTTGCGGGGTTATTGGCGTTTGCGGAGATTCCGCATTGCAGGCTCGGCCCTCGAGATAAAACTCTCATTTCTAGAACCTTGTCTTAAAGTTAAAAAGGATCACCGAATCGTATGAATATCACAGCGCTCTGCAAGCCACACACAGTACTGAACCCGACACAACGTAACACGATATCATAGACAACTCACCCGTCCTACCACGACCGATCCACATAGACTCTTCAAACTATAGTAATTTCGAATTTCCTCTGGCGTTATGATCGAGGTCGTAGGGGTACGTTGTCGATATCTCAGCTGAAGCACATTCATTCAACCTTGCTAGTTACACGATGAGTACGAGAGAGATCTCGAGCTTGCGAGTGTGCACATGCGCGAACTTCAAGCTGAAAGCGAGTGCGCCAAACTCTGCTATTTGACCTGCTTTATTCTCTGACGTGTTTTACCTGTTTGAAAGTTTGCTTCTTGACACGATCAATCTTACAGTTCCAGCAACGCCCTCACTCATGCATCTCACGCGTCCCTCTCCGAAGCTATATTTATACCCAGCTACACACCCAGCATCAGCTCCAGCATTTCTCATTCAAATGGGAGATATCGTCCAGTAGATGTGCGCACCAGTCGTCCTTCCTCGTCCTCCTCATCATTTCTGATCTTTATCTTGATAGCCACATGATATCACACCTTCGGAGCGCGAGCGGCAACGGGACCGTGATCATGATCGGGAGCGATATTCCTCCTGAAACTCCAGCGAACGGCGATGCTGAGTGTGCTTCTCAGGACCTTGAGTTTGTCGCTTCAGTCCAAGAGAAGAGAAGAAAACACTTGAACGGTTGGATTCTGAGCTTGACGAACTCGAACTCCTTTCCTCACTCTCTACTTGATATATGTACAGCAATGTCTTGTTTTCTCGGATTGCGGGCGTTTGCACCAGCGATTACTATAAACTATCATAAACCAGATTGTCTGTTACTGCTAACTCGGCGTTGGAACCCGAATCAGGGTATCTGCGCCTAGTTTACAGTATCAGTACTTGCTGAATGTATTACGACAGCAAACTATGCTATCTAACATGCACATGGCCCAAAAGCTTCTTTTATGGTCGACCTTGAGGCTGGCAGTCATTATGTATCTCAAGACTTTCAAATGCCCACTGCATGCATATGCATATATGTCCTGCCGTTGAGGCCGCTCCTGCACGAAGAATGGCGATGTGAATATTAGTCGCCCAACAACCCCAATTTCCAAACTGTCGCCTTTGCACGTAGATCACTGACATCCCTCCTGAAAATGTGGGTCATGGTTGGTTTGTTGCTCGCGTGATCGAGGTTCTGCGACTTATATCCCAGTACCTGATTGATAAGGAGAGCGGCGTCGTGTCTTAGGCTGAGGAGCTAACACCGAGACACTAGCCTGTATGGTGCATCCCTTTGTTACGAGTCTTACGACTGACTTAGGGGGTCTTACTTATTGGTTAATACGCGCACCCGAGTAAAGAAACGCTTAGGTAAGCCGGTGCGGCGTTGTTCAGCGTTTGCGGACATCCAGGATCGGTCTCGAATTGGGACACTGTCTCGAACAAAGACTCTTTCTAAGTAGAGAGGATCTTAGTTCTCCGTTCAGCCAATCGTATGAATATCACGACGCTCTGTAGGCCACACCCAGTACTGAACCAGAATCAGCGACAGCATGGACAATTCACCCATCCCACCACGACCGATCCACATAGACTCTTCAAAGCTGCAGAAAGGGCAGCGCGCAGGGGACAAGGTCCCCGGTGATGACACCACTAAAAACAGAGTAAATTTCATTGGATGACACGTCACAATTTGTGCTTATGCTTGTTTTCTTGCGGGTTCATGTAGGTACCAGGTGTACCTCGTGGAAGATACAAAGAAAAGTGCGTCCGAGTGCGTAGGTGGCATTCACTCAAGACTCACTTTTGCTAGATTTCAAGGCTTGAGGGAACGTTATGATCGAGTCTTAGGGGTACGTTGTCTCAGCCGAGTATTCTTGAATCGAATCTTGACGAAGCACATTCATTCAAACCCGCTAGTTACACAAAGAGTACGAGAGAGATCTCGAGCTTGCAAATGCACGCATGCGAAAGCTTCAAGCTGAGAACGAGTGGGTTGAATCTTGCTATTTGACTTGTGTTGCTCTCTGACATGTTTTTCATCTACTTATTCTCAAGCTTGCTTCTTGACGCGATCAATCTTACAGTTCCGGCAACGCCCTCACTCATGCATCTCACACGTCCCTCTCCTACGCTATATTCACACCTGGCTCCAGCTCCAGCTCCGCCTCCACCTCACCATATGAACGGGCACGGCGTTTCTCATTCTAATGGGAGATATAGGCCAGTAGATGTGCGCACAAGTCTTCCTTCCTCCTCCTCGTCATTATCATCACTGATATTTGTCCTGATAGCCATATGACATCACACCTTCGGAGCGGGAACGGGAGCGGGAACGGGATCGTGATTACCGGGATATTCCTCCTGAAACGCCAGCGAACGGACGCTTGTGAATACGAGTCGAATGCGTGGCCTCGATCGCGGCCCGTTCATTAGGCCACTATTCAGTTACGTTCGTCTTCGTACATTTTTGTTTGTCCTGCTATCGTTGTCATATGTACTTTTATAAGCCGGACGCTCCCCTTATTCGGACTGATAGAAGGGTTCAGAAGATGGCGCCTTTTCTCCTGCTGGTACAGGAATAAGACTGTTATGTTCTTGGTTACTGGCTGCAACTTGACAAAGTGCTTTCATTTAGCAGTCGATCATAGCCACCATGCGTGCCATTGATCACATACTGGATGGGGAGAATGTTGATAGGTTGTATGTATTTCTTACTCTTATGCGAACAAGGCGTAGCTGTGTTGTCACCATCGATCAACGTTGAAACGTTGGTCCATGTGCAATGACGCGTGTCTAGGCTGATGTGCCTTTTCTGGGCATCAGTGATGCTATACGAGCTGACCGACAGAATTAATCCTTCAATCATGCAGTAAATTAAGTTTGGTACGTTCTTGTTTATGTGGTGTAGAGAGGTCTTCGCTAATCTTGTAACCGTCCCAACCTCATTTCTACTCCCTCCAAGTTATATAAGATCAATATGAATTGCAGTACGGGCGTTAATACCAGGCGCCTAGTCCGACACGACTTCATTCCAGCTCTAAATGCGCAGAACAAGATGAAAAACGTTCGCCACAGCCGCGCAACGTAGGAATAATGAAGCATCTAGTGAAGATGTAACGGCTACTCTTGTCATTCGTGATCCGGTGGGATATTTTATTCTATTGGTTGGTAGCTGACTACTTGATCTATCGTAAGAACGACACGAAGTTTGAGAAAACATGGTACTGTCTTGTATGGTAGTGAATGAAGCTTGGTACGTTCTCGTGAATGTGGTGCAGGGGTCTTCGCTAATCTTCCTGCAGTGCCTTGGCCTCATTGCTCCTCCCTCAAAGTTATTGTACGGGCGTCAACAACAAAGCGCCTACTTTAGGTATCAGTCGAGGAACCTTCATTCCAAAATTTCTAGGCTATAAATATGCTGAACAGTATGAAAAACGTTCGCCACTGCCGCGCAACGTATGAATAATGAAGCATCTAAACCGTCACCGATCTTGTCGGTCATCATCCGGTTGGGATGACTTATGCTATTCGCTGATAGCTGACTCGTGACAACTGTGTGTCGTAAGACCACGAAGTGTGGGCAAACACGGTACTGTCTTGTACAGTTTTCATCACCGGAGCACCGGATCTACGATCGTCCCCACGAAGCAAACCAATTCTGCGCCTTATAAGTATTATACGTCAGTGATCAGTGGTATCATTCCTTCAATCTACAGTGCCATGTCGGAACAAGAAGCTGTCGCTGCTCTGCACTGGAATAACAACATATCTGGTTCGTCAGCTCCTTTGAAATGATCTGTGAGGGTATTTTCGTGCTGAACGTGGGTTCCAGTGGCGACCATTACGCTGATTTGCTATGAATACTGTCAGTAGCCTTTCAGATCCTTGTAAGTACTCCCGCTGAGCGAAAGACCATCTAGTTCTTCTCTTGGATAAGGAGGTAATAAAGGACTTCTTTTCTGGCGGTCGAGTACTTATGGTTATGATCGGTGTAGGTTATGTATGTCTGGGTTAGTGTCCATCAGCATATCAGTATAGTGATACCAGCCCGGAGACTGACTGAATCTCCAGAAACGACCTTGGTCACTGATGTCATGCCTTTACCTCATTGTAAGCTCCATGCTGCCAAGGTGCTTCATAATTTTTCATCGTTTGTTATACTAGGTTCGGTATTTTGGTCTGTTCCTTGCGCTGTACGTCATCGTGGTTGTATCCTTCAAACGGGGTATCTTATGTTCACGCTGGCTCTAGGCTTTGGGGCTGCTGTATGTAATGCTGTGCCAACTGGGCTATCATTCGCTGACTAGCACTAGGGGGAGGACTGTTGTATATGCCTCAATCAGTGAGTACATTGATAGTTTTTATATCTAGAAAGGTCTGAGTTGACCGTGTTCCAGCCGTATGTCACACGTTTGTTTAACAGCCAAGTCTTAATAGTCGTTGATCCTCATTTAGCTGCGAGTATAATACCTTCAACCCGAATTGCCTTTGCTCATCGTGCAATTTAAATAGGCTACGATCTTGTTGTTTTAATGGAATGGGGTTTCTCAGTGTATTTTTGCTTTGCGGAAGGTATGTCATACAATGCGTATCTCATTGCGCGTACAGAATTTGCATCCAGTCATTCTCATATGGCGTCTTTACGCACTATACAACCGATCAAAGCTCCTACTTTATGTTCTACTGGGGCTCTTCATACCTATTGTCGTCGTTTTGGTATGGGCAAACATCTTTTTATACAGTCGACCCAGCGCGTTCTCAGGTACATCTCTAATCGAGTCGAATTCAATGGCTGTGAGCTGACCTCTGTCTCGTTGCAGTGATAGAAATAATAACTCCTGATGCAAAGTACTGCACGCTGTCATTCAAGATGGGGCCTATGCCTGCGATCTATACTTCCATCCCCATCGTATGCTATGAAATTTTCCTACTCGTTCTCGCGGCTGCCAAACTCGTCAAACACCTTAAAGACCGGAAGAAGCTCAACGCGAGGCCTAATGCGTATGTATTAGCGATCGTCCACCATCATTTCGTGTATTTTTTCCTGTAAGTTCCTCCCTTACTTCGTCTACTAGTACTGGGTTCTGGAGTATTCATCGAATCTTGATAGGAATTTGTTAAACCAAATATTTTTGGTGGTATTATGGGACCACGTTTCGGTATGATACTTTCCCAAGATTCTACAGAAATCAGCTCATGTTCCCTTTACTACTATACATTTACAGACCCCAGCGATGAGTCTCTCAGAGCTCTTCAACGATACCGTGCCATTTATTCTGACGCCACGTCTTATCATCAGTATTTGGGATACGCATGCCCACGACAAGTGCGTATACGTCAGTACAAAGTTCGAGGATTGTAGGTGTTTGACTTCGCCGAGGGAGTTTGAGCGACATGAGATGGGAACTCGTGTCGTGTGATCTTGGTGTGTTGCTTGATTTCTGACTTGTAAAAGAGTGGTGGAAACAACTTCAGACGAGCATTACGACCAGTTGAAGCGTAGTAGAAGTTATTATAGAGATCGAATAAGATAATACAGCAGCAGGTTCTGCAGTTGAGATACACTAGCAAAATACATTTTACACAATGGTAAAGTGATCAAAAAATCTCCCTCAATATTAGTGCCTGGACCAGTCACCTCAAAAACTTCGCAAGGTACCATGCCCGGATGAGGGTGATGCCGCCGGTGAGATGGAGGGAGTACCTCAAGTAAAAGTTAAAGATCATGACACATCCATTCACTCACGAAAAATCGTTAATAATCACCCTGTGCATCCCTCCCTTGGACTTCAGGAAGTATGAATGACACAATCGACTAGGAACCATAAAACACGGCCTAAGTAGTGCCAATATCCACATGCAATGCTCTCCACTGCCAGCCCAATATCATCATTGCCAAATGTGTAACGCTATAACGACTTAGTCTTATGCAAATGAGGTACGTTTTTGATCCACTACTATTACTTCGAGGGAAGGAAAAAGGTCAACATATTCCGCATGCTGCTCCACCACCATCATATTTAGGCTGCCGAAAGTGAGCCTCTCCAGGGGACACTTTGACCGTGCCAAGAATGCCTTGAACTGCTCATGAGGCCATGTTCGTATGTAGCGAGCTTCGAGCACCCGTAAACTGGGGAGTGACAGAGCATCGAACAGGCGAAATGCAGGGCGTACGAAGGAGAAACTGATGAATAAGGATCGAATTTCGGTGTGCGTGAATGGCTCCAAAATTTCCACCGGGTCGCGGTGTACGCGAACTTTTAACGAAGTGAGGTTGGGACATAGCTTGAGCAAGTGGAGGAATGCATTCGGATGATGTACGGCAATCTCGACATCTGCCACGCGGGCCCATACGGGATCGAAAGAAGATAAGTGCTCGGCGTCGAACACTCTGAACGACGACCCGGTGACCTTGAGACTGCGAAGAGTGGAGGGCAGTTGCGAGATAGATTGTGCAGTAGATGGAGTGATACGCTCAAAATTTGTAATTATGGTCACCTCCGAAAGTGCTGGGAGGTCTTTTGGGAGGTCTTTTAACAAAATTTCCGTTTTCTTTTCTTCGTAAAGATAGAGATGTATAGATAGAGACGAGATTTGATTGACGTAAGGCTGGAAAAGGCGTCGCAGCTTGGTCAAATCATTTGCGTAGCGGTCGAGTTCTAATGAGAGCGGACATCCTCGGGATCGCTTGAGCCATGAGTCATAGCAGACAGCTGCCCGCTGCCAGTCACTAGTGTCGTAGACATACAACCTGCACCATAATCTGGGCGTACCGACAGCAAACTCCCTCCATCGTCGGCATATTTTGGTCAACAGCACGGGAGCGTGTGACATTGTTGGGGACAACAAGCAACTGTCATCTGGGAGACAGTGGTCGAAAATTTGGGATACGATCTCAGTTGGCAAGCGCCAGAGAGACGATATGAATCCCTTGTGCACATTCATGGATCGGGTGATTCTGTCCTTTTTCTCGACGAGTTGCTGATGAAGATTCTTTATACCATCCATCACGGTTTCCAGCCCGGAGATCTCATGCAAAACTGCATCAAGCTGTTGCTGGCGCTCGATGACGATGGCGCTGACACTCTGGTGCATGGCAGACTGCTCAGTATTGGGGGATTTGGAGAATGGGGTTTCAAGGTCTGGAATCTGGTTACGGTCAATAATATGGCCGGTGTCCGATATCTCAGCAGAGACATACGATCACTCGTGCATCCGCGAGCTAAAGGTGAGTGCTTATTATTTTCAGATGGAAGTGCCTTATGAAAACACCTACGATGTTTTCCAGCGCACTAATGATATCCGAGACCGATAAGAGTTTGACTTCTGAGTTGGCTGTCGTCTCCTCAATTGTCTGCATATTGTTTGCTAGAGGAGAATGAAGTCGAATACGCATCGAAGACGATTGTGTCATTCCCACGGGTACTTGTTGACGAACATTACGAACAGAAAGGAAAACGAACTTTTAGAGCAGCAGGTTCTGCAGTTGAGATACACTAGCGAAGTATGCTCTAATATGTAGTGAGACATGTCAATGACGAAGAGATCGAAAAAAACCCTCAATGCCAGTCCTCTTAGTAAGGTTTGGACCTAGATATTCTTGCACGAAGAGGTGAAGAGATACTTTGACGGAAGCCACCGGCATAGCAGCTTGAGGCAGCTTTGTTGCCGTGCTTGATGTTGGAATTGAGAGTGACAAGACCATATTTCTGTCCATCTGCAGCTTTTACTAGATGAAACAGACAACACTGGGAAGGTTGATGGCATTGATGATCGACTGGGTGTGAGACTGCGAGTATAACGCACTCAACTGAGAGGCCCATCTACAAGGACAAGAGTGCTGATTTACAAACGGTTGTTATGCGTTCGCTTGCTTTGCAACAAGTTGTAGCTGTTTAACATTTAATCAGATACAGATCGCTGCAAAGTCAATGCTGCCGAGCCAGCACTTCCTGCCATACGTCTGGACCAGGCCCACTATGTCAGCGGAAGGGGAGCTACCTTCAGAAATAACTATGCAGAGCACCTTGTGCGGCTGCTGCATGCAAATATTCTGACTTAGCTACCAGTGAGTACCGTTATGATGTCTGCGCAAAGTTGGAGATTGCGAAATAGCATGTCCCACTGCAGACGTTAAATGCGGGTCCAGGCCCAAAATATTGCCCTATCAGTCCAAGTCATGAAATATCCGATGGGATCAAAAATAGACGTTCGGCTCACCATGTCACCCGATGCCACACTCGGCATTCCAATTCAGCTAGTAAGTATATCACAACGACCGGATGATGAAAGGTATTGTTGACCTTGCCGCGCCTGATGCTGGAATTGGGAGCGCCATCATCACCCGTGCTGTTACCTTCCCTACCGCTCATCCACAGACAACTGATTCTGCAGCTGGAGAAACCACTCACGCAGGCTCCCCTGCGCTCCCCCCCTCCTTTGACATCAAGGACGGGTAGGGTGGACGGGACAGCTTGTCGGATGTCGAAGTTGCACGTCTTGAGGAGTAAATGTAATGTGCGCACGCTGCAGGGAGACAGAAATGCCTCACACAAAAAGATAACAATTGGCAAATAAATCGAACCCCGACACAACCCCGACACGTTGAAGGTGTAGAGCCCCGAAATCGAATAGAATACTATATTCTACTGCCAGTCCATTATCATGATCGCGAAATACAACTGAGGCTTAAAAAGTACTTTCCAGGGGATGCAGTACTATTACTTCGATGGAAGGGAAAAGGTTAACATATTTCGCCCGCTGCTCATCCGTCATCATCTTTCTTAGACTACCAAAAGTCAGGCTCTCCAGGGGACATTGTGACCGTACCAAGAATGACTTGAACTCCTTATGAGGCCATGATCGTAAATAACGAGCTTCAAAAACCCGTAAATTGGGGAGTGATAGAGCATCGAACAGGCCAGATATACAGCGTGTGTACACAGAGTTAAAATTGATGCGTAAGGATCGAATGCTGGTGTGCGTGAATGGCTCCAAGGTTTGCACCTGGTTGATTACTGCGCAAACTTTTAACGAAGAGAGGTTAGGACATAGCTGGAGCAAGTGGATGAATGCATTCGAATGATCTATGTAGATCTCGAGATTTGTCAGATGGGCCAATACAGAATTGCAAGAAGACAAGTGCTCGACGCCGAACGACTCCGTGACCGTGAGACTGCGCAGAGTGGAGGGCAGTCGCGAGATAAATTGTGCAATATATGAAGTGTCGATATGTGCCAATATTATCATGGTCACCTCCTGAAGTGCTGGGAGGTCCTGTAACAAAAGTTCGGGTTGGACTGTTTCTCCGTAAAAATGGATACGGAGAGACGAGCTTTGAATTATTTGATCGATGTAGGGCTGGAAAAGGCTTTGTAGCTTGGTCAAGTCATTTGCGACGCAGTTGAGTTCTAACGAGAGCGGACATCCTCGGGATCGCTTGAGCCACGAGTCGTAGCAGAAAGATGCCCGCTGCCAGTCACTGTCGTGGACTTCCACATACAACCTGCACCATAAACTGGGCAGACACACAGCTACCTCCCTCCAACGTCGGCATATTCCGGTCAAAAGTATGGGAGCGCGTCGCGTTGATGGGGACAACAAGGAACCTTCACCCGGGAGACAGTGGTCAAAAATTTGGGATAAGATTTCGGTTGGCAAGCGCCAGAGAGGCGATATGAGTCCCTTGTGCATATTCATGGACCAGGTGATTCTGTCCTTTTTCTCGACGAGTTGCTGATGAAGATTCTTTATACCATCCATCACGGTTTCCAGCCCGGAGATCTCATGCAAAACTGCATCAAGTTGCTGCTGGCGCTCGATGACGATGGCGCTGACACTCTGGTGCATAGCAGACTGGTCAGTATTGGGGGATTTGGAGAATGGGTTTCAAGGTCTGGAATCTGGTTGTAGTCAATAATATGACCGTCTGGTATATGGAATATGCATACCATATCGATCGCTTGTGAACGTGCGAGCTAAAGGCGAGTGGTTATTATTCTCGAATCTCAGATGCGACTTATGCAAGTGCACATGGAACTGAGCACTTACGATGTTTTCCAGCGCACCAATGATATCCCAAACCGGTGAGCGTTTGACTTCTAAGGCTGTCATCTCCTCAACTGTCCGCATATTGTTTGCTAACGCGAGTTTCGAGGAAAATGAAGACGAAGCTTGGACGAAGAAGATGTTTATTTAATAGGGGAGCTCAAAGTTGAACGTTGAACGCCCAACCTCGTGACTCGAAAATGAGTATACCTAGAATAAATAGAAGTAAATACAAAGTACGGCACAGTCACTTACCTAAACCTTATGGCGCGAAGCGCCGAAACCTTCGTGAATTGTTGAGCGCGCGCTGAACCTCGATGCTTATTCCTAACCCTCAGCGCTCAGCATTGCTAAACCTGCTAACCCCTAAACCTCGCCAGAGCTAAACCTTGTCATAATTTTTTATCATAGAAGTATGTATGTCTTTCTTTTACAGTGTTAAAATAGTACATAAAATGTATAATTTCGCCCAGGATTTTGCCACTCGTCTAAATTTCTGGTCAAAATGTAAAATGCTAAATTCATCAATGACATTTTGAAACAAATCTTGCATAACGAAAAACTCCCGAACCGCCGGTGTGTTACCATTGACGTCTATGAAGCCTACAGGTTCTAAGAGGTGCCTACTAGTATATATGATGGCGATATTTCAATAGGTACATATAGGCAATGCCTGCCTACGTAAATTTTGCGTTTAACTGATGTGACTCATGAATGTTAATACAGCGCTCTGCAGTTCCGACAACTAGCACAGTTGTGTACTACTTACTGCACATGAACGTTCACGACTGCCTACGACAGCATGGGCAACTCACCCATAATTGCACGACCTATATTATCCTGTTCGAAGACTATGTTTGGTATGTTCCCATATAATTATTGCCTGATCTCGCCGTCGTCCTCAGCCTGATTTATTAGGGAGCGTGGCAGTGGTGGCGCGGAGAGGTCCAGGTTAAGATTGGTTAACGACAAGCGCTTAGAGTCGTAGACTGAGGTCTGGCGGCAGCTGATAAGACTGCACGTGCTCTGTGCTATAATAGACCTTCACCACGCCAACATACCGTGCGAGTAGTGAAGAATATAGCTAGGACGTAACAGCCACTCTCGCTGTTAGTCCTGAATTCAGGTGTGATATGTATTCGTTGGTAGCTTACTATTAAGAACATTGACTCACAGTGAATTCGACAAGAAATGCGGGAAAACTTGGTACCATCTTATACAATGGTCATTCCATCTTGTTCCTGGCGCACCAAACGAGGGACGAACACCACATGCCCCACGACTCGGAGGCAATCATTGGCACGACTCACGAGGCAAGAAAATTCCGCGCCTTATCAATCATTTCAGCGTCACTCATTCTTTCGAAGTCTCCCTTCCATCTGTACAGTGCCATGTCGGAACAAGAGGCTGTCACTGGTCTCCGCTGGAATAACAATGTATCTGGTTCGTCATCCCCTTCAACTGACATGTCAATGAATCATCATGCTGAACATTGGTTGCAGTAGCAGCCATTACTCTGATATCATATGAGTACCGTAAGTAGCCTTGGTAATCTTTGACTCTCGCTGAGCGAAAGATTATGTAGTTCTTCTGTTGGACAAAGAGGTAATAGAGGACTTCTTTTCTGTCGGTTGAGTACTTACAGTTATGACCCGCACAGGTTAAGTATGTCTGGGTCAGTATCTAACCCCATAGCTAAACGGTGGTACTAGCCTGGAGACTGACCGAATCTCCAGCAAAGACCGTGGTCGTTGATGTCAGGCCTGTATCTTGCTGTGAGTGTCTCCTCGCTAAAGTGTTTTTATCAAATGTATGACATTTGTTGCCATGCTAGGTTCGATATTTTGGTCTTTTCCTTGCATTGTAAGTCTTCTTGATTGTCCCTTCACACTGTACGTATGCATGTTGACGCTCTTGCTAGGCTGTGCGCCTGCTGTATGTGACGCTGGCCTATGCCAACCGCCATCATTAACTGACTAGCGCTAGGGGGAGGTCTGGTATATATACCTGAATCAGTGAGTGTATTCACGCTTTTCATCCATAGAGAGTTGTCGGTTGATCCATTTTTCAGCTGTATGTCCCAATTTCATTGTACAGCTAAGTCTCGACAGTTGCTGTCCTTTTATTTAGTTGCAAGTATATCCCTTCCAACCCGACGCACACTCTCTCATCATGCAATTGGAATAGGCTATGGTCTTATCGTGTTTATTGAGTGGGGGTTTTCAGTGTTCTTTTGCTTTGCGGAAGGTAGGTTATACATTCTGGCATCTCGCTATGCGTACCAATCTTGTGTCCGCAGTCATTCTCATCTGGCGTCTTTATGCTATAACCAACCAATCGAAGCTCCTGCTTCATGTTTTAGTGGGATTGTTCTTGCCTATCATCGCCCTCTTTATAGGGACGGACATATATTTGTATAGTCGATCCACCGTGTTCTCGGGTGAATTATTTCTCGGATCGAATTGGCTGCATGCTGACCCCGTCTTGTTGCATAGTGAAAGAAATAGTAACTCCGAACGCCAAGTACTGTACGCTTTCCTTCCACATTGGGCCCATGCCTGCGATCTATACTTCCATCCCCATCGTGTGCTATGATATTTTGCTGGTCGTTCTTGCGGCCGCCACCCTCGTGAGACACCTTAAAGAGCAGAGAGAAATCAAAATGAGGCCTAATACCTATATGGTTATGATCGTCCGATATCATATCATGTACTTTGTCCTGTGCGTTCCACTTCGTCTATTTGGTTTTAAAGGTCTTAATCAAACCTCGCTAGAAATTTGACAAACCAAGTCTTATTGGTGATATTATGGGCTAACATTCCGGTATGATAGTTCCAATGTTGTGTAGAGATCAGCTAAAGCATACATTTGCAGACGCCGGCGATGAGTCTCGCCGAGCTCTTCAACGGTACGGCACCATTTATTCTCGCACCCCGTCTCATCATCAGTGTTTGGGATACGCATGCCCGCGACGAGTGCATACACGTCAGCACGACTTTTGCAGATTGTGTGTGTTGGACTTCACCACCGGGGTTCGAGCAGCATGAGGTGGACTGTGGCGCAGCATGATTTTGGCTTGGTAGTTCCAGATTCGCATGAAGGAGTTCATCGAGGTACAGTGAGGTGGCCATACTACTATTGAATAAATAATTTACAATGTTCGCCTGTGGTTATAAGTAGTAGTTCGTGCAAGATGCATTGACTCAGAAGTCCGCAGAGAGTCAGGGTATTAGGAAACTGCGATTGTCGGGTCTGTCCTGGTCTGAATTTCAGCGCGCGCGTCTTTCCACCGACGTAGATCTTAGTGTGCTTGGCATTGGTCCTGTGACGATCGGGGATAACAATCAGAGTAGTAGAGCCCGTGACGGGCTGAGAAAACCATTTACCTATTCGACATGTCAATAGCCAAGGAACAAGGTTAATGAAAGAAGGGGTTGCAAACTTGCAGGTAACATACTTAGCATGAGACTCAAAGGCCACATATATACCGTCTGGCAGCCGCGGGGTTGGGTGTACGAACTTGAGGGTAGAAAAGGTTCTTGGTTTAGCCAATTATGTGAATTAAATGTTACAGCGCTCTGCAGGCTATACGCATACGTTGCCGCTGAGCCTAAGTACACCATCATAAGTATGTGGAGTGAGTGACTAATATCGTAACGGCGCTTACGCACCAAGTCCCCAACACCGATCTTGCTCGCTCCTCTGTTTTATTGCAGCAATGTTTAATAATATGTGGTACTGCCACTCTAGTAGTATCTACAGATAACGGATAGTTTGTTTACTTGTGAGGAGATGGAGAGGCGGTGTTCGAGGTGTGGGATCGTCTGGTCGGGGGGACGAGAAGCGGGGTGATGCGTGCTATGCGGATGGTTAAAGATAGAGTAGTGGAATAAGCCTCTCCGAATATGAGCATTTCGTTCGTTGCAGGACTATATATGAATTTATTATCACGGTGGGTCTGGATCGAATGAAATAATAATAACGCGGACGCACCAGCATCTCCCAAGGCGACACGTACACTTATTTCCGTCCGCCTATCAGAAGTGAGATCTTGAGATGCGATAGACAGTGTATGTTTTTAAAGCAAACATGAGATAGGGCTGCAGATGGATGGATGTCCCTGTGAAATGTGAACTGGATTATCACGGGGTGCGAATAACATCAGCAAAACACTTTTTTTCCCACCACCAAAAAATGGCTGGCCACAGCTTGGTCCCTTCTGTACAGAGCTGTACAGAGCCCACAGAAGCAAAGTGATTTGCTGATGAACTCACATACATACAAACAGGGTTGCGGAGAAGGTGAGGCCATTGACATCGAGGAGGTGACCACGTTGTTGATGCTTGTTTACGCGTTCAAATCGCTTGCTCTGCTTGAAATTTGGAGTTTGACGTGAACAAGCAAAATATTGACAATTTCTGAGTGGCGCAGCTGGATTTCCAGAGGGTACCGCTGTTTAGCTTTTTCACCATATATATGTGGTGCCGCCAAAACATTCGTGTCAAAAGATATGATTGACGAGAGTGTCGCAGGTCACAAATTGGGGCTTCACCCTGGGCCTGTATCCACCAACTTCCAAGTGATCAGTGATGCTATCACCTACAAAGGCAGTATGCACGGATGTACATATCACAATTTCGCTACAATTGTGAGTGAACCGAGTACTTAATTCAATATCACACTATTATGGCGTGTTTACATCCTGTGCTCTGTTGGCGACCAACAGGCCATCAGTGATCTGATGAGCCGCAGATAAAGCTTAAAGTCTTATATGACGATATATCATCATATATAGAACTTCTTTCCTTTATAAAGTCATATAAAGTCATGTAAAACGCCGTAATCAGCGTAAAGTACCCTGGGTAGACTCGTGAGTTCTTTGATGGGCTGTGAGGAGGGTTACTACTTAAAGTGAGTCGAGGAAGGGGTATGTCGAATACACCCACAGGCTGTAGATTTGGAGAAGGAACAACTGTCTTTCTTTTTCAACTTGGTCTGACAACAGGAGACTAGTAGTACCTGCTAACTTCAGCTCAATATGAGTGACTATTCTCCCGATTTGATTGGTCTTCAGATTGTAGCAGTGCGTACTCCTCTCCTGTCTGAATTGCCTTTATGTGCTCATTGGAATGCAGTATACTGCAGGTAGTCTATACTTGGCTCTGATCTTGTTTTGCATAACTGATCTCCATGAAAGTTGCATCCATGGCAGTTTTAGTAGGGAGGAACAAATGGAAAGCGATCATGGTTAATTTTTTCTTTCCAGCTTTTTGACTTCACCATCACCTTCGACTCAGAGGTCAGTTATTTTCAATGACCCTATGTAAAGTTAACAGGATGCCAGGTTCGTTTCACATGGGGAAGAAAGTGGGGGATCACGAGGATAGCCTTCGTCGTTTCTCGTTATTTGCCATTCGTAGGCCTTGTCATGATCGTGTATTGTGAGTACTCACAATCTTTTGTCTATTCTCGCCCCTTACTGAGGTGCCTCGGATAGACTCAGTCGAGTCCACTCATGGAGGAATTGTAAGCTCTTTGCGACATAACGTTGAAAGCACCCATGACAATATTCCAGCCAAATCTTGGGAGGTTCACTGCTATATATGATAGTTGTGTACACAAAAGCACCATTTAAACTCAATTTCTCAATCTTTTCTAGGTATCCGCTGGTTGAGTATCGCTGCGGCTGAGGGTAAGTATCAACTCCAAGTCAAGTCACTTCCATTCCCACGACTTCGTTTTTTTAAAGTCCTGCTTGTGACAAGGATCTACGTGATCTGGGGGTGCGAAAAGAGGTTCTTGGCTTTGGCAGTGGTTTTGTCTGCTGTAACCTTAGTCCTTCCTCAGCCATTTGCTTTTAACTCAAAAGATTAACCATTTCTTCAGGCCATCTCAGCAGTAGTGCTGGTAATCTCAATTATCGATGCAATTAAATCCGGAGGTCTGTATAATTTTTCCGAATTTCTTCTGCTCACTCCATTTTCAGTTTCGACGCGCGGTGTATTTGAGGAAAGACGTGACGCTAGCATGTTTTATGGCTTGTTGGTGTTCGGGGAGCTTGGTATGTAGTGTTGCAATGATTCTGCTCAGTGACCTCTAACCTCTGCTAGTGATGCTGTTGCTGACGCTGTACAAACACTTCAAATCCTACCGACTGGAGGGCAGTCCGCTGCCAACTACAGTATGTCGGGATGGCATCGTTTACATGCTATGTATTACTCGTGAGTTTAAAGGCTCTTTTCAGGGACACGGCCTTACTTTTTGCAGTGGTCTCGATGGCGAATTGCGTTACCATTGCCGTACTACCTGTGAGCGAGTTGTTTCATATCGCAATATGAGCTTCTGATCACCTGACCAGTCATCCTACACTGCACTTCTTGCTGGGTAAACCATATTTTTCCTTACCTCGTGTCTAAAGCTGAGTTAGAGAAGCCCACAGGTAGTCGCGCACAGTGTACTCGCCTCACGTATCCTGTTCAATCTACGAGCAATGACCGACTTGCAGGATGTTGCTACAAGCGAACTGGTTGTCTCGGTAGTGGTTTTTTCTCGATCCATGGCGTTCCAAACCCCATCTGGTGTGGATCATACAGAGTGGAATTAGTAGTCCAATTCTACAGCATCTTAAATCCTACATCCAGTAGGCCAATGTAATAGACAACTACCTATAGCATGTGTAATATGTAACTTCTACAATCAGCACATATACAAAAACGCGTCCAGTATGACTTATATGCACACCCACTGCGCCAAAGCTTGCAATATTTAAATAAAAGTGGCATTCAAAGTTACAACGAGACTACAAAACTGCGTCGTAAGTACTTCAGTCATATTCTATGTACTCAAATGTTTCGGATTTCCTCTATTCCAAGATCTCCATTGCTTGAGCGGCAGTCAAATTTGTTCATGATCAGCAACGAACTACTAGTAACTAAGGCTTGTGCCACAGCCATAGTGCACCGATGTAAAAGCAGAAACACGACTCACTGTAGTTTCATCCTTCTACCCGCGCCGATTCTTACCGCCAATTGTTGGACTTCTCTCCAGACGGTACGGTGCTGCACAGTGGTGACAGGTGAATCATCGGACTCCATGACGAAGTTACGCACCAAGTCCCCGACTCTGAATCCGATTTATATAATGCCAGCTTGTAGCAAAAGTTATTGAAGTTATTTCACGATACATGGTATCGATGTTTTGACTGAAATAAACAGCCAACATTGCTCAAAGTTGGCAAGCACACGGTGTATTTGTTGAATGACGCTTCCTTTCTTAGGCGGACGTCACCGGTGGCGTTACCCCCCTCGTATGGTACTCGGTCGTACACCGTATTTACATATTGAGCTTTGAGCATAAATGTCACGGTATATATCGATCACAAGTGACGCACGGGGAGGATATCGGCTCGGCCAGTCGACACGCTCTTCGTGCAAGGACAAACATGATTGTATATTTACCGCCTCTCATCGTCTCGAAAAGCACGTTCACCAGATTGGCTCTCTGAGAGCTGTCCAGCGCCAGTGATATAAGAGACAATATTCCACGGAAACAGCCGAGGTGCACAGCTTTTTGCAGAGGTTTTCAGTGATGGGAATTTATTTGTGTTCGACAAGGCCCTCCTCTCTAAGGCTAACGTAGGAGTCGGGGATTGGGCAACTCACTCGTTCCACCACGAGCATAGGCTCGTGACCAGCCTGGCGTATACTACCACGGATGCTCGAGTGGCGTAGCCAGGCTGGTCGATCTCGGAAAGATTTGGCAGGGGAAGCACGGAGTTTGAAAATTTGCAGTTGCCGATTGTGCCGGTGGTACTCAATCTCGAATCACTATACCGTAGTCTTTGTGCGTTCACGCATATGCTATGATCGTGGCCTTGCAACCATGGATTGCGAGGCCGTTCCTGTTTCCCCAATGTCCCTTTCTGCGCTAGATGCACTTGAGAACCTTCCGACAGAGTTTATTGAACCTTTGCATATATCCCAGTGCCAGAACATTGTAGACTCTTTCGCCCGACTCGATTTTCTTACAGAAGGAACGAAGCAACCAAAGCTGTTTCAACTCGAGTGCCTCATGTCATTGCTCGCATCAAGACATGTTGTTGTCCGGGCTGCAACAGGTGCTGGCAAGACACTGGCAATGATCCTTCCCTTGCTGCTCTCTCCCGACAAGATTGCAATCACTATCACACCATTGAAGCTTTTGCAAAAAGATCACGTACGCTTGACTCGGAAAATTCATTCTAAGGTTGTGTTACGCAGTGGGTATATGATTGTCGTGGTGCCTGACTGGACTTTCGGGGGGGCTAAAGCACGCTGTTCAACATGAGTAGATGTCGAAACTTGAATGTTGTCCCAGCCTATCATATGCGGTCCTCTCGCAACGAGCTGTGCCCTTCGTATCTGACCATCGGCCATAATAGTATGAGAAATGTGCAATGCATCATACCCAGGCGAAAGACCGCAATGTGCGAGTAAGTCAATGGTTTTGCGAGATGTACCACCGCTGAACAAGCAAAGTCTGTGAATGATCTGAAAGGCGAGGTTGTTTTGCGAGCGAATGTTCGCAATTTGCGATTGGATTACAGTGCAGTACTAGCTCGATGTCTACATTAGTTTCGTGTGGTTCGAAAAAAAGCTAACTGTTTCGACATTTTGATGCTTATTCTCTTTCACAGCACGTGTTGTCCGCATAGCAGACATAAGGATCTGACGGAGCCAGGGAGTTGTCTCTTTCAACGGGACAGTCAATCCATGCTCGATGTCGAAAGAGAGCAAGTACTCCGGAGTGATGTCCTTTGTAGACATATGAAAAATCGGCTTAGCGTCCTCCATCTCCACATCGATCTCACGGGTGACGAGTTCTATAGCGCGAGGTCGCAGTACATTCTGAAGTTGAATGGCTCCTTGCTCATCGGACTCCAGCACGTTAAGAAATCGTGCGAGTGCAGAGCTTCGGAAGAAGCCCTTCCTCCAATTGATCATGGCAGGTTTTTGCGAGACAGAGCACAGAAGTAAGTCTATTACAGTCATCCGCAAGCCACGAAGTATTTCCAGGATAGCTAGAACTTTGATGTCTTCACTGAGGCCACGGTGGTCAACTGTCCATGCCAGAAGTTCGGATGGTTGATGATAGTGCAACATCTGAGGTAAAAGCACAGGAAATGGTATCATTATACTGCGAACAAATGATGCAGCGTCGTTGACGCTGGATGATAACGACGATAACATCAAGCGGCACAATCGGCAACTGCAAATTTTCGAACTCCGTGCTTCCCCTGCCAAATCTTTCCGAGATCGACCAGTCTGCCTACGGCAAAATTCACACACATCTCAAAAACGCACGTAGGCAGAATGGTTACGAGTCTACCACGAGCACCCGATATACATTATAGACTCGTCGAAACTGCAGAAAAGGCAGCGTGTATATGCGAGGACAATACGTACATAATATCGATGTGATGTACCGTGGTCCGTGCACGTGGGAGTGGCACGCAGAATCCAGATCATCGTCTTCCAATCTCTTCCATTCGTCTTTCCTTTCATTGACAGTTTCTGAGTGACGCAGCTGGATTTCCAGAGGGCACCGCTGTTCAGTAACTCCTACCTTCTTCACCGTATGTGGTGCCGTCAAAATATATTGTCGCAGGTCACAACTTGGTTGGGGGCTTCACCCTGTGGCCTGGAAAGTAGGTATCCACCAACTTCCAAGTGATCAGTGATGCTATCACCTACAAAGGCGCTATGCACGGATGTACATATCACAATTTCACTATAATTGTGAGTGAACCAAGTACTCAATTCAGTATCACACTATTATGGCGTGTTTACGTCCTGTGCTCTGTTGGTGGCCAACGGCTGTGAGGAGAGTTATTCTCTTCGAATTTGTATTAGCAAACAACATGCAGACAATCGAAGACATCGCGACAGCCAATTCGGAAGTCAAACTCTCACTAGTCTCGGATATCATCGGTGCGCTGGCAAATATCGTAAGCACTCAGTTTCATAGGCAATCGCATCGGAGAATAATAAGCACTCACGTTTAGCTCGCACGTTCACGAGAAATCGATATCGTATGTCTATTCCAATATACCGGACGGCTATGTTAATGACAATAATCAGATTCCAGACCTTGAAACTCCACACTCCAAACTCCCCGACACCGATCAGTTAGCCATGCACAAAGATCAGAGCATCAGCGCTACCATCACCAAGCACCAGCAGCAGCTGGATGCAGTTTTGCACGAGATCTCTGGGCTGGAAACCGTGATGGATGGTATGAAAGATCTTCATCACCAACTCGTCGAAAAAAAGGACAAGATCACCCAGTCCATGAATGTGTACAAGGGACTAGTATCGCCTGTCCGGCGCTTACCAACTGAAGTCCTATCCCAAATTTTTGACCACTGCCTCCCGGAGGACAGTCGCTTGTTGTCCCCATCAATGGAACACGCTCCCATGCTTTTGACCGGAATATGCAGACGTTGGAGGGAGGTTGCTGTGGGTGTGCCAAGTTTATGGCGCAGGTTATATGTGGAGGTGGACGACGACGGTAACTGGCAGGACGGAACTTTCTGCCACGACTTATGGCTCAAGCGATCGCGAGGATGTCCGATCTCGTTAGAACTCGACTGCTACGCAAATGACTTGACCGAGCTACGAAGCCTTTTCCAGCCTTACATCAATCAAATTTCGTCTCTATCTATCTACTTTTCAGGCGAAACAGACGAAACAGACCTTTTGTTAGAAGACCTTCCGGCACTCCGGGAGCTGGCCATAAAGATAGATTTCGCGCTTGAGCTTGACATTCTATCCGTTACACAATCTATCTCGCAACTGCCCTCCACTATGCGCAGTCTCAAGGTCGTGGGGTTGTTGTTCGACGCCCGGAATTTATCGTCTTTGGATCCCTTATGGTTCCATCTGACAAATGTCGAGATCTCAATACGTCATCCGAATGCATTCCTCCGCTTGCTCCAGTTATGTCCCAGTCTCTCCTCGTTAAAAGTTCGCGCAAAATTCGACCTGGTACAAACCTTGGAGCCATTCACCCACACCGAAATCCAATCATTGCGCATCGATTTTAACTCTGAGCAAACACGCTCTTTATCTGACCTATTCGGTGCTCTATCACTCCCCAATTTACGGGTGCTTGAAGTTCGCTATATAGAAAAATGGCCTCATAAAAAGTTCAAGGCATTCTTGGCACGGTCAAAGTGTCCCCTGGAGCGCCTGGCTTTTGGTGGTATAAAGATGATGGCGGATGAGCAGCGGGCGGAATATGTTGACCTTTTTCCTTCCGTCGCAGTAATAGTATTGGATCCCGTGCAAAGTATTTTTTAGGCCTCAGTTGTTGCACTGTATTTGGCGATGATGGCATTGGGCTGGTACGCGTTTTATGATGATACTGTACTAATGCAATCAATTCGACAGTCACATGTTACACTTAGTGTTGGCGGTGGATTATCCTGACGCCTCATGCCAAGCGCTTTCGTTCAGTGATTGATCACTGATACCATGCGTAAAAAAAGCTTGATAGGTTGTAAATTTGTAAGTTAGATATATTTCTCACTCAAATCCAGTGCAGATGGTTCACCGGCACCGCCAGCAGCTTCGTTTCAACGTTGGTCCTGCAATGACGCTTGTGTAATCCTTCGAAACATACCTCATGAAGATTTTTTTTTGTGAACACGAGTTAGGGCTATGGGCTAGCTGATAGAATTAAGTAGTCCATCGATAACCCTGTCACACCTTCGGTGGCAAACTGGGACCTGGACTGAATTTCTGGATAATCATTGCCCCTGTTCAAAGACTGAGTACGTGTTCCCGTGAATGTACTAAGATGGAGGTCTTTGTTAATCTTCCCGTCGTCTTCAGCCGAATTTCTGCTTCCGAGGAGGAGGGGCCACGTCTACCATGAGATCAAGGTTGCTGTGCGGGTGTTAATAACAAGCGCCTAGACAAAAGTCCGCCGCTGATGGATAAGACTTCATTCCACCATCCCAACCTATCAAGGCGGTGTTACCACCTGCGGAAGAAGGTCGAAAACCTCGCCACGACAGCATAACGTGCGAATGGTGGAGGGCCACGCCAATATGACAGCCGTTCTCCACGGTGTGATATCTATTCGCTGATAGCTAACTATTGAGAATAGCAACTCGTGGTATCGACAGGAAATGCGGTATACCTCGGTACCATCTCGTACAATTTTTTAGTCACCGGTGCACTGTACGAGGATTAACACCACAGCCTTCACGAGGCAAGGAAATTCCGTGCCTTATAAGTCATTCCAGCATCGTTCATCCATTCAAATTCTCCATTCCATCTGCAGTGTTATGTCGGAACAAGAAGCTGTCACTGGTCTTCGCTGGAATAACAACGTATCTGGTTCGTCAGCCTCTTTTAATCGATTCTTCAACGAATAATCGTGCTGAATATTGGTTCCAGTAGCAGCCTTAACCCTGATGTCCTATGAATACCGTCAGTAGCCTTCGATATCCGTGTACTCCCACTGAGCAAAATATTATTTAGTTCTTCTGTTGGACAAGGAGGTGATAATGATTTCATTTCTGGTAGTCGAGTACTCACTATTATGGTCGGCGTAGGTTCAGTATGTCTGGGTCAGTGTCCATCCCCACGTCTGCACAATGATACCAGCCCGGAGACTGACTGAGTTTCTAGAAACGATCGTGGTCGGTGATGTCATGCCTTTACCTCGTTGTGAGCTCCGCGCTACCAGGGTGCTTCATGATTCTTCATTTTCTGCTATACCAGGTTCGATATTTTGGTCTTTCCCTTGCACTGTATGTCGTGGTGGTTGTGTCCTTGAAATCGCATGTTAATCGCTGACGCTAGGCTTTGGTGCTTCTGTATGTAACGCTATGCCAATTGAGCGATCATTCTCTGACTAGCGCTAGGGGGAGGTCTGTTGTATATGCCTGAATCAGTGAGTGCATCCATGCATTCAATTTTCAGAGTGTTCTAAATCGACCCATGTTTAAGCCGTGCGTCGCAAGTTTGTTTCACAGTCTCGACAGTTGTTGACCTCTCATTCAGCTGTAAGTATAATCAACATCTTCAACCGAACCACATTCGCTCATCGTGCAATAGGTTACGATCTTCTTGTTTTAATGGAATGGGGCGCTTCTGTGTATTTTTGCTTTGCGGAAGGTAAGCCATGCATTCGGCATATGATTGTGCGTACCGATCTTTTATTTGCAGCCATTCTTATTTGGCGTCTTTACGCGCTGTGCAGCCAATCCAGGCTCATGGTTTATGTTCTAGTGGGGTCATTCTTACCTATCGTCGCTCTTTCGATAGGGACAGACATATATTTATATAGTCGACCCAATGTGTTCTCGGGTGAATTTTTACTCTGATCGAATTGGCTGCATGCTGACCCCGTCTCGTTGCATAGTCAAAGAAATGATGACTCCGACCACCAAGTACTGTACCTTTTCCTTCAACATTGGGCCTATGCCTGCGATCTATACTTCCATCCCCATTGTGTGCTATGATATCTTCCTAGTCGTTCTTGCGGGTGTCATCCTCGTTAGACACATTAAAGAACGGAGGGGAATAAGACCTAATACCTACATGGTATTGATTGTCCGATATCATGTCATATACTTCGTCCTGTAAGTTCCCCTTCGTCTAGTAGGTTCTGGAAGCATTGATCAAATCTCGCTAGAAATTTGACGAACCAAATCTTATTGGTGATATTATGGGCTCATATTCCGGTATGACACTCCCAAGATTTTACAGAGATCAGCTAACGCGCACTTTCCAGACGGAGGTGATGAGTCTCACAGAGCTCTTCAACGATACTGCGCCATTTATTCTTGCGCCCCGTCTCATCATCAGTATTTGGGATACGCATGCCCACGACAACTGTGTACATGTCAGCACGACATTCGCGGATTGTGCATGTTGGACTCCGCCACCGAACGTCGAGCAGAACGAGATGGACTCTGCCGTCGCATGAATTTGGCATGTTGGGGTCTGTCTTGGTTAGTAGTCACGGTAAACCGTAACGCTGGATATGGCACGCGTGCCAAGGAAAAAGGTTGAGAAGGAAAAAATGGAAAACTTACATCACAGTACCAGGCTCTACGACTGTACAGCTATACAACATCATCATATGTGACATCTGATAAACATAATTATACTCATTGAAACTGCAGAAAGGGCAGACACTGGAAGAATCTTGCTGGATGACAAGCTTGTGTGTTGGTACCGTGGGAGTGGACTTCAAGTTCGTCTACTAGTACGTCCAAGCTTCTCCAGTTGGCGTCAGCAAACAATATGCAGACAATTGAGGTTCAGGAGACAACAGCCAACTCAGAAGTCAAGATTTCACCAGTCTCGGATATCATTGATGCGCTTGAAAACATCGTAAGTGCTCAGTTTCATAGGCACTCGCATCCGAGAATATTAAGCACTTACCTTTAGCTCGCACATGCACGAGTACTCGTATGTCTATTCCGATATTATCGGGCGGCTACTTTATTGACCATAACCAGATTCCAGACCTTGAAACCCCATTCTCCAGATTCCCCAATACCGATCAGTCTAACATGCACAAAAACCAAAGTATCAGTGCTACCATCATCGAGCGCCAGCAGCAGTTGGACACAGTTTTGCACGAGATCTCTGGGCTGGAAACCGTGATGGATGGTATAAAAAATCTTCATCAGCAACTCGTCGAAAAAAAGGACAGGATCACCCAGTCCATGAATGCGTACAAGGGACTCGCATCACCTCTCTGGCGCTTGCCAACTGAAGTCCTATCCCAAGTTTTTGACCAATGTATCCCAAACGTCGATTGCTTGTACCCATCAAGACTAGAAGCTCCCATGCTGTTGACCGAAATATGCCGACGATGGAGGGAGGTCGCTGTGGGCTTGCCCAGTTTATGGTGCAGGTTGTGTGTGGTTGACGACGGTGACTGGCAGCGGGCAGCTGTCTTCTATGAGTCATGGCTCAAGCGATCGCGAGGATGCCCACTCTCGTTGGCATTCGACTGCTTCGCAAATAACTTGACTGGGCTACGAAACCTTTTCCAGCCTTACCTCAATCAAATCTCGTCTCTCTCTGTCTATTTTCTCGAAGGAACAGACCAAACTTCAAATTTGCTTTTGTTACAAGACCTTCCAAAAGACCTCCCAGCACTTCAGGAGGTGAACATATTCATAGAGATCGATCTTGCCATTAGTATTCTATCCATTGCACAATCTATCTCGCGACTGCCCTCCACTCTGCGCAGTCTCAAAGTTACGGGGTTGTTGTTCGACGTCGAGGAATTTTCTTCTTTGCATCCCGTATTGGCCCACCTGACAAATGTCGAGATTTCCATGCCTCATCCGAAGGCATTCCTCCACTTTCTCCAGCTATGTCCCAACCTCTCTTCGTTAACAGTTCACGCAGAATTCGGCTGGGCGCAAACCTTGGAGCCATTCACGCACACCGAAATTCGATCCTTGCGCATCAATTTTGACTACGCGAACACTCGTTGTTTATCTGGCCTGTTCGATGCTCTATCACTTCCCAATTTACGGGTGTTTGAAGCTCTATTCATCCAAACATGGCCTCATACCCAATTCAAGGCATTCTTGGCACGGTCAAAGTGTCCCCTGGAGCGCCTGCTTCTAGGCAGAGGAGTGGGGATAACAGATGAGCAGCGTGCGGAATACGTTGTCCTTATTCCTTCTCTCGAAGTAGTACTGGATCACAGTTATTCATCCTTTGAATAAAACTCGGTCGTTACACTTACTGTATTGGGATAATGATACTGGGCTGGCAGTAGGAAGCATTGCACATGTGTAGATACCGCACTCTCTAGAGCCAGGGCGCATTTTATGATGATAGCTAATTCCAAGTCGATTGTGTATCACTCATACTTACATCTTTGCGCTTTACGACAGAGCAAGCTTGAAGCTTGAGGTCTGAGTGACTATTCACCGTTTTTTCCTTATCTTTAAATAAATTTAAAGTTTGATGTTCCCTCCATCTCACCGGCGGCATCACCATCATCCAGGCACCACTTTGAGACTCCTGCGATGCATTACCTTTACTTTCGGTGCATCTTCGAAATCCAACAAGCTGTCCTGTCCACCACCCGTCCTTGTGGTCAAAGAGGGGAAAGAGCGCAAGAAGACCTGCATGGGACTTTCTCCAGCCGGGAAATCAGTCGTTCGCGCAACGTAGACGAAACCGCGGGGAAGGGTAACAGCGCGGGTGGGGAATTGCAGATTTCGAGGATACAGGATAATTTTCAGCCTCGAGATCGGTATTGTGTGCACTCTCAGTCGTGCTCATCCCTCTCTAGCACATGAGTTACGGGCCCACTGACGTCTTCTGCAACATTATGCATCAGCCTCGGTCTCGACCGTGCCCGCTGTCTCAGCAAGCAACTGGTACTATTCAGACGCATCGAGTCCTAGCACATCGGATCGATCGTGCTGCGGCACGCACGAGTGAGGGGAGGTATGTTTCCCTGCCAAGTTTCTCATCCTTCTCGCGCTTCTTGCTCCATACGGCTCCATCTCCATCTCCGGCTCCATCTCATCACATGAATGGGAATAGCGTTTTCCGTGTTAACGGGAGATATCATGGTGTGGTAAAACATCACAACTTCGTTGCTGGGATCTGGATTACCGGACACTTCCCCCAGAACCGGCGAATGGACCCTCGTGAATACGAATCGAATATATGGTCCTCTATCCAGGAAGCACATAAAAGTCATTGTCCATCGAATATTCCGCCACTACTATCGAGTTGTCCAAAACACGTCTTCATTTGCACACCCGTTCATAAGAATTCTGTCACACTCGGCTTCTCGCGTTGTTGCCCTGCTACCATTGTGACATGTACCTTACATGCCGGGCGTCGTCATTCAACGTTGCCCTTCAACTGGCACCGAAGTCCGCCGGTATGTACTTGATATCCCTTGTTAAGATTGATAGAACGAAGACAGCGCCTCCTGCAGGTACAGGGGTAAGATTGTTACGCCTGGATTATCTTGACACAGCATGCCAACCGCCTTCGTTTAGTGATTGATCACTGCCACCGTGCGTACCACACACTTCGGCGATTCTCATGGACAAGCTTAATAGATTGTGAGTTAAGGATATTTCACTCGAAAAAATCCGGCGCAGATGATTCCGCTGACGTCGTTTCAACGTTGGATCACCTGCAATTACGCTTGTCTAGTCAAACATACCCCATGACGAAAGTTTTTCTTTCTTTGTGGACACAAGTTAAGGTTACGCGCTAGCCGATAGAAGTAAGTAGAAGGCCCTTGTGACACCTTCAGCGGTAAACTGGGACCTGGACTGAATTTCTGGACAAACAATTCCAACCATTACCCTTGTTCAAAGATGAAGTGTATGTTCTCGTGACTGCATTATGATAGAGGTTTTTGCTGATCTTCCCGTTGTCCTCAGACCTCTGCTCCCTCGAAGGCGACTTGGACCATGTCTATCAGGAGATCAAGGACTGCTGTATCATGATGAACGTTAACGACAAGCGCTTATATCAAGGTTCGACTTCAATAGATAAGACTTCATTCAGCGTCCTCTAAGCTACCAAGGCGCTCTTACTACGGAACAAGATAAAAAATAACAGGCATGACGTACGAGTAACGAGGAATGTAGCCAAGATGTAACAGCTATTCTTGTTAGTCCTGAATTTGGATGTAAGTCGTTCTATTCGTTGATAGCTGACTATCGATAACAGAGGCCTGTGATATCAACAAAAATGAAAGCTCGGCACCATCCCGTACAATATTCGCCCCGTCTAGTTCCTGGTGCACTGTACGAATGCAAACGCCACAGCCCTCGCGATGCGATCACGAGGCAAGGAAACTCGACACCTTATAAGCCATTCCAGCATCGCTCATTCTCTTCGAACTCTCATTCAGTGTCATGTCGGAAGACGAAGCTGTCGTCTATCTTCGCTGGATTGACGGCACATCTGGTTCGGCAACTTCTTTTTCAACGAATCATCGTGCTGAACATTGGTTCCAGTAGCAACCTTAACCCTGATATCCTATGATTACCGTCAGTAGCCTTCGATATTTTGTACTCCCGCTGAGCAAAATATTATTTAGTTCTTCTGTTGGACAAGGAGGTGATAATGATTTCATTTCTGGTGGTCGAGTACTCACTATTATGATCGGCGTAGGTTCAGTATTTCTGGGTCAGTGTCCATCCCCATGTCTGCACAATGATACCAGCCCGGAGACTGACTGGGTTTCTAGCAACGGTCGTGGTCGGTGATGTCATGCCTTTACCTCGTTGTGAGCACCGCACTACCAAGGTGCTTCATGATTCTTCATTTTCTGCTATACCAGGTTCGATATTTTGGTCTTTTCCTTGCATTGTACGTCGTGGTGGTTGTGTTCTTCATATTGCATGTAAAAAAACGATGCTAGGTTTTGGGGCTGCTGTATGTAACGCCATGCCGATCGAGCTATCATTCTCTGACTAGCGCTAGGGGGAGGTCTGTTGTATATGCCTGAATCAGTGAGTGCATCCATGCACTTTTAGAGTGTTCTAGATTGACCCATGTTTAAGTCGTACGTCACAAGTTTGTTTCACAGTCTCGACAGTTGTCGACCTCTCATACAGCTGTAAGTATAATCAACGTCAACTGAATCCCATTCACTCATCGTGCAATAGGCTACGATCTTGTTATTTTATTGGAATGGGGTGCTTCTGTGTATTTTTGCTTTGCAGAAGGTAAGCCATGCATTCGGCATATGATTGTGCGCACCGATTTTTTTATCCGCAGCCATTCTTATCTGGCGTCTTTACGCACTATACAACCGATCCAAGCTCCTACTTTATGTTCTAGTGGGGTCATTCTTGCCTATCGTCGCTCTCTTGATAGGGACAGACATATATTTATATAGCCGACCCAACGTGTTCTCGGGTGAATTTTCGCTCGCATCGAATTGACTGCAAGCTGACGTTGTCTCGTTGCATAGTAAAAGAAATAATAACTCCGACCATCAAGTACTGTACCTTTTCCTTCAACTATTGGGCCTATGCCTGCGATCTATACTTCCATCCCCATTGTGTGCTACGATATCTTCCTAGTCGTTCTCGCGGCTGCCACCCTAGTGAGACACCTTAAAGAACAGAGAGAAATCAAAATGAAGCCTAATCCCTATGTGGTTATGATCGTCCGATATCATATCATGTACTTTGTCCTGTAAGTTCCACCTCGTCTAAATATTTGGTTATGAAAGTATTAATCGAAATCTCGCCAGGAATTTGATAAACCAAATCTCAGTGGTGCTATTATGGGCTCATACTCCGGTATGATATTCCCAATATTCTAGACGTTAGCTAACGTACACTTTCACAGACGGGGGCAATGCAAGCTCGCCGCGTTCTTCACCGATACCGCGCCATATATTCTTGCACCCCGCCTCATCATCAGTATTTGGGATACGCATGCCCACGACAATTGTTTACATGTCAGCACGACGTTTGCGGATTGTGTGTGCTTGGCTTCGACAATGAGGTTCGAGCAGCACGAGATAGACTCTGTATAAATTTGGCATACTGGGATCTAGAAGTAGTGGTGGAATCAACCCCCGACAAGCACTACGACGGTACGACCGCATTTAGCCATCGCAGTATCGGCAGTACATAGAGCATCGAACGAAGAAAAGTTCCGCAGTTGAGACATGCGAGCGAAATCATGATACATTTCAATATTTAGTGACACATGGTAAAATGATCAAGAAAAGGCCTCAGAACTTCGTAAGTTTGACTCCGGTGAAGTTGACCTCGACGTGAATCAATGCGCCGAATTTTGTTATCGGGGCACACACTTTCCAACGTTTCGGCGTGGCTGACGGACGCAATTACATAATCTCAGCTCATCATCTCAACTTTCAATCGAAGTCACACCCAGATCATGGTCCCGTCAAGAATATTCCGCTGACGGTGTGCGTGTGCACCACCCTATACCATCTCATAACACCTCATGCGTCTCGACTCTCAAGTTGTCTAAACACGCCCTGGACCGGGCACGGACTGCTAGGGGAAATCCAGGCCAAACCTCGAAGGTGGGAGGCGGCGGCTCTATCTATCGAGGAGGTACCGACTACGACATGCGGAGGACTACCCTAAGACCAGGACTCCAATCACTGCGCCAGGACCCCCGCATAAGACCATGACTGTTACACGGAGACCATAACGCCCATTCATAAGACCATAACTGTCACACGCGTTCCTCCCCTGCGGCTATCATTGCAATATGTACTTTTATATGCTGGGCGTCCTCATTCCATGATGAACTTCAATCAACACCAAGGTCCGCAGCAGTATGTGCTTGATCTGAATCTCCCTTGCTAAGGCTAATAAAAAGAAGACCGCGCCTCCTGCGGTAAGACTGCTCCTGGATTACCCTGACGCAGTATGCCGATTAGTGATTACTCATTGCCTCCATGCCCCTACCGCACACTTCGTTGATTCTGGGGAAAGAGCTTATATTCTAAGTTAGAGGTATTTCTCACTCAAACAAATGCAGCACATATGATTCACTGCGGAAAACTTTTTTTCGACGTTGGTCCACCTACAGCTACATTTATCTAGTCAGACGTACTTTTGTGGGCATGAGTTAAAGTTGCGTTTTGTCCGACATAACTTATCTATCAATGGCCCTGTACCTTCGGCGGTAAATCGGGACCTTGATTAAATTTCTGAATAATAGTTCCAATCATTACCCCTGTCCAAGGACCAAGCTTTGTATGTTCCTGTGAATATAAAGTAGAGTTGCTGATCTTGTCGTCGTCCTCAGCCTTGTTTCTACTCTCTCGAAGGTGGCGTAGCCATGTCTATCAGTCGGGCGCTAATTGATAACTTCATTACACGTTCCCCAGGCTACCAAGGCGCTCCCGCTACCCGAGGAACAAGGTAGAATAACGTTCGCCGCGACAGCATGACGTACGAGTCATGAGGAATGTAACAGCCACTCTCGTGAATTCGGCTATCATATCTATTGATTCACAGCTAACTGTTGAAAACAGCAGTTCGTGACATGCATCAGCAAGTTCGGGCCCGCTCCCAACAGGCACAAATCCGGATCCCCCCTAATAAACAAAAGTTCGGGAAAACTCGTTACCATGTCGTAGAATTTTCATTCAACCACCACAGCCCTCATGACACAAGGAAAGTCTGCGCCTTATAACTATCGTACATCAGTACGCATCAGTGATCTGCGGCCCATCAATCATCCTCCTCGGTTTCTCAAGTTTGGTCTGCACGCTGTTATGTCAGAACAAGAACTTGTCGCTGGTCTCCGCTGGAATAACTATGTGTCCGGTTCGTCACGTTCCTATAACCGATTTGTGAACGAACCATCATACTGAACATTGGTTCCAGTGCCAACCATTACCTTGATGTGCTATGAGTATCGTTAGTATCCTGTAGCCTGAGTAAACTTTGCACTGCCGCTGAGCGAAAAAAAAAGCTAGTTCTCCTGTTGGACAAGGAGGTAATAAAGGACTTCTCTTCTGTCAGTCGAATACTTATGGTTATATCGGTGTAGGTTCAGTATGTCTGGGTCAGTATCCAACCCCATATTTGCACAATGATGCCAGTCCCGGAACCTGACTGAATGTCTAGAAAAGACCGTGGTCACTGATGTCATGCCTGTACCTTGTTGTGAGTTTCGCCAAGGTGCTTATTAGTCGTGTTTTACTTTTTTTACTACCCTAGGTTCGATATTTCGGTCTTTTCCTTGGACTGTAGGTCGTCGTTTTCCTGCACGATGCATATGCATCTTGACACTGACACTAGGCTGTGCGGCTGTTGTATGTGACTGCTACGCCAACCCGAGCCATCATTAACTAACTAGCTCTAGGGGGAGGTTTGTTGTATATGCCTGAATCAGTGAGTGTATCCACACATTCCATCTCTGAAGAGTTTTGGCTTGATCGATGTTTCAGCCGTACGTTCCAAGTTCCTTTTACAGCTAAGTCTCGACAGTTATCGTTCTCTTATTTAGCTGCGAGTATATCGCCTTTAACCTGGAGCACATTCGCTCATCATGTAATCGGAACAGGCTACGATCTTGTGGTTCTAATTGAATGGGGCTTTTCAGTGTATTTTTGCTTTGCGGAAGGTAAGTTATAATCTTTCCTACCTCGTTACGCGTAACAAAATTTCTTCCGCAGCCATTCTCATCTGGCGTCTTTATGCTATATGCAATCAATCCAAGCTCCTGCTTTATATTTTAGTGGGATTGTTCTTGCCTATCGTCGCCCTCTCGATAGGGACAGACATCTATCTGTACAGTCGACCCAGCGTGTTTTCGGGTGAATTTTTACTCTGATCGAATTGGCTGCAAGCTGACCCCGCCTCATTGCACAGTGAAAGAAATAGTAACTTCGAGCGCCAAGTACTGCACCCTTTCCTTCCACATGGGGCCCATGCCTGCGATCTATACTTCTATCCCCATCGTGTGCTTTGATATTGTGCTAGTTGTTCTCGCAGCTGCCATCCTCATGAGACACCTCAAAGAACGGAGGGGAATGAGGCCTAATACCTATATGATAATGATCGTCAGATATCATATCATTTACTTTGTCCTGTAAGTTCCCTTCGTCTGCTGGGTTCTGAAAGTATTGATCAAATCTCGCTAGGAATTTGACAAACCAAGTCTTATTGGTGCTATTATGGGCGGACATTCCGGTATGATACCCCCCAAGATTCTACAGAGATCAGTTAACACATACATTCAGACGCCGGCGATGAGTCTCTCAGAGCTCTTCAACGATACCGCGCCCTTTATTCTCGCGCCCCGTCTTATCATCAGTATTTGGGACACGCATGCCCACGACGGGTGCTTACATGTCAGCACGACGTTTGCAGATTGTGTGTGCTTGACTTCGCCAATGAGGTTCGAGCAGCACGAGATGGACTCTGTCGTCGTATAAATTTGACATGCTGCAGCCTAGAGGTGTCTGTGAGGGCAGTGGTGGAATTAACCAGGACCTAGGACAAGCACTACGACTGGAAGTGACTACACTGGCAGAGCATCGAACCAAAGATCGGAATCCAAAGATGGACTCCGTCGTCATATAAGTTTGGCATGCTGGAAGAAAAAATCGATCGAGCAGCGAGTGAGGTGTCTACATATGCGAATAACTTACAACTTTCATCACCCTGATAGAAATGGTAGTCATACCTTATTTTGTAGAATGTAGACCAAATCATCCCTTGTCGTCACACCTATAGCTTAACTGCCCTTCTATCTTCGCTGATGATATGCGATCAGCTTGTTTGCACAATACCTACACAAGATGAAGGGATACGTTGACGAGTCTGAAATGCACCAACCGAAGATACACAAATATAAAGCAAGGTACGATCGCTACATATTGAAAGCATGAAATAAAACAGCCTCCTATGCAGGCTGTGGCGGCGGCGGAGGAGCAGGGTCACTTGGTGCGGGCGCTGTTTGCCCAGCGTATGCTTGATAATACTGCGCTTGCTGACTCGCAGCCCACTCCTTAAACTGCTCTGAGTTAACATCGTAGCCATATTGTGCCCTACCATCATGTTAGGACAATACGGGAGAATATTTGAAGAAGGATTACCAGTATGCTGCATATGCGTCTTGGGTCTCTGCCCCTGGGGCGCCGGGGTTGGTGGTGCACCAGGATACGGTGGTTGAGGTGCACTACCATCTGGCGGCGGGGGAGGCTGCTCTCCAGGTGGTGGCGGTGGAGGTGCATTTTCAGGTGCAGGTGGTGGGGCACCGTACCCACCCTATGAATCGATGTAGGCTGCAAAACTATCGTATATAAGAGGTAGAACTGGACGTACCATCGGGTACTGTGCAAATTGCATTTGTGCTTGGTGCAACTCCATTTGTTGCTGCATCATTGCTGACTGAGCTTTGGCATGCTCAGAGCGTACAACTTCGAGCAGGTCTTCTGTGAGAACTTTAGGCGCGTGCTACTTGATTTTCATCTGGTCCGCTGCTCAAGTGTTAGTCATATGAGTCGTCGAAGGCATGAAACCTCACGTGATGTGTATGTGCATAGGCTCATCTGACTCCCGCCCAGTTTCCTGTTCTACGAAGCCTGAACCTTGACCCTTTATCTGTACACGCGTACTAGGTTTCTTGTTGGATGTATTTCACAAACATTCCCTTGCCGAGCACCAGTCTTTAAACGTTCGACACAATGGAAGTTCAGACGTACCTGCGGCCCAACAACTTTGGCACGAACGTTGAAATTGCGGATAGTCTCGAGGGCAACGGGTAATTTCTCTTCCGGCCATTTACGCTGGGAAGGGTATAAGCCAACAGTGAATTATCAGAACAATTGCACAACCTTTTCGCGTAATCGATCCTTCTTGTCCTCTACTAGGGGACCGAGGTCAATTGATATTAGGTCGTTAACCTTGTCAATTGCCCTCTGCAACATTTCCTTGTTTGAAGCCGAAAGATGAAGGTATAGTGGGGGGTCTTTCTCCGTCGCCTTTGATCGATCCGGATACCACACACCCTTGGTACTAACTGATGCGCCCGTTTCCTCGTGAATCTACTTGGGAGATTAGAAAATGACTGGACATGTAACCACCGTTCGAAATACGCACCTCGGTCTGTGTAGAGCCTTTTGTCAACATATACCGGTTCCGGACATCATTGATATCAATGTCATGGGTAAAGTCTCCATCATGCGGGTCCTTCTGTCCGATCTGTATGCTCCCGGCAATGCCTCCACCAGCACTAAACTGAGCTGCAATTTTGGCATGCAATAGCAGCGGCAGCGGCCGCAGCCTCCGAAGCAGTCTTCCCCTCGTCGGTTTTTGGCGCCTTTACAGGATGGTCAGATTCTGAAGGAGTTGTTTCGGGGGCAGCCTGGTCCCATTTGCGTTTTGACGACATTGAAAGACGCTGAACGGGGCTCAGCTGTGAATGAGGAGGGGAAAGAAATGTGACCGAACACCACGTCACGGCCGCGTGACACATCAATTTCGATCTCCGCGGCGTCTCCTTCCTGATCGGGCGACATTCTCCTGGTGCGTGCAACGAGGTGGGGAAGACGTAAAGTGGTGCAAATGTCCTCCAACAAACGCCAGCGGACGCTTTCGAATTCACGATTATCGCCTCCATCTCAATCTACATCGCTATCGCCAGAAACTGAACCAATGTATAAGTCTAGCCGACAGGAGGCATCGGGGGATCGCCATTTGCTGTGCACACTACCACCAACATGCAATCCGCCGCACAACCGCCCGACACCGATCGCGAACTCGAGGGATCTGGAGGCGCATTATGGCAAGTACCATGCGCAAGTGTGTGAGCAGAAGGGGTGTGGGTTCGTGTTTCCCGATGCGAGGTTGCTGGAGCTGGTGAGTGAACTACGCATAAGTGGGGTCGTCTGCGAATGCGCTGACATCGATTATCGATGATTGATAGCATCAAACAGAGTGCCATGATCCACTTTCTGCTGTGCGAAAAGATAGAGGGGAGAAAATCGTGCGTTCTGCTTTACTACAGTCGTCCTACATCATCTCACCTCCTCAACCGTCTTACAGTTTGCTTGCCATCTGGTATCATGTCCTCGTTTATTTCAGACGCCCAAAGCACGTCGATTACATCTTATTCAAGCACACTCATACCCAAAAGAGTACTTTTTCGCTGTGACAAACAAAGGTGTGGGTGGTCTACTTAAACGCTGGGGAGAGGGCGCCAGCATGATCAGAGGAACCTGGAAGCCAAGAGATAACAAAAACGAGCAGAAGGACTCGGAAGATGATGAAATGGTTGTTGATGAGGATGAGGATGAAGATAGCAATGAAGGCGAAGATGAAGAGTCCAGCAGCGAAGACGAACAGAACGGAGAAGCAACTCCAAAAATACGCCACCATCAAGAGCTTGAGGAAATACCCATCACACGAGCCGTCCACTCTCCACCCCGGCGAGGAAGTGGGGCAGCGCAGACCGCAGCTGACTGTGACGTAGACAAGTTGGCAAACTCGATAAACTCTCTCTCGTTGGTCCCACCGTCTATACGGTTCGGGAGAGGTGGAAAGAATGGGGGATTCGTTCATCCAGAGATGCACAATCCACAGGTCAGCAAATTCAATCCTCACGCTTTCGGTCCAAGAGGCGGTAGAGGCAGAGCGAGGATTGCAACCGTGGTTCCTCGTGCTGGATCCCATAACGCACAGATTGGTGCGCCTCACTCCTCTCAATCGTCTGCAGAAATTGGCGCTGCACCGAGGGGTGTGCCCCCTCGTGGAAGAGCGGGCATTATCAATGTCGGGAAGGGTTTCAGAGGACGTGGCCGCGGGTCATAGAGGGAAGCGATGGAGATTAAACGGGAGGAAGTGCTGATAGGGGACTGATCTCATGAGCTGCATTGACAGATTCTGATGAAAATAACGTGCACGTGTATACCAAGCAATGTACATCACCTCTTCTGTTGTATTGTCATCAATTGCATTCGTAGGGCTATGTATAAGGTTGGGCACGGCTCCAGTTTAACGGCAATCATTTACTGTCACTGGGTGTGTTGGGTGAGTCATAGTATGCGCTGGCAGCTAAACAAGGCTGTGGAAAAATGCTAGGTAGCGATGGGAAGTCAAGCACGGTTGTGTCAGAATAGCAAAAAAAAACACAGCGACGTGCATCTTTCACCTTTCCAATTGTTTCTCTTCTGACCAGTCAGTTACTAGTCAACAGCTTGATTTCCCTAAGTGCCTCCGAGGCGTTTTCTGCACTGCCTAGTTGGGAAAGTGTTGTATTAGGAGAGACCCCGATCACTGTAGTTCGCGAACGTGAAGGATCAAGGAGACTCGTTGATATGCTACTGCAGCGGCCTGCCAAAGGTTATGAAACGCAAACTGATTTGCATTGACCACGTCCAGGAGGATCAAATGCAGTGAAGTCAAGTTTGGAGGACAATGAGGGACGGAAATAGCCGGTGTGAACAGAGTTTATGGGGTCCTTGAAGACAATGAAGAGATTTCTTGTTGTAGGTCCGAGTTTGTACAACATGAGCCAGCGCTTTATCATACCACGCCTTAAAACTATTGTCTAAATGGTGGCTCTAGTCTTCGTGGCCTATAGCCTTTTGTCCAGGTAATCCCTCAAAAGCAGACGCCTGAAGTTGTCAATCCCACATCGTTGAGCTAGTCTCGCGTCTGCTACTGCATCACTACTATCAATCCAACTTCTGCATCTCTTTTCATCTTTATAATAATAATTCTCTGCAACTCTCTCAACTGTATCCTATCCGGCATAGATCATCTGCTTTGTGCTCACTGTATCGCTAATTTTTTTTTGTCTCCGTTGACCACGTTCCCTGACCGTCCTTTGTCACCTGCTTGTAAGTGCCGTGTCTTTCGTTCTCGAACACGAAAAATTCATGTGCGCCCTACACAGAATACACGGGTACTTCCGTCCATATACCGCATACCCGTTCCATGTCTTCTATTCAGTTACAGGCTGTGCCACAGGATATTGCTATTAAAGCAGACTGTCCCCCGAAGTACGCCTTCCTGGCTTACCCCCCGCCCCCCAAAAAGCGTCCTACGCAGCCCCTACCTTCCCTGCCTTCGTGTGCCCAGGTAGTTGCTCCTCAAGCAGCACCTACCCGCCGCCGCTCAAATACTTTTTCCACGATCGCCGCTTGGGCGGCCCACGTCCAGCCAGGATCCCCTGCTTCTCTTTCTCCACGCTCTCCCCTTTCTCCCCTCCGTCGTCCCTCGATCGGTCGCGGTCGCAAAACATCCATTACGTCTATTCGTGTCTCATCAGGCTCCTTCCTGAACATTTTAGACACCCCTGCCACTGCCTATCCCGCCGCAACTCCCTTGATCCAGAATTTTAAAGCTGACCTCACGTCTGTCGGTTATACCTCTGTATTTTTGCAGTTCCCTAACACTCCTATAACCGCGACGCTTCCCATCGCGGTCAAGACTCGCACTACTGAGGCTGGAAAGCAAATCCCCATACCACCCGTGCCCGAATCGCCGACGCGCAAACCTCGCGGGCTTAGCCGCTTCCGTTCCTTGTCTGTTCTTAAGTCCCGCGGCAGATCCAAGTCCGCCGCGCCTTCGTCTCCTACGAAGATGAAGGCCAAGGCAGCAGCGTCATCTGCCGCCGTGGTTAAGCGCAAGAAGGCGAAATACGCTGCCATGCGCCCTGCGCCCCTTGCCAACGAGCTCGCCCTTATGCAGTTTGTTGATGGTGGCAGCATGGAGTCTAACATCAAGCGGGTCATGGAGGCTCAGGCTAAAGCCGGCGCTGCCGGTGTTGGTGATGTCTACCGTGACGGTCAAGGCGGTATCTGGTGGGATCAGGAAGAAGAATGGGAGTATGCCCATCTCCTTGCTGGTGGCGAGGATGGTGCCGCTCACGGCATGGGTGACCTTCAGTGGGTTACTTTTGGTGGCGACAAATCGCCCTCCGCCATCCTCGCCGACGAAGAGCGTCGCGGCAGTGTCTCTACCCAAGACTCTGACTTGGATCCACGCTACATTGTCCAACCCACTGACCACCTCGACACCGATGATCTCGCTGTCTTCGGAAGTGCTCTTGCACCCCTTACCTACTCGTAAGCCAGCCATGTCCGTCCTAGCACTCCCCTCCCGCCCTCGGCGCGCTGCGAAGCACCTCCGCAAGCCCGACTTCCTTGTGAACGTTGCCTTCACCAGGGGTTCCGCATCACCCAAGAGCCCCAGGTTTACAGCATCGACGTTTGCAAGTGGTGTCGCTATGCCCAAGGGCAAGGCGCGCAGACGCCCTGCACCACTGACGCTGAGCCCTCCCAGCCCCGGACTCAAGCGGCCGTCAAACTCTCCTGTGGACGCTGAGCGCATCCGCAAAGACTTCCTTGCGTCTTCGTTCGAGCCTCCTGTTCCTGCTACCCCTGCTACTCCAGCCATGACCAGAGACAACCGTAGCAAACTAGCCACGCGCGCACTCAACCTCCCCTCAAACGGCAGCTCGCTCAGTCTTCCCTCCAAGAAAACCCTCGCGAAGAAGTCATCAAGGCTCAATATGATGAGCCTATTCAAATCCTCCAAAAAGGAGGGAGCGGAGTGCACGGTCCACTGAGCGAGTCAATTGTACTTTTCTTCATTCTCTCTGTTTATTAAATTCGATTCGAACGCTTGCTTAACGCTGATGTTGTATCTTGCTGTGCTTGTTTGTTTGTTTTGTTATGATGCTGTAGCGCTAGTGGTTATATGGCTAGAACTGCTGTAGAACTTCGCGATCTTGCTTTGCGTCGTGCTTTCTTGCATATGTATGTATGGATATGTTACTTAAGTGTACTACACACGTAATTCTAGTATTTGTTTCTGATCTTTTCGTGGTCTGAGCCTGACTTAAAACAGCAACTTAGTATCCTGGAAGAACGTGATCAATCTATAGTCCAATCTCATATCTAGTGATGTCTTCGTGAGGCTGAACTGAAAGAACTAGTTAGTGACCGAACAAGGTTCAGGTCTAAGGATCAGCTCATCGGATCGGGAACGCCACTCAAAAGTTAAGTCCAAATATGGGAAGTGGTCAAGAAGGAGCAACGTAGTGACCTCCTTTACGTCCCAAATTCCTCAAAGCTTCGAGTACATATCTCAACGATTGTGATGGCTGGCGATAAGGAAACACTACTCAGCATGGGCTTCGACCCAGCCCGTGTCGACTGTTCGTATTCTCTTGTGTCCACCTTCCCTGACTGATTGAAGTGCCACCGTGGACGCGTTATACGCAGGGGCACTGAGAGCGACCAGCAATCGCGGTTTGCAGCCTGCCATGGACCATATTCTGGAGAACGAAGGAAAGCCTGTTCCAGATCCGAGCGCTGCTGCTCCTACGAGTGCATCAGGCAGTGCGGAGCAGCCTACTATGGAGGTCGATGTCGATGATGAGGATGAAGATGCCCTACGGCGCTTGATGGGGACTAAAGCTGGTGCATCGAGCACAGCTGAAGAGGCGGAGGCCAAGGTACGCCCATTACAGCTGCGGCTCCGAAGGCATCTCCAATACACTCACTTATTAGAGTATCAAATGCTCAGAATGCGGTAAAGTATTTAAGAATACGGCGCTGGCCAATTACCATGCCGAGAAGAGCGGTCATGATCAGTTCGAGGAGTCTACCGAAGAGGTCTGTACCCCGTGGCGCGTGGTGATGTGCCGTATTTCTCACCCCAGATGACCTCTCAGATAAAGCCACTTACGGAGGAAGAGAGGCAGCAGAAGTTGGCTGACCTGCGACAAAAAATAGCTGCAAAGCGATGGCGTAAAGGCTCAACAGGACGCCAAAGAAGCACTTGCGAATGAAGCTATTCGTCGTAAGTCTGGTAAGGTAAGTTTAGTTACGCCGTGACGTTTTGGATTTTTCGAAACTTTAACTCAAACAAGGACATCGGCAAACTCAAAGATGAGATGAAGGCCAAGGAACTCGTGAAAGAAGCTGAGCAGAAGCGTAGAGGTAATTGCCACGAGCATGGTTTCATACGTATCTATCCGATCTAACCGCACGCTTGTAGAGAAGCTTGAGGATGCCAAAGCCAAGGCCGCAGTAAAGGCCCAGATTGAGGCTGATAAGAAAGCTCGCGCCGAAAAGGCTGCAAGGGAGAAAGCTTTACGTGAAGGCCAGGTCATCGTTGACGCAGCAGCCAGTGCGTCAACCGCTCCGTCGGCGACAGCGTCCTCGTCCAGCGGTACAACCGGAAAGGACTTCAAAGACACCCGTCTCCAAATCCGTATGGCAACTGGGGGAGCCCCTTACACGACTACCCTGCCGAGTGACGCAAGTATGTGCCATCACTGCCCTGCATAACTGTCTTGTAAATGAGATGTTTGCAAGCGTTACGTGAAGTCGCTGAATTTTTGGCTGCCCAAACTCTCTCTGTCGACGTGGAGACAGTCACCTTTGCCCAGCATTTCCCCAGGTCAGTCAGCCCTTTGTTTCTGCAACGTCATATCCAGCACTAAGGATTTATGAATTTCCAACAGGAAAACTTTCTCGCGCGAACACTTTAGCAAAACGCTGAGAGAACTTGGCTTGACGCCGTCAGCGGTACGTACTTATCTTATGCGACGCACGGGATTATGACATCATGGCGTATATTGGTTTTACAGGTCCTCATTGCGTCTTAAGGCGAAATATCGGCTGCGGCCTAGAATGACTGTGAGATTTACGGGTTGTGGATATTGGAGACCAAGCTGGAAGGAGCCATGCAGTTGTACACTACCTCAATGAATTTACCTGGGTATATCACAGTCAAGGGATATAAAATGACAGAGACGAGAGAAAAAAAAGGTGAAGTATGCTATATAATCTCGACGTGGGTGCGGAGATGTCATGTCAAAAGAACAGTAACCAAAATAAAACCAAATGAAAAGGCCATGTTAAGCATATTCGAAGAGGGTTATCGAAGCGTTCACATAACCGACCGCAATTCTCCCAGACTCTTCATCGATAGCGATCTTGTTCCACAAGTCGTCGTCGCGTACACGAAATACCATGGAAGCTTGCGCACCGTCCTGCGAATTTACGGACGGCGATTCTCCCATCGTCGTCAGTGTCTTTCCTGCAAGTCGCTGGCCACAGTCGCTAGGCCCCATCCAGTCTTCAGTGTGGCTGTCAAGCCAGAGACCAGTGCCATATCTCCCGAGTGCAACGGACGACGGGGCGAACAAACGCACTGGAGAGCCTATCGTCTGCACTGGGGTGGGTTGTGCTAGGTAGGGAAGGTTGTATAGAGAAGTCTCCCGCCCTGGGACGTACGCAGGGTTTGGGGTGAGGACGAAATGATGCAAGATGTTCACCGGCCAAGGGTAGGTACTTCCAAACCGAATGACAAGGTTGATTGGAGAGGGGCGGTGCGAGCGCGCAGCGTGCCAGCTGACTTGCTCTGACATATTGACGGTGTCTGCGCGCCACTGGAAGCGGTGCTGTGCGAGTGGGTACGAGATGGGGGCGCCCGGTGTCGCGATGAGATTTGGCCGGGGAATGGTCGAGTAGAACTCGACAGTCTGTTGGCGAACGATTACCATGTAATCGTCGCGGAGATGCATCGCTTGGCAGTGATCGTTCTGCCAGTTTCCAAACCATAGAACTCAGCGACGGGTAGAATTACATGGAAACAAGCCAACCTGTAATATTGAGGGATTCACCAACTGGATTTTTTCACGAGGCTGATCGTTGAGGTCCCATAAACTGACTTCTCCGCCGTCTCCTGGACGGCGGGTAACGAGCGTGTTCCCACTGAGGAGATGAATCTCTCTAATGCCGTCAATGGCACCTAGTGGGATGAATGCCGACTCGGGATCTTCCTCTTCGAAGTCGATGGTGAGTATCTCCGTTCTATAATGAGTAATGAGCAAAAAGCGTTAAATTAGGAGTTACGAGTTACACTCACTGTGCTGACTGCATCACCATTATGGCCGGAGAAGATGGATCGTCATTAATGACAACCCCGCCATAGGGCCCATCCACGTGAGTCAGTTCTGCGATGCAGACGGGTTGAGGGGTAGCAACGTTCCAGCACTGGAGGACAAATTTTTTGGGTTGCGCGGTCATCGTGACAGAAATTAGCCAGCGGTTTCCTCTGCCAGGGAGAAACTGCATGAAAATAATGCGCGAATCTGGCTCGGTTGGCTTGTAAAAATCGACTTCCCTCTTCGCATCCGGATTAGGGTTGGTCCAGTTGGTGCGAAGAGCGAGCGCATTGCAGGTGAGCTGCTCGAGCTCTGAGGCTGACAAAATGTCAAGCGATCGTCCCTCAAGGTGGGGTATAGGAATGTTTTGCTCCTGGACATGAGTACGCAGGAGGAGAGCCCAAAGACTGCGCATACGCGTGACAGCGTTAAACATTTTACTAGTCTAGAAAATAAAATCAGATTGAAAAATACCATGAAACGAGACAGGGGCGCAAACCTGCCGCAGCGCCAGGACGCTCTGGATAGGAAGATGCTGAATTACATCGAGAAGTATGTCGAGAGGGACAGGAAAAGATGGAGAGTGATTCCATGAGTCAATGGCGAATTGATCCATAGTTGTTTTACGGTGAGTCAGATGAGGGTTGCTGTATGGTATTTATAGATGATAGCCGCAAGGGAAAGTAGAGCAGGAATGTATGTAAGAGCAAGCAGCCAGAGATGCGGATTCAGTCCACAAACAATTTATGTATGATGAAGTTCGGCTCTGGTTGCAACGTGTAGACTTGATCTCTACTGAGAGGCTCTAGTGGGAGATATAGACGTGGTAGGAGTGAAAGACATGAGAGTGATAGTTCATACTTATACGATGGACAAAGGAGGTAGTTAGTCCAGGCGGTGGTGATAGTTATCACCGATGCAGTGGAGAGTATGATTGTAGTAGGCTGAGTGAACGAATAGAGTCAGCTTCGCGAATCATGATGACAAGGAAACCCACGATGTTTTCTCTCTTTTCTTGAGCAATATTCCGGATCCGTGTGCCTCGCTCTTCTAAGTACGTCCGTGAGAGACAAAAGAGGGAAGTATGAATACCTTCGCAACGGCTATGAGGAAATGCATTTCTAGTTCACCTATAACGCGAAAAAATCGGACAATCTGAATATGCTGTTAATGGGGAAATGACCCTGCGGTAATTTAATATAATTGCGTCACTGAGCAATTACAGTACACCGGGCCTCACGAACTTGTCATGTTGGATGAGGTCGGACAACCATGAATGTTTCATACCTCAAGGAGCGAAATTCGCGGCCTTTACATTTGACTAATATTTTATGCAAAAAACATATCAAATCCCTTTTGTCCGAAATTACCTTTTTGGCTGTCAGCTAAGTAGTCCACTAGGATCCCTGTACTTATGACACTGGTCAAACCCCCTAACTTTATCCTACAGCTTCAAGCAAAAAATGCTATGAGGGAACCAGGGGCATGCGTCGTTTTCCTGTTCGTACTTATCAGACATGAAACCCGTTCATTGCTGATCAGATTAGATGGCCCCGTTAATTTTACTTCGGGTCCCATTATCATACGGCAAATCTAGGGTCAACGGTTATAATTGGGCTTTGGTCATGCGTGCGCCATGTGCCTAAGCCTCTGTTCGACCGCCTCAACGCCCTACTAGTTATTATAATACTTACCGACTTTGCAACATACAGACAATTGCCAATTATTGGCTCCACCATCGTGTGCGCTGCTCACATGGATTCGGTTACAGCAGATGAATCTCCCCGTCGTCGTCCCTCAGTTGTCCGCGACCGTCCTTCTAGGCCTCCGTTGCCACATGGACCACGCTTACGCTCCCGCACAAAAAATTCGCTTGATATGAACAGCCCCCCCGGAAGTACTATCGACGGAGGCTCTCCTGTCACCTCCGCATTGACGTCGCCTGTTTTCACCTCTTCCTTCCTCCGTTCAGGATCCCCAAGCGTTCTGGACGAGAGCCAATCCTTTTTCCTTGATGCCTCACTCCCACAGCCACAACGGAGGGCTTCTTCACGTGCACGCGCGACATCAAATATTGGTGTTCAAGTTTCACAGAATCTCACTTCGTTCCCTTCTTCTCCCTCAGTATCGCCTGCAAGGACACCACCAATTCAAAAGCAAAAACCTATGCTCTCCTCAAAGCCATCAATAGCGACATTCCTTCCTCCTCCCCCCCTTGCGCCCCCGCCTGCAATATCATTCGAATCTACCCCAATTCCATGGAAAGGCCTTCCCTACGAGGCCGCCCAATGGACGTTCACCTCACCCGAACTACAGGAGATAGTCTCACGTGCTATCAGGTTGAGCGCAAAAGAGTCCTTCATACGTCTCCTATCTCTGCAGGCACTCGACACAGATATGATAAAAGAAGCCGAGCGTCTCGAAGAGGAACGTCTAGCAGCGCAAGTCAAATGGAGATTTGAAATGAACAGACGAACCATGTTGTTGCAGGCCCTCAACTCATGTGCCGGTGTGTTCGCCAGCTCGAGGGAAGGCGATAAAGATAATGTATTGGGAAGTTTGATATCTCAGGTCGCAACTTCCATCGCTTCATGCGACTCTATCCTTGCATCCATCTTGCAGATGTCAGACCAACAATCCCAAATTTCGATAGTTCAGCATCGACATTGGGCATCAGCTCTCGGGATTGCACTTCGCAAGCTGAATAAGGCATTCGAGCGTCAGGGAGAAGAGATGAAACGCGCGGTCATACGCATTCAGACGCTCGAGGATGAGCTCGAGGAGGCCTGGAGAGAAGCGGAGGGTATGGCTGCTGAGATTGATGGGATGGAGGAGAGCGACGAGGATGAAGTTGATGATATGGATGACAACCAAACGCTTGGAGACATTACCATCCACACCGATATCGCACAAGTCATGGGTGTCACTGCTAAAGCTGTTGCATCAAAAGCCACTCTCATCTCTCAAGTGAAGCACGTATCATCTGACGCCAAGTCTGTCAAGTCTGTCAAATCTGTCAAATCCTCTCGCAGCAAACGATCCACCAAAGATGGCCCGAATCGGCTTTCGCGTCTATCAGCAGCGAAGACACGCTCACGCACTGCATCTAATGCCAGTTCTACGTTTGCCCAAAGCGTTGCGGACTCCGCCAGCGTCTCATATGTCACAAGATGATCCGCCACCCATGCCTGCGCTGCCAGACGCCTTACAAGGATGCTCGTTCCTTGATATGGACACCAGCGGCACGGAGTATTCTCGTCCGCCAAGAAAACAACTGCCTAACCGTGCGTATTCTTATAATTTTCCCATCGCTTGCTAACGTCTACATTTCAGGTGCTCCGGAGCCGACAGTCTCCCTCCCCGAACCTCCCCATACAGCAGGCCTTCCTCGAACTACCATTCCTTCCATTTGGATCGACGCCGATTCTAGCCCCGGTATGCGACCCAACGGTCTCGATCGCTCGCATTCCATGCAGATCTTCCCCTCTCTTCGACAGGGAGGGCGCAGAAGCGATCTCGTGATGAGCCTATCACAATCCGATCCCAGCAATTCGCCCTGTAGATAAGGTTGAGCCTGTTCTGGGCAGCACGGGGGCTCCGACAGTAGCGGACAGATTCCTCGCTGCAGATAGACCCATCCCCACTATCGAACGACCAGTATCAGCCATAGATAGGCTAGTGTCTGGTGCGATGGACCGACCACGTCCGACTGTGGACAGGAGGAGCTCTAGCTCACACAAGCTGTCGCAGCTGATTGAAAGGTCGTCGGGAATCTCTGCGACTATTTCTCTGGTGGGAGGTATTACTCGCGGGGCTTGCCCAGTTACCGGTCAACGGAAGGGTATCTCTGAGGGCAGGAACCCGCGGCGAGTCGAAACGCCAAGTAGATAGGCTGGGGACATGATCCATGTCGTCAGTCTATCTATGCATTCTCTGGGTATGTAACCCCCCCATCATATCCAGCGTGACCAAGTAACTGAAGTCCCTTCCATCAGACATAAGTCACATTCCATTTATACGCACATATGTGCCCTTCTCATCTACGGATATCTTTGATTATAGGAATTCACATACATAATTAATACCTGCTGTATAACATACTGACATATAATTTGTTTTCGCTGTCGCTGTTTTCGATATTTGCATGGCATTTATGTAACTATCTACTCATTCAGTCCAATAGATCAATCATGATGCTGAAACTAGTATAAGGAAGATCTGAACTACTGCCGTTGAATCACTTCTCCTCCCCCAGAATAATCGCACCCTTGTTCCCTATCAGAGTAGACCACGCTCCTTCCTGTCCTGCTTTAGTGGCACCCACGGTGGCGGGTAGGCCAGATGAACCCCAAATGCCTGCTTTCATAATACCTTTAGCGAGAACGCTAACCTGAATCTCCACGTTGGACGTAAAATACGATGCGGCGCCGGTCACGTAACTTGAATGTGTCAAATCAACATTGAAAAAGTTTTTAAAAGGGGGGGAAGCGTACCCAAAGATGGTCTCTGCGAGCCTTTTATCTTCGCGCTCTGCTCCTTTGAGGAAACCTGGGCGGAAGACGATAGTGTCCGCATACCCAAGGCGTGCTAAGCCTAGTTCGGTGAGACCTTTTGATCTGAAGGAAAGAAAGTCAGGGAGGGATTTGAGAAAGGGTAGGACATAGTGATGTTTGCGCACTTCGGATACAGGAAGGGAGACGAAGCATTAGCACCCGAAGACTAAATTCACGTCAATCCACGTAGCGTGCAACACAGGTTCGAAATGAACCCACAGAGAGGATACACGAGCCGCTGTTGATGTGTCGGATCATCTGATTTTCGTAGCCTTGCAGGCGTTCACAACATACCTGGGTTCACGCTATGCATAAGATGGTTTCGAAGATCACAAGAAAACTCCACTCACTCTCTGTCGATCTTCTCAAACATCTCTGCGCTCCCAGCCTTCGCGCGAGTCGTCCCAAGGGTTACGAACACGACATCCCACCGTCCATCCTTCAGCCCGCTGCATCCAGGTTTTCAAAGTCGATGGTTTTCTGTTCCAGCTTGCCCCTATTCTGAGGAAGGTCGGCTTCTGGTGTTACTCGTCGACCATATTCGCCAACTTTAGACCATTGGTCGCTTGTGAGAAGCTCGCGAAGGAGATTTCTGCCGGTTGCGCCTGTTGCACCGAGAATGAGAGCAGTCTTGCTTGTTGACATGGTGTTGCAGAAGGAGGTGACGGCGTGGAATCAGTGGATGCAGTGACGCGCATACGCGGCGGCGCACTGCCCCCGCCGGCACGCGATACCAAAAACGCTTTACTTATGTAAGTAGTCAAGACTGTCGTCCCTTAGGCCTTAACCGTTACGCCAAAAAGGTAGTGATAATCAAAGCTAGCGCTCACGCTTCATTATCGCGGACAGTATTTATGCTGGTTATGGGAACTCAGGTAAGCTAACGGGCTTACAACTTACATGCTTTTACTCAGGAGGTTGGGACTACAAACGTTCTCAGATCTCATCATGACACTACTCATGCTCAATTGTTGGGTCGTGGGCGCTAACCCACGCTATATCTTTTCACGTCGAGATTGACAGGACGGAAACTATTAGTGGCCTGAAGGAGGTTATCAAGGTGGAGGTGAAGCACGGCTCCGATCCTTTTGATGCCAAGTCTCTCGATATATGGAAGGGAGGAGAAATTCCTTGAACCAATCAAGGTACTGGGGTGGGTGTCCGCGTTTTGCTACTCACCATGATTACCACAGGCGGGAACCGGCTGTCTGGGATGCTAACACAGGTAAATTGCTTCAACGACGACCGACGGGCCATCCGTCGTAGTCGTCTCTTGCGGGAGCCTTCTCGTCTTTATCTTCATAATTGCAGATTAAGAATAACGGATTTGGTCATGTACTGGTACATCCGTCATGATAAACCAGACTCGCAGGGAGTGCAAATAACAAGATCTTAAGATCATATTATCAGAACTCTGTTTCACGATACGATGGCATACCTATGAGATAAATTGCGTACGGGCTTTTACCAGCGTATAGAAAATCTATTATGTACTAGTAGCTGCGGCGCTGATACGGCGGTTTACCTTGATCAGATTCAAACCTTCAAACTTTCAAACCTTCATCTCATCTTCAAGCTCAAGAATAATGTCATCCCTCGCGTTAGCAACTAACATGCACACAGCCGAGTCAAATGTCAATCTCTCCCAGGTATGGAATATCATCGGTGAACTGCAAATCGTCGTAAGTGCTCAGTTTTATAGGTATCCGCGTCCGTGGATACACAATAATATTTCCTCACTTCAGCTCGCACGTTCAATACAAGTGGTGACCGTATGTATATACCAATATATTAGAATATTATTTGATTGATGTCATGACCAGATTCCAGACCTCGAAACCCCGTACTCCCGAGCTAGTTTCCCCAACACGAACTACTTTGACACTGAGTCCAAAGACCAGACCATCAGCGCCATCATTACTGAACGCCAACAACAACGGAATGCAGTTTTGGACGAGATCTCAGGCCTAGAAACAGTCATGCACAGTATCGACAATCTTCGCCAGCAACTCGTCGAAAAGAAGGACAAGATCACCCAGTCCATGAATTTGCACAAGAGATTTGCATCGACTCTCTGGCGCTTGCCAACTGAAGTCCTATCCCAGATTTTTCATCATTGTCTCCCAACAATTCCAGCATTCGATGAACTCCAGCTGTCATCGCGGCTAGAAGCTCCCATGATGTTGACTGCGGTATGCCGACGATGGAGGGAGGTTGCTGTGGACACACCCAATTTGTGGTGCAAACTTCATGTGCCAATCGTCTCCAGAGACCATTGGGAGGGGCAAGCCTTCTGCTGTCACTCATGGCTCAAGCGGTCACGAGGTCTTCCATTATCGCTAGCTCTTCAATACTACGGAGATAGCTTTAAGCTACGAAGCCTTCTTCAGCCTTACATCAACCAAATATCGTCTCTCCATATCCATATCTTCCCAGACGCGGACGAACTTGATGTTTTGTTGGAAGACCTCGCAGCACTTCAGGACCTGACCATAGTCATTGAGGATCGTGACATGGCATTTGACACGCGATCTATCGATGAAGAATTTTCACAATCTATCTCACAACTGCCATTCACTCTGCGCAGTCTCACGGTAGTCGGGTTGTACCTCAAACCCAATGACATATCCTCTGTCAATCCCGTATGGGCCCACCTGACAAATGTCGACATCGAGATACATAAACCGCGTGCATTCCTCCACTTGCTCCAGCTAGGTCCCAACATCTCCTCGTTGAAAGTTCGCGTGGAATCCAACCGAACACGGGCCTTTAAGCCATTCACGCACACCAAACTTCAATCCTTACGCATCGGCTTTGGAAACTCATCCAGTAACCCATTACTTGTCCTGTTCAATGCTCTAACACTCCCCAATCTGCGCATACTTGAAGTTAACGATGTAAGAGTGTGGCCTCATGAGGAATTGAAGGCATTATTGTCGCGGTCAAAGTGCACCCTGGAGACCCTGATTTTCGGCCCTCGAGTGAAGACGACAGAGGAGCAGCGAGCGGAATATGTTGCCCTCATCCCCTCACTCGAGGTAGTGGCGTTGGAATATGGATTTGTTGACGGTATGCTCACCATTGTTCGCAGTGAGCAGTGACTTATTACATAGGATGGTGCACTGCACTGGCGCCCTGCATACTAAGTACTCCCTATCTCACTGCTCATAGTGTACAGTATAGGACCGGTCCTTTACCCACCCCCACTCCTTTACCCACCTCAGGCAAAACTTCTAATTTCTTCAATTTTTCGTATCAACATATAGAAAGTAATTGAAGATGAGGCCTCAACAGACATTGCTATAGTATATGATGAATACTTGATGTCTGCGATGTTGTGCATGACACAAATTAGTTGCCTCAGTGAATTCTATTGAGAGTCATAGTAGATCAATGATTTTTTTCAAGAAAAAGTGGCTGGTAGGATACATATATACTTCAAACATAATTTCCACCTGCAACAGAATTGTGAAAGTCTCCTTTGTTCCTTCTACAGAGTGGATAGATTGAACACAGGTAGTTTGTGAAGGTCTTATCTTGGTGAGCTTGTCACACATAGCTGTCATGCTGTTTGGCTTCCCAACTCTAAACTCACACATCAGGGTTTGCAATATTTAAGACAGGTTTGAATGTTGTGTGAAATGTCAAGATAATACTTAATATTTAGGTTGTCATCTAAGCAGATGTAAAATTTCAAATGTTAAAGAGATCTTGCACGACAAGAGAAATATAAAGCATCAGTGAACACTTTGTTGCTGGCTGAATGTCATTGACAATAAGAAATATAAATATATTTTTAATGCTGGTCTAAACTTCAAAATGAAACTTCACATTTAAAACTTCAACCATCCCACATGACTGAATATTCAGATATGAGAGGGTGCTGACCATCCCTTACAGCTACTGCTTGACATGTCAGTGCGATGGTCATCAACATTTACTATGCTAGAACGGGCAGAAACACAGTGAAAGGTGAGTATTAATGTTGGTGGCATGTTCATAGTATCAATAGGTGACCAACAGTATATCAATACCTTTATTTATGAAATGGGCCTGAAGGAGCCGAACCTAGAGAAGAGGAAGAAAATTGGTGAGTTAGAGTTATGGAATGAGGAGTGGGAACATGTCAAACTGTTTCTTGATCTCCTTGCTGTGAGTATTGTTGTGTCTGGCTTTCGAGTGATGACATTTATGTCTCCTTTGAAGCATGCGGACAATGCTCAACAAGCTTTTTCATCTGATCGAAACCTGAGTCTACATCTTGCTATTCCAGCCCTTGAAGTGCTACACAAAGCATGGAGCTCAAGGCTTGCAAAACCGAAGTATGCCCAGTTCAAAGTGCCTCTTCAGGCTGTGATAGACAAGATTGTGGTTTACTATGAGAAGACCAGCAACTCAAATGCTTATATCATGGCAATGTGTATGTTGTTTGTATTTCTACTTGATGATTGATTTAACTGACCAACAGTACTTGATCCTAATGAGAAAATGAACCATTTCAAGAAGTACTGGGATGAAAAATTGCAACAAGAGGCTCTCAAGAACGTGGAACATGTCATAAGTATTTGAACCAATTCTCATGACAATCATTTGACTCCATTATCAGTTTCAGGAGTATTACATGTGCATTCATGGCAACTGTTACAATGGCGCTATATTTTCTTTTCTCTTTCTTTTCTTACTTACTTATCGGGTCTCATGACTGCTTATCAATACATCCAACACGTGAACACTTACTCATATGCTTACTCATTATGCTTATGCAGATGATTACTCATACTAGTCCCTGATTGGTTGATCCAACATTGTACCATTTCTTGTCTCCTTTTCTGATTGGTTGACACTATCTTTCCATTCTCACTTACCTTTCATGATAGGGTTATCTACCTACAGACTGGCCCTAAACCACTTTCTTGCTACCTATATATACCACACCCCCTGTACTTGTATTCCTTAACTTGAATCTACTAGGTTCTCCCTGATAACTCGAGTTCACCAATCTAGCTGCCTCTCAGCAGACTAGCCTTGATATCTGATCTAGTGAGCCCTTGACACTCGACTAGCCTGAACCCTTGATCTAGCGGACCTTGACATCTGACTAGCTGAAACTTGCGATACACCTTAGTCTTGATCATCTTTTATTGGATCACTAAGGAAGAACTATCCTAGTCATAACAAAAGATTCAAGTTCTTCATTGATGGAGCTCACCCAGGACTCATCAAGAAACTCTATAACACTGGAGTAATCCCTGAAGAGTATGACAAGTTTGTTAAAAAATGTGTCACCCTTGACAATGCTTGACTTCACTTCAACATGATCAGTGCTCACAATGGAAACACCTACCAGAAGAAGAACTTCGGTCCTAGCCGATACACACCCTCTAGAGATCCGAATGCCATGGAAGTAGATCGCTTATCTGAAGCTGACAGAAAAGAGTATATGAGAACAGGGAAATGCTTCTGCTGCGCCAAGACAGGACATCATGCAAATGACCCTAACTTCCATCCCCAAGGAGATGATAAAAGAAGCAATGGGAAAGTACCGGCAAGGTGTGAAGCGCCTGAAAAAGACACTGAGGAAGAAGAAGAGGAGGAGGAGGAGGAGGAGGAGGAGGAGGAGGAGGAGGAGGAGGAGGAGGAGGAGGAGGAGGAGGAGGAGGAGGAGGAGGAGGAGGAGGAGGAGGAGGAGGAGGAGGAGGAGGAGGAGGAGGAGGAGGAGGAGGAAACCACCTGCCAAATGGATTTTTAGAAGGAAGGACTGTTTCAATGTCAGTACCTTCCATTGATATATGCCTTGTATGAACAGTAGGAGACAGAAAAGAATTTTGGGTACTGGCTACCCTGATCCTCACAGAGTGTGCACAAACCATTGAAACAACCATCATTGTTGACTGTGGAGCAGCAGGAACATTCATCAGCTGGGACTTCATCAAGGAACACAACATCCCCATCAAATGACTCTCTGAACCATTCCAGATCAGGACCACCAATGGATCTTACTCTTCTGACGGACCAGTCTCCTACTACTGTGTCCTTGGACTCAAGATTCTCTTTGGAATACCTTGTACGAGCTATTCACCCTGACATTGATTGGACCAAGCAGATAAAGCGAGTTTAGGTGAGCAGCGCACGAAGCAGGAGCTAGTAGAACAAATATATCTCAGGCTCTATGAAAAGACCTCAGTAAGAGTGGGTAAAGTACCTAGTAGAACAAATATCTAATGGTATGCTAGCTCTGTAGAATAACGTGAAAATATGAGACTTACATCTTAGGCTCTATGAAAACACCTGAGATGTTCTAATGACTCAAAAGGTTCTTTATAGTACGGATAGGATAGATAATTAAATTGTCTGTAACATAGGGATAGGCGTTCCAATATTGACGAGCCTCAGCCGACGTCAATGCATTGCCTCGTCGCACTCACTGGTTGCACTCATATTGTTTCACTTTCATCTTCTATGGTTTGTCTTCTGTTTCTTTTGCTTCACCAGATTCCAACAGCAGACCATTTCTATCCCTGCAACACCTTGCTCCAGAAAGATAGAACAATCCCTCAAGAAGCAACAAAATGCCAAGAAAAACCCTGAACCTGCCAAGAAACCATCCAAGAAAGCAACAGTAGAAGAAGTATGAGAAGAATCTCTTCCCCCTCTAAACTCTGAAGAACCACTCCCCAACCTGATCCCTGATCCCAATGATGATGAAGAAATCGAGATGCCTGACTTTAATCAGAAGGAGATGTATGGGTTACTGACCAACTTGCCCAAAAAGTAGAAGACATTGCAACCTACCCTCTTTCCGATGACAAAATTCTCATTGAATATGCACAAGATGGCACTACTATCTGAATCATCGAAAACCTCTCCTTTGACTCCCCACTCACTGCCAATGGAACCTCTGCCACCAAAATCCGATGAACAAGCACAACTGCCCCACTATGAAACTCTTGGATTCTCACCACTTCGACGGAAGAAGAATATTACAAGATAAGTAACAAAGCACAAGAGTTTGCCATGGCAGGAGAACAAGCAAAGCAGAAGAAGTCTTTCAAAGAATTAGTTCCCTCTTATCTCCATGATTTTGCTGACATATTCGCCAAAGATGGGCTAAATAAACTTCCTCCATCCAGACCAGGAATTGACCATTGCATTGAAACAAAGCCAGTGTTAAGGTCGTGCTCAAGGGAGAGGTCACTCAAAGGGCTTTGGCTTCAGCTCGTGCGCTGTGCCCCTTACCCAAGTACGTGCCCTTAATTTCCGGGGGACAGAGGGGAAGTCCAATGGAAGTCCGGGGAATTCTGGAGGACAGAAGTTGGTGGAGTTTGGTGGAACTCCGGAAGACTTATGTGGGGACGGAGTAAGGCTACTACGGAAGTCCAGAGTAGAAACAGAACAGAGGTTAGACTACCCTAAGGTAGAGCCGGAGAAGTAGTCCTAAGGTTTAACCCCTAAGACTCAGAGGTGGACAAGAGGTGAGACTCAAGTCCAGAGATTGCAGGAATGAGCAGAACTAAGATGGAGAGTCGGAGGTATAGTCAAAGGAATCAATCCTAAGACTCAGAGATTGACAAGAGACAAGCTCAAGTCCGGAGGTACAGGAATGAGCAGGAATTAAGGTGATATTTGAACTGAGGAGTTCCAGAGTTTTACAGGAGTTTATATACTGTAGGTATCATGTAAGTAAATCAGTCAGCACAGTAAAAGCTATGTCCAAAGCATATGGAGGGTCTATTAGTAAGTGTACAATGGATCAAGGAAATGAGGTCAGAAATGAAGTGCCAATGGACAGATCAGTAAGCAAAGCGGAAAGGTGTACAACCGGTAACCAGAGAGCAGTGTTCTAAAAGGAGATAGGTGTAAGTCCAGAGATGAAAGCGGAGCGCCAGGTGGAACAGGACAGAGAACCAGACTTTCATAGGGGAGAATCTGGAGTTCCGGATCCAGAGGTATGGGATATAGTGTCGGAGGAAATAGGGGTAGTGTCGGAGGAGCGGAAAAGAGTCAGGCAGAGGTAGCAGGGCTAGTCCTACTGAAATGCACTTTGTGCATTGTCAGAGAAGGAGGGATGGAGCGGATGGGGAAACAGGGGGTCGGACTAGTGATAGGGATGTTCACAGGTGGTATTGGAGGTGCTCAGATCCGGTATATGACAGCCAGGATTCATCCCTAAATCATCCAAGATCTACCCCCTATCTGAGAAAGAACAAGAAGCAGTCAAGATGTTTCTAGATGAACATATCCAGAAAGAATTCATCACCAAATCAAAATCCCCAAGCCAGCAGTTTCTTCATGAGTAAGGTGCCGATTTGGAGCTTGCCGGAGAGTCAGCACCAAGCGTCCAACTGAGCAAAACACCTGGTCCTTACCTATTTCTCTTATCGCTATTCGAATATTAGCATCCGCATATCATACCCTTAGCACAGTTCCTTACTATTCATTGTCTTAATCACTCTCTCACATCCAGAAAATCTCGCACCGCACTTTATCTCTTTCTTTCATTATAATCAACCCTACACTATCCAATCCTTTGCATTGCCACCAATGACTTACCAACACCTGAACCTACAACTCCCGAGCTCTTCATCACCTCAAGCCAGCTCTTCAGGTCCAACCACACCACCTGAAGCACCTCTACCAATGGAATCAGCCGAACCCCCAGCAGACCAAGGATGAAGTACAACGCGGACCAGAACAGCAGCAATGAGGCAGTCTGCCAGAATTGCCAGCGCAGGTGCCAAAGCCAAAGCCAAAGCCAAAGCCAAAGCCAAAGCCAAAGCCGAAGACGCAGCACCACCCCAAGGCAGCACATCTTGGACAACTCCTCTGCCTGGTGCGCCAGCAAAGTCAACAGCCAAGCCAGCAGCCAAACCATCTGCCAAGCAGGCGGCTACTAAGCAGACACCCCCAATCAATGCACCAGATGCCCCAAGCCCCCCCGGCCCCAGCACTTCCTCAACAAGCAGCAGACATAACGGCGCTGCTTGCACGCATAGTGCAGCTAGAGCAAGAGCAAGCAGCCAGAACCACGCAGCCAGCGGAAATCCCCCACAGGACAGTTCCCCCCACACTATTTGCTTCCCCAGAAGAAGTCGAGAAAGCAAGGGCTGCCGCCGCCGCAGCCAGAAAGGACAAATCCAAGGTCACTCTCCCAGAAATAGTGCTAGGCTACAAAGCGAACCCCCTCAACACTGGTGAGAATCCTCTCCTTCTTTGTTTCTCCAACCGGTAGTTTTCCTCTCGATGTCACACTTCATGCACACCGAGGGCAGTGTTCAGTGCCTTGGGTCCCTACCTACAACCCAAGGCATGCGAGACATCTGCGTGTTCGAGTGCAGTCATTCACCATCGCTGAGCTAAAGGCCAGCAAAACCAAAGAGCAGCAGGCTCGAGATGCTAAAGGCACTCTTGCAATATGTCAGGCAGCAGGTCAGACTATTGGTTTCAGGCCATGAAGTGACAAAAGAAGGGGCTTGAGGCTGCCAAAATGTTCTCCGCCCTGCATATGATCATAGGCACACTCAGCCCAACCTACCCAATCACCCCAAATGAAGCCTAAGGCTGACGACAGCCCGTGTTTTTACAGCCGTTCCGCCCAAGGTAGATGAGGCCTTCAAGGCTTTCAAATATGTACCTTACAGTGCGCTTACATTGTTGGCTCGATGGCAAGCCATCAGAAGCGGAGAAGAAGCCTTCATCATCTCAGCATCGGGTTTGATAACAGCCAGAGGGCTTGACCACTGAAATGAAAGGAGCATATCCTTATCCGACTGGATAGGAGCAGCGAATGCAGCGGAAGAGCGCACTGAGCACTATCATGGGGCAGCTCGAGCCAAGGCACTAAGAGCGCACCATAGTGTTGTCCTAGGACTAAGCTGATCCCACTCTTGGGACGTGGCAGTCGAGTATGACATACAGCAATGTGAGATGGTGGTGCAGCACCCACAGCACAACTTATCGCAGCTGGACGACAAAGCCCTGACCATCATCGCGACACATATGGTAGCTAGGCAGCCAGCCTTAACTGCCGCATATAGTACTCCGCAATTCAAGAGGCCACTACCACCTTCTTTGTCATCATCCCAGCAGCCACCAAAGAAAAAGTCCAAACTCCAGTGCTTTCGGTGTGGAGGAGCAGATCATCTACCAGGCGACTGCACAGCAGAATCAACCATCACTGGGCACCCAGCAGCCCAGATCACAGCATCAGCCAAGAGCGCACACACCCTTGCAGCCCCAGGTGGAAAGATATTCTGCATTGGTTGGGCATGATTCTCCAGCTGCCACTTCGCTAATGCCTGCATCAACTACCACGGATGCAGCATCTGCAGAGACACTGCCCACGGCACAGGAACCTGCAGAGCGGCCCAACCTAGACCCTTGGCAGGTCATAATGCCCCTTATCACATCAAAGCTTGAGGAGCTTCTTTATAAATATAGTATATACGAAGAATGGAAACATATGATATCCAGCATCAAGGAAGGATTTGACGTAGGAGTCAGAGAATCTCCGAAGACCACGCAAACTTTTCGAAAACCATGCATCATCTCAACTCAACATCAACATTATAGATCAATACATAATCAGCGAGCAGAGCACAGGGCGCTACTCTCGCGCATACTCAATATCGGAATTAGAATCCATAATCGGCCCCTTCCGCATGTCCCCACTCGGTCTCATACCGAAACCAAACTCCATGAAGTTCAGACTCGTGCAGGACATGTCCTACCCTCGCGACAATCCTGAGAATCCTTCCGTCAACATGGGAATAGACCCAGACGCATTCCCAACAGAATGGGGAACGTTCGACAGCGTCGTCAACTTGATCCTTTCACTGCTCGACAGCTGCATCGCAGCAATGTTCGACATTGCATCAGCCTACAGGATCATACCTGTACACCCCAGTCAACAATGGGCTCTGTGCATTCTTTGGCGAGATTGAGTATACATCAACAGAGCCCTCATGTTCGGACTGAGCTCCAGTGCAGGAGTATTCAGCTCGGTAGCAGACATGCTCGTCGCCATTTACAAGAAAGCCGGATTTGGTCCAATTCGAAAGTGGGTGGACGACTTCTTCGTCATCCACCTACCGCACCAAGATTGGACAGAGGAAGAATTCATCGCCCTGTTGTCCGTTTTTGGGGTTCCATGGAGCTTGGAGAAGCTGCGAGCCTTCACAGCTCGACAATGCTACATCAGCTTCAGCTGGGACTTAGTACATCGATCAGTCTCACTACCCGAGGAGAAGATGGAAAAGACCTTATCTCTGTTGCAAGCATGGCTCACGAAAGGAGCTCGCTTCACGACAATTGAAGCAGCGAGCTTGCACGGCAAGCTGGTCCATATTTCATCGATTTTCCCGCTGATCCGCCCCTTCCTACGCTCAATAGCCCTTTTCGCCAACAAATTCAAATTGCAGCGAGCACACTATTGGCTGACCTGCAATGGGCGTTAGAAATTCTAGCAGTATTGCCACGAGAAAGACCCTTGCACACCCAGAAACCAGTCGACCTCCTCTGGTGGGGCGACGTGAGTACTTCCTTCGGAATAGGTGTAGTGGTAGGCTGACATTGGGCAGCATGGAAATGGAAAGAGGGCTTCCTAGTAGGCTCAGGACACGAGCACAACATCGGCTGGGCCGAAGCCACAGCCGTGGAACTGGGTCTGAGGCTCATTATCCACCTTGGCTTACATAAGCGCCCAAACGTGAAGGGCCAATCCTTATTGGTTCAATTGGACAATGCTGGTGTCATAATATCGATAAACAAGGGCCGATTGCGCAGCCAAGCCACGAACATCGTACTCAAAGAAATCTATCTATTGCAGGCAAGTTCAATAGTTGTTCGTTATTCGTGTCAAAATTCACGCCCATGGCGCAGGCACTCAACGGGGTCCATCTCAAACTCGAACACGTCCCCAGCCAAATCAACATTTCAGATCTGCTATCATGTGGCGACATTCAAGCCTTCCTAGATGGATTTTCGGGCCCATCATGCAGAACGGACTTCCCACTCCCTTCACACCTCAGAGACAAGATGTCATTTGTTACAGCCTAACTACCACATCAGCAGAAATCAACACCCCAGCATCCATCGAGCCATTATCCCTTCGAACGTCACCACTACGCCCACCCTGCCCAGCCGACGAGCGCATCTTTCGCTGGCGTGGAGTCAACACCCCGCCCCCTTCCACAATCGACAATCCCTTAATCCACTTCCTCGCCAATATATCCAACCAGGCCTCCCTTCAAGAGATGGAGAGTTACAGATCAGGCCTGCAAAAGTTCCACATCTTCTGTGACATCTTCTCCGTCCTGGAAATGAACCATCTGCCAGCATCATTCAAGTTATTACACTTGTTCACTCTCTGGGCCATATCCGACCCATCCATAGCTGATTCGTTCCTAAGGTCATCGTCGGCTGAAGCGGTCCCCTTTGAACCAGTGTCAGTAGCAAGAAAATACCTATCTGCAGTCCGCACATGGCATATAGCACAAGGATGGCAACCCTCGCTAACGCCAGATCATTTCACGTGCATAAACTGGTCACTCCGAGGAATGGAAAACCTACAGGGGACATGCCACAAACCAGTCAGGCCCCCAATTACCATCCGCATGGTATTGGCCATCAAAGCCACTCTACAGATAGACCAGCCATTCGATGCGTGCATCTGGGCGATGTTGAGCTGCGCATTCTTTGGAATGATGCGGTTCAGTGAAGTCGCTGTCAAGTCACGCACCAGTTTCGACAAATTGAAACATATCACGCAAAAGGATGTTCATTTCGGTGTCGACCTAGCCAGAAAACCATACGCCAGACTTGACCTACCACAAGCCAAGACGGCAAAGTCAGGAGAAACTCAATCAGTATTCATAGTGGAGCAAGGAGAACTCTGCCCAATCCAAGCACTACGGAACTTAGCGAGTGTGGTTCCTGTGCTACCAGATGACCCGCTATTTTCGTGGAGGGACAGCAAAGGGTGCGTTTGACCAATGGTCAAAGCCCGGGCAATCGAGACGGTAAACAATATCCTGTCCACCTGGAACTGGGGGACAACGTTTGGGCACTCATTCAGAATTGGCAGAGCATCATTCTACCTGGCCAACAAGGTAGACCCAGAGATAGTTCGGATCGCCAGCCGATGGAAGTCGTTGGCATACAAGACTTACATCAGAACCTTTGAACAAATAGCAACTCAACATCTCGGTGGCTTAACGGAGATGGTACAAACTGTCAATAGCTAGCTCACTCGGTTGGGTTTAGCCGCTGAGTTCAGCCGCAGTTGTGAGCTCGTTAGCAGCAGGGTGAGCGGCTTATTCTCTCAGCGTCCAGCCCGAGCTAACGCTCGGACTCAGCCCAACCTACATGCCTCGCATTCAGTTGATTCGTCAAGCAGTAAGTCGAAGTTGGATTTGTGGGAAAGAAAGACAGATCCCTCCAACCCTGCCAAGACTATCAATACATCAATGAATGGACAATACAAAACACCTACCCTCTCCCCTTGATTCCTCTGCTTATTGCCAAACTCCAAAATGCAAAGTACTTCACCAAGATGGATGTTCACTCCAGATACAACAACATCCTGATTCACCCAGAAGATTGTTGGAAAGCTGCGTTCACAACAGAATTCAGTCTCTATGAACCAAATGTTATGTTCTTTGGGCTTTGCAACTCCCCAGCCACATTTCAAGCATACATGAATCGTACCTTCCAACAAGAACTCAATGAGGATGGTTGGTAATCTACATGGACGACATCCTTATCTTCTCGGACTCCCTTGAAGAATATCAGAAGTGAACCCGTAGGATCCTGGAAATCCTAAGGAATGAGAAACTCTTCCTAAAACCAGAGAAGTGCCTTTTTGATGTACAAGAAGTTGACTATCTTGGAATGATCATTTGTTCCAGGACAGATAGTGATGGATCCTGCCAAACTAAAAGGGATTGAAGAATGGTCTGTACCGAAGAACGTAAAGGATGTCCGATCATTCCTCGGCTTCTGTAACTTCTATTGTCATTTCATCTCCCACTACTCCAACATTGCTAGACCCCTTGTAGACCTGACAAAGAAGACTTCCACATTCGAATGGGCACCCCCCTGCAATGACTGCCTTCAACAAACTCAAAGAATTCTTCCTTTCTACCCCTGTTCTTCAAAACCCTGATCCGACTCGGCAATTTGCCCTTGCCACTGATGCCTCCCTTGTTGCCACTGGCGCAGTACTTCTCCAAACTGATGAAAACGGAGTATACCACCCATGTGGGTATCTTTCCCAATCCTTCAACCCTGCAGAACAAAACTACCAGATCTATGATAGGGAACTCCTTGCTGTCATCTATGCCCTGAAGAACTGGCACCACTACCTTGAAGGGAACCCACACCCTGTCATTATTTTCACTGATCACAAGAATCTCCTTTATTTCTGTTTTTCTCAGAAACTTACCTGTAGACAAGCCAGATGGCAACTGACACTTTCTGAATTTGACCTAGAATTTGACCATGTCCCTGGAAGCAAAATAGCCGCCCCAGATGCTCTTTCATGCCAACCAGATCACCTTCCCGATTCTCTTGATAATACAGACATCACTCTTCTCCCCAATTCTCTTTTTGTTTGCCTTTTAGATACTGACTTTGAAAATGCCATCTGTTCTCCCAATCCTATCTCTGATACAATCGTATTAGCTGCCAGCAAGGCTCTAGATGGCCTCTGTCTTCCTCCTATGACTTCTTCCCTTTCTGATTGGTCTTTCAATAATAACATATTACGATACAAGAACCGTGCTTGTGTACCTCCCCACCTCCGCTCCTGTATCCTTTCCCTTCACCATGATCAGCCCACTGCAGGGCACCCAGGTCGCTTCAAAACTGAAGAACTCATCAAATGTGACTACTGGTGGCCCCAGATGGGCTCCTTTATCCAAAAATATGTCAAAGGCTGTGCTATATGCCAGTAGATGAAATCTGATACACACCTGATTACACCACCCCTGACACCAATTCCCTCCTCTGCCATGCGACCATTCTCCCAGATCTCCATCAATCTTATCACTGACCTCCCTGTCTCCTATGATTTTGATTCTATCATGGTCATGGTAGACCATGGTCTTACAAAGGGGGTAATTCTCTCTCCTTGCAAGAAAACCATCACTTCTGAAGGAGTCACCCAACTTTTCTTCAAGAAAGTCTTCCTCTGATTTGGCCTACATGACAAACTTATCTCTGATCACAGCCCACAATTCACAATTTGCATCAAAGTTCTCTAAAGAGCTTGGAAGACTTCTTGATTATGAAGTAGCCCTTTCTACTGTCCTATCATCCCCAGGACTGATGGACAGACTGAATGACTAAACCAAGAACTTGAAACTTACCTTTGCATCTATTGTCACTCAGCACCCACTGACTGAGGTAAAGCATCTTCCCATGGCAGAATTCAGTTCATAATCACCAAAAACACGATGCATGCAATGCTTCCCCTTTCTTCCTCATGATGGGATATGAACCCTGAGGAATTCCTCATGCCTTCCCTCCAACCAACATCCCTGCATCAGAAGAATGAATCACTTATCTGCAAAAGATCCGAGAAGAAGCCCTCACATGCCATAATATTGCCAGACAATGAATGGCAGAACACTCTCATGGAAAGAAGTATGAACCCTGGAAAATTGGGGATAAGGTTTGGCTCTCCACTGCACACCTCATGACTCATCTACCATCAAAGAAGCTTGCTCCGAAGCGATATGGCCCCTTCCCTATCACCGCCAGTCCTTTCCCCTATCACTTTCAAACTCCATCTTCCAGAACAATGGAAGGTTCACCCCACATTCCATGCTTCTGAGTTATTGTCCTATTGGGAAACTGAAATCCATGGTCCAAACTTTCCCTGAACCACCACCTGTGTCATATACCTGATCCAACCACTCCAACAACATTAATATCTGCTCTGCTGTGGGGAATTCCCCCACTGTAGGCATAAAACCCCATCCTTTCCGCATTGTCTCACATCAGTTCCACATATTCCGCATGTTCCACGTTTCCTGCACATCATCTGATGGGTTCTGCATTCCCACACATCCTTTGGAACCCGCCTGCACTATCCGATATTCCCACACATTGTCGGACGACCTTCGCATGTCCTGTTCCTGTCCTTCCAGGTCCATTGGTATGCTGTATCTCTGTTCCCGCTGCTTCTAACATTATCCAGATCACACTGACACATGCCCTTATGGCACAGACCCCTATTCCAGAGTATTGCGCCCTTGTGCACTGCCTGCCTTCACTTCTGCTTCCTGAGAACTTACTACCTGTATCTCAGTGTTCCTTGAAAATAATCTTCCCTTTAAGTAGTGGTACTCAGGGCTTGGGTGTTTTTTATTGAACCCCATCTTTTACCTTCCCACTTTTCCTTCACCTTACTAGAGGACCGCTTTGACTTATGCCCACTATCAATCTAACCTTGTGATATACTTCCTTCGACTTGACCTGCGAGTTCCGACGAATCAGTACGTTCCACACTTTATCTGTTCAAGTTCCATTTCATTCCTTTCCATTCCACTTGAGTTCTGCTTGGGTTCCACTTGTTCCGCCTGTTCCGCTTGAGTTCTGCTTGTTCTGCTTGTTCTGCATTTTTGCGGATCCTCATCCTACCTGTGGTAGGGTTGATTAGGGTTGTTTAGACAGAGACTAGTACTCCCCAGTAGCAATCCCCTTAAGGGTCGAATGCACTTGTTCTCAAGTGAGGCAGCAGGCAGCAAAGACCAAACTGTGTAGTAGATCAATTTATCGCTGCTGCACTTGTTGTACCCACACCACCTGACCTCATACTTTCCCCACTTTCCTACCACCTCCACTCCGTCCGCCCTCTGCCCAACCCAGTTGGCTCCCACATCTGCTCCTATGGTTCCGCTCAACTGCCTCATTGGTTACCTTCTGCATCGTTTCCACTCCACTGGATTCCCTTTCCCCATTTAGGTATATACTTTCTTCATTGACACATAGTACTTACTTCCCGGATCACTGGTACTTTCCATAACCACTCGACTAACTGATCCGACATGTACATATTGATATCCGCTCCGACTTATGTTTTTCACCTGTGTTCACTTACAAATTGTATACTCAGTACATAGCCTCATACCAAGGACTACTAGTCACTGCCTCCTACATAGAAGTATATAAAAACATACTATGTACTTAGCTACTCCTCAGTCTTAATATTACTTGTCTTCCCGCAGTCTCTACTAGTGGGAATTCTCTGTAGGACTTTGCTCCCTCTCCAGACACAAGTTTACCTTGTTGTCACCTCCAACCCTCCACTCCGACTTAGAGCCGCGCTCTAAGTATTTGCTCTTACTTCTCCTACCTGTCATATACCTGATCTGACCACTCCGGTATCAATATCCGCTCCACTTTCCAACCACCTCCACTCCATCCATCCTCCACTTCATCCAATCATCGTCCACATCTGCTCCTACGCTTCTGTTCAACCACCCAACCAGTCCCCTTCTATAATGTCTCCATTCAACTGGAACCTCTTTCCCCTTTTAGACACATACTTTCCCCTTCAGTACATAGACCCTTACTTCCGGATCACTGGTAACTCTTCTTACCACTCGATCACTGATCCGACGCGTACATATTGATATCTACTCCAACTTATGTCTTCGCCTGTGTAAGTACTTACAAATTATATCCTTGGTACATAGCTTTACAACATAGTTCTCCTAATCACTGCCTCACACTTAGAAGTATATAACATATCCTGTACTTGGATATTTTCCTCAGTCTTAATATTACTTGTCTTCTTGCAGTTTCTACTTGTGAGAATTCTCAGTAGGACCTTGCCTCCTCCGGACACAAGTTTCATCTTGTTGTCACCTCTGACTTTCCGCCCCGACTCAGAGCTGTGCTCTAAGTCTTCCCCCTTACTTCTCCTCCTCTATCAATAATCCCCCTTTGCTCCTATCCACCCTCTGCACTATCCTCTGCCTTCTCCGCTCCATTCCTAGTCGGCCCACTGCTAGTAGCAATTACCTCCCGACCCTCAAAGCAGACCAAAGTGGTCCACTCGTCCTATCATTGGATAACATCATACCCGCTCCAAATTTGGGGCATGTACTCAGCTAAGGGCGCAGTGCAAGAGCTGAAGCCAAGCCCCAACCCCTCCGCTTCTTGAGCCCAGCACAGTACCTAACACTACCCAACCAAACCCAATTCCCTTACTCCTCTCCATCCCAACACACTTCCCCTGCTTCCCCACTCCACTTCTAGTCAGATTGCCACTAGTAGCATTTACCTCCCGACCCACAAAGCAGACCAAAGCAGTCTGCCTGTCCTATTGTTGGACATTGTTGGACCCACTCCAAATTTGGGGCACATACTCGGCTAAGGGCACAGTACAAGAGCTGAAGCCAAGCCCTGACCCCTCTGCTTCTCTGTCCGAGCACGGTCTCTAACAACCTGACATAATTAACAGTGAAGAAGAATATGAAGTGGACACCATCCTGGCTCACAAAGGACAAAAAGGGAGACACCACTACCTCATGTCATGGAAAGGTTACTCATCCGCAGACAACACATGGCTTCCAGAAGATGCCTTAGAAAACGCCCCTAAAGTCCTGAAAACCTATAAGAAGTGGCTCAAACTCTCCCAAATCCTCATCCCAGAAAATCACTAAAGCATCATGTCTACTTCCTCCAGCTCCTCTCCACGTTCTTTGATGCCACCCTCGTCAGCCTCCAACACACGCTTGAACTTGAAAAGATCTTTATCAACGGAAATGACCATATCTCTATGTACCTCCTTTCCATGTTCCGTGATACCCATTCCATAGAAGAAGACATCATCCCCAATGTCACAAATGTTGACACCACTACTCGCCTCCACTACCTCAACTGAAAGATTAGGAACACCATCCAGATTCTCTTCCCTAAGACTTTCAGAGATGATGTAGCAGTTGCAATCCACACTGTCACTGAATGCCTTGCCACCACCACAAACACTCCACCTTCTCCTCACATCCTCCCAGTCTTACCACCAACCACTCCATCCCCTATAGAAGAACCATCCCCTCGTAAAGCCACTAAGATGAGCACTGGACAGAAACACCCTGCCAAGCAAACAACCATCATGACCATCGGTCTTACTCATCCTACCCCTTGATACCACAAAGACCATTGCTCACAGCCAGAAATCTGTACCCCTCCAACAGCAACCCCTGCAGTTCTTCCAATGACCCCTCCATCACCAACCCCTGTTCCTAAGGAAGAGACCCCTAGTCCTCCCTTCCACAATATCATTTGTCGCACATGCAAAGAACTCAGGCACCGTCATCAAAACTGCCCCTTTTACTGGTGCAGAATCTGCAGGAACCTTTCACCAGGACACCTCTCCCAATACTGTCCTTCTCTACAAGGAGAAACCATTAGTGCATTCCAAGGGATGACTAGCAACACTAAAGGATTTTACACCCATCTAGCCAAGTGGGAGGCACAAGAGGATGCAGCACAAGAAGAGGACTTACTCTCTTACAACAACATCAACATAGACCCCATCTACCTCAACAATGCAAGGCTTGACTAGGTTGCAGTTGGTGACTTCAACAATACAAAGGGGGTAATGTTACAATGGCACTATATTTTCTTTTCTCTTTCTTTTCTTACTTATTCATTGGGTCTCATGACTGCTTATCAATACATCCAACACATGAACACTTACTCATATGCTTACTCATTATGCTTACACAGATGATTACTCATACTAGTCCCTGATTGGTCGATCCAACATTGTACCACTTCTTGTCTCCTTTTCTGATTGGTTGACACTATCTTTCCATTCTCGCTTACCTTTCATGATAGGGTCATCTACCTACAGACCGGCCCTAAACCACTTTCTTGCTACCTATATATACCACACCCCCTGTACTTGTATTCCTTAACTTGAATCTACTAGGTTCTCCCTGATAACTCGAGTTCACCAATCTAGCTGCCTCTCAGCAGACTAGCCTTGATATCTGATCTAGTGAGCCCTTGACACTTGACTAGCCTGAACCCTTGATCTAGCGGACCATGACATCCGACTAGCTGAAACTTGCGATATGCCTTAGTCTTTATCATCCTTTATTGGATCACTAAGGAAGAACTATCCTAGTTGTCACAGCGACACTGGATACATTGCTCCTGTAAAACAAGGTCGCAGATCTGGCATCAATGTTACATGGCTTCTGCAGGAACTTAGTGACGAAGATGATGATGACGGTGATCTTCTGGCTCCATCCACAATGGCAGCATTGGTCGATCCATGAAAACCTTGGCTTCAAGACTTTAACTATTACAGTGGCTCAAAAAACTGTCCACATGTTTTCACATTTTTCACTATCTATGATATTGTGTGAGAATATACAGACACATCAAGGACATGCTGGTACCATATTGTAGTACTACTTCAGGGCTTCCAATTGAGCCCTATGGCGTGGGAATTGGTCGAGATATGGTGGAGATATGAGGCTTACAAAATGATGACTCATGCGGACAGTTTTTTGACTCAAGTATTTTACAGTGATAATCAGGTATTCTAGTACATTGTGTGACCTCCCTTGGCTTTAATTACTGCCTCTATCCTTCTAGGCATACTCTTAAAACTATATCTAACTATATAAACCAGAATGTCTCATGTGTCATGGTCATAATTACCATGAAAGCCGTCTCCTCTACTCAAAGGGATAATATCTTCTCTTTGTCCTATGCTGGCCTCTCTGCTCATCAAATTTCCTCTAGAACTGAAGTATGCAAGTCTACTGCAGCCAAGTGTATCAAAGAAAGCCACCTGGACAAGGAAAACTCTTGTGGAGGACGTCCACCTCTGCTAATAAGGGGGCTATCATCCAACATATCACTATAGGAAAGGCTAATAATGCCCTCCAAGCCACCCATTATACCAATTCCACCATCACCACCACTGTCTCTTCACAAACTGTGAGGAATGTTCTCAAGGCAGCTCATCTCAAGGCAGTAACAAAGAAGAAATGCCTCTTATCTCTATTAAACATAGGCTGAAAAGACTACCTTTGGCTTGGCCCATCAAAACTGGACTGTAGAGGACTGGAAGCATGTTATATGTTCAGATGAGACAAAAATCAATAGGATTGGGTCAGATGGGAAGGTATATGTATGGAAAAAGAAGAGGGATTTTCTAACAGACAGAGAGGTTAGTGAGGCTGTCAGATTTGGAGGAGGTTCTCTAATGGTATGGGGCTGTATGAGATGGAATGGTGTGGGTATGCCCGCTGAAGTTGAGGGGAGGATGGATGCTGAGCAGTATGTGGACATTCTAAATGACCACTTGCTGCCTAGCATAGCTGACTCAGGGATTGATGAAGAAGACATCATTTTCCAACAGGATAATGATCCCAAGCACACATCTAGGAGAGCCAGACAATGGTTTAAAGAACATAATATCAATGTTCTTGACTGACCAGCACAGTCCCATGATGTCAATGTCATTGAACATCTCTGGGGAATACTCAAGAAGATGCTTCAAGCCTATGAAACCCCCCCTAAAGGAGTATAGGAGCTATGGGAGAGAGTAGCAGTGGAATGGGCAAGGATTACAGCAGAATATTGCCAGAAATTGATTGAGAGTATGCCTAGAAGGATAGAGGCAGTAATTAAAGCCAAGGGAGGTCACACAATGTACTAGAATACCTGATTATCACTGTAAAATACTTGAGTCAAAAAACTGTCCGCATGAGTCATCATTTTGTAAGCCTCATATCTCCACCATATCTCGACCAATTCCCACGCCATAGGGCTCAATTGGAAGCCCTGAAGTAGTACTACAATATGGTACCAGCATGTCCTTGATGTGTTTGTACATTCTCACACAATATCATAGATAGTGAAAAATGTGAAAACATGCGGACAGTTTTTTGAGCCACTGTATGTTAACACATTTGACCAGCTCACCGACAACCAGACAATTGTACAGTGGTGGGGAGTAAGTCATTCTTAAATCCTGATTCAATTACTGGACAACAATATTGAATTTATTGGAAGTTGAATGCAACTAGGTATGGGCCAGTCTGGACAGCAATCGCTTGTGACTTCTTAGCAATCATGGCCTCATCTGTCTCAAGTGAGCAAGGATTTTCATCAGCAGCATTAACAATTACAAAGTGCCATAACCATCTCAAGGGGGATGTCATTGTGGCATTGCAAGTTATGAAATGTCTTCTCCATTGCGACCTGGTTTTTTGTGAGTCAGGACCATCATCATTAACTGAAGATCCTGCAGATGATGAAGACAAGGTTCTTGATGGGGGGGCAGATGAGTTGAGTGAAGAAAGTGTCGAAATTGTTCAAAATTAAGCTATATACTTCATTATACATGTTTTACAAATATTAGTATGGACCATTTACAACTTCAGGCCCAGGCTTCAGCCCAGCCCAGCCCAGCCCAAGCCCAATGTCGGGGCTGAGCCATAATTTCACGAAGCCCATGCCCACTCAAGCCCTGGCCCATGTCTGTGTTGGAATCCAAAACGACTGAAGAGCAGGCACATGATGATGAGTAGAAGGTCCAAGCACAACAAGTAGAAGGTCTGAGCGCAGGGGCACGGACCAGGAACAAAGGATGAGTGACATCAGCCCTGAAGCTACAGATAATCTTTGTTTCATTCTAATATTCTAGATAAGAGAATCACTTACAGTATAAAGTTTAGCGTAACCACAAATGAGTGTCTCAGTTCTATTCCAGAGACTGAGACATGAGTTTCTATACCTTACAGTTATGTTAACCAAAGTTAACGAAATGTAGTAGTCTTACTTATTTAGGTACACATTTCGTCAATGCCAGTTCTATTCCAGAGACTGAGACTAGTCTTACTTATTTAGCCCTACCTCACTCTACCTCTGATCCCCAGAGCCTGGCTCGCACATCACTATGTAGTGGTGAGTTCTGGAGTGCATTGTGCATTCCAGATCAAGTGATAGTATTCACTGGTGTGGTGGGATATTACTAGGGCTTATTATTTAGTAACCAGGACAGGTACCTGACATAATTACTAATTATAAGGTTTAATGGTGTCACTTAGGTGAGATTTGAAATTGAATCACTTATCCTCCCCCAGAATAATCGCACCCTTGTTCCCTATCAGAGTAAACCACGCTCCTTCCTGTCCTGCTTTAGTGGCACCCACAGTGGCGGGTAGACCAGATGAACCCAAAATGCCTGCTTTCATAATACCTTTAGCGAGAACGCTAACCTGAATCTCCACACTGGACGTAAAATACGATGCGGCGCCGGTCACGTAACTTGAATGTGTCAAATCAACATTGAAAAAGTTTTTAGAAGAGGGGAAAGCATACCCAAGAATGATCTCTGCGAGCCTTTTATCTTCGCGCTGTGCTCCTTTGAACAAACCTGGGCGGAAGACGATGGTGTCCGCATACCCAATGCGTGCTATGCCTAGTTCAGTGAGACCTTTTGATCTGAAGGAAAGGAAGTCAGGGAGGGATTTGAGAAAGGGTGAAACATAGTGATGTTTGCGCACCTCGTATACAGGAAGGGAGACGAAGAATTAGCAGCCGAAGACTATATTCGCGTCAATTCACATAGCGTGCAACACAGGTTCGAAATGAACCCACAGAGAGATACACGACCCGCTGTTGATGTGTCGGATCATCTGATTTTGCGGCCTTGCAGGCGCTCACCACATGCCTGCGTTCACGCATGCATAAGATGGTTTCGAAGACCACAAGAAACTCTACTCACTCTCTGTCGATCTTCTCAAACATCTCTGCGCTCCCAGCCTTCGCGCGAGTCGTCCCAAGGGTTACGAACACGACATCCCACCTTCCGTCCTTTAGCCCCGCTGCATCCAAGTTTTCAAAGTCGATGGTTTTCTGTTCCAGCTTGCCCCTATTCGAAGGAAGGTCGGCTTCTGGTGTTACTCGTCGACCATATTCGCCAACTTTAGACCACTGGTTGCTTGTGAGAAGCTCACGAAGGAGATTTCTGCCGGTTGCGCCTGTTGCACCGAGAATGAGAGCAGTCTTGCTTGTTGACATGGTGTTGCAGAAGAAGGAGAACGGCGCGGAATCAGTAGATGCAGTGACGCGCACGCGCGGCAGCGCGGCGGCGCACTGCCCCCGCCGTCAAAAACTCTTTACTTATGTAAGTAGTTAAGACTGTCGTCCCTTAACCGTTTAGTACGCCAAAAGGCAGTGATGATGAAAGCTAGCGCTCACGCTTCATTATCGCGGACTGTATTTATGCTGATTATGGGAACTCAGGTAAGCTAACGGGCTTACAACTTTACATGCTTTTACTCGAGGTTGGGACTACAAATAGCTCTGGACGTTCTCAGATCTCATCATGACACTACTCACGCTCAATTGTTGGGTCGCGGGCGCTAACCCATATCATATCTTTTCAAGTCGAGATTGACAGGACGGAAACTATTAGTGATCTGAAGGAGGTTATCAAGGTGGAGGTGAAACACGGCTCTGATCCTTTTGATACCAAGTCTCTCGATATATGGAAGGGGGGAGAAATTCCTTGAACCAATCAAGGTACTGGGGTGGATGTCCGCGTTTTGCTACTCACCATGATTGCCACAGGCGGGAACCGGCTGTCTGGGATGCTAACACAGGTAAGCTGCTTCAACGACGACCGATGGGCCATCGGTCGTAGTCCTTTCTTGCGGGAGCCTTCTCGTCTTTATCTTCATAATTGCAGGTTAAGGACAACGGATTTGGTCATGTACTGGTATATCCGTCATGATAAACCAGACTCGCAGGGAGTACAAGTAACAAGATCTTAAGAGCATATTATCAGAACTCTGTTTCACGATACGATGGCATACCTATGACCTATGAGATAAATTGTGTACGGGTTTTTACCAGTGTATAGAAATTCTATCATGTAACTAGTTGCGGCGCTGATACGGCGGTTTACCTCGATCAGATATGGATCAGATTCAAACCTTCAAACCTTCATCTCATCCTCAAGCTCAAGAATAATGTCGTCCCTCGCGTTGGCAACTAACATACACACCGCCGAGTCAAATGACAGTCTCTCCCAGGTATGGAATATCATCGGCGAACTGCAAATCATCGTAAGTGCATAGGTATTCGCGTCCGTGTATATATAATAATATTCCCTCACTTCAGCTCGCACGTTCAATGCATGTGGTGACCGTATGTATATACCAATATATTAGAATGACATTTGATTGATGATGACCAGATTCCAGACCTCGAAACCCCGTACTCCCGAGCTAGTGTCCCCAACACGAACTACTTTGGCACCGAGTCCAAAGATCAGACCATCAGCGCCATCATTACTGAACGCCAACAGCAACGGAATGCAGTTTTGGACGAGATCTCAGGCCTAGAAACAGTCATGCACAGTATCGACAATCTTCGCCAGCAACTCGTCGAAAAGAAGGACAAGATCACCCAGTCCATGAATTTGCACAAGAGACTTGTATCGACTCTCTGGCGCTTGCCAACTGAAGTCCTATCCCAGATTTTTCATCATTGTCTCCCAACAATTCCAGCATTCAATGAAATCCAGCTGCCATCACAATTAGAAGCTCCCGTAATGTTGACTGCGGTATGCCGACGATGGAGGGAGGTTGCTGTGGACACACCCAGTTTGTGGTGCAAAATTCATGTGCCAATCGTCTCCAGAGACCATTGGGAGGGGCAAGCCTTCTGCTGTCACTCATGGCTCAAGCGGTCACGAGGTCTTCCATTATCGCTATCTCTTAAATGCGACGCAGATGACTCGACCAAGCTACGAGGCCTTCTTCAGCCTTACGTCGACCAAATATCGTCTCTCCATATCCATATCCATACCTTCCGAGACGCGGACGAACCTGATGTTTTGTTGGAAGACCTCACAGCACTTCAGGACCTGACCATAGTCGTTGAGGATCGTGACCTGGTATATGATATGCAATCTATCGATGAAGATTTTTCACAATCTATCTCACAACTGCCATTCACTCTGCGCAGTCTCAGGATAATCGGGTTGTACCTCGACCTCGATGTCATATCCTCTGTCAATCCCGTATGGGCCCACCTGACAGATGTCGAGATTGAGATACATGAACCGAGTGACTTCCCCCACTTGCTCCAGCTAGGTCCCAACATCTCCTCGTTGAAGGTTTACGTGGAATCCGACGAAGCAGGGGTCTTTGAGCCATTCACGCACACCAAACTTCAATCCTTACGCATCGGCTTTGGACACTCAGCCAGAAACATATTATCTCGCCTGCTCAATGTTCTAACACTCCCCAATCTGCGCATACTTCAAGTTAACGGTGTAGAAATGTGGCCTCATGAGTCGTTGAAGGCATTTTTGTCGCGGTCAAATTGTACACTGGAGACCCTGATTTTCTGCCCTCGAGTGAAGACGACAGAAGAGCAGCGAGCGGAATATGTTGCCCTCATCCCCTCACTCGAGATAGTGATGTTGAAATATGTTGACGGTGTGCTCACCGCTGTTAGCAGTGAGCAGTGACTTATTACATAGGACGGTGCACTGTACTGCACTGGCGCCCTGCGTACTAAGTACTCCCTATCTCACTGCTCATAGCGTATTGCAGAGTAAACTGAAATGTCAGAGGGCATTATTGCATTATGTTTCGTGATTGACAACATCTGATGACCGCAACAAATATGTAAACGAATATTGGACACTTACTGTCACAAAGTCCATTTCGTCTGGTTTCCAGATCTCTGTCCCTTTCAATGGGTCGCTAAATTAGACCATCGAAATCAGCCAAACCAGGCAGTTTATAGTTTGGTCCCTGTCGCGTTACTGTGCGAGATTGGCCAGGAGCCCTCTAGTTCGATTTCCTGTGATACCAAAATGAAGGTAAATCACACCCCATATGTTTGCCGTTGTAAGGTTCATTTCATTTTTCACATTCAGCTACAGAGGTGTTATGTAATCAAAGTACTGTCGGCGTCAACAAAGAAAATGATAAGTATTACAGGTTTTGCTGGGTTCGGTCACTGTGCAGCATCTACTAAAATCACGATCAATGGACATTGGAAACCGCTCACGAATCTCGTATTTGGATCATCACCTCCTCCGGAGTGATCGAGACTGATGGCGAGCCGATCTTCAAGATTGCTCATACCTACTTCCGTTCCTTCCCCTCACTCCATGACGTTCATCACGATCGACCATCAACAACTCACCCCCACCCATACACTCCCCCGTAGACCTTTCATCACCTCATATCCCCCTTATCGATCGCCATACCCTCAAAGAGCTCGATCTATCCTTCGTAATCCACAACTTCGTCAGTATTTATTTCAATTTATCTTCTAATATCTTATAGTTTCGCTAGGACATGATCTGCTATTCGACGCTGGTCTCCAGTTTCGTCCCACCTCTAGTCGACAGAAACGCGATCTTTCTGACAAATATTGGCGCATCGTGGCACAAGAATTCGAAACAGGCTGCACCTGCGTTTCCTTTGACCTTCAATGGAAGCCCCACGACCTTCTCTGCGTCTGCTCCAAGGGCCCCATGCCTGAAGTACCCAGCCTTACTTGATACTCCGCTCGCCGTGCTCTCACCCTTCGCATGCCCTCTCGTATCCGTCCCCTCCTCACAGAACTCCTGGAAGTTTTTCTGTTTGTCATCCAGCCACTTACCAATATCCCTGGCACATACGCCAATCCTGCCACTCTCCAGACTCAATCGAGCAACACGCTGCTCAAGCCGCTCATCTTAGATCTCTATTTGATCCGGAACTGATACAGCAAGAGCTACGCCACGAACTCTTCGATCCTTCAGGTCTTTTTATCGACGTCGGCCAAACCCTCAAAAGCCATTGTGCCCCCATGCGCGATCGCGCCGTCGACGCCATGGTCGAAGCAGCCAAGGCTTGCGCCCCTGGATGCAGTAGCAGTAAAGCGGACGCGGTCAAGGCCATTCGCGTGTGCCTAGATATCTTGGAACTCATGAAACTGGCAAGTCACTCCCAATCGTCCTAACCGTACTCTCATGTCTTTTCTACTTTAGGATATTGCAAACCCCAATTATAAACCCTCCGCCCTTTCCTCATAGAAACCGCGGGCCAGTATGAGCTCAAGGCCTTCAATGACCGAAAGGGGGCAGGTGCCTCACTAGACCTCACCCGGAAATGGATACAAACAGTACCCCACCACCTCATGTCCTCCCATACCATTCCCCATCCGTCTCTTCCTTCCAGCTCCATAATTTATCGTCAACTTCCCCAAACGCAACAAATTTATCTGAGCGTGCTGAAGGCTCTCACGGACCTCGTTTTTGATCCACCTTGCGGCCCATCTCACGCTTCATCCCTACCACGCGTGACGAAATCTAACATACCATATCTCCCTTTATACCCCGAAACAACTTACCTTGACGGCGCTCGTCTTCTCGCTCTCTCTGGAGAAGCTGCGGACGCCACTGCTATCTATATGTTCCTTCTTCTATTCCGCCAACTCGTGTTCTCAGACCCTTGCGATCCAACCTTTAAAGTCAGCGAACCCCAACTCGCATCGCTCAAGAAGGAAATAAGAGACATCTCTTCCTCCCATCTCGGCCATTGTTTTAATCAAGGGTTCGACCCTGACAACGAGAAATGGGCCAAGATCAGACAGGACATCGTTTTGCAGATTGCCATGCGCGCAAAAGAGGCTCGAACGTCCACACGGCTTGATGGGGTATCGCAGTCCCTAGCTTCCGCACCAGAGGAGCGCATGCTCAAACTAGCCGAACGTTGGTCAGACCCGAACATGCGTCCAAACTCGCCGCTGAGCAAAATGCTGCACAATAGGATCCGCGACGTCGTTTTAAATCAGGTCGTCGCTCTCACTTTTCCATCTCGAGACTCGGTCATGAGCCTCGGCAAGTCTTTCGATACGCTTACGCCTCCGCCTTCTACGTTGGCGTCGGGTATGGAGCCTCTTACTGATGAGATCCGGTTGCTATCAGAGCGACTGTCGCGGTTGGCGCATGTCCATCTAGGCGTGTATCTTCCCTTGTACGAGCAGGAAGATTTTTCGTCTTCGATCTTTTCGAATGCATAGCTGATTCGATTTGTTGTTGTACCCCTACCACTCATCATCATCATCATCGTTGTTCTCGTTTTTCACTTTTGATTCTCTAGGCATTTGGACTTTTTTGACTTTCATACATGAACCCCGACGAAGCTGATGAAAACAAGCAGTTGTCATATTACCTTTACAATAGCATACCCCCGTTCGCGTTTATGCCAGGGTAATCGAGGATTGACAATGACATGTACTTTTTGATTTGATTCGATTGGATGTTAGACGACTTTCCTGCGTTTTTGGGGATTGGGATTGCTTTCTCCATTCAAAGCAAATCGTGCGGGGAGGCTTCTGTCCCCCAGAACTAGTACTTTCCCCACTCGCAGGAAACGGACACGATCGACTCTTTTAGACTGCTTCTCTTTTGCTTGTGTTTTATGGCTTTCTTTACTGCGCGGTTTCCCCCGCTCGGTGCGATCTCCTCATAATGGGTGTTCATCAGTAATTCCTATTTCTCGGCTGAATCGAGATGTTGCTGGATCATGGGTGAGTTACTGCGTGCGTGGTGGGTGGGACGTACGGGTGTTTGGGAGTCTGTCACTGTTCTTTGCCTGCTGACGGATCGTTTGGAGGTTATTTCAGTGGGTTTGGGGTGGGATGTTGATGAGTGGTGGGCAGGTGAGGGGTTGGGTTTGGTTGAACATATTGACAGGTGTTCGCATGATCTTTTGACGAGGTCTTTGCCTGTTCTGGAGCGTTTTCGATTTCTGGGGTTTCTTTGGATTTGCCTTTGCTGGTGGTTGATTGCGTTTGTCCTCCTTCGCTTGAATATGCATCTTCTGGTGTGTCAGACAGGGACTCGGATTCTGAATTAGTGAGAGCGCGAGTTTGAGAGAGGGTGTGCTGGGCTTTGCGGAGCATTCCTAGGGGTAGAGATGATAGATCTAGACACGAGGATAATTCAGTTCCTCTGAGACGAGCTCGGATGTGAGGATCGAACACATACTGTCCTCGAGAGACCGCTTGTGGAAAACGCATGAGTTAGTATACCTGCATCATCGACGAAGAAAAGGAGAGCAAACCAGTTCTCGGGAAGGTTTTGCGGATGGAATGACATCAACATCATCGTCTTTATCTGTATCCGTTTCTTCTTCTGCTAGAGCTTCAGTATCTTCATCTTCTGCGTCCACCCACTTTACCACCCGAGGCGCGTCCGCATCCTCATCCGTATCGTCCTCATTGTTGTGGGCATCACCGACGCTCTCGTCAGAAACGTTCTCTGAGCTATCTCACTCAGATTCCGCTTCAGACTCGGATGCTGGATGATGGCAGTTTTCTGCGCCTACACCGCAAGTTTAGGTTGGGGTTGGATGCGTCGGAAGGCTGGTTTTGGTGGTGCTGGGCGGGTGTGGTGTTGGGGGCGGTGGTTATGGTGGTTATGGAAATTTGTGGGTGGATGCTAGTGGTGTGGGGCATGTGTAGGACTCTGAACGTTGGGTAACTCGAAGGTGATGCTGCAGTTAAGCGCTATGGCCTATGGGCGCCTGATGCATGAGCGCTGTGGGAATTTCGGAAAAGCGCCCCGTTCCCGATTCAACTACTGCAAGGCTGACGGTTCAACTCGATTCATCAGTTCAAGTTATACGCTTACAGCCAGATTCTGATTATCACTGATGTTTTATCATGGTATAGACTGTTGGTAATGATGCCAGTGATAATCAGAATTTATTGCTAGCACCAACTTGCAAGTACCAATTTGCAAGTGTTCAAACTTCTAACGAGTTACGTCCTGACTGTCTGGTCATTCGACTCACTTCAGATCCATATTTTACAGGTCAATCATGTCAGACCCCCTTACGTGGCCCTTGGTTGAGAGGTGTCATCACTCGTCTGAACCGAACCAACCAACATCACCACCACAGCCATATCTAAGTACCGAGTCCTTCGCACCAGAAGGGCTGCAATTGTCACAGCAAGAGAGGGAAATTGACGTTGGTACTGATCCTTAGACATGGACCCGAAATATTGCAACATGAACGCCGTGTAACCGAGACATGATTAAGTAGCCTCGGAGATCCTGTCCTCGGTTTAGCTTACGATACGTCTGAAAGTGAGTCGTAGTTCAAGTTTCTCATTTAAACTGTACTGATTGAAGCCAGGATATCATTGTCCTCCTGGATTTAACCCCTCGCTCCTGGAAAGGCCAAACCTGCAAGGAGATATAAGCCCTCGTGACTGTCTGATGAGGCCCGACAACTATACTACTTCGCTTTGCGTTTGGTGTTTCTTTTTGTTTTACCGATATCCACCACATCGTCCATTCACTTTTGGAGAGGCTTTCCTGCTGAATTTAGAATTCGAAACGAACCGACCCGTGGCTCGAACGCAAACCTTCAACGGTTAGACAAGCTAATCTGCAGAGGGAAGTTTTACTTGTAATACTACTCTTGCCACACCGCCGCTCCATCGGGAGGCAGAGGTTTGACACCAGGAGACATTATCTCGCCCCATACCATGCACCCAGCACTGTGTCCCGCAAATCCAAATAGTCGTGGCTTTGCTGAACGCTATGTAGAACGTGCAGAGAGTATCAAGGGAAAGTGGTTGAGATTGACGCGTATGAAATTCCGAATACGGTCGATCCTTCATGATCAGTGGAAACTCAGGTAAGCTAACGGGCTTACAACTTACATGCTTTTACTCAGGAGGTTGGGACTACCAACAGCTCTGGACGTTCTCAGATCTCATCATGACACTACTCATGCTCGATTATTGGGTCGTGGGCGCTAACCCACGCTATATCTTTTCAAGTCGAGATTGACAGGACGGAAACTATTAGCGGTCTGAAGGAGGTTATCAAGGTGGAGGTGAAGCACAACTCTGATTTTTTTTTGATGCCAAGTTTGTCGATATATGGAAGGGGGGAGAAATTCCTTGAACCGGTACTGGGGTGGGTGTCCGCGTTCAACTACTCACCATGATTGCCACAGGCGGGAACCGGCTGTCTGGGATGCTAACACAGGTAAATTGCTTCAACGACGACCGATGGGTCGTAGTCGTCTCTTGCGGGAGCCCTCTCGTCTTCATCTTCGTAATTGCAGGTTAAGGATAACGGATTTGTACTGGTATATCCGCCACGATAAACCAGACTCGCAGGGAGCACAAGTAACAAGATCTTAATAGCATATTATCAGAACTCTGTTTCACGATACGATGGCATACCTATGTATGACCTGTGAGATAAATTGTGTACGGGTTTTTACCAGTGTATAGAAAATCTATTATGTAACTAGTTGCGGCGCTGTTACGGCGGTTTACCTTGATCAGATATGGATCAGATTCAAACCTCCAAAAATTCATCTCATCTTCAAGCTCAAAAATAATGTCGTCCCTCGCGTTAGCAACTAACATGCATACAGCCGAGTCAAATGTCAATCTCTCCCAGGTATGGAATATCATCGACGAACTGCAAATCATCGTAAGTGCATAGGTATTCGCGTCCGTGTATATATAATAATATTCCCTCACTTCAGCTCGCACGTTCAATGCATGTGGTGACCGTATGTATATACCAATATATTGGAATGTCATTTGATTGATGATGACCAGATTCCAGACCTCGAAACCCCGTACTCCCGAGCTAGTTTCCCCAACACGAACTACTTTGGCACCGAGTCCAAAGATCAGACCATCAGCGCCATCATTACTGAACGCCAACAGCAACGGAATGCAGTTTTGGACGAGATCTCAGGCCTAGAAACAGTCATGCACAGTATCGACAATCTTCGCCAGCAACTCGTCGAAAAGAACGACAAGATCACCCAGTCCATGAATTTGCACAAGAGACTTGGATCGACTCTCTGGCGCTTGCCAACTGAAGTCCTATCCCAGATTTTTCATCTTTGTCTCCCAAAAATTCCGGCACTCGATGAAATCCAGCTGCCATCGCAGCTAGAAGCTCCCATGATGTTGACTGCGGTATGCCGACGATGGAGGGAGATTGCTGTGGACACACCCAGTTTGTGGTGCAACCTTCATGTGCCAATCGTCTCCAGAGACCATTGGGAGGGGCAAGCCTTCTGCTGTCACTCATGGCTCAAGCGGTCACGAGGTCTTCCATTATCGCTAGTTCTTAAATGCGACGCAGATGACTCGACCAAGCTACGAAGCCTTCTTCAGCCTTACGTCGACCAAATATCGTGTCTCTATATCCATATCTTCCCAGACGCGGACGAGCCTGATGTTTTGTTGGAAGACCTCACAGCACTTCAGGACCTGACCATAGTCATCGAGGATCTTGACATGACACATGATACACAATCTAGTATCGATGAAGCTTTTTCACAATCTATCTCACAACTGCCATTCACTATGCGCAGTCTCAGGGTAGCCGGGTTGTACCTCAACCCCGGTGTCACATCCTCTGTCAATCCCGTATGGGCCCACCTGACAAATGTCGAGATTGAGATATGTGAACCGAGTGCATTCCTCCACTTGCTCCAGCTAGGTCCCAACATCTCCTCGTTGAAAGTTCACGTGGCATTCGACCAAGCACATGCTCCTGAGCCATTCACGCACACCAAACTTCAATCCTTACGCATCGCCTTTGAATACTCAACCATAAACGCATTATTTGGCCTGTTCAATGTTCTAACACTCCCCAATCTGCGCACACTTGAAGTTAGCGGTGTAGAAATGTGGCCTCATGAGGGGTTGAAGGCATTTTTGTCGCAGTCAAATTGTACCCTGGAGACCCTGATTTTCGGCCCTCGAGTGAGGACGACAGAGGAGCAGCGAGCAGAATATGTTGCCCTCATCCCCTCACTCAAGATAGTGATGTTAGAATATGGAATCGTTCACGGTGTTGTAAGTTAGCTACAACGCGCGTAGCTAGAGGCAATGCGAGTGCGAAGGGGGTAGATAGACCGCTGAAGGAATGATAATGGTTAGTGTTAGCTTCAAAGGAGGGATGACGGATGCGAGAGATATCGTGAATCGGTAAACGAGAGTGACCGCATTATAGCGATGATAAGAGAAGATAATGAGACGGGTTCTTCGGGGCGTTCTTCTGGGGGATCTACTGTTCTATTCTGCTTCTTATTAGGAATGTACATGGGCTACTTATACTGTAGGATGAGGAAGGGTCGTCCTAGAATAGTTAAAGGCAAGGGCTCGGTGTACGGTCGGTGAAAGCGGTAGCTGAAGGGAGTGGCGTTGTATTTGATAGAGTAGCGAGAGAATGATATAAGAGTTGTTGACAGGGTGAAGACGGCGGTGTTACGAATGGAGGAACAGTAATGAAAGGAAGGGTTTAGCGAGCGATATGAATGAAAGAATAGTTACTAATAAAAGGGGTCGGGTATCGTGCTTGACAAACGGTCCGGCGTTGACGTGGTGGTTGCGGTGAGAGGAGTATCGGCATGTTCCGGCGATAAATGTTTGGTAATCCTTACAGGGTGCTCGCCACTGTTCACAGTGAGCAGTGACTTATTACATAGGACGGTGCACTGTACTGCACTGGCGCCCTGTGTACTAAGTACTCCCTATCTCACTGCTCATAGCGTATTGCAGAGTAAACTGAAATGTCAGAGGGCATCACTGCATTATGTCTCGTGTTTGACAACATCTGATGACCGCAACAAATATGTAAACGAATATTCGAAACCATCCACTGTTTAACATTAAAAAGAAAAGGGAATTACAGCTTCCAAAGCGGAAACTGGAAATACAGTGACCAGATGTATACAATAAGCCAAACCATAACCTAGAACAAAGTGGCAGCAACTTTTTGCCAGAAACCCACAGGCGGGTAGTACAGGCCTTCTGTCTCCTCCGGGGTGGGAATGCCCTAATACGATGCATCAGATCGAGCCCAAGAATATCCGCCAGGACACTTACTGTCACAAAGTCCATTTTGTCTGGTTTCCAGATCTCTTCCCTTTCATAAACTTCCAGCCAAAGTAAAGACTGAAGAACAGCAGAATGTTGATATCTGTGAAAGGTAATCTGATCAGGAGTGTTCATCAGTCAAGATTTCACGGAACAACAACACCAGTAAATTTGCACAATGCTTAATGTGCTTTTTCGTCACTTGTCACGAAAATCTTTGACATGCCGCTGATTAGTTGCGCTTAGTCACTTGTCACTATTTTTTTACAAGCACTTACAAGCGCAGTCAAGCAGTTAAGTAGTGAAAGCGAGAAAAGTGAAAGTACATTGTATACAATTGAATTAAGTAGTTACAAATGAGAAATAATACTAAGTTCCTCGCTGTGCTCGACAACTACCAGCGTGTAAGCCTAAGTGTCCTTGTGCACGCCCAGTGGGGAAGGCTGCAAAAACCTTGAAGACCCCTGACTTGACTACATCAGCAAAACAATTATTTGAGGTCCCCATATAGGCAGCATTGCACAGCATTGCACAGCACTACACAGCACTACACAGTGCTGTCCATATGGGGACATCCCTGCACATCCAATTAGGGTTTTGCTGATGTATGGATGGTGGGCAAGCAGGAGCAGAAATTGTCGCCGCTGATAAGCCTGTTGTCACCAAAGGCAAAAGTCAAAAGGGTAGAGCCAGACAGTTAGCAGCTGGTGCTAATGTTGAACATCCTGTGAGTGATGAAGACTTGGAGGAGGAGCTGGTAGCAGCAAAACCCCAGAGAAAAAAGGTCACCAAACCACTGGTGAGAGATGCGATCAAAGCATTAAACGCTGGCGTCATTATCAATGGATCAACAAAGGCACGTGACACAGATGTCCAGAAGATTGATATGTAAGTGTTTGTCTTAACATTAACTATGAAGCTCCTTTTGACTGAAACTGCCCTTTTTTTCTTCGATGTCGCGATAAATAATTCTGATACTGCAAGTCCCAAAAAAATTTCATTTGCTGGACATATCCTGGGGTGGATATCAACTGTTCCCACAATCGCCTCAAAGCCATCCTCCATGTCCAAGGCTGCCACGCACTCACGCAGTACTAGTACTGGTTCTGCTTTCTCTAAGCTCACAAGAGGGAGCACTATCAGCAGCAATGTTCCACCCCCATCCACACCCATCAGTATTCCTTATGCTGGGTCTACTTTCTTGAATCTGTATGCGTCTGACGCTGATGAGGACGAGGATGAGGAGCTGTTCACCAAACCTCTTTCTGGTTTCACAGGCAAAAAGGCTTTAACTGGGAGTCTGATCATATGGATATTCAAATTTGATGTAGTTCCAACCAAAACTGCAGATCACGTCCAAAGCTCTTGACAATTTTTTCCCTTGTGGTGCAACCTCAGAACCTGAGCAGCCTGATCCAATTGAGGATGCCAAGCACGCAGAAGTCCTCAGCAACATCCACAACCAAATTATCTTCATGAATTCGGGTATTGGCGACATCACCCCTCCTCCACAGCTTGCCTTCCTAGGGGACTATAAGTCCGATTCTGATGCCAGTCATGAGCTACAGGCTGCAGATTATGACTCCGACCTTGTACCTCCACCCCTTGCCCAAAAACCCACTTCCCACTCTGCCTTCCCAGTGGATTATGAGTTGCTGGCTGCGAGCCAGAAGCGGAAACTGTCACCTCTTCTGAGCGATGACGACTTATTGTCGCTGTCATCCGATGATGAAATTGTAGATGTCCAAATCATTCCAGTCTGACCTCCTTGTGCAGGTCCTCATGCAGCACAAGTGCGCCACATCTGGTGCTGTCAACCTGCAAGGAATGAACAACACATTTCTGGGACACTCGAAGGGTGCTCTCACTCTCGTTACAGCAGCGGCATGTATTTGTTTCCTTCTCATACAGCTGACTTACCCTGTGTTTTATATGGAACGTGCCATCAAACTTTTGCCAATGGGCAGATGCTTCTGAGTGACATCGACACCGCTGGCAATGGCTGTAACAACAAGACCCCGCTGGTGTTAGGTACCATGCTGGCTCAAGAAGTGGAGGGGTCGGGGCTTGGCTTCAGCTCTTGTACTGCGCCCTTAGCCGAGTATGTGCCCCAAATTTGGAGTGGGTCCGACGTTGTCCGACGATAGGACAAGTGGACCGCTTAGGTCTGCTTTGAGGGTCGGGAGGTAAGAGCTACTAGTGGTGGGCTGACTAGGAGCAGAGCGGAGGGGGCAGAGGATAATGCGGAGGGTGGAAAGGAGCAGGGGGAATACTTGATAGGGGTGGAGAGGTAAGGAGGAGACTTAGAGCACAGCTCTAAGTCGGAGTGGAGGGTCGGAGGTGACAACAAGATGAAACTTGTGTCTGGAGGAGGCAAGGTCCTACTGAGAATTCTCACAAGTAGAAACTGCAAGAAGACAAGTAATATTAAGACTGGGGAAAATATCTAAGTACAGGATATGTTATATACTTCTAAGTATGAGGCAGTGATCAGGATAACTATGTTGTAAAGCTATGTACCAAGGATATAATTTGTAAGTACTTACACAGGCAAAGACATAAGTCGGAGCAGATATCAATATGTACACATCGGATCAGTGATAGAGCAGCAAGAGGAATTACTGGTGATCCGGAAGTAAGGGTCTATGTACCGAAGGGGAAAGTATATATCTAAAAGGGGAAAGAGGTTCCAGTTGAATGGAGATGTTATGGAAGGGGACTGGTTGGGCGGTCGAGCGGAAGTGTAGGAGCGGAATGTGGTCTGTGATTGGACGGAGTGGAGGATGGATGGAGCAGAGGTGGTCGGAAAGTGGAGCAGATATTAATATCGGAGCGGTCAGATCAGGTATATGACAGCTGGACATTAATCCGTTGACGGGTAAAGAGAGTAGTGTTCCATTGGCATTTTCAGATGCCAATTGGGGCATGCAGACCAGGTCTTACATCACGTCTATCAGCTGCTTGCTAGACTTGGTCGTTTACTGAAACTCGGAGCTCGCACAGAACCTTGCCATGAAGAGGTGTGGCACATGGATGGAGGTGGATGATGAAACTGAGGATGAGCGAGCCCTCATTTTCTAGAGGTAATGTTCTTCGCTCTTGTTATCATCTACTACTACTATCTTGAAACTGACTACTACTACTAGTAGCTGGTACCTTGGTTGTTTTCTTGTTGCCACGCTGTCGCTGTCTTGTTGCCACGCTGTCGCTGTCTTGTTGCTGTCGCTGTCTTGTTGTCGCCATCTTGTCGGTGGTGCCTCTACTACTACTAATGTCATCATACCATTTGTTTTGTTTCATTTTTTGTTTCACACTTATTCTACTTACTACTGCTTATTTCTCTCGCTACCTACTTAATCGTCTTGTTTGGTTGAAATGCAGATGATTTTTCCTTGCAACAAGAGTGATCAAGCACAAATAAGTTGAAAATAAGAGCAAAAAAGGGGATATAAATTAAACCTATCATGATTGCAATGCAATACATTCTCAAACAAGTGCACAAAAAGTGCAAAAAAGTGCACAAAAGCTAAATACAAGAGGAAGGGATCTGCTTTTGAACTTGTGGAAGCTTGTGACAAGGAGATGTTATGGTTCTTGTGCACTCTTATGTGAGAAAATAAGTGATGAAAAAGGAAGGTAAGGAATGTGTGAATTTACTGATGAAGCACATGCACAGGCCATGAGGAAGCCAGGAGCAGTGAAACCCCAGAAGACTGAGAAGCCATTGACAAGGATGAAGAAGATGCACCAAGAAAGGCTCCAGATCGAAAGCCATGGCTGGAGGTGGTGTGTTTGTGTCAGTACTTGGAGGAACAAGCATGCATATTAGAAGGCGCGTACCTGGAAGCAGTTCCAGTAGTGGAGCTTCATGCAGTCAATGCCTTGGTGCTTCATTCTGTGGTCTGCATATCTTGTGAGACCTAGATTGGAGAGGGAGATGGTGGATGATATGCTTATGGAAGAAGAGGTAGGTTAAGTTGATGGAGCCCCAGCTGAAGAAGCCACCCATGGTTGAAAGGTTGATGAACCAGCTGATCAAGGGTTTTCAGTACAGATTGTAAGCCACTAGGAGAACACCTACTTGAACACCATTGCAGAACCTGACACGACATTCATGAGGTTTGAGATGGTTGATTTTCCACATTTAAACCACCTTGAAGACATAGTTTGGCCATCAAGTTCCAGCCAGCTGCAACTATGGGTCCAGAACAATACAATACACCTCACATATGTGAGCCTGGTGGCTTGCGTACACATGACATATGGTTCATTGCATTGTAGACACGTACTATGCCTGTATGGAGTGACCGCCACATCCACCCATCATATATGACCATGAGTGGCTCATCTATGTCCTTGTCAGCATACCACTCCTCTCATGTGATGGGTAGTGTCAGTCCATGGTCCCCTTCCTTCTGTCAATGCCAAAGCTCCTCCCATTTTCCAGGACACATAAGAAGGTGTGCAAGAGCAGCTTTGAAGGATGCCACAGGCATCACCTTGAATGGGACGCATTAGAGCATATTCAAGCTCAATCACTTCAGCTGAAATAGCACTGCAGAGCATCCAGGTGCTGTGCAGAGTCGATACTGCATGGCTGGTAGCTCAGAAGGGTGGTACATTTGCCAGCAAGATGGACAAAGTATGTATGTAGTGACAATCTTCTCCATATCCATGCCAAGACACTTTTTGACAGTGCAAAGAGTGCATGCCATACCATCTAAGTCATCCTGAAGCTCAGGAGGAATTCTGTTTGGATACCAGCATTTGATTGTCAAATGGAGAAATTTGAGTGTTTCTTCAGAATCTGCATGCATCACATGCCTAGATGCAGCATTGGAAAAGACATGCACATAGCCATTCAGCAGCACTCAATGTTCTGATAATGCAGGTGGTACAACACTATCAGGCTCATCCCAGTTGGCCAAAACATTTTCATCAAACAGTGCATCATTTGGAAGGTACTGTGGATCATCCTCCAGAATCCAGTCATCTTCATCCTTGTCCTTGGAATGGTTGCTTTGTGATCACTTGTCTGTAGTGTCGCCATGTGTTTCATCATTGGTAGCAGTGCAATTGTGAGCAGCCATATTAAAAGTAAGTGATAAGATACTACTGTGGTCATCATTAAGAGCCATATTGTCATCACCTGAAGAGGGGAAATATAATGGGAGAGAACTTGATTGCAGAAGGCTGTGTCATTTATCAAACCCTGTATCATTGTCGTCCAATGAATGGAAATATAGTGGAAGAGAGCTGCTTCCAGCAGGGCTGCTGTAATAATCTATAGTAGAATGTGAATAAGCAGCAGCAGAATAGAGCTGCTCAAGCTCTGGGCCATGATCAGAGAGTATTGGACCATCATCTTCCACAATTGGCCTGCAAATCCTGTTGCTAGGAACCTGCATTTAAGGCTGCAGACCATGGGGCAATCACAGTGTGTTTCTGCTGCAGCTCATGCTTCCCCCCTCAATCTTTGTCTTTTTACTTACTTTTCTTTTGATGGTACAGTGCCCAAACTGCAATGTAGAAGTGCACAGTTGTGGCCTGTCCATTCACCTGAGCAGATACTGCAAGATATGTGATGTAGCCACCACATCAGCTCTTGCTGAGCAGTGCGAGCATGGGGAAGCTATTGCTGAAGCTACTCATTTGGAAGATGAACGCCAACAGAAAGAACAGCATGAAGAAGAGCAGGAGCACCTACAGCAACTGCATCAGCCTCATGTGGATGTGAGTATTGTGTGTTATTAGATGTGAACTTGATGTTAACAGAAATATGAACAGGAGGTACCAGACATCGAAATGGAGCCATGGCCATCAGGTCGTCCAAATCGACAAATCCGCCTCCCCATGCATTATTGTGACAACATTCCAGTCCTACCAATCCTGGCTCCGCCCCCCATTGATCAAGATGAGCCTGTATCAGCACCTGGAGACCCACCAGACATTGAGATGGGCTCTGATGATGGATTATCACACCGCAGCCATGCAGAGCATCCTCAAGAAGAAGAGTGGCTTCACACTGATACAGACACATTCAACCTTTTTCGCAAATACCATCATTCATTTCCAACCTATGACCCTGAGAATTCAGCATACTTTGATGCACTTTGTGACTCCTCAACATTCCAGCATGTTGATGGGGATGCCAATTATGAACGGCCATGGTATGCTGGCTTTGGACAGTCACTCAAAGCAGTCCACCACAATTACTTTGCACCATTCCTCAATGCCACTGTTTTTCGGCTCGTGACGTGGTTTTACAACTCGTCAAACTCAAAATCACTGCAAGATCTCAATTGTTTGGTCAACGATGTCATGTTAGTGGAGGACTTCTGCCAAGAGGATTTGCTAGATTTCAATGCACCTAGGGAGGCATCACATCTAGAGAAGGCCCAACATGACCCTGCCTCATCCATATTCTCATCCAATGGGTGGCATGAGGCCTCGGTGAAAATCCAACTTCCATGCAAAAAAGAGAAGTTCTCCTCTGAAGATTGTGCACCTGAATTCAATATTGACAGGCTCTATTACTTCAAGCCATTAGAGGTCCTCAAGTCTACATACCAGGAAGTTACAGTGAAAACCTTCCATATGAAACCATACAAACTGTTCTGGCAGCCAGACGACAATGGACCTCCAGAGTGGATTATTACCAAGCTATATACGTCTGATGCCATGCTTCAAGAGCAAGAGAAGCTCAACTTGCAGCCCTGTGAACCAGACTGTAACCTAGAAATGGTCATAGTTGCAATCATGCTCTGGTCTGATTTGACTCATTTAGCAAGCTTCGGAAATGCTTTGCTGTGGCCGATATACCTATTTATTGGTAATTAATCAAAGTATATTTGTGGCAAGCCAACTTCATTCACAGCTCATCATCTTGCATACATACCAAAGGTCTTCCTTTATTTGAATTTCAAGACACAAACTAATTATGTGCATAGCTGTCAGATACCATCCAAGACTTCTACAAGAAGACTTTTGGTCATAGTGCAACAGCAGCTGTACTCACGCACTGCAAACACAAATTGATGCAGGCAATTTGGCACTTCCTACTTGATGCAGATTTCATAGATGCATATCAACATGGCTTTGTTGTCAAGTTCCCTGATGGAGTCTTTCGTTATGTATTTCCGCGTTTTTTCACTTATTCTGCTGATTATCCAGAGAAGTCTGTTTCACATTTTACTTGATTGCACCATGCTAATCTCCACAACATCAGGGTTCTACTTGCATGCATGAAATTCCTCAGAAGGTGTCCCTGCCTGCGGTGTCTCATTAAAAAAGACAACATTTTCAAATTAGGGATGAAGTTTGATCGACGACAGCACATAAAAAATGTTTGAGTCGATAATCATCCAAGGCGCAGCCTCATTGAGCAAGTCCATAAACTCATATTCATTGATGGCTATAGTTTGGCCAGTTCTGTAATTGAGAAAATCATTGGTCCCACCTCTGTCGCACCTATTTGTGTATGTATGATATGCAATGAGCTTGCAAACTCTACTAATCACATAGTATTAGAATGCCTTTTTGGAGAAGCTCGCCAAGTTCGGTTTTGATTTCTACTCAATGCTTGTGCCCGACTTTATGCATGAGTTTGAGTTAGGAGTATGGAAGGCAACCCTTACTCACCTTCTCCAAATTTTGTATTTGTATGGAGGTACTGCCATGCAAGATCTCAATGAGCGGTAAGTCATTTTTTCTCATATATTTGTGTGTCCAACATAATATAGGTATCATCTTGTACCAACATTTGGATGAGACACCATCTGCAAGTTTAGTGATAATGTACCAGGTCTTACAAAGCTTGCAGCGCGTGATTTTGAAGACCTGCTTCAGGTAGGAATATAAGTAATACAGCTGCTGTCATGCTGATCAATGCTGGTAGTGTGTGATGCCAGTATTTGATGGTCTTCTACCAGCACCATTCAACGACCCAATCCTTGACCTTCTGTTTGAGCTGGCCACCTGGCATGCATTTGGGAAGCTTCATATGCACACAGAGATGACACTCTATCATTTCAATAACTGGACGACACAGCTAGGAAAGGCCCTCCAGCAATTCCGCAAAAATACATGCAAAAAGTTTACTACTCATGACCTCCCGCATGAAACAGCTGCTCGTGCACAGTGTCGATGTCTTAAAGCATCTAAAGGAAAGAACAAAAGGTCAGATGAGACAAATACTGATGCCGAAGGTGATGGCCCCTCCAAGGAACGGCTTTTCAACCTTTCAACATATAAACTCCATGCTCTTGGAGACTATGTCAAATCAATATGGCTGTATGGGACCACCAACAATTACTCTACACAAGTGGTAAGTATTGGAATCCATGACCGACCATTCACCCATTAGTAATTGTGGTGTTAGGACAAACTCAAGCATCAAAGAGTGAAGTGATTTTATACACAGACCAACAAGAACAAATTTGCATGTGGAATTGCAAGACTTCAGCGCTGTGAGCGCATTTTGCAGCAGATGAGAGAGGTGAACTGCAAAAAGGAGGCTATGAGAGAGGATCATGTGCAGCCCGAGACAGAGGATCTCCGCCCATCTCTTCATTTTGTTGACCAGGACCCACTGCCACATTGCTCACCAGAGATCCATTATAAAATGTCCTCATCACAGAAACATTTCTGGGATGTTTCTTCCTGGCTCGGAAAGAACAGAAATGACCAGGCCACAAAGGTAGGTCGCTGATACACAATTTGTGTCAATCATATTTATTCACTGGATGGCATTAGAATTTTCTTCCGTGTCTCAAAGACCACCTTCTGGGTCACTTGTTAGGGCTGGACTACAATGGTGATGAAACTTCATTTAATACTGCGCAGTGAAACTCTGTTGTCATTATCAACAACCGGATTTATTGTCACAAAGTTCCTTGTGTCAACTACACTACATACAACATGCAGCGTGCTCAGGACTCCCTTAATCCCCACACACATGCAGACATCATGGTTCTTGCCTGCGACCACGAAGAGTTCCATCCATACTGGTATGCACGAGTTATTGGAGTCTTTCATGTAAATATCCGCTACACCAGACCAGGTGCACATCCCTCTATAAAGTGCTTTGACTTTTTGTGGGTCCACTGGTTTGCCTGCAATGTCACTGTGCCCTCTGGTTGGGCTGAAAAATGATTGCCATGAGTTGGATTTTACGACGTGGATGACGAATCAGCATTTGGGTTCCTGGACCCTGACCTGGTTATTCGAGGTGTTCACATTGTCCCAGCATTTCAGTACAAACTTACAAAGCATCTACTTGGACCATCCATCGCTCACCAAACAGCAGACCATGATGAAGATTGGGACTGGTACTACATCAATATGTCAGTTACTCCCCCTTTCATGATGAACTAAATCTGAGATACTACCAGGTTTGTCGACAGAGATATGTTCATGTGCTTCCATGGGGGAGGTGTTGGGCATAAATCCATATGAAGAGAGACATCATGCCTACTTGATGACTGCGACGAATTGGATAGGGTTCCTTTCCAGAAAGAGAAAGAGTGCCGTGGGTCAGAATTCGACGAGAGCTTTGAAGACGAGGATATGGAAGAACATGAAGATTTGGAAGAGGACAGGTACGGAGATGAGGAAGGTGGTGATGATGGCTTGGAGGAAGCAGGCAATAGTGAGGCAGACAGCACCGACGACGATGGCAAAGTTCCAGTGTTGGCTTTCTTCAAAGCGATGGTAGATGACACCATTGCTGATGAGATGGATGAATACGGTTACTCTGGCCTTGATCAAGTCCTTGATGAGGATGGTGCAGGTGAAGAGACTGACAAAGCAGATGATTTGGTCCGGAAGATGGGGAGGATGTGATGAACGAGTTTGAGGATAGCTTTGCAGACTTGTGATTGACAATGGTGCACAATGAGATAGGTTATAATCAGTTCTGTTATTTTTAAAATAATGTACATAGTGACAAAATACCCAGTGTACAACAAATACCATAAGCCATGTCATGGGTAACCCTCTCTAGGGTTCTGCATGGGTAACACCACATGTTGGAAAGCTGACACCATATCCATACCCGCCAACACCATACCCATCACAGGTACGGGTACACACTGACCTGTCAACACCGTGGTTAGATGGAAAACACCGTGGGTACATTACCTGTTTGAGTATCATTCACAGTTGCATTATCAGCATTAACTGCAAGAATCTATGATCTTCAAGTTAGCATGATTTCTGCAATATTCAGAATCAGCTTACTCTCTTTGTTAGCCCAAAGCATTCAAGAATTGCTTGAAAGAATTTTGCCATCGCAGCACCAGTATGTGACTAAGATATATCATGTAAAGATTGGTGGAGCATTTGATATGGCCTGCAACATACCTTAGCAACTTCAATGATGTCGAGTAGAAATGAAAACATTTTACCCTCATACTCAAGGTGGACGGTCCATGCTACAAAGGCACAATGGTTAGGTGAAGTCCAAGCATCTGTGGTGAAGTGTAAGTGTCCAGGGTGATCCTGACCATTGTGTTAGCCAAATCTCTGATATCAGCAAAACACTTACACAGAGAAGCTGTCCAATGGGTTCACTGCACTTCTCAAACACTACTTTTATATTGCAGGACAGTACATCAGCTGATGGAAGTTCAATATTTGGGTGACCTGCGCAAAGAAGCTCACAGAGTTCACAGTCATTGATTATATTGATGGGGCGATTACTTTCAGTGATCCACTTCACAAGATGAGCACTGAAACTAATGTTAGCATGCAAAAGTACACAGATTTAGATCATTTACTGAACTTCCGGATTTTTGTGCATCTGATGGGAGTAATGGACTGGCTGTTGGCTAGATAGACTTAGACGATGAGTGGGCAACTTCACACATCTCAGTTGGTTGGCCACTGTTACATAGGCAGGTGAGCGCTACTCATGCAAAAGGTAAGTAACTGGCACACGGACCTTGGGAGTACTGCAAATCAAAGTTGTCTGTTAGCTTGGAAAATGATGCCCACAGCAAAAATGGCACAGCACCTTTGTGTACTGGAATTTCTTGTGCTGTCCGGTGAATGTTGCCTCTGTCAATTGAGGAGAGGTGTGGTCTCAGTTCCATAGAAGAATGTGGTGGTAGGGTGCATCGGATAATGCAGCAGATCACCCTGCTGGATATGCGTACAAGCAGGATCGGTGTATCCATGAGCTCAGCCAGACAGATGATGCGGTTCTATGGCAGTGTAAGTAGGTCATTTCAAACAATACAAAAGCCAGCTTACCATTGTGTCTGGCACAAATGATAGGGTGGTGTGTTGTGTGTGCTTGGGACATTGGGAGGCCTGGCCTAGGAGGGATGAAACAAAGTATGGGTGAGAGAGGGAGAACAGTGCAAGTGCTACCTTTTTTACCATTCACCACCCGGCACACCAAAGGCAGTTACTGAGTAAAAAAGGTAGAATTGTGACCATCCATCCCTTGGAAGTGGAAGAGGCGGGTAGGTGGTAGATGCTGTAGCTTTGAAGCGGTCAACAGGAAAGGCAACACCTGGGTGAACATTGGCAAAGTTTTAAATCAAAGTCAGCCAGGAATTTCCAGACACCTGTGACAGACACGGTGTGTGTGCCATATTGATGGCATCATTATCAGCGCAGCTTTCTTCCTTGTACCACCATTATGCCTTCATCTTCCAGCTATGGCAGTACAGATGATATTATCGATTCAATTTCTTCAAGCTCTCGCAAGAACACTAAAAGGTATTGTTATTTAAATTGTACCTTGAAAATTTGACCTTTGGTGGCAGGAAACATGAAGATTCGAAAATGGATGACACGGAGCTGTACCAAAATGCGGGCAAGAAGGCTTTGAGCCTTCTGGATACATTCAGTGTACCCTCTGCAGCCTTCAAGACCGGTCTTCAATTTGACCGAGGTGGTAAGTGTGATCCGAAACAGTACGTACTTTATATCTATGTCATGTGTCTAACTTTCTACAGATCTAACAATGTCACTTATCAGCATTTGTTATTGTATAATGGCATCATCGACTACATTCCTGGTCTCAAGAGCGAGCTCAACGACATATTGAGCAAAAAACTCAACAAAATCATTGCAATGGTGACTATATGCGCATATATGCACCGACAACTGACCTTTTGCATAATAGGTATTGAAGGGTATGAGCGACAGCAGATCTGCAGATCTGAGCTCCGTCAAGCACAAGGGCCTACAATACATTGGCCTGAATATGTATAGTAAGGCCAACACTCTTGACCTGCCAATTCCAGAAGTCGAGGATAAGTCAATGCATGGGCTCAATCACCCGCAGTTGGCCCGTTTGCTTTGCCCTTGGAAGAAATTGGATTGGTTTGATGAGGACCCTGATTTGTATGCATTTCTTACTTTTGATTCTTCATGCTGATGTCACTATGTTCAGTGCTATGGCCACTTTGCAAGCTGGTGAAATAACGATGACAGCATACAATTGGCCTACGTTCTTCTATGAACATGACATTTACAATTCTGCCAAGAAGACGAATGGTCTCTTTTGAAACCATATTGTTGTGAGGGTGCGTCTTTGTCTTCTACACCATCATTTATTTATAGTGAAGTCACCATAGTTTTACAAGCATCTTTTCATTGGACCCTCCTCCATCACCAATGACTCATCAAATGTTTGCAATTCAGCAAAACTGTCGAAAAATCATGCATGGGGGCTAACGGCTGTTAACAAATACATCATGGCATACATTCACATCATTGTAAGTCTAGTTCTCTTGCTGCTAGTATCAATACTCCTCTCACAGACACATAGACATATTTTACCATCAGCAGCGCTCAGCACTGGACTCAATATATTGGTGACATGGACTTGGATGAGCTCCTCTGGGCTATCGTTGAAATGCTAGATGACGATGACGATCCATGGGTCAAAGACACCCTCGCGTAGTGGAACAGGTACATTTCGCTACATGGTTAGTTCAGCACTAATCATTCACAGGCACGTCAAACCAACCAAAGAAAACTCAAACTTGGCCAAGCTCATGCGAAAGGAAAGTGAGAATGACATTGCTCAGATTTGTGCCCAGCGAGCTGCACACTGTTCTGCAGTAGATAAAACAACTGGTATGTGATAGATGTATATACAATGATGGTACTGATATCTATTTCCCAGTGCTGTCATGTCCAGTCAACCCTAATAATACTTGAGAGCCCTCAACAAGTGGCAAGCACACCCGCCCTGCAGAGCACCATGATGAAGAGGATATTCCACATGCAACCAAATGAATCTGGCAAGCGGGCGAGGCCGTTGACTCACCACGTTCTCGACAGGCTACATCAGGTAACCAACCTAAAAATGATAAAACCATGTAAAGCTTTATCTATTCTAAAATACATATAATATCTATCACAATTGTAGTCCAAATGATAAAGCTTTAAATACCCGGACTAAGTTGGATAGAAACTACCAAAGTACAATCTTGACAGTCAGTTTGCAATTATTTATCAAGTTGACAAATATCCATCCATTGTAACAAAGCTTTAGAAGCCTAGAGTGCTTTGGACAAACTTACCAATGACTCAAAGATGCTGAATACTGTAGATGATTATGATTTATTTTCAAAAACAAATTTTATTGATAAATGTATAGTAGTACATGTGCTACATAGTAGTATATAGTGGGATATGAAATAAGAAAGGAACAAGGAAAGTAATACTTGGAGGGACTATGAAAGAGGGACCACCAAAGAGCCATGAAGGAGGGCCCACAAGGGAGGAGGGTCCATGAAGGAGCCAAGGAGGAGGGTCCACCAAAGAAGGCCAAGGAGAGGGTCCCTGGAAGGAGGCCAGGGAGGAGGGACCACAAAGGAGCCAGGAGGGAGGGCCCACCAAAGAAGGCCAAGGAGGAGGGTCCACAAAGGAGCCAGGAAGGAGGGATCACCAAAGAAGGCCAGAGAGGAGGGACCATGAAGGAGCCAGGGAGGAAGGACCACCAAGGAGAGGGAGCTGGAAGGAGGGTCCATGAAGAACTGCCAAAAGAAAAGTCTTGACTCTTGAGTGGACGGAGATGTCAGAGCTCAAGGACTTGAGTGAAAAATTTTCAAACCCCCAGCTCCCACAGGTACATACCTTAGTAAGCATTCTGAGCAACTTGATATTACATAATATTGCAATTCCAGCAATCGTCTATCGACGTTTATCTACCATGGGTCACACTTGGGACATCTTACATACCAACATCAGACTTATAATTTTCTTGTAATTTCTTGTCCTTCAAAGTCATGTTGCTCCCACTTATGTATCACTTTGTCCTAGAATATATATATATATATATTCATGGATTTTTGATCTGATTCTGTCATATATATCTATGAAAACCTTCTTCTTGCCGGTTTCCTGATGTAATGCTCAGCACCATATTTCTACTTATGATGACGATGAAGAGCTTGCAGCACCACGGCCAAAGCCAAGCCACCCCCAACCAGATGGGTAATAGCACCCACCTACCAAATCCCTTCCCCAGCACCATGTGATTATTTCGGACGACAACGAAGACCAACCAACACCACCTGTTACAGTAACATGAGAGTTACGCGTCATTTCATTCTGCAGACTCGTCTAGACCTGGACCATGGTCATGATTCTATTTCCATCTCTTTTCTTTTTGATCTTGTTGTTCTGAAATGCAAGAAGCTCTCGCTTCTACCCCTAGATCGTAGAAGCCCCAGCTTCTCCCGAACCCTATGCCCTTACCACTATGCCAGTTCTCTTTCTTTGATGGGGATTCCCCATGCCCTTTGCCCTTACCATTCAACCAGTACTTCTTACCCTTTCTTACCTATGACTCACACATGCCCTCAACCCTTACCGCTGCTTCGGTACTACCTCCGCTTACCCTGTACCCTTACCACTCAACCGGTATCTCACTTTACGTATATATTACTTCTCTTGTAGAACAGATTCTCTAACTTGAATCTACTCGGTTCTCATCTGATACTTGTCGTTGGGTCTGAACTTCTCTTGCCTAAGGGAACTCCCTCTGTACAAAGAACCATCTTCTCTTGAGATGATACTCTTGAGTTGAACTCCGTCTCTTAGATCATATCCTCAAGAAACTCCAATTGACTCTATGCAAGTGAGGGTCCCAACCCTTACTCAGACTTAGTGCAGGCAAGCTCTTTGCTGAGCTAGCGCCAAAGGCCACACTTCGAACATCCCTTGCAGGTTTAGCACCACTGGATCTCATCCGAGAGGTTTTGCATAACACCACCCCAAAAACTAATGCACCACCAGTGTCCCCCAGAGTTTGAGCCCTGGGACCATACCCCACCACCTTGCGAGCTCAAATCCAAGTGTCCGATCTCTTTCTCCAACACTATCAATGACAAGCAGGAAGCACTGCCCCCAAAATTCAAAGTTTGGTATTCTACTGAGGCAGCCAGCTATGATGGGGCTCCAGCTTCAATGCGAGCAGGCCAACCTACACTGGGTTATGACGGAGAGGAACAGCAACCTCAACTGAGCAAGCAACAGCATCCTGCAAGTGCTTCCATTCACCATGGCAACAAGGATCAGCCTCCACGCCCAAAGCCGAAACCTCGTTGCACTGTTCACAAGCACGAGGATTCAGTAAGCAAGCTCGTGACTGAGCAGTCAGGTATGACTGGGGTATGTCACCATGACCTTCTTTTCAGTCTGCTGACATCATGATTAGCAGTCCCAGCCAGCACCAGTGCTGAGTTCATGCCGCTCATCCCCACTGTCAGATCTGACTGACAATGACAACGACTTTTCCCCACAAGCTGCAAAACTTTTTGATGCCCCCCCTTGCTCCCTCAAAGCAAAAAGGAAAGAAGAAAGCCACCAAGGCTCTAGATGCCCCTCGAAGAACCTCTGGTCGACGAAAGAACGGTTACTACATCAGTAAACCACAATGGTCTGTACAGAGCTGTACAGAGCTGTACAGTTCACCAGAGCCACAGCTTGGTCCCACTGTCACAGACAGGCCCATCTCTGTACAGCTCTGTACAGAGCTTCCCAGAGCTCCACAGTAGCCCTCTAGTTACACAGAACCTTCCCAAACATATTAAAAATCGCTTTTTTTCATTTTTATATTAACTCAAGTCAAACATGTAAATTTAAATTTAAACAAATGGATTGCAAAAGAAGCAACTACTCTACTGGACTCATCAATACAAACAGTGAGTAAGGATGTGAGATAATCAAAGTGCAAGAGTGCAAGAGAACGGGTCGTCATCATAGTCATAGTCATTTGTTGTTGTCATGTTGTTGTCGTGTCATGTTGTTGAGTCACCGTCGTTGTCGTGATAGCGCTGTCATAAAGACAAGTTGTTAGTAATGTATATATAAATGAAAATGAAAAAATGCACCTATTGCGCACACCATGAACGAACAAGCATAAACACAAAACAAGCATGAAAATACTAGTAAGTAATGTACATACATACATACGTACATAAAAAAACACACCTTCGAGTGGCAAGAAAGATGGGCAAGAGACAGGGCATGACGGGGCACGAGAGATGGGTGAGAGAGACAGGCAAGAGATGGGGCGAGAAGACAGGCAAGAGATGGGGCACGAGAGATGGGCAAGATGGGGCATGAGAGACAGGTGAGAGATCACACAGGGTGAGAGAGATGGCATGTCGCACGGGGCAAGAGAGATGGGGCAAGAGATGGGGCACGAGAGACAGGCGAGAAACAGGGCATGGGAACACGAGAGATGGGGCATACAAGCACAAGAGACAGCACAAGAGGAGAGGGCGCAAGCATCAGGAAACTGGTGAGAAGAAGGTTTTCATAGATATATATGACAGAATCAGATCAAAAATCCATGAATATATATATATTTATATTCTAAGACAAAGTGATACATAAGTGGGAGCAACATGACTTTGAAGGACAAGAAATTACAAGAAAATCATAAGTCTGATGTTGGTATGTAAGATGTTGCAAGTGTGACCCATGGTAGACAAACGTCGATAGACGATTGCTGGAATTGCAATATTATGTAATATCAAATATCAAGCTGCTCAGAATGCTTACTAAGGTATGTACCCGTGGGAGCTGGGGGTTTGAAAATTTTTCACTCAAGTCCTTGAGCTCACCCTTTTGTTCTGACATGATCTACGTCCTCTCAAGAGTCAAGACTTTTCTTTTTGGCAGTTCTTCATGGTCCCTCCTTCCAGCTTCCTCTCCTTGGTGGTCCTTCCTCCCTGGCTCCTTCATGGTCCCTCCTCTCTGGCCTTCTTTGGTGATCCCTCCTTCCTGGCTCCTTCGTGGACCCTCCTTCTTGGCCTTCTTTGGTGGATCCTCCTTCCTGGCTCTTTCGTGGACCCTCCTCCCTGGCCTCCTTCCGGGGACCCTCCTCCTTGGCCTTCTTTGGTGGACCCTCCTCCCTGGCTCCCTCATGGACTGTCCTTCATGGCCCCCTCCTCCCTGGCTCTTTGGTGGTCCCTCTTTTATGGTCCCTCCAAGTATTACTTTCCTTGTTCCTTTCTTGTTTCATATCCCACTATATACTACTATGTAGCACATGTACTACTATACATTTATCAATAAAATTCGTTTTTGAAAATAAATCATCACAATCATCTATAGTGTTCAGCATCTTTGAGTCATTGGTGAGTTTATCCAAAGCACTCTAGGCTTCTAAAGCTTTGTTACAATTGGTGGATATTTGTCAACTTGATAGGTAATTGCAAACTAACTGTCAAGATTGTACTTTGGTAGTTTCCATCCGACTTAGTCCGGGTATTTAAAGCTTTATCATTTGGACTACAATTGTGACAGGTATTATATGTATTTTAGAATAGACAAAGCTTTACATGGTTTTATCATTTTCAGGTCGGTTACCTGATGAGGCCCATCAGTGCTGGGGAACAGATCAACTAAGGTCGAAGTAGTTAGTGCTGAGTCTGCCAACTGTGCCGAGAGAGTGGGAGAGGGTGGTTAAGGTAAATATAAGCAAGCAGTAATAAGAAAATAAAGAAAATAAAAGACTTACTTGAAGGATGGCAGCAGTGCAGGTAGAAGTTAAGAGTCGAAGTGTAGAACAAAGACTTCTGAAATTTTCAACAAGTTGAACAATGACTTACATCAGCATTGCCGAGTTCTGTGAGGTTCTGTGGTGCTGTAAGAGCTGTGAAAATTAGCAACACTGTGCAAGGTTTAGTAGTTTACTGATGTAGGACTCAAACTTTATTGCTGCAGCTTCATTCTCTATTTCTCACTTCTCTGCTTGTTGCTGCCGCTATGGACTTTACTGCATGGACTTCATTCAACTTGTGTATTTGTTTACCAGTACTGTTACACTAATGCATTACCTCTTGGGTACAAATACCTCGCGTGATCTCATGGGGCCTTCTAATGTGTACAAGCCTTGAGTGATCTAGTAAGACCTAGTAATCCCTTGCAAGCCTTGTTAGCCATCCAAGATTAACTTACCTCACACACCCTTGGAAGGCTATCTTAGACACACTCTCAGAAGGCCATCCAAGACAGGGCTATTTCCTTGCGAGGCATCACAGGCCTTCCAATAGGGGCGCTCAAAGTTAAAACGCCCAACACCCAACACCCAACCTTGTGACCAAAATGAGTGTACCTAGAATAAATAGAAGTAAATACCGAGTAAAGTCACCCAGGCCTACATGATGAGATAAGCTACTTACCTAAACCTTGTTGTGTGAAGCGCCAAAACCTTCGCCAAATGTCTCCCCTAATCCACAGCATTTCTAAACCTTTTCATACTCTTCTCGTACCTAAACCTCACCGTTCCTAGCCCTCACCACAACCTTGTCATATATTTTATTGTAGCAACATGTAGCTGCATGTTTTTTTTTCCAATTTCATTGGAATTTCACAAAGAAAATTATGTCTGAGCCTCAAAAACAACTCAAGTAGTCTGCTGAAGGTTAGGAAAGGGTTAGGAATAAAAAGTGAAAGGTCTCCTAAGGCACACAAAGGTTTAGGTACAAAAAAAAAGACTTTAAAAAGGTAGGGGTATGGAAAGGTTTAGGAACAGCGAGGTTTAGGTACAAGAAGAGTATGAAAAGGTTTAGAAATGCTGAGGATTAGGGGGAGACGTTTGGCGAAGGTTTTGGCGCTTCGCACGACAAGGTTTAGGTAAGTAGCTTATCTCATCATGTAGGCCTGGGTGACTTTACTCAGTATTTACTTCTATTTATTCTAGGTATACTCATTTTGGTCACGAGGTTGGGCGTTGGGCATTGGGCTTGGGCGTTGGGCGTTGGGCTTGGGCATTGGGCGTTTTAACTTTGAGCGCCCCTAATATTCGCAAGGTCGTGTATGGTCCTGTTAGGCCATCCGAGACCTCGTCAGGTTTGGCCACTTTTGCTGATGACATCAAGGTCATTGACAGCTTAGGGTAGAAGCTGCTGGAATGTGGATAGTGAAGGTACCTATAAGTTTGAGCCATGGTCGACACCAGCGGAAATTTAAGGGTCAGATTTCCGACATCGTAGTAGTCAGCTGATACTTGATGGGCTTCAACGTGGCTGAAACCTAAGGGACCCCCAGATCCTCAGCCAACTCTAAGCCGTCGGAATTTTTGGACAACACGCAGTGAAACCTTCATCTCATCTTCAAGCTCAAGAATAATGTCGTCCCTCGCGTTAGCTACTAACATGCACACAGCAGAGTCAAATGTCAATCTCTCCCAGGTATGGAATGTCATCGGCGAACTGCAATTCGTCGTAAGTGCATAGGTATTCGCGTCCGTGGATACACAATAATATTCCCTCACTTCAGCTTGCACGTTCAATACAAGTGGTGACCGTATGTATATACCAATATATTAGAATGACATTTGATTGATGATGACCAGATTCCAGACCTCGAAACCCCGTACTCCCGAGCTAGTTTCCCCAACACGAACTACTTTGGCACTGAGTCCAAAGATCGGACCATCAGCGCCATCATTACTGAACGCCAACAGCAACGGAATGCAGTTTTGGACGAGATCTCAGGCCTGGAAACAGTCATGCACAGTATCGACGATCTTCGCCAGCAACTCGTCGAAAAGAACGACAAGATCACCCAGTCCATGAATTTGCACAAGAGACTTGGATCGACTCTCTGGCGCTTGCCAACTGAAGTCCTATCCCAGATTTTTCATCTTTGTCTCCCAACAATTCCAGCATTCGATGAACTCCAGCTGCCATCGCAGCCAGAAGCTCCCGTAATATTGACTGCGGTATGCCGACGATGGAGGGAGGTTGCTGTGGACACACCCAGTTTGTGGTGCGAACTTCATGTGCCAATCGTCTCCAGAGACCATTGGGAGGGGCAAGCCTTCTGCTCTCATTCATGGCTCAAGCGGTCACAGGGTCTTCCATTATCGCTAGCTCTTAAATGCGACGCAGATGACTCGACCAAGCTACGAAGCCTTCTTCAGCCTTACGTCGACCAAATATCGTCTCTCAATATCCATATCTTCCCAGACGCGGACGAACCTGATGTCTTGTTGGAAGACCTCACAGCACTTCAGGACCTGACCATAGTCATCGAGGATCTTGACATGGCATATGATACACAACTTAGTATCGATGAAAAATTTTCACAATCTATCTCACAACTGCCATTCACTATGCGCAGTCTCAGGGTAGCCGGGTTGTACCTCAACCCCGGTGTCACATCTTCTGTCAATCCCGTATGGGCCCACCTGACAAATGTCGAGATTGAGCTACGTGAACCGAGTGCATTCCTCCACTTGCTCCAGCTAGGTCCCAACATCTCCTCGTTGAAAGTTCACGTGGCATTCGACGAAGCACGGGCGCTTGAGCCATTCACGCACACCAAACTTCAATCCTTACGCATCAGCTTTGGATACTCAGCCAGAACCCTATTATTTGTCCTGTTCGATGTTCTAACACTCCCCAATTTGTGCATACTTCGAGTTATCGGTATAGAAATGTGGCCTCATGAGGGGTTGAAGGCATTTTGTCGCGGTCAAATTGTACCCTGGAGACCCTGATTTTGGGCCCTCGAGTGAAGACGACAGAGGAGCAGCGAGCGGAATATGTTGCCCTCATCCCCTCACTCGAGATAGTGATGTTGGAATTTGGAATTGTTCACGGTGTGCTCACCACTGTTCGCAGTGAGCAGTGACTTATTACATAGGACGGTGCACTGCACTGCCCTGGCGCCTGTGTACTAAGTACTCCCTATCTCACTGCTCATAGCGTATTTGTAAGTACAATGGCTTACCTGAGTTCCCATACTCAGTATATATACTGTCGCTGATACTGGAAGCTAAGCTTTGAGTATCCTACCTTTTGGTGTAACGGTTATGCGCGTACGGCAGTCTGACCTACTGACAGTATTGCAGAGTAAACTGAAATGTCAGAGGGCATCATTGCATTACGTTTCGTGTTTGACAACATCTGATGACCGCAACAAATATGTAAACGAAGATTCGAAACCATCCATCATTTAACATTAAAAAGAAAAGGGAATTACAGCTTCCAAAGCGGAAACTGGAAATACAGTGACTAGATGCGTACAACAAGCCAAACCATAACCTAGAACAAAGCGGCAGCAACTTTTTGCCAGAAACCCACAGGCGGGTAGTACGGGCCTTCTGTCTCCTCCGGGGTGGGAATGCCCTAATATGATGCGTCAGATCGAGTCCAAGAATATCCGCTAGGACACTTACTGTCACAAAGTCCATTTCGTCTGGTTTCCAGATCTCTGTCCCTTTCATGAACTTCCAGCCAAAGTAAAGACCGAAGAACAGCGGAATGTTGATATCTGCGAAAGGGAATCGGGAGTGTCCATCAGTCAAGATTTCACGGAAGGACAAGTACACGCACAGGCTGTGAGGAAGCCGGCAGGAGTGAAAGCCCAGAAGACTGAGAAGCCGTTGACGAGGATGAAGAAGATGCACCAAGAAAGGCCCCAGATCGAAAGCCATGGCTGGAAGCGGTTCCAGTAGTGGAGCTTCGTGCGGTCAATGCCTTGGTGCTTCATTCCGCGGTCTGCATATCTTGTGAGACCTAGATTGAAGAGGGAGATAGGTGGATGATGTGCTTACGGAAGAAGATGTAGGTTAAGTTGATGGAGCCCCAGCCGAAGAAGCCGCCCACGGTTGAAAGGTTGACGAACCAGCTGATCAAGGGTTTTCAGTACAGATCGTACGCCACTAGGAGAACACCTACTTGAACACCGTCGCGGAACCCGACCCGACGTTCATGAGGGAGAGGAACGCAAACATGCTCTAGATATATATTATCAGCGCCGTACACTGGCATGACGGTCTTAAAGACGACGCACAGAGAACGCAACAGCGACCAAGGGAAGCCCAGATTGTGTGCACTTTGCGAAGACCTTGGGTGCTTGCCCTCGGAGAGCAAGACCGTAGAGGATACGGGACGAACAGAAGAGGAACGAGTTTGCAGCACTGAATGCACTCGTCATGACACCGGCATTGATGATGCTTGGCAGGACTGTCCATGTAAATATGAATAACGATCGGATCCAGATTGTGGTCAATGTTTACCTTTAATCCCAGCATTCGTCATGGCAATGACATAAGGAGATTGGGCAGCAGTACCCGTGGCTATATCGAATATATCAGACCCATCCTACAGGACATGTACAAGAACTCACAGTGGAGCAAGTTGGGGTCGTTATAAGGAACGATAAGACCGGTTATGAAGATACCGAGGATCTACGATACCCTCCATCAGGATCCGCAGATCATACCAGACAAGACAGAAAAAGCAAAAGCTTACATAGAAAACGAGAATACGGAAGAACACCCTGCGGACGGCTTTTGCGATGTTCCGGCGGGGGTTTTCGGTCTCGGAAGCGGCACTATGTATCAGTTTGGCAAATGAGCTTCTTCTTGGCAAATGGGGTGTGCTTACATCGCGACAAGTTCCATGCCCTGGAATGAGAATGAAGCTTGGACAAGAACATTCAATATGCCGAGGAAGCGGTCCAAGCCAACATGGGTCGGTTCCAGTCCAGCCCCTGCGAAGACACCGGGGTTTTTCCAGTACTGTTCTCAGTGTCAGAACACTGGTTTAATTCCCGTCGACTTTAACTACAGACCTGGAAACCCAGTCGGTGGTGATCTGGTGCACCTCCAAGGTCAATGACCAGACCGACAATAATAAGACCGGTGATCATTGTGACTTGTGATAGCAGGAAGTCAGAAATATGAAGTAAGCATCAGCAATCAGACATACGTTTAATGATAGAGAATACGAATTCCGCTGGTAGTTTATGGGTTTGAGTTCAAGCCGATCAGCATAAAATAATGGTTATTTCTGACCTTCGCCGAAATACCTGACGGAAAGTTCGAGCTTGTGAGTATGCGTTACACAGAGGGGGAATACCACATACCGTACACCGAAGACGTTCGTTGCGCAAGCAAAAACACAGATAATTGCAGTGTAAATACCGGCATGATTCGTCTACACAATAAAGTTTCATCAACACCACTACTACAATCCAAAGAAATACTTGGCTCACGTTGGAATCCCAATAAGTGATCAGGATCTGAGCACCCGTGATTTCCACCGGCACGGTTATCCTTGTCGCGGATAAACTTCATGACAAGAGGAAGAAGAAAAAGAGACATACACGTTAGTCTATAAAATATTGAACTGTTAGGGCATCGTTTTATGGACAATTCATCAACTTACATAGAAGTAGTTCTGAAATAATCGTGATAACTGTCAGAGATAGCACAGACCGCGGTAAGAATCGACTTACCCATCCAACCTGAATGCCAAGCAATTAGTGACGACACTATTAAATTGAAAAAAACAATTGCTTACTGCAAAACCAAGTGCAGGGTCAACCCATCGAGCGGCTGAGTAAAATGGGTCAACGGCATGTTTTGAACCATGTGAATTATTCTACAGACCAAAATGAGGGAAAGTTCCTGAAATTGGGGCGTGGGATGTCATTTCACCAATGGAACACAGTGACCTGGCAGAGCCTTCAATACAGAACAAACATACTATAATGACGTGAACTTACGAATATGCCACTGAGCCTACAAGGGCATATGCGATGAGGGCACCGAGAGGGCCCGCACCGCTTAGAGCTTTGCCAGAACCTAGGAAAAGCCCTGTACCGAGTGTTCCAGCGATCTATACTCCAGGTAAGTAACACTGCAAGGACAACACCAGGACTCGACATACAGCAATCCTAACAAAACTCATAAGCTCGTTATAACAAAGCAAAACAAAGTTAGACATACATCTGAACATGGCGCTGCTTGAGTCGACGCTGTACCAAGTCGATGGAAGCGACATCGAACTTGTGCTTTCCATCCGCAACGACGTGAAATTCGTTGTCAAGGTGGTTCTTCTCGACGCTGCCGTCATCAAACTTGCGATCCTCGCTACTCATGATGGAGTTGACGAGGGGGACCGCGCCAAGGATAGAGGGTATGGATGAAGGGAGGGGAAGAGAGGACGTTTAATATTATCATTGGCTGAATCTTATCGTCATTAAGTATGCTACACATGGGGTGCCAGGTGGTGCCTGGGTATCCATACGGATCAAAGAATATACGATAGGAACTGTAACCGGTGGTGCAGATAGGAAATTTTACTGCATTCTCTGTTTGGGGTCCCGGATAGATCAATGACCGTGTCGGGAATGTAAAACCGTACTACAAACGATCAAACCACGGGTATAGCCCGTTCGTAAGGTATTACGGGACGAAGCACCTACCGATGTCTGGTTATTCAACTGGCGCCCAGAGGCGCTCAGATGTTGTGAAAACTTCGGAGTTAGCCATGAGGTGATTAGCCGGACTAATTTTAGAAAGGTGTTCCTCGTCTGAACCAGACGTTCTGGGGACAGCCACTGACAGCTAGGTACAGCCAAGCAGTTCAGTCGAGACTCAGCTGGGCCGCCTCCTTGATGATCATATGGGATTGACATTGAAGATCGATATTCTTATTTTTCACCTATTCGAAATTTGATGATAAACGCTCAGCCTATCATCCTGGTTTCCATGTGGCGAATCCAATTGAATCGGATCAGTCAAAACAACTGCCAAGTCTTCAATGGTACTTGCAATCAGGAGTCGGGGACTGGCCATGGTGTCTTGGGGAATCAATAATATATCACAGCACGTATAAGCAATACTGGATATTGATTCGAGAACGTCTGATTTGACACTGGGAACGTTGACTGGAGCTCGAGGGCAGCATGATTCCATACAGCTGCGACAAAAATGCGGTTGGCAGTGTATAAACGCCACATGATGGATCCTTACCTGGTTACCCATGTCCACTTTCCATATGTAAGGCAGCCTATCATATGGATAATCGGCCTCAATCGAAAAACGCTTCTATCACGGAGCTACCTTTGATTAGTCTCCCTAGGCAGACCAGCTCAAAGAAAGGCAGTCGTCCATCACGTACTCCTTCAGGCTACGTGTCTTCCCAAAAAACTCGACATCGTGGTGATGGACCGTCAGGCTGGATCAAGGCTGGCATCCGCCACGTTATGTCACATTAGCGCTTGAAGAACTCTCCGTCAAAGCTGGGCAGTGACTTTCCCTCGACCATTAATATTGGTGAGTTCGTTCCTTTGCTCATCCGTACTACATAGTAACGTTCTGGAAGCTTTAATGATTTACATAACACGGTACAGCTTCTCCAACCACAATAATAGACTGAAAGCTCATTAGTGGGAAATAATCAGTGAGTGCTATACAGCTTTCCAACTTTCTGGAACATCCTGCTTGTCGAAGCTACAAAAACAGCCCCGCCGATACAAAGAACGGTACAGTGTCGCCATTTTCTGTATAGAAGTTTGTTCATGACAATGATGCGCCCAGGGGGCTATTCCTGTCAGATGTGAGTATGAATACCCACTTTCTTCTTCATAGAATAATATTGGTAATTGGTGTTGTGCGCAGTTCCCCGCAGATGTACTGCTTTCTAAACAGCTTGACACTATGTACGTTCCAGCTCTCTAAACTCTTGATTCGCATTCCACTTTTCTGTCACCAATCGCTCGCACCCTTGTGGTTCCTACCATCATCGACTATGTGCTGTCATACAGACTGCAATACGAACTACGGTCCGGTGCGCGCGAAATCATCAGCCTATTGAGTGGGATTAATCTTGATTATCTGCATTGATGAGCATGATGGTACAGCAACGAGCATAAGTAGACCCCCAATTACGCGATACAGAAGAACATAGAGAGAAAAGGCAAGCTGTTGCGCTGCTGGTAAGTGTACAGTCGTGTGATGTTCCTGTTGGACCAGGACATGAGGCTTTTGCTTCCGTGTCCACCCTGAGATGTTCCGCAATTATCCAGTCGAAGATCATTTCCGCACCCTCGAGTCGATGTTTCCTCAAACCACCGAAAGAAAGAAGCAGGACAAGCACACCGGATTATTTCGCCGGCAGTGAATGTCTTGGGATTTGCTGTAAATACCCGGACGCTCCCAGGCGCTCCCGCACCAGTCCGCAGCGTGTACCTGTCAGCGAATAGGGGCATTTACCGGTGTTCATGCGACCTCCCGGCTTGTCTCGGCTAGAGGGAGGTGGAAGGCTGATATTACTAGATACATATGAATTCTCATGGAAACCTTCGGCACGGAGTGTGCCCGCCCCCCGCAAACACTAACCAGAGGGACACGGTTGTCACACTTGGCAACAGCCTTTGTGGGTAGAGTGAAAATTTCAGGAATTATACAGTATACTTCAAGTGCATATCTAAGTGCATATCCACACAAAAAGCATACCACCGCACACATTTCATTCGCAACCAGACATGGTATCCAGACCATTAATCATCCTCGTCCTCTCCAAGTACATGCGCTGCTGCCGACCTACCTTCCTCCCTCGGCACTGGAGCATACCACTTACTCGCATCATCCGGGCCTGACAGCTCAATACCCTCGGCAGAAAAAACAACGTTGGGCTGCGTAGACGACACATTCCGCCCGGATGTGGAGTACAGGTGCAGTAAGAAGACAGTGAGGAGGTACAACAGGAATGCAATGCTGTGAGAAAACTAAGCGGACAGAAATTGATGCGAACTCGTGAAGGCTCCCACCTGTACATCGACAATATATATGTGACGTGATCCATTCCTGCCTCATGAACAGCGGCAAGCTCCTCATCTGTGGCGGACATAAATAACAACCTGAATACACCGTCAATAACCAAGCTTCATTGGGTTATAACGAAAACATACCCAGAAGCAACTAGCAACTGGGAGACATTGTAATGAGTAATCTCACAACAATCGTTGAGAAATGATACTAACAAACGGTGGCAAGTGTCTGAATGTCCGGTCAGCGTTTATTTTCGCAGTAACACGGGTGTCCTTTGGCGCAGAAGGTGCCAGCGTGTGCTCTGAATCATTATCATCCAGTGGAGGTGTATTCGATTGCGGTGAGGACGGCTGTGATATGAAACAAACCTCAACGATACGTGCCAAACCGGCGAGCATCAGCGAGTATCCAAACATAGCGTGAACCTGTAAACACGAACAACCATCAGCCGAATAGTGAAACGTAAAATGTAACGAGTCGTGATTCTGACCTTCGTAGACAGCATCAAAGCTTGGGTATGGTCTGACATAGCCCATCCTGTTAATATTATGCTAAACGCCTATCAGATTGACCAGTACGAGGGAGAGCAAAAAAAAACGAACATCACGCCAGGTAGCACATTTCGCTGTGCACATGTATAAGCTTAGCAATCCGCGAAAAGCGATATGGCACACACCTGATTATTCCGAGACAGGAAGATACCAAGAGCGCCTCCTGCCCACCAAAGTATACCAAGAACCCTACATAGAGATCATTGATCGCTCGATCGATACAATTCTCAGGATAGACATACGTGTGCTGCATATCTTTCACACTCCACGCACCGCCATGATGCTCAGTAAACGTATTGACCATGCCCTGTCACAAAATTAGCTCGAGCGTACTGTATGCACGCGATACACGCACCCAAAGCATGATCACCCACGAATCCCACCATTCAGGACTGCGGCTGCTGCGGCGGACCCAGTCGTCGCCGACGACAAGTAGGAGTGCCATGATGATGCCATAGCCGATGAATCCACTTCCCTAGAGACTTGAATGAGTACTACCCAAGAAGAATCATTACACGTAACTTACCATGATATAATGCGCAGCGCATTGTCCGGCTCCCACCTCCCCACAGAACCCTCTCAACGTGATGACGCCAAACAAGCCCTGAACCCAACCAAGTATGGGCCATATGCGCCCTAGGATGCCATGGGCGCGCACAGCGTATGGTCGTATAGTACGTTCATGGATATGAAGCTTGAGATAGATTCCGAGACCTAGCTGGGCGAAGATAGGGACCAAAAACCATGATCCAAGTTGTGAGTGGACAGAAGAAGGAAACTTTCGACCGCCATGCGCATGACCGAGAAATATGCCGCCAAAAGTTAGGACGAACGCGAGACTCTGTATGTAACCTCCTTGATCAGAGTGAATTTATACAAGGTGGAAAGAACATACTTGTACAGGAACATGCCATCTACTTCGGCTAAGTCCAAGTACCATACCTATGGGGAATATGACACCCCAGACGATAGCTTGGAGGGCGATATGTATCCAGAGAATGGCATCGACTGGGGCGTGTAGTTCTTCCTCTGTTAAATCTGCTCCATGATGTTCGTGAGCAAGCACCGGCGTTATCCAAGTTAAGATGAGAGGAAGAATCAGGGGTGATGTCCCTGACAGTAAGTCGCCCGCCATCGTGATCAACAGCAGCAACGGCAGCCAACGGTTCGACGTTCAACGGTTCAACCTGCTAATAAGTCACTTACTATAATTAGATTCAGCTTACACATTATGGCAGCGACACGATTCAAATGACGTGTCAGGTTGTGCTCAATTCGGCATGTCAGCAACTCGACATCGAGACAAACATGCACTCCGAATCTCCCCTAGCTAGCCAGACTAATCGAAGGAAGATGGTTGTTCCTTCGTTTGGAATCTCGCACGAGAAACGGATTTTGACTACTCTTGTAAGAGCTCGATGTTCGACTATCAGCGTCGCGGAGACCCAAGTTTAAATCCCTCCATCAAATAAAAAGGCAGAGCTTTTCTCAAAAAAACGTAGGAACAGTAACGAACTGTAAACACCAAGCTGCTTACGAAGCAGTATGAGTTAGGAATGAGCTCACAGCAGAGCTACATATCTCCCCATCGAACTCTGCATCGCAACCACGAACGATTGTTTATGCACTAACAAACTCGAGGAAGCGTTCTGTCCACGTGAATGACTGGAGCTGTGTCTAGAGCATCAAGAGAAATACCATCCCGTCTGCGTGAGCTCAAACCAATGAGAATACGACAAGACTAGACGCACATATTGGTACCAGGTCTCGTTGTCCGAAAAATCAGGCAGTGTGTTCGGTGCTGCGTCCAACGGCACTTTGTATCGCTGTGAGACCAGAATCGTCACAGCGAATCTGCCCTAAAACATAGAAAACGTACGTGAGGGACAATAGTATGTTTCTTCCTGAGCTTGAGCCTTGTCTTGCGCAAGATGTCCTCTAGCTTTTGATGCTTCAAATACTGAGCGAAGGCCTTCGAATTATCATACATAGCGTTCAATTCGTCCCCTACTTGGACAAGTCCTATGTGCAGGTCCCCTAAGACGCCCATAAGATACAACCTTGCTGGTTCGGCAAACGACGTACGTGGATCTAATATCTGAGAATTGGGACCAAGACCTGGAAACTAGACACATGAAACTCGACAGCAATGCTGTTAACACAAATGGTCTGTAATATATACGCACCCTCCCTTTCTCTATGAGGGCGCGAATGAGCTTTTTCGACTCGATATCTCCGGCAGAACATGCCCTGCCATCCGGTTGAATCATTGCCCAATTCATGAAATACCCAACCAAGGCTGCGGTTCGACTTTCTTTCAGCAGCGGACCCCAATGTGTTAGAACATCTCGGATTCCGACGTAATTGAGATCAAAGATGTTAGACACGTCAATACGATCGAAACGTGCTGATGCTGGGATCCCGAAACCGGAGAGGCCGTCCTCGCGAATCACACGAGAGAGAATAGTCGCGTCTGTAGCTACCACGCGGAATGAGATGTGGAGTTCGCGGAGACGTCGAGCAAACGTCCGCAGTTCGTGAGAGAGGAAGAAATATAGGCACCCATAGATGTCCTCGGGTTGAGCACCTTGGGCTGTCCCTGCATCTAGAATCTCGCCAATGCTACAACACCATGAAAACGAGGATGAAGGTACAGTGCTAGATTCTACTCACTCCCATCCTGCGAGGGGGTCCGCGTAGTCCGTCTGCAACCATTTTCCATTGAGAGAGAAGAGCGATGCGTTTGGGACGTTGAAATGGGCGTTCATAGCCCCGAAAGGAAGAACAATACCGAATCGGCGAAACTCTTGGAATGCGAGACGGTGAGATGGCTTGAGCCTTGCTAACATCCGATCTCGATAATCGCCCCTAGATGATGCAGTCCTCACACGATCGTATTCGTTTTGTGCTTCTGCCATAGAAAGAATTGTTGACATCCCGAAATGGCGAAAAAGTTGCCCAAGCTGTTCCGTGATCAAGCAATCCAGGGATGAACGCTGACCCAAGGGTTGTTGATCCTCCGGGTTCGTGTTCGCCCTAAGCAGGAATGAGGCAACGATTGCCATAATATTGGTGCTATACTCCGCAGGCATGAAAACTGAGTACCAGAAGTGAAGAGCGATGTCGACAGCCATGGTTTCATCAGGGACTGTTCCCAATATAAGCAGGATTACGATGTTGCGAGCGACAACAGGTGGACAGACGTCGTTAAGTAACACTTGCAAGTGACCTGAATAATCCTCGGGGAGAGCACTGATCGTCCGCACAACGTGTCTCAGATCACCAGAGGCTGCAATAGGAAACAGGTTAGTCAGTGACACGATGATGGAGATCGAACACAAACCAACGAGCGCAATCGAAAGATCCAGACTCTTGTCTTTTTCGTTTTCTGCTAGGTTGATCAAGTCCACTGCTGGCATGTTCCCCCATCTATGTACAAACCCCAAGTTAGCACAGATCGGCACGACGAGCAGAGGAGCTGACAGGCAAAGCCCAGAGTCAAATTCGGTCATTTGGGCTCGCAAACTTTCTGCAGACAAGGATGCAGGAAGGTTCGTTTCGATAAAGAAGGATGTAGGAAAGCGTCTCTCAACGACCCAAGCCGGCTTCCAATCATCGGACTTCAGTTGATTCTTGCAGTCTAGACCTGAAGTTTAAGACCAAAATAAGGACAATATAGAGGTAATATCACGCACCACGCTTGTGGATGCGCCAATGATTTTCTTGACATTCCTAAGCATGAGGAGTTAGCTAGGCACTGGCAGCGCACGCGATAGAGTAACATACTTTAGAACAGTAAGACACTAATTTGCATGCACTGCATGTCTTGGTCCCTTGTTTTGGGCAGGCCTTAAACTGCACCACCTGCACGTTGGCACATGGAAGCACATCCAGGGGTGGAAACTTGGGCTTCAACTTGTCGCGCAAGGTCTCGAATAGCCGCTCTGGGTTTGAAGCATCGACGTCGGTCGGCAGAAATGGTTCACCTGAGCCAGAGGGATCTGGAGGCACGTCAAGGGATATAAGGCTAGATGTTTGAGTAGACCTGTGCTGAGAGAAGCTGGTTATTGCGTTGGTGAGGGTACCTAAGTTCATTTTTGAAGGGAGCCTGGTGGGTGGAACGGCCTGAAGCGTTGGCACAGATGTGCAAGCCCAGAGAGATGCAGTACAGGCCCAGAATCATGAGTATAAGTCCTGTAAGATCAGAATAGACGCACAAATCCATTGGATTTATACCTGTGCAAGATCCTCTGAGTGCACATTGCACGTGGGCTGTTCACATGCGCAATGTGTACTCCGAAGATCTTGGAGAATCATGTCATGGATCACGTTTTGATTCGCCTTTGCGTGCCCAGAGGCCTAGGAAGGTAATACGTTCAGATTTCGTGAACGATTGTCCCCCTTCGACTTGGCCTGTCAGCCTGGTAGAAACAGACTTTCGGTTACGGCGTAGATCCGGTGCAGAAACTGCGCAGCAGAGTTCTCGCAGAAAACTTCTCCAGGGACATATATATGTAGGCTGATGCACTCCGCACCTGCTTCTCCTCTCGATTGTCGTGTTTGTACGTTCTTCGAACATAATTGAGCACACGTCAGATATCGATCTGATCCGTGACACGTAAAAGGTTCATCGTGCGCTCGCCATATCGAGTTGAAGAACAGTATAGAACTTGGCGAAGACGATGGTGAAAGACAATTGAGACTGTCTCGTTGCAGTACTGGTCAGTTTTACCTATTATAAAGCGCGTACCAGAACGAGGCTTTGACGTTGTCACCTAGTAAGTACCAGAGATTTGTGGCACCTGAATAATTGACTGTAGTACTCAACAATACGGCTGTACAGGATGGACTATCACAGGTGGACTTGACAGCGACATGGCACAACTGGAGCAAGGAGGGCAACTAGTACTGAAACTTTTTCTCCTCATTTGAACTTGTTTGGACAGCATAGTTTCGCAGAGTTTCGCACGACGTACGTGTTGAACTGGTCACAAGAGGGGATCAATATTGACGGTCCAGATGCCAAGCACCGGAAATCCAGGACTGTGGCTCCGCGGCATTCTCTGAATCCGCTCTGCAGCTTCCGCTTGTCCTCTGCTCAAGTTCGGACACTTTGCAATAGCGCTAATTTTCTGTGATCTGGTTGTTTTGGATGTATATCGATGCAGAGCGACTGTCATATGGTCTGTATTAGGTCAGTAACAGGAGATACATACAGACGCGGCTAACTTATTTAGTACTTACATACAGGTCGCATATGTCGTTTAAACGATGTCGATGAATCCCGAAGAGCGGAGAGAGCATTGCAGATCGAAGGAGTTAATGTATAGTTGGTAACCTTACCAATTAAAGTATGATGCGATTCAACTGACCTAGCGAAAGATCTAGCACCATTTGGCATATGACACCGACAGCATATGTCTCGCGAGCCATGAAAACACCATCATTCGGTTCTATGCCATGGTCGCCCGCGAACACAGATCAACAGGTTCAAGTATCATATCGCACGTAGGAGTGAGGCCGCGCTAGGCCTATGTTTGCGCGATGACCGGGGCGGTTTCCATCAGCCGTAACAAGCTGTTATAATTTCTGGGGATTTTTCAGGGTTCTTTTCAAATGATCATGCGCTCCGGGCTACGGGAGCCACGCCAGCATGACCTGCCACGTCGGGCAAACCGTCGAAAGTATAAATTGCGCTTCTTCATGAAGCTGGTCTTGCACCCCCGGTTCTCTCTTATCAGCACGATGAGACATATCCTAGCAGGCTTAGCGCTCTCGAGTACGCTTGTCGCCCATGCGTGGGCGGGGCAACCGGCTAATATTTATGGTGTTAATTTGGGCTCATGGTAAGCATTACTCTGCGTCCCCGACTGACTAGTTGACTTAAGTGGTAGTGCAGGTTGGTCCTAGAGCCATGGATGCTTCCTCAAGGTGATAAACTGAGGAATCTTGTAAATACAAGTTCACTGAACGAATTTTTGCCACATAGGCTGGTTGGATATGGGTGGAGAGTCATGTGCAGATTGTTCGACATGCATTGCAAGCGAGTGGTACGTTCTTATTCTATTGCCATGCATTTTCAAGTTGCATGTGAAACTCAATTTGCGCTGTGATAATCCAGGTCATTTGCAAAGGCCTATCCCGACACTGTTGACGCTACCTTCGCTGGTCACTGGGACACATGGTTTACACAGAACGACGTCAACACACTGAAGGCGGCCGGTATCAACACCGTCCGAGTTCCTGTGAGTCAATTCTAAGGCACACTGCAAACTTGGCCAACCTGACGTTGGGCGTTTGATCTGCTTTGCGTTTATTTCTTCATCCCGTGCAAACTTGACTGTGAAATGCACCGCGTTGCTACATAGCTTGGATATTGGATTGTGGAGGCTTTAGTCGATCGATCGCACGAATATTACCCTCGTGGCGGTCTTAATTATTTGGTGAGAAGATTTGTTCGTAGCTTCATGCCCCGGGTAAAATTTGATCATTTACATTAGCGTCGTGGCTTGGGCTGGTTGCAAGATGCCGGGATTCAAGCGATCCTGGATCATCACGCATTGCCTGGGGTGCAAACGGCTGGGCAAATGTTCACCGGAAAGTAAGTTCCCATGTGTTTGCTATCTGTTCTATACCGACAGTGATTTTTTTTACAAGTTGCACTAACGATGTTCAATTCTACGTGAGCCCATTTGCAGCCGGTGAAAGCAACAACCACTGATACCTTCCATACAGACTCCATACAACTATCACCGTGCTCTCGTGTGGACAGCGGTCATGACCACGCTTGCTCACCTGGACCCTACCTTTGGAAGTGTATTTGCGATCGAGGCAATGAATGAACCCATCATGAACGCAGCTCAGACACCCAACTACGGCACCTGTATGTATCATTCATCATTCATATATTCGCGCTCTCATGATTCCTCATACAGTTCAAAAGAACTTCGTCCAGACAATCCGTGCGGTCGAGCTCACACTTGGGATCCCTGTACCGTCATCCAGTCCATTTGCATCGCTATCGGTATCCATCTCGAACAACTTCACTGCTGCGTTGAACGCGACGTCCAAGGCAACCGTCTTCTCGCCGGAGGTGCAGTCGGCACTTGCAGATGCTGTTCCCATCCTACTGGAGATTGGAATACAATGCGGCTTGCAGTCCGAGTTCGAGGCGTCGCCCTTCTGGAAGCCCCGTACTTCATTGGTGGCGAAGTGAGTTCAAAACAGGTTCTTGTTGGAGATACATACACTGACAATGACATGCCAAGCTTCATGGACGTGAACTGGCAGTACAACAACCCCGCTAACCCAGCTGACGTCGCCATTGGTCCACAAGCTTATGACAACCACTTGTATTACTCGTGAGTGCGCAGTTGCTATAATTGTTACGATTTCTCAACTCATCTTTACAGGTTTGGCGTATGTCTTCTGCTCGCAGGTTATTGCTTTGCATTGACATTTTTATAGGGAGTCGCAGATGCTAACCCGACGGCATACTTGACCAGTATTTGCAGTGCGTCTTCTTTGTTGGTTCAGTCATGACGTACTCATTTTGGTACAGATCTTACACGCATTCAGAGCGACGCTGCAGTTGGTAACTCTCCCCTCTGGTTTGGAGAGTGGGGACTTTCGACACAGTTCAATGCCACGGACGACTTCCTCTACCAGTGGGCTGACGCACAGAAATTGGCCTATAGTAAAGGTGCTGGATGGCTTGTACGTATCGCATAACGCTTGATCAAGACGTTACTCAAGGAAGAATATTCTAGTACTGGAACTTCAAAACTGAGATATCGAGTCTCACCAACGGGAATGCCCTCGCAAGACAATGGTTAGTCAATACACAATATTCTAGGGTACTTCATGAATGACCTGACGTGTGCCTAGGTCATACCTTGAGGCGTTGGAACTCGGGTACATGACCCAGGACCCCGCAGCGCTGCACGATCCGAATGTGTGCAAGCCATACATAAACGGCACCTCGAAAAGCACCAGCTAATGATATGCGCGTTCTTGGTAACTTATCCATTAAGTAAGCAGTAGCGCAGAGCGCACCTGTATCAATACCTGCTACAGGTTATCCAGCACTCCCTGATACCACGTTCCTTTATTTTTCATTCGTTTTTCATTGCTTAAGTATGGCAAGCTTCATAGAATGATATATATCTGTTCGTCACACGTTCTTTTTTACTTACATTCCTTTGGGCTTCACGATAATCGTTGCTCGTAGTAATAAACACTCGGTTTTGTGTTGTGTCAAAAATAACTTGCAGTGCACAAATATGACAGCTCCGGATCAACTCCGGAGCTTGAAGTATATTATCAACTATATCGAACTTAGTTCATGTCAGTTTCATAATGTCCACTTCCCTGGTTGTTCCCCTACATGTCGAATACATCAGAGCTCTCGGAAACGTTGGTTCTTCGACTCCTACTTGGTGAACTGATCTCTCAGCCTTTTTCCAGAGCAAAGATGAATTGTCCTATCACCTATCGGCTCACCTAAGGATGAACGCAGTGTATTGGGGCTTGACTGCCCTCTGCGTTATGGGACATAAGGATGCGTTGGATCGTGAAGAGATGGTAGATTTTGTGATGAGCTGCTGGGACGAAGAGGCAGGTTTGTTCCGATCAAGAGATCGATATCATCTCGAGCTCACATTCCGCAGGCGCTTTTGGTGCTCATCCTGACCATGACGCACATCTGCTTTCTACTCTCAGCGCAATACAAATTTTGTTGATGCAGGATGCGCTCAGCAGAGTTGATGTCGACCGTGTAGTGAAATGTGCCGTGCTTGTCTCTTGTCGTATGGTTTTGACATCGCTGACATGGCGCAGTTATCTTATCTTTGCAGCATCCGTCTGGAGTATTTGCAGGAGACGCTTTTGGCGAGACTGATACACGTTTTTTGTATTGTGCTGTCAACGCTCTCTCGCTTCTCGGAAGACTTCATGAGTTGGATGTCGAGAAAACGGTTGCGTATATTAGGGGTTGCAGGAATTTCGATGGTGGATTTGGAGCTGTTACGGGTGGTGAAAGTCATGCTGCACGAGGTAAGCGTTCTGACTGTGCATATCCATATATTTCGGAACGTTAGAACGCTCTAGTGTTCGTTTGTGTTGCGGCACTCGCTATTTTGGACAGACTGGATGAGGTCGATCAGCCGACCCTATGTTGGTGGCTATCAGAGCGACAGCTACCAAATGGAGGGCTTAATGGGCGCCCTGAAAAGCTGGAAGATGTGAGTTTCCAAATGAATAACTGCTCCGCGGTGTTTCTGATTCTCTATTTCCAGGTTTGCTACAGCTTCTGGGTGCTATCCGCCCTTTCTATCCTAGGCAAGCTCACATGGATAGACGCGAGTAAATTGGAAACCTTCATTCTCTCCGCACAAGACACTGAGACTGGAGGTATTGCCGACCGCCCAGGCGATATGCCTGATGTCTTCCATACCCTTTTTGGCTTGGCCGGTGCGTAACATGGTCCAATCGTAGAACCGACCTCAGATTCATCTTTTCGACAGGCCTGTCATTATCGGGATACCCGGCACTGGTGGACCTCGACCCGGTATACTGCATGCCTGCCAGCATCATTGAAAGTATGGGTCTCAGGAAGGGGTGGGAAGCTTTGCAGAGAAGGCCTTCGTGATTTACAGTTGCAATATATGTTTTATTGGAAGAAGATCCAGACTTTGAAATCTGAAATAGTACGAAGGATTTGCCTGAATTGCACGTATTATTATTAGGGGTAGCATTGGAAGGCTGTCGTCACATCCGCTTCCAGTAGGTGAACCAAGATGCACCCATGTCTGCGCCTCGAAGAAATTTTGCAGGAAATCTTTAAACATGCTGACTATAGGTCGTTGACAGTTCTCGCAAGGACACATCGATCGTTTTACGATCCCGCGCTGAACATTATCTATTCAGATCTTCCAGGTCCTCGAGCCGTTAATCGAGCGCTTACCCCATGATTTGTGGTCGACAAAGTCTGGTGCATTAGTAAATGCTCAATCAACATAACGAGAACTCTTCTGACCAGCTCCGGTGTCTAGGTTATCTGGGGACCCCTACGTCGTCAGGACTGGGAAGTCTTTGCGCGCTGTTCTCGCCGGGTTCGTAGCCTACGGCTTAGATGGTTCGCGAGCGATGTCCAGCTTTATCGCGCCCTTTCTTCGCCTCCCGATCCCTCATTTCTTCTGCCCAACCTTCGTACATTTACTTGGCACTGTCTCAGTACCCGCTCTGCTGGACTTGATGCCATGACCGGTTTCATGCGTCTGTTCCTCGGTCACAACCCCGTAGAAGTGCAGCTTATCGTATCTGAACATGCTCTTGCTGCGTTCTCCAATCTTAGATGCACTTCGCTTAGGAAGCTAGTCATCCAAAGTCACAAAGTTCCTATCAGTGCGGATGTCACAGAAGAAGCTATCTGCAATCATTCGGATTTGAGATCACTCGCATGTGGAGAGGTTTCAGTCAGAGCACTTCATCACTTGTCGCAGTTTCCATCGCTGAGCCGCTTGACCATTGGGCTTGGAGACGATATCCCATCCGCACTCATCTTCCAAAGATCGCCGTTTCGCACACTTCGTTATTTGACAATCAATAGCAAATCCATCGGTCCGTGCCTCTCTTTGCTCAAGGCGACCAACTGGAGCATACGCTGTTTCCACCATCGGATGGATGCGGGGTATGATCCCGCTGGACGCGGGGTGCTTCTGGAACTACTTCCCTTGCAGCTCTCACACGAGTCACTGAAGTGTATTTCCTTGCACACCGACGCCGCTCCTCATCAAGATGACGGCCCTCTCACGAATCCCTTATCATTGAAACCGCTGTTTAGCTTCAAGAATCTGCTGATACTGGAGCTCAGCGGAGCTATCCTCCCAGGACTGGATAACCACGGGTTGCAACAGCTCGCTGCTGCGTGGCCGCAGCTTACGGGTTCTCATCCTCCAGCAGAAAGCAGGGCCGTATCGTGTTCCGCATGTAGATCTGACTGGGCTTGTTCTACTGTTGGAACATTGCCCTGATCTACATCAGCTCGCAATTTCTGTGAATGCTATCATCGACACCAAGGCGCCTCCCGTACCTCCAGTGAACAGCATCAGCAACAAGCTCATCACCTCCATCAATTTTTGTAATTCGCCGATTACCAAAACAGCCGAAGTTGCGGCGTTTCTCTCCGCTATCGTGCCCAACCTCCGGGAAACGTCGTCTTGGACGGGAGAGGTGATGTGCAGTAGGGGGAATGCTCAAGAGTACCGAAGACGGTGGGACAACGTAGCAGAGTTGGTCCCTGTATTTGCAGAAGTGCGGAACCAGGAAAGGGAAGCCTGCATGCACGCATTCAACTTCAAGAGAGAAGTAGAACGTATGTGATCTCTTTGCGTAGATCTCCGTTGTGGTGGTTGGTGCGGACAGCATTTATGGGGCTGTATTTCTTGGGTTCTTCTACTTATCCCGGCTGGGTGCTGCTGTGGATTTGCTGTGGAGGTGGCGCACAGAAGCTGTATCATTAATTCTCGTCCTATACAATAATAACGCAAGCCTTTTTTCGACACCATTGTTTTCTTTGGCTATGTGCATAACCTGGCAGCCAACTGAGGGTCACCAGCGTTCTAGTATGCATCGTTGGACAAAATGCAAGCCTGGAGTCCCCTACGATACCACCGCATGCCGGTATTGAACGAGGTGTGCTTCGGAAACTGATCTGAGTCTTTCATATTGTTGTTAGAACTTGGCAAGCTTCTACATATGCCAGCAATATTTGGAAGAAAGAATGATGCAGAGGAGCAGACCGAGTACAAAAAATACTTTTGAACGGGTTGGAATTGGGTTGGAAGGTTATCGAAGGGACGAGAAACTGATTAGGTAGTGTAGTCACACGTGGCCTCTATCTCAGTAAGTAGGACGCGCGTCGCTTCTTGACCACTACAAAAGCTAGTCCTTACTTCCATCTCCTTCATTGCTAGACCATCATAATGGCTGACCCTAGCGGTGCTGCACCACAACCAGGTCTTAATGACACTTCTACCGCAATTCTGCGGCCAAAGAAATCGTATGTTAACAACAGATCTCCAAATGACACGCATCTGACATCTACAGGCCAAATCGGCTCATTGTCGACGAGGCTACTTCAGATGATAACTCAGGTGTGTCCGTATGAACGCTGCTGGGAACTTATCTAATCTTCTGTGGACAGTGGCAACTTTGAACCCTGCAACCATGGAGATTCTCAATCTCTTCCGCGGCGACACTATCATCGTGAGGTTTGTATCGCGAATTCTTTTTACGCCGAATCATTCTAAACAATGTGGGCTGTAGGGGGAAGAAACGTCGTGACACAGTTCTCATTTGCTTGAGCTCCGATGACGTCGAGGAAGGTCGCATTCAGGTGAACAAGGTTGCTCGGAATAACTTGCGCGTGAAACTTGGCGATCTTGTCAATGTTCATCAATGTCTTGACATAAAATACGGCAAGCGGATACACGTCCTGCCCTTCGACGACTCCATTGAAGGTCTCAGTGGTAACATCTTTGATGTCTATCTCAAACCCTATTTCCTTGAAGGTATGTACCCTATTCGATAATTGTGGTCAACATACTTATCCGGCCTAGCATACCGACCTGTCCGCAAGGGCGACACTTTCCTTGTTCGTGGCGGCATGCGAACAGTGGAATTCAAAGTCATCGAAACTGATCCCGCCGAATTTTGTATAGTGGCCCAAGACACCGTCATCCATACAGGTTTGTTCGTTTACGTACCTGGTCAGCACGTCCGCTGAACATATCACAGAGGGTGACCCCGTCAAGCGCGAAGACGAGGAATCAAACCTTGCAGATGTTGGCTATGATGATATTGGTGGCTGTCGAAAGCAGATGGCCCAGATCCGTGAACTCGTCGAGTTGCCATTACGCCACCCACAACTCTTCAAGTCAATCGGTATCAAGCCTCCTCGTGGTATTCTGATGTTCGGTCCCCCTGGTACTGGAAAGACGTTAATGGCTCGTGCGGTAGCCAACGAGACTGGCGCGTTCTTCTTCTTGATCAATGGCCCGGAGATTATGAGCAAGATGGCTGGTGAGAGTGAGAGTAATTTGCGGAAAGCATTCGAGGAGGCCGAGAAAAATTCACCTGCTATTATCTTCATCGATGAGATTGACTCCATCGCACCTAAGCGTGAAAAAGTACGTGAGGCTGAGTATTTATCTTGTCTTCTCTCTGACGATATTATAGACGAACGGTGAAGTCGAGCGTCGCGTAGTATCGCAACTGCTCACTCTTATGGACGGTTTGAAGGCTCGGTCCAATGTTGTTGTCATGGCCGCTACCAACCGGCCAAACTCCATTGATCCTGCCCTCCGTCGCTTTGGCCGTTTCGACCGTGAAGTCGACATCGGCATTCCGGACCCCACTGGCCGTCTTGAGATTCTTCGCATCCACACGAAGAACATGAAGTTGGGCGATGACGTTGATCTTGAGCAGGTAAGGCACCTGTCGACCAGTATATCGTGCCATTCCTAATGCTTATATTAAGATTGCCGCCGATACACACGGCTACGTCGGTTCCGATGTAGCAGCTCTTTGCTCAGAAGCTGCTATGCAGCAGATTCGTGAAAAGATGGATCTCATTGATCTCGACGAGGACACAATTGACGCCGAAGTACTCGATTCTCTTGGTGTTACTATGGATAACTTCCGCTTTGCCCTCGGTGCCTCCAACCCGTCCGCGCTTCGTGAGACTGCCGTCGAAGTGCCCACAGTTACCTGGGACGACATTGGTGGTCTTGATAAAGTCAAACTCGAGCTCCAGGAGACGGTGCAATACCCTGTCGAGCATCCTGAGAAGTTCCTCAAATATGGTATGTCTCCGTCGAAGGGTGTCTTGTTCTACGGCCCTCCGGGGACGGGTAAGACTCTCCTCGCGAAAGCCATCGCGAATGAATGTCAAGCCAACTTCATCAGCATCAAGGGGCCTGAGCTGCTCACGATGTGGTTCGGTGAATCAGAAGCCAATGTTCGTGACGTCTTCGACAAGGCCCGTGCCGCGGCTCCTTGTGTCATGTTCTTCGATGAGCTTGACTCCATCGCCAAGGCACGTGGTGGCTCATCGGGCGACGGAGGAGGTGCAGGGGACCGTGTACTCAACCAGATACTGACGGAGATGGACGGTATGAACGCCAAGAAAAACGTCTTCATCATCGGTGCCACTAACCGTCCTGATCAAATCGACCCTGCCCTACTCCGTCCTGGACGTCTCGACCAGCTCATTTACATCCCCTTGCCTGACGAAGTCTCTCGCTTGGCTATTCTGAAGGCAGCCCTGAAGAAATCACCCCTCGCACAAGACGTGGATCTTGCATTCTTGGCTAAGCAGACCCATGGCTTCTCTGGTGCAGATCTCACGGAGATCTGCCAGCGCTCTGCAAAGTTGGCCATTCGTGAAAGTATTGAGTCTGACATCAGGAGACAACGCGAGCAGAGGGAGAAGGAGGAGACTGATGATGCCAAGATGGAGGAGGATGAAGAGGACCCTGTTCCTGAGATCACAAAAGACCACTTCGAGGAGGCGATGAAGTACGCCCGTCGGTCGGTGTCTGACCAAGACATCAGGCGGTACGAGATGTTCTCCCAGGTATGGTCTCTTACTCGCTGTTGCAACAGTACAATGTTGGCTAATCCGTCTCCTTCCCATCAGAACCTGCAACAATCACGTGGATTCGGTAACAACTTCCGCTTCCCAGAGGGCGCACCCGCTGCTGGCGGCGCCCCATCAGCCCCCGCTGGCAACGCTGGCTTCACGGATGATTCGCAGGATGATGACTTGTACGCGTAGAGAATATTTCGCATGTCCGTTGCCAGTAAATCATAGATTGCGCATCCAACCACTTTGTACATTATGAAATCGGAGTAATATTTGAACCTCGGGAATTCTGTACTGTAGGTCTGATCAACTTTCGCGCGTGGAATTGCTAATCTATGTTCATTTGCGAGAATACACTGCATAAATATTGGTATTGGAAACTGATTTGAGTCCTGTTACTGAGAATCGTGATCCCGATGCCTGAGTACCACCTGCATGGCGATGAAACACGAACACCCAATCGCACCCATGATCTATATTGGCTGAGCGTTATCCACGGGCAAGACGTGGTATGCACTCACCCCATTGAAAACTGCCCCGCGCCACCAGATGTAATCACCTGTTAACAGTGCTCCTGATATCGGTGGGCCTAATTTGTCCTCTGGTTCAGCAAAACTGAGCATCACTCATGAGATGTCTATGCACCTATCAAACCCCCGAAAGCTAGGGTGCATATGAGCGCAAGATCACACCTAAAAAGCAGTCTAATATTTACCCATAAAGGCATACGAAATGCCCATGCGGGCTCTGTGAAATAACTTCATATGTCGCTGCAAACTTGCTTTCAGGAATGGGCGTACCCAAGGTCAGACGGGTCTGGCGATAAGACAGCCAGAACCGGTGCCCATAGCGCTTGAACTGTAGAGAAATGCCGTGAGCAGGTATGGCTAACCATGGTGTGCGGGCTTACAGATCCCAGCGCTGTACCCATAAAGAATGCCTATCGTCACCACACTGGCTATGGTGCGCAATCCAATCAACGCAAAAAGTAAGACAGTGCCGACAAATGTTGAACCTGTCAGCACTGCTGGGACACCAAAGTATTCAACAAGTACACCGCTCGTCAGCTGTCCTACGAAACTCGATGTGTTCATAATTACGAGCTGACTTGTTCAAGGCATCGTCACGAAGGGAGGTTATTAAACTCAACTGAATAAAAGGAGAATGTTTTGCTGAGACCGTGCATAGCCGAGTCGAGCTGGAGGTAGAATAGGGGATAGTAGAATCCGACAGCAAAAATAGTTAACCTAATAATAAAAAATGAGTCTGCATTCATTAAATCTGCACAGATGTACCCTGCAGTTCCAAATATATATGCGGGATCATGAGCACATTTATTTGCGGTTGCAAGAAATGTTGTTGATGCCTTTGATGGGGGAAACCTCGGCTTGATGAGGAAACATGCTATGAACAGCAATCCGCTGATGAGACCAGCGCTAGCCCTAACTCCATTGGCGAATCCAATGCTGCCATTCAGAGTATTGTTTAGCATAATGGGGTGCACCACAGCGCCTAGGCAAGCTCCTGACGCAACAAAGGTCATTACCAATTCGCGTCGTTTGCGAAAATACTGCGAAACGACAGCCATGCTGGGGATATAGAGCAAACCGGCAGCGCAGCCTGACCCAATGCCTTGTGAAAGGAATATCTGTGATCGTGGTCAGCAGATTATCCGTAAAACGAGCAATAGATGCTTGCTTGGTAGTACTGGTCTGGTTTGGCGAGTGATAACATGAAAAGCGAGATTGCTTGGAGCAGGGATGCGCCTATAACCAATTGACGGCTGCAGACGTTTCCTTTGACTACCATGTAAACACTACGCTGCAAATTTGACTTACACATATCCTCGATCATAAAGCTGCCCGCTTATCAAGCCACACATCTCGAAAAGAAAGGCGTTCACACTGCCAATCCAGCTGGAAGCAAATAAAAGGAGAGGAACGATTCCCGAAGAGGTACAACGCACGCAATTGTTGAGGGAGACTGGTTTGTTAAGTAAGTCTGACTATAAAAGTCTTTGAATCGAAGTTACGCAAGGTACCTCCTTTCGAGGACATGAAACGTTACCTTGATAGACGCCGAATGAGATTGTGTATCTAAAGGTCTTCAATAGAACTGCCCCGTGAAACAGGGTTCAGAACTCACCCATATGTGCAAAACTGCACAAGAAAGCTATGGTAAAGCTCGATTGGTCACAAACGTTGCGGCAGTATTCAGATCAGCCATCTTACCCCCCAAACGCAGTAGCCCAAGCTCTAAACCCTCCATCCGGAAAATGGTCAGATGGGTGCTCCTCTGAGCTGAGGGGCTTTTCTGACTCCCTGGCAGTTGCGATGGCAGGCAGGTCTACGTGACCCATTTGACTCTTGAAATGATACAGCACAGCGCTCGGGTAAGACGGATCGTGAACCCAGCGAGAATAGCCCGAAAAGTTTTCCCGATCCTGAAGCTTTGAAGGCGCAAGAGTCCCCAGATAACCTAGACACTGTAGCTAGTGAGAAGAATTCTCTTCATGCTGATCGACATTCACCAATGGCGTCGGAGTTTGCCGACCACAAATCCTGGGGTAAGCGCTCAATTACATAATTGAATAGATGACGTTTAGCACGAGTTCGGAAAGCAATCTGTATGTTCTTGCGAGAACAGTCATAGAAACTGACATGAACTAGGACGGTCGAAATAGTTGATGATGATAAATTTCTCCTGTTTCATTTTTAACTACGATCCAAAAGAACGGCCTTGTCGCGCAAAACAAAAACGGGTGTTTATCACTATGAACAACTCTAGATTATCGTCCAAGGAATACAAGTAAAAAAGGACGTGTGATGAACAAGTATGTATCATTATATGAACCTTGATAGCCATACTTCGAAGGAATGTGATAAATGAATGGAGATGAAGGAACGTGGTATGAGAGAGTGGTGGATGGGCTGTTACAGGGATTGATATAGGTACGCTCACTTAGTGGATAAGTTACCAGGAACGCCGTCGCACATCATGAACTGGTGCTGTTCGAGATGTATGGCTTGCACACATTCGGATCGTGCAGCACTGCGGGGTCCCGAGTCAAGTACCCGAGTTCCAATGCCTCAAGGTATGACCTATGCACCCATCAGGTCACTCATAAAGTTCCCTAGAATGTGTATTGACTAACCATTGCCTTGCGAGGGCATTCCCGTTGGTGAGACTCGATATCTCAGTTTTGAAGTTCCAGTACTAGAATATTCTTCCTTGAGTGACGTCTTGATCAAGCACTATGGGGTACGTACAATCCATCCAGCACCTTTACTATAGGCCAATTTCTGTGCGTCAGCCCACTGGTAGAGGAAGTCGTCCGTGGCATTGAACTGTGTCGAAAGTCCCCACTCTCCAAACCAGAGGGGAGAGTTACCAACTGCAGCGTCGCTCTGAATGCGTGTAAGATCTGTACCAAAATGAGTACGTCATGACTGAACCAACAAAGAAGACGCACTGCAAATACTGGTCAAGTATGCCGTCGGGTTAGCATCTGCGACTCCCTATAAAAATGTCAATGCAAAGCAATAACCTGCGAGCAGAAGACATACGCCAAACCTGTAAAGATGAGTTGGAAAATCACGACAATTATAGCAACTGCGCACTCACGAGTAATACAAGTGGTTGTCATAAGCTTGGGGACCAATCGCGACGTCAGCTGGGTTAGCGGGGTTGTTGTACTGCCAGTTCACGTCCATGAAGCTTGGCATATCATTGTCAGTGTATGTATCTCCAACAAGAACCTGTTTTGAACTCACTTCGCCACCAATGAAGTACGGGGCTTCCAGAAGGGCGACGCCTCGAATATGGACTGCAAGCCGCATTGTACTCCAATCTCCAGTAGGATCGGAACAGCATCTGCCAGTGCCAACTGCACCTCCGGCGAGAAGATGGTTGCTGTGGACGTCACGTTCAACGCAGCAGTGAAGTTGTTCGAGACGGATACCGATAATGAAAACGATAGACTGGATGACGGTACAGGGATCCCGAGTGTGAGCTCGACCGCACGGATTGTCTGGACGAAGTTCTTTTGGACTGTATGAGGAATCATGAGAGCGCGAATACATGAATGATGAATGATACATACAGGTGCCGTAGTTGGGTGTCTCAGCCGCATTCATGATGGGTTCATTGACTGCCTCGATCGCAAATACACTTCCAAAGTTAGGGTCCAGGTGAGCAAGCGTGGTCATGACTGCTGTCCACACGAGAGCACGGTGATAGTTGTATGGAGTCTGTATGTAAGAGATCAGTGATTGTTGCTTTCAACGACTGAAAAATGACTCGCATAGAATTGAACATCGTTGGTGCAACTTGTAAAAACCACTGTTAGTATATAACAGATAGCAAACAAATGGGAACTTACTTTCCGGTGAACATTTGCCCGGGCGTTTGCACCCCAGGCAATGCATGATGATCCAGGATCGCTTGAATCCCAGCATCTTGCAACCAGCCCAAGCCACGACGCTAATGTAAATGATCAAATTTTACCCAGAGCATGAAGCTACGAACAAATCTTCTCACCAAATAATTAAGACCGCCCCGAGGGTATGATTCGTGCGAACGATCAACTAAAGCCTCCACAATCCAATATCCAAGCTATGTAGGAAAGCGGTGCACAACACAGACAAGTTTGCACGGGATGAAAGAAAGCAACGCAAGGCAGATCAAACCGTTCAACGTCAGGTTGGCCAAGGTCGTACAGTGCCTTTGAATCGACTTACAGGAACGCGAACGGTGTTGATACCGGCCGCCTTCAGTTTGTCGACATCGTTCTGTGTAAACCATGTGTCCCAGTGATCAGCGAAGGTAGCGTCAACGGTGTCGGGATAGGCCTTTGCAAATGACCTAGATTATCACAGCGCAAATTGAGTTTCACATACAAAACGTCTAGAATCTTAGGAACGTACGACTCGGTTGAAATGCATGTCGAACAATTTGTACTACATGACTCTCCACCCATATCCAACCAGCCTATGTGACGAAATTCGTTCAGTGAACTTGTATTTGCAAGATTCCTCAGTTTATCACCTTGAGGAAGCATCCATGGTTCCAGGACCAACCTGCGCTATCACTTAAGTTTAATAGGCAGTGGGGACACGGAGTGATGCTTACCATGAACCCAAATTAACACCATAAATATTAGTCGGTTGTCCCGCCCATGCATGGGCGACAAGCGTACTCGAGAGCGCCAAGCCTGCTAGGATATGTCTCATCGTACTTATGAGGTTCAAAAAATTGGCCGGCAGGAGAGTTGCGGGAGAGAGGACATGAACCAGGGTTGACGAAAACCGTGACCAGCTTCAGCGCTCTTCAGCTTCAGCGCCTCGGAAGCACAATTTATACTTTCGAGAATCGACAGTCTCGTCAGCCGCCTCATTTTGGTGAGGGGCCTTACACGCTGTTTCCACTCAACACCTCAAAGGAATACTTAATGGCTCACGTTCAAGTTGTAAGGAAAGTGGTTACTAGTCTACTTTCCATGGCCCTGCCACTGATCATACTAGTATCAGCAAAAATTTGAGTTACACATCAAAATTTTAAAAGAAGATTGATGCTTACGGCGAGCTTATGTATCTCCGCTGAGTCAAGCTTACGATGCTTGACGTCCCGGTTCAAGCCTGAGTTGAACTTGTAATAACAGTAAGTGGGTCAGATTCACAACTATCGAGAGTAAGTACTACCCTTTGGTCGAGCACTGACGTTCAACACGGCTCGGTTATGTTTTAAGCCGGCGCCAACTGAGCGGCGAGCCAAAGCAACGGCAACAGTACAAGTTTTCTCAACGCCCATATGTTGCATCTGGAGTACTACATATAGCTGCTGCAGTGGTGCGGGAGACCCGGACTTGAGAGGCAGTATTATTCAAACCCAAGTCCCTCAAAATGTGATATTGGTCCGATCGGGCTGGTGGCAGCGAACGCCGAATTCAGTATGCGTCTTACCGGTGCCTCGCAATTAATGATTAATGATTGGCAAAGAAGGTGTGTATGACCCCAGCAATTACATCTTGAACTTACATCGGACGCAGAAGGACACGAATCTTGGGCAATATCGTGCAAGTCCTCCCCACTACGGCTACCGGAAGAAGCAGTCTCTTCTACCGATGTGATTTCTGATATGTTATGCAGATACGTGTAGGCTCAAAACTTGAGGCCCGAATACAATGCGGACACAAAGGCCCGCACAAGCTCGCCGATCGCGGGTACAAAGGCACCAAATCCACATTTTTGGGATCGAACCTTCGTAGGCATATCGGGGGTTCCTAAGTCCTTCTGAATTTTTCTGTTCCTCGCACAAGTGAAAAAGTATTGTTTCCTTTGGTAACTTGACTTGCCGTGATCGCTGCCAGCAAGCTCCGTCATTGCGAGCCAGTCGGTGAACGTATCACAATCACGTTCGTCCCAGTCGACATGTTAAAACTCATCATATGATGCACTTCGAGCCCCGTCAAGCTTCACTATTTCCGACCATGCTACAGCTGACCGACTTGCTATTGTCCGATAACATTCAGCTTGTCGTGAGCGCGACTTGTTTGAGTGTAGCAGCTCTGATTGCTCATACATACCTTTTCAGCACAGAGAACGGCCTGTCATTTCCCCCATCCCCTTCGACGTGGGGACTCCGCGGACATTTCATACCTCCTCGCAAGTAAGCGTCAGTGTTCTATTTCATTTCATCATTCACGGTGTCGTAATGACATCTAGCGCATATCTGACTGTAGCATCATGGATTGAAGAGTATGGTCCTCTCATCACTCTACGCGCAGGAACAGAGAAATTCGTCGTTATCGGTCGCTATAAAGCATGCCTGACGGTGGGCGCTGTGTTCTGAGCCGCTAACGCATCTACGATACAGGCCGCAGCAGAAATTATGGAGAAACAGGGCGCGTCGCTGGTCGATCGTCCCCGCTCCCTTGCTGCTGGGGAGTTACTCGGTGGGGGAATGCTTATTCCCTTTGTCCCCGCTGGCGAGAGGTTCCGTCGGATGCGCAGGCTCGTCTTTTGCTATAATGCAGAAATATAATGGCTATATGACTCTTCATTACAGAGCGATCCACACTCATTTCCAACCCAAAGCAGCCGAGGCATATCGACCCCTGCAAATGTCACACGCGAAGAACACCGTTATTTATATTCTGAATGGTCCATACAACTTCCAGGATCATGCGCGAACGTAGGTTCCTCGTCATATCCAGGTTTGCGTTGCTCATTAATGGACTGAAGTTATGCAGCAGCAACGAGCATGAAAATCTCATATGGGAAGACTACACCTACATCTGCGACTGATCCCGAAGTTAGAAGGGTCACTGAATTTGCTGATAAATTCCGCTTTGCATTGCACCCTGGCGCGTACCTGGTGGATTCGATTTCGTGGCTGAAATATCTTCCTTGGTATGCGCGAGAATTACGTGACGGCTGTCGAGACTCTCGGGAACTTTTCATCGAGCAACTCTGTCGCGTCAAACAGGAGCTAGTAAGCATGTCCTAGCTGATGCAGCAACATTCTAAAACGTTCAATAGCAGGGAGTTGGCGACGCCAGTCCTTCGTTTGGAAGATACCTCTTGGAACATGGCAGTCTTTACGGATTGTCTGAGCTGGAGATGGCTTACCTTGCTGGTGCTGTCGTTGGAGCTGGATCCGACACGGTGAGTTCGTGCATCACTACTTTCTATGAATTTAGCTGAAGTTGGGTGTTATAGACTACTCTCGCAATATGCACAGTACTAATGGCAGCTGCCGTTTTTCCTGAGGAGCAACGTAAAGTCCATGCAGAGCTAGATGCGGTCATCGGGAATAACAGAGGTAGTTTAATCACCCATATCACTGGAATATTGATCTAAGGGCTGACTCACCCTAGCACCCACCTTCACTGATGAGCAATCGCTTCATCGCCTTCGTGCCTTTGTTTCGGAGGCTCTGAGATGGAGACCGTTGGTACCTATGAGTAATTAAGCCCCGCCGTTCTTCCTGATGTTGATACCTTACCTGCATGAAGGAATACCACATCGCACGACAATGGAGGTTGTTTGGGTGGGTACCCTTCGTCATCTTGTCGAAGCTAGATCTGACAACACAAACAGGAAAATCATCACATTCCAGCCAGGACAACAGTAACTGGCAATCACTGGTAAGGCCCTCCTTCCGGATACAATTGGTCTCTCATCGCCACTTCAGGTCCATCTCTCGCGATCCAGACGTCTTCCCGGACCCTAACACATTCAAGCCTGATCGTTGGCTCGGTATCGAAGGGCGTGTGAGAGATGACCCCAAGTTCTTCGTCTTCGGGTTTGGTCGGCGGTAGGCGTCGTCTTTGTGCTGTTGGTCATGTTTTATCATTTTTGCTTGTAGAGTGTGTCCCGGACAAGATGTTGCAAATAGGTAAGGTCGCATAGTTCAGCCATACGATTCTATGAACTTGTGGCATAGCTCGGTGTTCGTAAACACAGCGCTTGTCCTTTGGGCCTTCCGGCTCACGTTGGACAGCACAAAGCCGTTGGATGATATGGCTTTCATGGATGGCAGTTTGCCGAAGGAGCAGCCATGTACGATTGAATTTCAAACGAGGATTCCGGAAGTTGAGATCAGGTGTATCATGGAGAGGGATGATGGGGGAACTTGAGGGTCGCATCATGCATCCAGCCGCCGGGCGTAGAGTTTGTTTGTATGAACAATTTAACGACACAAACCCAATTTGCCCTTGTGAATCAAGTATCTCAGGCTAGATCCGGGCATCATACTATTACCACGCATATTTCATCTTCCTCGGATTCAACCTTGTCCCTCGCGTTAGCGCACAACATGCAGGCAGTGATTGAGGGGACGACGGCTAGCTCAGAAGTCAATCTCTCCCCGATCTCCGATATCATTGGTGCACTGCACAACATTGTGAGTGCCGAATTATAGCCTGAGGCACTTGTGTCTGAGGATGATAATCAATCGCATTCAGCTAGCATGTTCACGAGCAATGGTATGTTTATTCCGATAATTTATGTCTTATCCCATGTCAACGACGACCAGATCCCAGACCTTGAAACCCCGTTCTCCAGATTCCCAAATACTGACCACTCCGCTATCGAGCGCAAAGACCAGAGCATCAGCGCTGTCATCACCGAACGCCAGCAGCAATTAAATGCAGTTTTGCAGGACGTCTCAGGCCTGGAAAGCGTCATGGATAAGATAAAAGGTCTTCACCGGCAGCTTCTCGAAGAGAAGGACAAGATTATCCAGTCCATGAACTTGCACAAGGGACTTGTATCAGCTCTCTGGCGCTTTCCATCTGAACTCCTATCCTATATTTTTGTTCACTGTCTCCCGGAAACCGAACACTTGTTGCCCGCATCAAAGTTGGCTCCCATGCTGCTTACTCGAATATGTCGACGATGGAGGGAGGTTGCCGCACGCACGTCCGATTTGTGGTGCGGAGTGATTGTGGACGTCGACGACGAAGACTGGCAGCAGGCAGCCTTCTGCTATGACTCATGGCTCAAGCGGTCACAAGATCGCCCTCTCTCATTAGCACTCAGGTGCTTCGAAGATGACGCGACCAACCTACGAACCCTTCTTCAGCCTTACATGAACCGAATCTCGTCTCTTCAAATCGTATTCGTCGACCCCGTCACACCCGAACTTTTGTTAGACGACCTCCCAGCATTGCAGGAGCTTACCATAAGCACATCCTATCACATGTGGCGTCCAACTATTGCACAATCCATCTCGCGTTTACCATTCACCCTGCGCAGTCTCAAGGTAGTCGGACCGTCCGCATTCGACTTCGATCGCTTATCTTCCTTCAATCCCGTATGGGCCCACCTGACGCACGTCGAGATCGCTGTACGTCAACCAAATCTAATCCTCCAGTTACTCCAGCTGGGTCCCAATCTCTCCTCATTAGAGATTGGCCTAGGCTTTGATGACGAAGTCCCATTAAAGTTAGAGCCGTTCGCACACACCAACCTTCAATCCTTGCGCATCAGTAATGCATCCCCGTTGCGCATGGCAAGCTTGTTCCCTGACTTGTTCAATGCACTCACACTCCCCAATTTACGCGTGCTTGAAGCTCGTTATATACGGCCGTGGCCTCATGAGGAGTTGAAGGCATTTTTGGTACGGTCAGGCTGCCCTCTGGAGAGCCTAATTTTTGGCACTAGAGTCATGACGACAAATGAGCAGCGAGCGGAATACATTATCCTCGTTCCTTCCCTCGAGGTAGTAGTGGATTACATGCGCGGTGATTATTTTGGATATCGCCGCTTGGCACAACAGTATGGCATTGGCAGAAGGAGACACGTATTATGATGACACGTTGTATATTTTTTATGCAGCTAGTGGTCATCGTAGACCGTTCCGTGTCGGACTTTTCATAATCTGATTTGGGGCGAGACTGTCTGCATCGAGGATGTCAAATAATTGGCAATCATTTCTACTACATATATACCAAGTCCGAGCTCAGTCGGAACACACGGACATCAACCCTTCACTTGACCGTCCTGCGAGGCTACCTTCAGAAGGCGCCATGCATCATCCCCGGGGTCACATTTCTTCAGGTTGTCGTAGTCGTACCAAACAAGCACGGAATCCGAGTCCGCAACGATCGCTTGTTGTGAATACGAATAAAGCACTGCGTTCAAAGTAAAGTGCGTGCGGCTCGAAGAAATGATTGGTTTGTGCCCAACCAAAAGCTAATCATGGTTAATCGAAGAACAAATGTTACAAGGAAATCTCACTGTGTCAGGAAACGTCACCGGTCTCCTGAAATTGATGTTCATTGATTTGAGTATGACCGAGACGCCCTGGCCCGCGAGCATTGCCTTGACGCGTTCTTCACCCCCAAGAGCCTTGCCGAAGGCCATGACCCACGCAATGCGACCCTAGCCAAACTTCAGTGACCCACAGACCTTGACAATGACATAACACGCTGACAGATTCGACGAATCGTACTGTATATTGACAGTGGCAGATCCGTGAGCGACACTTGTTGCTGCTGTTCACATAAAACTTGAACCCTTACGGTAGTGTACGTTGTTAACGTGTCTATGAAAGACAATGAGTACATTTTTCATCCCGTCCATGAGGTGCCTACCGGAATGCATCATGGTGACCCCATACGATGCTCTGCTCCCATAGTGACCCCTCGTCGTAACCCATAGAGATCAGCTTAGCTCTGGCATTCGCTGCCAGGGAGCCGATTGCAGTGGGATGGCTGGACTGAGGTGGAGGCGGAGCAGGATGTGGGACTTGCGAGAGTGAGGGAGGAGCGTCGGGGGATTCAGGTCCTGTGTCTCCTGGAGCAATGTGAAATGGTGAGGACGGGTCCCGGAAGGCATCTTGAAGGGACTACAACGAGCAGAATCTCAGACTCGCAAGAGTAATACCATTATCGGAAGCACGTAGAAAATACCTTGATTGATGAGCCACTCAAAGCAGCTGTTTGACGTTGTACAGAACATTGTCGCTTAGAGCGCAATGGAACGCGTGAACGTGCCAATGTGCCGAATCCCTTCGAAGAGAACATAACCAACAGCAATTAATATACGAAATCACTATAAAACTGATTAGTATCACCGGCTGAGCAGGAGATTTGTCCATTTTACCTGCTAAACCGGGGTGCTGGGTCACTGCTGGCAAGGTGCTGGTGAAAGCCAAGACCGGGCGTCTATTCTGGTGATTTCCAACACACTCGCGGGTGTAATTTAATCCTACCATCCCACAGTTGGTCAGTCGAGGCGTTTCCTTCATCGCCACTACCTCGGACAAGACTCTCACCAATATAAACGGTATATCCCATAATTGAGGGACTGTTGGGCGTGTTGCGGCAGCCCGCAAAGACGCACGGCAATTTTTCAAGGCCCCTTCGGGCAGTTCTGAACTTCGCACTAGTCCGCGGTGGACTCATGAGTCATGATGCATCATGGTCGACCATGATCCACATTCTGCCTCAACTGCATGCTTCGAATAATATGGATCTCAGCTAATCAATAGCTGTTTGTTTTCAAATTGCCATATCTTTCCCTTCTGTGGCATTTTATCGATTTTCCGAGGTCAAGCACTTGTCAGTGACTCGGACACCTCAATCATGACTCCACCTCGATCCATGTGTCTCTTGACCCGTGAGTTCGGATGTACTAGATTCGAACTTCGACTGATAAACTCTGCGCCTGGACGTGTTTTGCTTATTTTATCTGGAGCCCACAGATTTTTTGACCTGATGGTATCGCGCCCATCGATATCCCTGCATTACTAGATCTCGTAATGAAAGTGGCCATTTCCAACTGCTCGAATACGCCAAAGTGGTGAGCTTTTGTTTTGCATTATAGAAGGCCACTCATTTCTTATGAGAACTATTCTGGAATCTTCCTGTCCGGGTTGTAGATATGCCTATGGACTGCAGCATTCTTTTGTAGCGTTGTCGCCGCGTGCTACGGTTCTGCTGCAATGGATCGGCGAGCTTCTCGAAAGTATTCATTGAACAGATATCAAGCGATGCACGATAACGATGGTTTCAATTGATAGTGCTGCACACATGAGCATACAGACTTGAGTTAAATGTCCATGTCCTGTACTTTCGTCCAAGCTATTCTCTAACAAAATCCTCAGAGTGCGTAATACAGTCCAATTTCTCATCTATCAAGGGTCACTGATGGCAGATTTAAGTAGTAGCCTTCGAACAACGACCTGATGCATAAGTGCCTTCAGATCACAGAGCTGTTCGATATTATTTGCAGGCGAGTTCTTGTGACCGGGCAACCGCTTGAATACATGTCTGGGCGGTCATCCCTTGCGTCGCTCTGCAGAACTTGTCGTTTCTTCCACGAACCCGCTCTGAATGTACTTTACAAGTCGCTGGAAAGTTTTCATCCATTACTATCTTGCCTCCCTACAATCACCATTATCGATGAAACAGGACAGAAAATGATCGTGAGTGCTCGTACATAGCGGTCTTTGAAAGCATGCCGAGATCACATCTATGTAGATGCTATTCAAAGAGGTACGCCTTTCAGACTGGCGGCGAATGCAGCACTACGCCAAACGAGTTCATTCACTGAGGGTTGACCAAGAAGACGTCATTATCGACAAGACCATCCTACATGCACTGGCTACTTCACCCTTCGCACCCCCAGTGTTCACTCATCTCAAACGGCTTTGGTGGTCAAATAATTCTGTAGATGCTCTACCATTCCTATGCTCCCTAGTCAACGCCAGGTTGGAATGGCTAACTCTGGACGGGCTAGATCCAATACGTTTTCGGCGTATTGCTCCTCTCATCACCTCCGCCGGCAACTCTCTCCACGTCGCGCGTTTCCCCCCGGAATATAGTATGAGGAAAATACATCCTGACGTGTTCCAGAGCTGGCACAACTTGCAGAATCTTGACTGCGGCCTAGTCAATGATGCGACGTTTTGTCACCTCGCGTCAGCTTCTAAGCTTACGCGTCTCTCCATTCAAGTTGATGAGAAGAACGACTACAGTGCACTTATGAAACTTACCGACCAGCCAGTATTTACTGTCCTTCAGGAGCTCCATATCGCTGCGACCCACACCTCCCACTGTATCCCTATCCTTGAAATCGCAGAGCTACCATCCTTACGCTCCCTCCGTATTCGTTCGACGGAAACGGGCTTAACAGATGTTGAGCTGCATCAGTGTTTCTACCAAATCTCACGTCACTGTCCAAGTCTCAGGGATCTATATCTGGAAGAATGGCAGGTATCCCCACCGGAATTCCCTGTTGGCTGTATCATCACGTTTGGTGCCCTGAAGACCCTCTTCTCCCTGCGTCATCTGGAGACACTCCATCTCGACACAACATGCACATTTTCCCTTGACGACAAGGAGCTCGCACAGCTTGCCAACACGTGGCTGAAGTTACGTGCACTTGACCTGGGGACGCGGAACGGCTGGCGCCAACCAAGCAAAATCACTTTGCAGGGTTTGGCAGAGTTGTTATGGCGCTGCCCAGTATTATCTGTAGTCGGGTTTGCTATGAACGCCTGGGCGCCAGATATCGATGATCAACGGCCTGGAGGCGGGGTCCGCAGAAACGGTCTGGAAGTTCTACGAGTGGCTGATTCCAAAATCGATGACCCATTGTCCGTAGCAGCGTTCTTGTCAGACGTTGCACCTAACGCTGAGATAACGGGCTACGATATCGAGTATGAGGAGGGTGTGATGTTCAATCGGGCGACGAGGTATCGGGAGAGGTGGGAGGAGGTTGCCAGGCTGCACCCTCTTCTTGTCAACTTGAGGAAGCAAGAAACAGTAGGTTTGGGATTGGATGGGTCGTCCAGAGACAAAGAGTATTAGTAGGACATCGCTAGACCTGTTATCGGTTGTGAGTGACACAGTCCATGGAGCACCTTACGTTCGCCACCCTTCAATTTACATAGATACGATGACCTTCAGGACCTGACCTTGAACCTTGATGTTGGACATGTGTTCGTGTCCTAGTACATAGAAGCGTGCGCCAAGTACACGAGCTGGCTTTTATGTCACCGCGTTGAGGCTTTCCTCGACGCTGAAGCATGGCAGGATTTAAGCTTCAAAGTTCAGATGACTTCAGGGAGGTTGAAATTGACATTTTCACGTCTCGCATTACGAGTGCCCTCAAACTTGGTCAAATCTCCCGGTAGACACGCACGCGAAGTAAAAGAACGCCAGTCACTGATGATATTTTGGTCTAGCCACATGCAAGGAAGGAATTTGCACGTTCTGCTTTCAACGCTCTTCAGCACAGACAAAACCATGCAATGAAGCACCCTCCAAAACTGGCTGGGTTCGAAGCCAACTGAGATAAGTTCCCAACCTGCAAGTCCAAACTGTCATGTAGAAAACAATAAGGCCTGCATTATAAAAGGCGCGGAGACGTCATGTTGTAATCTGAGGTCTGATTTGACGCGTCTTGATATATAGGTCCTGGAGCTCTGAGAGTCGCCAATTCAAGCGCAACAAAGTATTTCGAGATGTTCGAACCTCTTTGAGATTCTTCATAAGATAGACCGCAGTCATACTTCGCTTGATCATCATCAGCAAAAGTGCCCAAATCTAACAAGGTCCGGCAAGGTCCGGAGAGTCTCCCACGGCCACATGATGCCGAGGCTTGAATGTATTTGTTCGTCATTATGCAAGGTGCGCACACTCGTCTCGTAAGGCCTCACTAGACTCTTTCAACCTCACGGCAGCCTTGCGAGGCGTTTCAAGATCGGCTCAGCAGTTGTCGGCAGCTCTGATCACGGAGCCTGGCCCAATGTTGACACGTGCAGAGTTAGATACCTTGGGGCATCAATGAATTTTATGAATGATCATAGTGCAGTACTAATTTTCCTACAATACAAGAATGTGTATGCGAAGGAGTGATTATGTCGGGATATCTGGGGAAATTTACGATTAGCTAACGTAAATTCTGTAAAGGGGATTCGTCGAAGATTCGGCGAAAAAAAAAACAAAGAATCCCACGTCACGTGACCCATGGTTGGCATTGTGCTGACACACGGTGCGTTCTGCAGTTAGATCACCATCCGGCAGACCAAGCAGACTGCTCAGCGCTCAGGTCCTGACTGCAATTAAATATATATTCTGCAGTTAATAATATATCGTAAAACATTCGCCAGGCACCCAATCTTTCATATGGAGAAGCCAAAAAAATTACACTGTCGGTGGGTGCATCCGTGCCCAGATGGCAGGCCTGCCCGAAAGTTCGAGATTTACAAAATTTACAAAATTTACAGTGTATTTCTCCTTCTCCCGCACTTTACTCACTTTACCCACTCAAAATCGCACTTTACAGTACTTTACTTGTAATAGGACCTTAGGCCTTAACGGTTACCCCCTCCTCTCCCTCCCACTCATCCTACACAGCTACCATAAATGGGTCACTTAGGTGTTCCGATCATGTGACTTTGCCTTTGTCCGCTGCGCAAGTCTTTAGTCACTGCCATCAGTGCCATGCACAACACCGCAGGTGACTGCCTCCAACAACATCAACACCTCTCCTGGAGAAGGTACTCTTTTTTTAATTTTTTTTTATTCATTTGTGGTTCTCACTTGTACTTCACAGGACCTCACACTAGACCTCACACTATGCCGACAATAGCTGCAAAAGACGCTGGTTCCATCTCTGGAATGAACGTTCTCCGTATCATCAATGAGCCCACTGCTGCTGCCATCGCCTACCGTCTCAACAAGAAAGTCGTGGGTGAGCGCAACGTCCTCATTTTCGATCTTGGCGGAGGAACCTTTGATGTGTCTCTCTTGACCATCGAGGAGGGTATCTTCGAGGTCAAGGCCACTGCTGGTGACACTCACTTGGGTGGTGAGGATTTCAACAACCGACTCATGAACCACTTTGCGCAGGAGTTCAAGCGCAAGCACAAGAAGGGTAAGTCTAATCTAGTTATATGTGAACTCCAGTGTTTATAACATTTACGCAGATCTCTCCTCTAACCCTCGTGCTCTCCGTTGTCTACGGACTGCTTGTGAGCGTGCCAAGCGCACCTTGTCCTCCGCTATGCAAACTTCCATCGAAATCGACTCCCTCTTCGAGGGTATCGACTTCTACACTTCCCTTACTCGTGCCCATTTTGAGGAGCTGTGTGCGGACCTGTTCTGCAGCACACTCGAGCCTGTCGAGAAGGTCCTCCGGGACTCCAAGATCGACAAGGCGAACATCCACGAAATCGTCCTTGTCAGCGGTTCCACACGTATCCCCCATATCGTTAAGCTAGTTTCTGACTTCTTCAATGGCAAGGAGCCCAACAAGAGCATCAACCCTGATGAGGCCATTGCTTGCTGTGCTGCTTTCGGCAGCGGTCAGCTGACATCATCTGGCCCCTCTCTGGCTGCCCCCCTTTCAAGAATTTCTGCTTCTGCGCTACTATCACAGCTCAGCATGGGCATCCAAGGGCTATGGGAGGTGAGCAAAATAACTTTGTGGGAGTATTAATATTGACTGGTACTCTGCAGCGAGTCAGCACATCCGCCGACAACCGAACACTAAAAGAGCTCGCGCTGTCAGAACTGAAGACCGAATACATTGACGGCAACCCCATAGTCAAATTTTTCAGGATCGGGATTGATGCTAGGTATGGTGCTACTCTTCTTTCACATGTCTACAGTGAACTGACCGTGTTGTTAGCGCATGGATGCACAGCATATGTGCCGTCTTTCAGATGAACCATGCAGGAGCTGGCAAATCACCGGAGCTCCGAACACTGTTTTTTCGGCTGGGCATACTACTAAAGCTTCCCCTGCATGCCGTCTTTGTGTTTGATGGCCTGAGCCGCCTGTCAGACAAGGGTCGAAAAATCAGACACAGCCCCCACTGGCTCACCTGCGACTTCCAGCGCATGCTGGAGTTGTTTGGCTTTCAGTGGACCGAGGTAAGTTTTGCTTGCCTCACCTCACGAGACTGTTGTCTCACCACTCCCCAGGCTCTGAGTGAAGCTGAAGCCGAATTGGCTGCCTTGAACATCCACGGTGTTATTGACGCTGTGATGACCGAGGACAGTGATGTTCTGATCTTCGGAGCCACGTGCATAATCAGAAGGTATGTTGTCCCGTTTATCTTATGCGCTTACCATCGATTTGTCACAGTGCGAAGAATGACAAGGACTACCTCAATGTTCAAGTGTATACAGAGGATGGGCTTGAGCATGGTGCCTCCTTGACCCGAGGAGATCGGCTGCTCATTGCCCTCCTGGCGGGCGGAGATTACGATAGAGGAGTGCCTGGTTGCAGAATCGAGATTGCCCACAAGGTTGCTCTGTGTAGCAAAATTGGTGAGAATATGCTCCATGCATTCCTGTCAATGCCGCTGTCAGAGTTCTCTGATCGTGCAGAGGACCTTGTTGAGGAACTACGCACTACGCTTGCTAACGACCCCTACCATGACCTCAAGCGTCGGTATAAAGCAGTCGCAGATTGTATTCCATGCAACTTCCCACGTTGTGCAGTGATCGACAAGTATGTCCATCGTCCAACATCTTTTTCAGCCGCGGAGAATGTGCTACGGGATGTGTCGTCCTACCAGCCACATCTCGCAGACCTTGCAGACTTCTGTAGGCAGCAATTGGGCTGGGACGATGATGCCATCATTGGCAAGATGTGTGGGAGTGTATGGGAGGGTGCCTGTCTTCGCACCATATGCAAGGTAGGCAGCACACGTAGTTCATTTACAGCCTCTAACTGGTGTTTTAGTTGCCCTGACAGCGTGCAGACCACACAGACCGCTGGCCGGTGTTCAAAGTCATTGCTCGTGCAACGCTGATGGCATTGCAGCGTGATATTGAAATTTATAATATCAAAGTTGATGGTCTGTCGTTGGCACACAACACCCTGGGCAACACAGCTCAAGGGGAATTCTCTCCCTTGTATGTGCATCTTCCGGTGGCGATACTGGATCACATGGCACCTGAAGTAGTGCAGCAGTATATTAGTCCCTAGTGCACACAATTGTCGTCTCATAATCTGAATGGTGTGAAATGTGAAATGTGAAATGACATTAAACTAGTTAGAGGCCCCTGACAATGATCTCTGTCCCGAAATTTTGAACTAGCTTCGTACCACACCACTCATTTGCATTTGCGTTCGCAAAGCATGGCGCAACTAAAAAAGGATTCTGCAAAAGCCCCCCAGCTGCCAGACACTCCTCACAAGAAAGCCAGGCGAAAGACAAGATCAGCTGCTGCGAAGACGGCTTTGGCAGATGTTCAGAAGTGTAAGGAACATGGTATAAAAATACACCTTCAGGCAAACAACACGAGGACAAATTATGCCAGGCATGTTCATTGTGGACGGGAATGGCTGGCGAGCCATTTCAAAACCCTGAGCTGTTCTGCTGTCAGCGAGACTTGGCGGGGTGACACATCTGAAAACTCACTCGTTCCGTTGCCTATGACTGCCGAAATACATGCCGACAATGATGTGTTTGAGGACCCTGCCTTCAAAGATGCATTTGAGAGCATACCAAACAGATGCTCCAACAAAGCACTGGCACTCTTCATGTCCCTGAAAGGGTTTCATGAGAATCTCAGCAAAACTACTGTCGAGAGCATCTGTTCGGCATTTAAGAAGCTGTGGGAGCTATCATGAGCATTATTGTACACGAATTAGAGCATGCGAGCACTGACCTACATTTTAGAGATGGTGATACCTATCGTGGCAAATGGCACTTCAATGAGGCGAAGCAGTGCTGGGAATGAAACCCTGCTGATTCTGCAGATATTTACGATGTGCTGTCATCCATCAAACATAAGACAAGTGCTGAGGGAGGAGATCGCACTCACTCAATGGCGATGACAAAGGACTACATGGACCGGGCATTCCGATGGCACCAGGCTGTGTGTCCACTTGAGATTGCACTACAGATGATTCAGAAGGTGATGAGTGGTGCTCGGCCTTCGGATATGCATCTGGACTTGGAAATGAGGACAAAACTGACTCACCATCTCGAACAAGTCACGTTCACATCGAACAGATGGACATTATGGACGAGGTGTGATCATCCAATTAGCTTTTCCGCAGCATGTGCACAATCTGACTTTCTGCAGGTGTTTTGAGCTTGTAAAGTTGCAAAGAAAGGATATCTCACTTGATACTACTATTTTAGACGGGGTGCTTGGCATATACCTTGCAAACGAGACACTCACACTGAGTAAATGCACATCATACTTCGAGATCTTCCTCACTCACCGGAAAGGATGGCAAAAGAAGGTGGACAAGGGCCAATGGGAAGCAGATCTGAGATGTGAGTTGCTCACATTAAATGATCGAAGCTGGATGACACTAAATGACCTCACCACTGGCAGCAAATCACTACAAGATTTATCCACGCCCCGACATGCCAGCCTGTGACAATTTCTTCTGGATGTTAGTTTGGATCAAGTGGCTTGAATTGTTTCACTATGGGCGAACTCTCCAGCCGAGCAACTTCATTTTCCCCGCAATGAGTGCAAACGGTGTCGTGCATCCTGGACAGCCAGTCTCTCACAATACTGTACAAAAATGGATCAATGAGTCAACCGCTGGGCCTGGCATCTGTGGTAACTTCTCAACGCACTGCTTTCGTCGGGGAGGTGCACAATACTGGTTCATGTTTGCTCCAGTAGGCCAGCGGTGGACACTTGCTAAAGTTCGTTGGTGGGGTGGATGGGCTGATGGCGAGCAGGTATGTCTCATGTTCTTATGACTGACACTTGACTGTTGCAGCATTTTTTTTCTCATTGTGTCTATTTCAGCGTGATACACTTGTTTGCTACCTCCTCGATGAACTACATGCATATGAGACCGACTACAGTGATGCCCTTGCCCCCATCTCCTGCGGTGCTGATGCCTCCCTCGCTGGTGAACATGCTCTTGCCAGACCAGCATCGACAGAAGGGCTTCGCATGGTGCACACATCCAGTTGCAGCAGATGTCAACTGCCTTCACAATGACATGCGCTCCCTAACAAGTGTCATGGCACAGGCTGCCTGCACCACAGCAATCGCTCTCCAGCATCTCAATTCAGGCCCCCGCTTCGCCGACATCTCTGAGTGTGCCTCCCGCACACCAACTCCACCTGTTGAACAGCCGCTTTTACCCAGGCCTGTTATCAGCCAAACTCTCCCTACCACCAAGCCATCCATCTGCACCTCGTCACAACAACTCCCCACCATGCTGCCCATCAGCATCACTCGGGCTTCGAGTTCACAGAAACTCCCAACATCCGGCCTTGTGATCCCTCGGGTCCCAGTTTCTTGTCCCAATGGCACCACGAGCCCGAAGAACAAGTCCTGGAAGGAGATAGTCGAGCACTGGTTAGTTGGGGATCGGGACCAAGGACTCACCATGCCGTTGAAAGATTGGCCGAGGGAGTGGTACCAAGGCGCTAATAGACGGTTCGCGTTGAAGTACCATCAAAGGGCGACCATTGCGCTAGAACTCATCAATCAGTAAGTCCCTGCTCTTATTCTGCCGTTCCAGTACTACTCACCTTCTGTTCTGGCTCCAGGTACGAGTCAAATGAGGCGCGCTTCCTCGCAGCCTATCCAGAGGCCGAGCTTGGGCACACCCAACTCCTGAGGGCCGTGAACAAGGCCCGTGCTGCATGCGGGGACCGCATCTCTCGCAATAAATAAGTCGTTCAGCTGACTCCTCACCTACCTAGATAGTATATTTACTTACCACATCGTTAATCATGTCCCGCTACCGTATTTCACTCGTTGTTGTTGTTGTTGTTGTTCTGTTGTTCTGATTCAATGTAGGGCTTCCGTCTTTCAATGCACTCAGAACTCACACCGTCACACGAATCAGGCCTCAGTGTCATATTCATGCAACATTTTGCTACAGTTGCAAGGGATCCAGTGATGCAACAGCGCATCGTGGATCCTTAATGCATCAGCCATGCATCAGCGCTGTAGCGATGCATCACTGGCAGTAATGCATCAGCCATGCATTAGGAAAGCTCCCGGCTCACCACTTTCCCAGCCTATCACCCAACTACTTATAGTGTGCACATATATTCATTCTGGGTCCTTTCTCCCTTTCTCCCTTACTCATAGCTGCTTGTATTTTGTTAGTCCGAGTCACAATGTTCTGTTATGTCTCGAGTCCAATCTTCACTGTTTGTATTCCTCAAGTCTGAGCCACAATGATCTGTTTCGTCTTGAGTCCATGTGCGCATATATTCAGTCTTGCTCGTTAGTATTTCTTCAATTTTTGCAAGTTTGATTCACACTGTCCTGTTATGTCTCCGAGTTGCGTCCAATCTTACTATGCATGATGCAGGCCAATACTTGCATATATTCATTCAAGTCTGAGTCACACGCTGTTCTGTTCTGTCTCGCGTCCAATGTTAGCCTTTCCTTCTCAACAAGCTTTCACAATGCAAGAATAACTTCATTCACTAATCATAGACAGGATAGAGGTGTAGTGACCACATGTATTACTTCTGTATAGCGTGAAAATATATGATTGAAGCATGGATCAAACAGAGAACTTCATAGTGCCAACATAAAGCCAGTCCACTCACGCCTTCGTTCGTCTTTTCCTGTTTCTGTTATTAGCAAGTAGGAATAGAGCAGGATATTTCAGACGTACTTTGATGGAATCATGCCTTCTGCAGTCGAGTCAGCCGCGCGCTTCGATGATGTTCCCCCAACCTCCTCCAAAACACCTGGATTTTCCTTGCTACCAATACCAACAAATGTCAGGCCATCAGACCTGATTGCATCAGCAATATCATTCTGCCTGGATTTTATTGGAACACGCTTCGATACACGTGCTGCTCCAATCTGACTCGCAATAGGTTTTTGCGCGATATTATTGATAGTAGTTGAATCACTCAATGTGTTACCTTCATCTGCAGCAACGTGCATCATCTCCATTACTGCGCTGGACTCAATATTGACAGAAGTTGCCTTGGGTTTCGATTTGGGTTTCGGTTTGGCCTTGGGTTTGGCCGCCTTCGCAAGCGTGATCACTGGCACAGGGATAGGCTCAGTAGAATTGACCAGGGGTGTGAATTTCGCTCTAGTGGGTGTGGCTGCAACAGTGGGAGTGTCTGAGATAGATTTGGCGGCAGAATGAGGCTTGTCGGCTTGTGCTGTGAGAGACTTGGTTGTAGGAAGTTTTGACTTGGACTTGGACTTGGTCGTAGCACGTCCGGTACCAGCCTGTGAATTGGGAACTTCAGCAGGTTGTGCGGTCTCAGTTGGAGAAGGGGGGTTGGCAGCTGGAAGGGTGGGAAGCTGATAAGCAAATTGAGGAAGTTGCTCGTCGAGGCTAGGGCTTGTGGTACTGCGCTCAGTGGAGGTTGGAGAGGTCAACAAAGAAGAGAGACTAGATGTCTCCCACCTGTTACAGGGACCCTCAGACCCCTATCGTCTCCACCAAACATCGCCGTCACAACCGCGTCACAACATGTGACAGATGACGTCACCAGCACATGACTAAACTGCAGAGCACAGCATGACAGCTGTTGGAGCAGGACAGCTCTGGAACCGACCTAGACTGGGATCAATAGAAGCCGCATGCTTCTCCCTTATCGCCTCTACTGATACACTGGTACTGACTATTGTTTATCCTATCGCTTATCATGACAGATAGCGTTATCTGACTTGGACACCTACCGCTGTGCCGGTACCATACCCTGGACCCTTACTGTTAGACCGGTGACTCTTATCTCTGAGTCCTTATGACTCACATAGACGCTTACCTAGTTGGGACGCTTTCTGGCTACCCAAGCCTACCCTGAACTCATAGGACAATACCTATATATACCACTGTAGTTAGACCATGTATTTCTCTAACTTGATCTTCACTTGTGATATACGACTCTAGCTTCTATCATTGAAACTTCAAGTCAGTCATTCTGGATGGACAGCCTCCATTCAGTCTTCCACCGTCCTGGTGCTCCATGAAGCGGACACGGGATCGACCCTATCAAGTGCACTGTTGGGAAGCCGGGCTTTCCCGTAACACCACCCTGTCGAATTAAAATTGCCATTGTTGAAATTCCACCCATGCATGGAGTCGGCAAGCGACAATCCTGAAGAAGCTGGTGAGCTGAATGATGTGTTCTGCGCGGTACTGCTACCGAGATATCCCGTAGCGGTAAGACCAGGCTGAAAAAACTGGGCCTCAAATTGTTGAATTGAGCTGAGAGGCGCGCTAGCTTGAGGCATCATAACATTGTGGAAATCCAGTGACCAATTAGTATATTGGGACTAAGTCAGAAATCATCAGGTAACATAGTGGGAGTGACAGTGTGTAAGACTCTTACCTGAGAGTAGAAAGGACCCGTAAGCTGAAGTGATGCATCAGCAAAGCCAGCTGGCACCACGGTGCCTGCCATTGATGCATCAGGTGCGGTTGATGCATCAGGTGTGATTGATGCATCAGACGCGATTGATGCATCAGGTGTCTGGGAAATTGTATAAAGGGGGTCATCCCAGCTCATGGTATCAGTGCCTTCTTCGTTCTCCTCTCTGTGTTCATCCTCTTCACTGCTTCCATCCTCTTCGCTACTTTCATTCTCTTTGCCGCTGCCATCGTCTTCGAGTTCCCCACTCCTGTTGCCATCTCCGACATTCGTGGTAGCTGGCAGCAAGGGGTCATGTTCCTTCACAGCTGACAAGTATGTATCAATGTGAGCCCATAATGATAATGAGGAAATGACTTACAGAATATAGATTCTGCGAATTGCTGGTATGCACCGAGGAAGGCATAGTCCTCGTCAGGGTACAAGTGGGCAAAATTGCGCCCACTAGAGGTTTCCGATGGATGGCAGCTGAGTTGAAGGTAAGCACATTAGTTGTACTGCTGTGTTGGTTCACTTACGATAAAGTAACAATGTCTTGATTATGCCTTGGGTCAGGTCCAGCGCACATGAAGGACACAATGAATCGAGTTTTCTTTTTGACGAGGCGTGCAAAACGCTGGCATATGATCAGCAGTTCGTCAATACCTCTGTATGCCATGTGAGCATGAATTAAACCAGGTACATCAACTGAAACACTTACTTTGCGATGGCATCAGGATCACTTTCGTCGTTTTCATCATCTTCGTCGTCCAGTATGTCACCCTTTCCCTTGCTACCTTTTATCTGCTCGTCGTACCTCTTTTTAACCTCCTTTTTAACCTCATCCGACTCATCTTCTAGAAGCTCCTTGGAGAACCTTCGACCCAATGCGATGCAGTGACCAGAAGTGGTTACATTGCCCGCTTCCTGCTTGGCCTTGATGAGGGGCTTGATCTGCTCATCATAGACCATGCCCATATAGATCTCTTCGACAGACTTTGCACGCATCTTCGGTCGCAGGGCAGCATCAAAGACAGTCTGCTCCTTCTTCAAGCCGCAATTCTTTTTGGACGAACCCGCCCGCCAATGGAACCAGGTTGCCAGTTGCTATGAGTATTATACTTTAGTTTACGATATAAAAAAACACGTAGTCGATGACTTACAACTTTACGCTGCTGTTCGGCTGTAACTTCTTGTTTCGTCTGCTCATCAGTGAGCGGCACATCACCAGGGATGTCAGGGAACAGAATATCGTGCTCTGGCCACATTTTGAACCAATGTTTGTGAATGCCGGGCCAGAAGTAGTCTTTGTTCCCAGTGCTTTGCTGGATGTACGCCGGCAGTTGTTCTTGGAGCCAAGTAGATTGCGCTTTGGTAGTCCACGGAGCTGTGGGCATCGTTGTGTGTGAATAGAAAGGATGACGGGGAAATGACTGAATGAAGTAGATGTCCATCCTTATACTATTCGCGAGTTGATATCAAGTGAAAAAAAGAGCTATTTGAGTGATGACTTACCACATTGTCAAATTAAGAGAGGGTGGTATCGACAGAAATGACAGAAAAAATGCTACTGGCACCAAATTGTGTTTGAGAATGGCTAGTGATCAGGTAATGAGTGATGATGACACGATCTGAGTTTTGCATACTAGTGACATACCGGGAGGTGTTAGCTGTGCCTGCACTAATATTGATATCAACTTCAGAGCAGATCTTGAGACAACGTTGGTGGATTGGCCATCATTGCTGAGTGGACAGAGTGTCAGTACTAAGTATGTGATGTGGGATCAATCAAGCAAAGACTTACCTTGACATCAAGAAATGAACATCTGTGAGGGACAGAGCATTGTGACAGTACTAAGTATGCGATGTGGGATCAATCAAGCAAAGACTTACCTTGACATCGAGAAATGAACATCTGCGAGTGTTCCAGGAAACTCGAGACTAGATGAATGTTTGAACCAATGACGACTAGTAAATAGTGTGCTGTGAAAAAGCGTCACAACCAGAACATCAATCTCTGACAGTCATATCAAAACTAGACTGACCTGAATGACAATAAGAAAGCAGTACTTAGCAAGTGATGACTGGGAGTTTCGACGTGCTTTAGAACGTCAAGTTAACATGTGATGTGGGAGTCATGGTGATCAGTTTCGTCTGTACTATGTCATGGTGTGAGTTAGAAACCAGCGCCATGAGACTGGACTTGCAATTTACCTGAGTGTAGCTCACAATTTGATCGTTGTATGAGGTAGAACCGTGACATACATTCTCTGAATAGCTAGCTACTACTATACCATTGATTTTGAGTGAAACATGATAGGTGATCGTTAAATATCAAGCAATTAGTAGTAAATCTCCCAAAGTCAACACACCGTTCAACGCTACTTTCAACTAGTTCTAAACTTGGCTACTACTACATCATGGGCCAACCTCGGCTGTATCACACAACACAAGAAAAAATCGAGGCTGTTCGTTCTTACCGCAAGAAATACTATGCAAAGTAAGCACTTGCTTTTCTGTTTTAACTACTGACATGTATCAGGAAATGCAGAAACCATGCAATCATAAGCAAGAAGAACAAGCAAAAATCATGCAAACATCTGACCAACAACGACGTTGATTCCCAAAGCCGTAGCAGGTACAGCGTCCACAGAAGATCATCACAAAGGCACCCGTGGTGAGCTGCACATTACTGATACCCTAACTTTACATTAAACTATCATCAGGCAGGACAACCTCACAAGTGCCGAAGCTGCGCTTGCAGACATACTAATTGGTGGATCCTCGTGAAGACTTTTAGATGGGCTGGTGGGCGATCTTTGTCAGTCAGGTGATGCAGGAACATGCATGCATTCAATCAATGCACTACTAGGTGATATTGAAGGCATTCGACAACGTCTATGGCTACTCCATGGGATCATCTTGCAGGCTATGTGGACAGGAGAGGAGTTGCAGCGAGTAGATTTGATATCACATCAAGCATCTAGCCTCATCTTAGTACTGGAGGACTTGCTCATGCATGTCATGGACGACCCTCACGATACGCTGGAAGGTCATACACGCGGTGAGCTATTATACCAGACTACTTGTGATATCACCGTCTTGCAGTTATGATTATGTTAGTGATGCATCAATCGTGTAATCCTCAATCCTGACACCGGTGGTTGCAAGCACCGAAACTTAATACTCACAAGCACCGAAACTCAATGTCAGACACTAGCCCCCATTGGTCTTAGACCCTTCTCATCCATTCTACTAGAACCTCATGTTGGCCGCTGTCAATTTAACTCTCAATGTTAACGCTTATGTTTAAAGGGTGAGTGATTCGCCATATCAATGGAAGTGCTAGGTATCGAGCTGACCCCATTTTTTTTTCGCTGTCAGTTTGTCTCTCCATGCGCGATCCACTTTGTCTCAACATCAATACCACACCCTACATGGTAGAGCCAGCGGAGTTTGTGACAGTGTACAAGGGCACTGATGAGTTTGACGAGGCTGTGTATGCTATGGCGGATGAATGTTTTATTTTTTTTATCGAGGAATAATTTACAACATGCCTGCCAAGTACGATCTAGAACCACCTTTCTACTGCGTTACCCATGGCTGCTACATCGGAGTTTTTCCGTCATACCTCTGGTGAGATTTCCATCTCATCTCGTTTCCTTTTTTCCTTAAACACCCACCTTAGGAATGATGTCAGAAAAGAACTCCAAGCCCCAGACCATCGTCCTCCTACCTACTCTAAAATTCGGCTGCTTTCTCTTGGGGAAGAGTTAGTCCATCATGCCATCTGGCGCAGGCTCACAGCCAGTAGATGACACACTGTCATGGTAAGTTTGATGTTGTATCGTTAGTAGTATTTGCTAACTTTGCTCAGTCTATAGTTGGGACCGATTACGGGAGAGTGTATTCAGTTAGACGGAGTAAGGAAGAGAGATGAGGTTAGACGGAGTAAGGAAGAGAGATGAGGTTAGACGGAGTAAGGAAGAGAGATGAGGTTAGACGGAGTAAGGAAGAGAGATGAGGTTAGACGGAGTAAGGAAGAGAGATGAGGTTAGACGGAGGAAGGAAGAGAGATGAGGTGAGACGGAGTAAGGAAGAGAGATGAGGTTTTCTGTGAGGCCCATGGCATGTAGGCAGTATCTCAGGTATTGCGCTTTGACTGAGCAATCAATTTTCTGGTGTATTCAGTTAGAACACAATCAGAGTGAGGAAGAAATTCAAGGTTTTTTGTGCATCCCTAGATATAGATGAGTGTTAGGCTTCATCGACGCCCTTCAGCAAGTCACGTGACATGTCAGCCTGAAGATCTGCCATATGATTTCTGTTTGCTCGTCACTCGACACCATATAAGAATGTCTATGGGTCCTGGTCCATCTGAGGCAGGGCCACCACATCCCGTTCAGACTATCATATGTACTGAGGCAATGTCCTCTGCCTTGAAGAACTTGCTAAAACGGAAAAGAAAACCGAAGCTCAATTTCTATCGCACAGCGCCAGTAGTCCATTATCGCCAGCATACCCAGTACCAGGTCAACAATGATGGCTCTGTCAGTTATACGCTGAAGCACCTTCTACCTCCTAAGAACGCTAAAGCAACCATCCCGGACCATCAAACTCACGCAGAACGAACTCTATGCGACTCAGACACCTTTTTTTCAATTCCAGAGCCTCTTGACAATCTCCCATTGGAGGTATCCTTAGACATTTTAGGCCAACAAAGGAGAAAACGAACCGCAGGCGTACGTGCACTACAATGTTCCACGTCATTTGACTTCCCCCTCACAATGTTTTATCAGGACCATCCTTTGTTGACATGGCTAAATCACAGACCGTTATTCCTTTGAGAAATGTTACATCTTGAAGGACGAGTCAGCATGGGGTCGTGCTTAGAGTGTGATGGTCCCAATCCAGAGTACAAGTGTCAAGATTGCTTCGGCTCAGCGCTTCATTGCTCAGATTGTATTTTGTCAGTCCATGTGCACCACCCACTTCACCGATTGCAGGTACGTCTTCGCATTTAATTGTTATAATGGACTTAATCTTAAATACAGAAATGGAACAGCCAATACTTCGAACGAATTTCCTTGAAAGCCCTGGGCCTCCGCATTCAGCTTGGTCATGTCACTGGCCGGCAATATGCCAATCCTCACCGAGCTTTTAATGATGACTTTGTCATTATCAATGTCTTAGGTATACACAAAGTTGCACTCGACTTCTGTGGTTGCGCAATGGCTGAAAGTCATATGCAACAGCTTCTTCAAATGTCATTATTTCCTTCAACAACCTCTGATCCAAAACCGCTGCAACTTTTCGTGTTCTGGAGCAATACCACCTGCTCTCGTTTGAGTCAAAAATATCGGCCTATGAGTTCTATCATGTGCTTCACCGGATGTCTGACAACACCGGTCTACTTGTCGTTAAGGTACGTTCAAAATTTTAAGTATTCTTATGGTCACTCAAGCTCCTTCATAGGATCGATACAAGTCATTCATGTGAATGATTCGTGAATGGCATCACCTGAAAATGCTCAAACGCTCAGGATGAGGTCACGATCCAAAGGGCATAGATGCAACAACTCAAGGTGAATGCGCTGTGTTGTGCCCAGCTTGTCCACATCCTGGTAAGAACCTTCCAGCTAATTGGAAAGACGCACCTCAATGGTAAGTTCTAGATGAGCTTGAGTGGTATTATCGCTGATATAGATACTATTAGTTGGCTCTATGGATTGTTCCTTGCCATCGACACAAACTTCCGCCTGAAACGCAAGGCTGTCTCGAATGACAGTGTGGACCCGAGCCTGAGTTCTGGTTGGGCCTATTTTGTTGACGATGAAGCTTACAAGGGCTTCTTGGACAGCAACTCGGACAACGCCCAAGAGGTTGTCTTATTTATATCTTCTTTTCTTATATTAACGATGTTCTACAGAAATCAACATGCTCGAGTCACAATGCTGTGAACATGGCAGACACGAAACCTAACCGCGGACTTGCTGCCACAGGTTTAGGTACTGTCGACTGTGCCCGCCACAACATGAAACGGCCCAACGCTGTTGGAGATCTCCAAAAGGGTGAAAGGTAACTCGTGTTTTTCATTCAGACATTGGCGATCTAATGGTCTGTAGGTACGTCAACATGGATTATTTATTCTTTTCGACACTTCGCCACACAGTTACTGACACTCTGAACATATCTTACGACATCGCGTGCCAATGGCACAAGAAATTATGGCACTGCATGGCCGCATTTCCAGTCTCAATGCAACTCCTGCCCGCTTTCACAACTATTTCTTTTTTCATCCCAAAGTTCCACCTTCCTGCTCACATCGATGAGTGTCAAACCTCATTCTCTTTCAATTTCAAAAGTGGGGTTGGTTGGACTGATGGAGAAGCTCCCGAGCGTGGCTGGGCCAATATCAACCCCGTCGCTTCGAGTATGAAAGAGATGGGCCCCAGTGTGCGGCGAGACACCCTCGATGATTATTTTGGAGATTCGAATTGGAAAAAGGTAGTTAAACTTGGTGAGCTCATTTTCTTTGATATCATAAAGAGTGTATTTGCGCTCACCTCCTTTATTATCAGGTCATACTATGCTTAACAAGTTGAAGGACGCATTACCGGAGCAACAGGATCATCACAAAGCCCTTGATGACCTTGAAGAAGGTTTGAGAGGTGAATATAGTGCTGCTCTCGCCCAGTGGAGAGAACAGGTGGAGGCATGGGAGTGTGACCCCGCAAAGCCAAACCCTTTCGAACGAAGGGTCGAAAGTATGTATTGATCATCATCACTCACTGTGTGCTAATTTTTCTGTGCTTCTTAGCTGTTACTATGGCCTCTGTGCGACTGGAACTGGCTAGGGATGACCAGAATGATATTCAAACAGGAACTTGCCTTGCGCTACATGAGGACTGTACTCCAAGTGTATTGATCAGCACTGGCTTGGAACTTGAGGAACAACAGTAAGTCCCCTGAGTGCGGCATATGAGATCTTCAACTAACTTTTTGTATAGACGATGATTGAAAGCTGATAGAACAGGCCTCGGCATCCACGCTTCAGATAATCAAGAAGGGAAATTACTTCAGCGGAATAACACTCTGCAACGCAGGATCAACACCTGGACTAAATTACAGGAACTGTACATGCCATCACTCGCTGCACTACATGTCAGCGAGAGGTCAGTATCTGGTGGCATCACCGCTGCAGTAACTACACCCGAAACCATCAAACTCTGGCTACCATCCCAAATCAGCAGGACAGCACCTTGTGACACCCGCCTCCAAACCATCGAATGGAAGCTCCGCTACACACAAGCTCACGATGCACTCCGTTCCCTCCGTTTGAACTTGTGCGCTCAGACCGCCATCCTCAAGTATAAAGATTGTAACCTTCGCGGTCAAGGTGCAAATACAAGGGCCTGGAACACGCTCAAAGCCGTTGAAGCATGACTTGAGGCTGCCGCCAGCACATATGAGTGTGCCCATAAGGCTCTCGTAGTTCTTGCTCCACTGGTGAATCAGACTGGGTGGCACTCGTCTTTGAGGCCACTAAACCAAACCAATATTCACTCAATGACGGATCTATTATGGGGGGAATCAGAGGGTACAAGGAAGTTATCTTGGATCTGGAATATGAGAGGAGCTGCACCTGACGAGATGGACAATAATAATGCTTTTGAAGGCGAGTACTCTTTTTTCGTTTTTGGAGGCTTCCTAAGGTTTGCGGTTAATTAGACATGCGAATCGAATGGTGCAAAGCCAGGGCACAGGCAATGCGTTGGGCAGAAGAGGTCGAGCTGCTGAAGGAAGAGATGCGGAGAATCCTTCAATTTTTTGAATGGCGTGCGCAATGCTGGGACGAGCGTGGGCTAGAAGATGCCTTACACGACGTGGTTGATGATGATGAGCACGAGGGACTGTTAGCATATGTGAAATGTCAAGCTTCATTATGTCGAAGGCTCGCTGAGTCCTTTAGGACTAGTTGGACTGACACCTTGGCACTGGCGGACTCATTCAACGACTCACTCATCACTCAGCAAGACAAGGACATTGATTGATTAGTACCCATAGTACATGCATACGTAGAGAGATCCAATATGAATTTGTGCTAGCATTACCTGTCTCATTCGAACGAGTAGGGCCAACAGGGAGGCAAGAACAAGCGGCCGAATAAGTGGGCGAGATGCGTCAGCAAGCGCTATGCATCACTGATGCATCACTGGGACGAAGCTGATGCATCAGTGCAGGAGGGAGCTGATGCATCAGCAAGAGGGAAGTGATGCATCAGCGAGAGGGAGGTGATGCATCAGCGAAAGGGTACTGATGCATTACTGGAAGGGAGCTGATGCATCAGCGTGGGAGGGAGCTGATGCATCAGCATGGGAGGACTGATGCATCATTGGGAGGGAGCTGATGCATCAGTGCGGGAGGGGGCTGATGCATCAGCAAGGGAGAAATGGTGGTACAATTGCAGCAACGTTGCATCACAGGTGCGCTACAGTTACCCTGTTTCATGCATCAGTATGCCACGAACTTGTGCACGAATCTGGTCATGTGCCGGCGAGGTCAGCGAATCCCATCTCGAAAAGGGAATTGATCAATGTCACGTGCCCTCGCGTGACCTTTTGGCTGAGCGCCACCATAAATTTCTCGACATAAGTGTGCGTCTTGTTTGTGTGTGTGTGGCGTCTGTGTGTGTGTGTGTGAGTTTTGCATGTGAAGAATAGTTGAACAAATCCAGCGCCATACAGCAGAGCCTTGGCCTGCCTCTGCAATGCCTCAGCCTCATTCACACAGTGCCTCAGCCTTGTTGTAACTTCTGTGCCTCGCTGTTGAATCTATGAGTTCTGTCAGCACCCACTATATTGTTTCCCCCGCACTGTCATGAATGTTACCAACTGCATCTAAATTTCGATTATCAAACCTAAGAGACCCTATCCGATAAGATTAGATTAGATAAGATCCCTGATAAGATAAGATGGATAACTGATTAACGATCACTATCTTGAATTCACATCTATACTACATCGATGTCATCCATCTATATCCGTAACCCTAGATCATCATATCCTTAGAAGTCCTACAATTAGGCAACGGGTTACATCATAAGCATCTACACGCCTCTATGATCAAACCACAACCGAGAGTCCTTTACGAGCCATCTCTCGAAGAGTCACCATCCCTTCACATCGCAGACCTTCACTTCCCACACATGACACGTTAAGAGTTACCTCTGTCATTCACCGAATCCCTTACATAAGAACCTGTTGTTCAGTCACAGCTACACCCCTGAACCCTATCACAGAAGCACCACTCATAGAGAAGCATGCTCATTACTGAAGACCCTGGAGAAACCCCTAGATCCGATCGTACCCGATACATCTCCAGATCCTATCTCTTATCGAGATCCTTTAATCACTGCTCGAGACTTCTAGTTACAGAACTCTTTCACTCCCTTAATCTCCGTTGACCCTGAATAGAAGCAGTACCCTGAGATCCTGCTTAATTACCGACACCCCTATGAACCCTTTACTCTTTCTTGTAGTTGATTGGTTGATAAGACGCCCTATACCCTAGGCGCAATGTTATGATCTTATATAGATATATCACTACCTTTCATACTCAGATATCTCCGCCTAGAGAGTAGTATATAGTTTAGGTCGTAGTCAGTAGTACTCCTTAGACTTAACCTCTTCGTTCCTACCCAGTGTAGACTCAGACGTTCACTCTCAATATCATCTCTTTGCTCTTATCCTTGACGAGTCCTAGTGGTTGTGTTAAGCCTTTGCCATTTGGTGAACGCTGATCATAACACGCACATCTTCAGTGTGCCAGCGCTCATTGCTCGAATTTCTGCTTCCTGCGTGTGTACTATTCACTCTGACTCTACCAATTTTGCACTCATTGTGAGACCCTTCACAGTGACATGGCGCAGCTATTATCTTGCGCCAATAACATAGAAGATGATGTGAAGGTGTTTCGAGAGGCCTTGCAGCTGTGTCCTCCTGACCATTTTCGTCAATCCGTGTGTCTGTATAATCTTGCCACCAGCCTTCATAACAAATTCAGGCAACGGGGTGTCTTGTCTGACCTTGATGAGGCCATTGAGCTCCATCGAGCCGCACTGCTCCTCCGTCCCCCTGGTCATTCTGGTGGATCCATGTCTCTCAACAATCTTGCTGCCAGCCTTCAATACAGATTTGAGCAGCGGGGTGTCCTGTCTAACCTTGATGAGGCCATTGAGCTCCATTGAGCCGCACTGTTCCTCCACCCCCCCGGTCATTCTGATCGATCCATGTCTCTCAACAATCTTGCCATCAGCCTTCGAGCCAGATTCAGGCAGCGGGGTGTCCTGTCTGACCTTGATGAGGCCATTGAGCTCCATCGAGCCGCACTGCTCCTCTGTCCCCCCAGTCATTCTGATCGATCCGCATCTCTCAACAATCTTGCCAACAGCCTTCAAGACAGATTTGAGCAGCGGGGTGTCTTGTCTGACCTTGATGAGGCCATTGAGCTCCATTGAGCCACACTGCTCCTCTGTCCCCCCGGTCATTCTGATCGATCCGCATCTCTCAACAATCTTGCCAACAGCCTTCAAGACAGATTCGAGCAGCGGGGTGTCCTGTCTGACCTTGAAGAAGCTTTCAGGCTGTATTTACAACTTTCCTGCCAATCACATGCCACAGCCTCTCGTGGGGATCTTGGCGCTGCCAAGTCATGGGTAGCCTCAGCAGAGAAGCTGAAGCATGGCTCTACATTGGTTGCCTATCAGACCGCATTGAACTTTCTGGATCAGCATGTTGCTCTTTTGTCTTCTTCTCCACATCATTTCGATGTTGTCAGGGAGGCCACTTCTTCCCTTGCCACTGATGCTTTCTCGTGTGGTGTCCGTTATGGTGCCTTGACGACTGCTGTACAACTAGTGGAGCAGGGCCGTGCAGTATTCTGGACTCAGTTGGTGCGCTTCCGCACGCCACTCGATGAACTTTCCCTTTCAGGTGACACCGGCACAGCCTTGGCGGAAGAGTTCAAGCGACTTAGCTCTCAGCTTCGTAATGCATTCGATCAGTCTACTGAAGACCAGTCCCAACCAATTGGGCAACTGACCAAGCAATGGGATGATGTCATATCACGCATCCGTGCACTCCCTAACTTTTCTTGGTTTCTCCTGCCTCCGCTGTTTTCTGACATCCAGAAGGCAGCTGAAGATGGTTCAGTCATCATTGTCAACGCTAGTCGGTACAGCTGTGATGCCTTGATTATTTTGTGTGCCCAAGATCCTGTCCATGTTCCACTCAATATTGCATGGACCGAATTATCCAAATTGTCCTCCGAGTTTCAGTCCCTTACAGAGCAATTTGGTTATTCTGATCATTAACACAAGCTTGTCAGCATTCTCCACAAGCTTTGGGATGTCATTGTCAACCCCGTTGTTCAAGCTCTCAGGGAGTCAGCAGTTCCCCGTGGCTCGCGCATCTGGTGGTGTCCCACCGCCAAGTTCATGCCGCTTCCTTTACATGCAGCAGGACCCTACAAGAAGAAGAAACACAATTTATCTCACGTTTACATATCTTCTTACACTCCGACTTTGACGACTCTCATTCGTGCGAGACGGCAGGTTTCTCAAGCTGCATCCCTGCAACAATTTGTTGCCATTGGTCAAGCACACCCGGACAGAGGGAAAGAACTCCGCTGTGTCGCTTCCGAGCTGGCCGTCATTGCTCAGCATGTTGCACCTGTTGCGCCCTTCACATCACTTGCAGACAGCAATGCAACAGTGGAGGGAGCATTGGATGCATTGAGCCGGAATCAATGGCTTCACCTTGCCTGCCATGGAATGCTGAATCAGCAACAAACATTTGAGTCTTCCTTTGCGATGCGCGATGGGCTTTTAACGATCAAGGACATCGTCCGGTCTGACTGGCAGAATCTGCAGTTCGCGTTCTTATCAGCCTGCCACACTACCGTGGGCGATAAGAAGAGTCCGGACGAGTCGATCCATCTCGCTGCGGCTATGCAATTCTCTGGATTTCACAGTGTGATTGGTTCAATGTGGTCTGTTGACAACGAGGTTGCACGGCAGATGGCGTCTGCTTTTTACCTTCACCTGATTGATGGTTCAGGGAGATTGGACTGTACATGGGCTGCGGTAGCGTTGCATAAGGCTGTGAAGACATTGCGGTGCAACAAGATTCCACCAGAACAGCAGATCGTGTTTTTTCATATAGGTGTCTAGCTTGAGACCCATTCACTGTAAGTGATCCATACTTATCTGCTTACTACTACATGCTCACATTGCTTCTAGAGATCATTGGGCTGCACTTTTTGACGTTCCAGATGTCGGGTTCTGGCTGTTCATGCCTCCGCAAACATATGTCATTGTCATTCTCGACCGCATGCCACACCAAACGCTGCCGAAGTCGAAGCCAATGATCCCAGCACATTACTTTCCTGCTTGTCATCTAACTTTTCTGCTTTCCTGTTTACACTCGCATGGTCTTGTTACTTTTATTCGTTGGCTGTCCCACCACTTAGTTAGTAGATACTCCATACGGCTATGCGGATACTTTCGTCGTCTTCCATGAACGCTGGTCCTCACTGTACGTGAAGTATCAGTTGCAGATTACTGTGCTATAGGGTCACTGTTGCGATATATGTCTATCGTGTCAAGTATGAAATCATGTCACATAATGTCGCCATGCTTATCATCAGCAAAACTGCCCGGAACCAGAAAGGCCCGGCAGCTCCCGAGAGGACTCCTATGCCGCATTGCTGACCTCACTAACCTCATAAGTATGACGCGTCGTCGTACACGACATCTGCGACACCACAACCAACCCCCCACGCCTCCTCGCTGAACTTACACCCCTTGCAAGCCTCACGTACCATGTTACAAGACACCCACGAGCCTCCCACGCTCCTTGCAAGGACAGTTGTTGCCCTTCTGCCACTACCGTCTCTTTCTAGTGTCTCTTTTATAAATTCATTGCTGTGCGCCCCTCAGATTCCGGCATTTGACTCGGTCAGTCCATTCGTACTCTCAAAGTTTCAGTGTATTCTAATTGTACAGTAGCTATGGGTACTGCTGGCCCCTCAGTGCTATAAATCCGCAAATCCAATCCCCTCAGCCTCGTCATAATTCAGCCCACCTTCAAGTTCTTCACCGTCTTCCGCCCCAAGAGCATCGTCGTCTAATAATCCATTGTTGTCCTCATCTTCCACGAGAACCTGATCTAGGCCAGTGTACCCAAATTCATCCATCTCATCTGCGATATTGTCATCAATGAGATATTCTGTGCTCAGTGGATCTCGAGTCTCACCTCCTTCGTCATCCTCAGCATCTTCAAGTTCATGACCCTCCTCATGAACGTCTTCGTCGCCACTGCCACTACCCTCGTCCTCATCTTTGTCATCACTGCCCTCCTCGGCGTCTGCCTCCTTGGTGCCTTCCTCATCACCAGATACAGGTAGAAGGATGTATCTTTATGGCTCATTATCCTAAAAGTCTGATACATCTTATTCTGTAGTTATCCACTATATTGGACATTTCCATTTGGGAATGTGATGCATTACTTAGTACAGCCACTCACAGGCGCATTTTCAGCCACCTACTGTGGGAACTTCTCCACAACACCCAAAACATAGCCCATTTTGGGTATTCTCCACAATATCAACCTTTCCCACACCCTCCCCATCCATCCCTGGCTCACCAACCACATCACAATTAGATACAGCTTGCATTTATGTAGTAGTATAGGTTATATACACATAATAGAATATAATAGACCGCTTTTTCTCTTTATTTTTGCACCAATACCTGATACAGAGCCTCTGCAAGTGTGACATAATAGAAAACATATCAAAAACTGTTTCGCATTTTTGCCCCTCCAATATTGGGGTACTATAGCATGTTTATAATATGTTTGTAAACATATATGTACCTATCCCAGCCCTTATTTTACCTCCTAGAGCGCCCTATATTATGTACTGTGCTGTACTAGCATAAAATAGAAAATAGCTACGCATTTTTTGAGCTTTAGGTATATAGACTTGTAAATATGATCCCCAACATCCCTTCAATAGTATATGCAACATATCAGGAGCCTAGGTCAACAGGATCAGTCCCTGTGGTGCTATGTGCTTACCCTCTCCTGGTGGTTCACCCCATGGGAAATTTTTTCCTGCAGCTCCAGCCCTCCAGGTTGGTAGGGTGCCTGTTCCTATTGATATCTAGAATATATAAATCACATAGCTGTATGAAAATAGCAACAGAATCCTGCTCTAGAATGGAATATCTCCTCCTGGCTATACTACTGCATATTTTCGCATTTTTAAGGTTTTGCCATTACACAAACTATCCAAACTGTTTATAGTTAACTTCTAGTACATATATCAAGTCTTTTCATGGCAAGGATCAGACAGGAATATGTCAGAATATTAATATCAGGGGCATGTCAAGGAGATTTACTGATAAGTAATCTCATCTGTGTAATCAGCCACTTGCTATATGGTGGGCCTATACCCATTATACCATCTCTGAATTTGTAGAAAGATCCATTCATATCTGAGTGAGTGATAAGCAAAGTAAATGTATGATTATGGTCTGACCATGTATGTAATAGGAGAAATACATGAATATACTAATATCTAGGTTGAATATTTTGTTAAAAATGAGCTAAATAGAACGTAGACTACTTAAATATCCTGTACCCCATTATATTCTAAGAGTGAAGGTAATGTGGAAGTGTTGTAGTGTCAAAGTGTTGTTGCAGCATTACAGTCCTACCACTAACTTAATGTGTAGACTGATTTTCGATGTTTAGACTTTTGAGTTTCCCACGCTCTTGTTCTTATCTACTGGGTTCCCCTGCCCTTATACCTTGATGGATCCTTCCAATACTCGGGGGCTGTGTTCCCCAGTATGTATTGTTACGAACTCAGTTGGTTCCGCACTAGATACCCGCAAGGAGTACCAATCTAGTGTTGTGACGAGTTTCGATGTAGGACTACTAGACGGAAAGTCTAGTAGAAGATAGTGTAAATGTGATAGAAGCGATGATGCTTGCTATCTAGCTGTCGTGCTATCCCTCTGTCCTGAGGCTTTAGGCGTGATACTGAGTAGATTCAAGTTAAGGACTACTACAGTGTACAGAGTCCTTTATATACGAAAAGTAGAAGATACCGGTTGAACGGTAAGGGTCAAGGGTAGTACCGACAATGCGGTAAAGGCATAGGGTATGAGTCAGAGATAACAGATAAACCAGATAAGCGGTGCGAGAACAATAAGCCGCATGGATAAGCCAAGCGATTGGTAAGATGGAAGTCACTTTGGCGACGGATAGCGGAAATGGAACGATAGGCAAAAGAGAATAAGCTAGTCCAAGGGGCTTACGTAATGTCCCCATAACATGTATAGTGTATATTGTGATAGTCCGATTATAATATACCGTCCTATACCTGTCTGACAGTCCTAATCAGTGAAAATAGGAGATATATCCTTGATATTAATATTCTGACATATTCCTGTCTGATCCTTGCCATGAAAAGACTTGATATATGTACTAGAAGTTAACTATAAACAGTTTGGATAGTTTGTGTAATGGCAAAACCTTAAAAATGCGAAAATATGCAGTAGTATAGCCAGGAGGAGATATTCCATTCTAGAGCAGGATTCTGTTGCTATTTTCATACAGCTATGTGATTTATATATTCTAGATATCAATAGGAACAGGCACCCTACCAACCTGGAGGGCTGGAGCTGCAGGAAAAAATTTCCCATGGGGTGAACCACCAGGAGAGGGTAAGCACATAGCACCACAGGGACTGATCCTGTTGACCTAGGCTCCTGATATGTTGCATATACTATTGAAGGGATGTTGGGGATCATATTTACAAGTCTATATACCTAAAGCTCAAAAAATGCGTAGCTATTTTCTATTTTATGCTAGTACAGCACAGTACATAATATAGGGCGCTCTAGGAGGTAAAATAAGGGCTGGGATAGGTACATATATGTTTACAAACATATTATAAACATGCTATAGTACCCCAATATTGGAGGGGCAAAAATGCGAAACAGTTTTTGATATGTTTTCTATTATGTCACACTTGCAGAGGCTCTGTATCAGGTATTGGTGCAAAAATAAAGAGAAAAAGCGGTCTATTATATTCTATTATGTGTATATAACCTATACTACTACATAAATGCAAGCTGTATCTAATTGTGATGTGGTTGGTGAGCCAGGGATGGATGGGGAGGGTGTGGGAAAGGTTGATATTGTGGAGAATACCCAAAATGGGCTATGTTTTGGGTGTTGTGGAGAAGTTCCCACAGTAGGTGGCTGAAAATGCGAACATGTGGGCTTATACAGCAAGATTTGTAATTTAGAATGTAGGATACATTCCCCATGGACAGTGGACAATTAGAGTAGATGATGTATCGGACTTTTTGGCTAATGGTCCATAAAAGATATATCTATATGACACTATCGGCTGTCCTCATCCTCACTATCATCTGTCATCTCCTCGTCAGAATCTTGACTTTTGCGCTCTTTCTCCATCGTAAACAGGGAGTTGGTCAAGTGCGTCGCGATCATTGAGCAAACAGTGGATCCAGAAAGGCAAGGAAGTGCCTGGGAGGTACTACATCACAGACATGAAAACCAACCTGGGCATGAAGCTTGTATGTCAACATGTTGAAATTCTGGTGTTTCGAGGCTGCTTGTGGTGCCTTAGTAGTAGTCCCCTTCCCCTTTGCTGCTTTTCTGCCTTGTTTATGTGCACGAGCAGCAGTCTCTCATGGAAGATCCTGTGTATCAAATTTGCTGCATGTAGTGCGACGGATTGAACTTGTGCAACGATTTGCCGAAGACGTGTTGTACAGTTATCAAAGTGATGTAGTGTTGTCTCGGTATGCATCTGCAGCTTTCCAAATGCATGCCAAGTCAACAGTTCGAAGAGGAGGTCCAGAACAATTGAGTTGTGAGGTTCAGTAAGTAGTTGTTCGAAGACAGGCATAGAACACTGAAAGGAACTATTTGAGTTACGAAATTCAAACATGAAACATGACTATTTTACCTGGAGTAGGTCTTCGAAGTCATGAGCAGCGAGTTTCGTTAAGTCGGAGACATTACTGCTAAACTTCCGGATTGTGTCCTGACCAAATGTTGGGACCATTTGATATCTAAAAAAGTAAGTAAAATCACAGAAAATATAACTTTACACACCTTTCATTCAACCACTGAATGGCATCTTCTCCACATGAATGGAGAATCCGGATTAAATGTGTCAGAGTTGCTTTCCACGTGCCAAGCTCAAACTTGTGCATAAAGTCAGGGACAAGCATTGAGTGGAAGTTGAAGCCAAATTGTGAGAGTTTCTCGAAGAATGCATTCTAAGAGTACGAACAGTCAGTCTACTGTTGACTGAATTTAAGTGAACTTTGACACAAACCCGAGTGGGAACCATTGACATCACACCAATCAAATTCTCCACAAATGTGCTGACTACACTGCAACCCAATTTGAAGATGAATTCACGAACATGTTCGATAAAGGACTGCCGGCGATGGTCGTCAACTCGTATACCTTTGACCCGCTACCGTCGGTCTGCTCTGTTGCCCAATCTATCAATTTTGTCCTTCTTGACAAGACAGCGAGGGCAGGGGCATCGCCCAAGGAATTTGATGTATGCAAGAAGAATTCTAGAACACAATCAGCAATCTAGTTCTACACCCTCAACCACCAACCAGGTTACTCACTTTTTGGGATAGTCAGCTGCATAAGTGAAAAAACGAGGAAAAACTCTTTGAAACACGCCATCAGGGAATTTGATGAAAATACCATGCTCCCATGCATTAATGAAGTCGTTGTCAAGCAAAAATGACCATATCACATGCATAAGTTCATGTTTGCAGTGCGTCAAAACTGCTGCTGTAGCACTTCACCCAAAAATTTGGAGATAGAAATTTTGGATCGTGTCTGGGAGCTGAAACTATCATTAGTACTGGTGAGCTCTCATACAAGTAATGGCATAAACCTTTGGAATGTAAGCTAGATGATGAGCTGCAAAGGATGTTGGCTTTGATCAAACATATTTTGATTGATTCCCAATGAACATATAGATTGGCCATAATACAACGTTACCAAAACTTGCAAGATGTGTTGAATCTGACCATAGCATGATGGCTGCAACAACAGTTTTGAGATTGCATCCTGGCTCATGGGGCTGGGAATGTATCTTCTCATGTTCTTGGAGCATCATGTCAGATGTGTAAAGCTCAGTAATGATGCGTTCCAGTGGTTCATCTTCATCAGGTTGCCAGAATAGCTTGTGTGGGCTTGTATGAAACCCTTTTGCAGAATCCTCTTCAAAGGCAGCTTTTAGGACCTCCAGCAGCTTCCGATAATAGAGATCATCAACCTCAAACATAGGTGCATTGTCCTCCGAATGGAACTGTTCCTTCTTGCATGGCAAGCGAATTTTGACAGAGGCTTCATGCCATCCATCAGATGAGAAGATGGTAGATGCTGGGTCATTCTCTGCCCGATCTAAAAACTTCAATTCTTGCACGGGATTAAAATTCCATAAGTCTTCTTGATTGAAATCTTCTGCAAAGATAACCTCGTCAACAAGACGGCTAAGGTCCTCT